GTGAAGTCGAAATTCCAACCCGACTACTGCATCAACTACCGCACGACCCCCGACTGGGCCGCCGAAGCACTCAAGATCACAGACGGCAAGGGTGTCGACTATATCCTCGAGATCGGCGGGCTGGGGACCATCGAGCAGAGCATCAAAGCAATCACGCCCGGTGGGAATATCAGCGTGATTGGATATCTGGCGGGATGCGATAAGGTGGTGGATGTGCCGCTTCAGGCATTGCTGAAGACCTGTGTGGTGCGGGGCGTGCTGATCGGTCCGAAGTGTCTGCTGGAGGAACTGGTCACGTTTGTGCATCGGGCAAAGTTGAGGATGCCGGTGGAGAAGGAGTTTGGGTTTAGTAGGGAGGAGGTCATTGCTGCGTATGAATATTTGCAGTCGGGGCAGCATGTTGGCAAGGTTTGTATTCGGGTGGATTAGCAGTAGAGATTAGATTAGATTGTGAGGCTTTTTGTGGGATTTGGTTGCGGCTCCTGTAGGATGGACAATTAATGCGGTCGGTTGATGAGGGCAAAAGTATTATTGACAGCTCGAGAATATCTATGACTTAAGATCACCCAAGTATTCGCAACTTAAAGCTTCCATTAAAATCTCACAGACATTGAGGTCCATGCGGGGCCTTAGGCAGAAACATCCACCACCAACAACTACAGTGACTACTCCGTATAACTACAACCCAGGAAGAAGAAACAGCATAAACCGTCAATATCATTGCTCAATAGCCTTTCAATTATTCAACAAAATAAACGCCTCAGATCATGCTAAATGAACAGCTTAAGGTCCCTAAGAGAAAAGAAAATAGTTAGCCTTAGCCACTGAATGTATTCACCGAAAGGAAAAAGAAGACCAACTCACCAGGAACTTGAAGTGGCCGTCGTTGTTGGCGATCTTATCAGCCAGCATCAGACCCTGGCGACCTCGCGATCCACCGTCGTGCGTGCGAAGATCGGCACACAGCTTGGGTCCCCACTCGGTGTGCTCAAGGGTAACGTTGGATGCGCTACGGGTGAAGTTGCTACCGCCCCAGATGAACCAGCCTGTGGATGTTAGAACTTGAAGTCTGAAGGGAGAACGGAGGAGAGGGAGAGGAAGAGAAAGAGAAAGGAACATACCATCAGTGTTTCCGATGTGGTCGTCAAGACGGATCTTACGGTGGACGTGGTGGCCGGACTTGTCACGCACGTCGGCCGAGAGGACGGTGCAGCCGTCTTCATGGCTGAGCTTGATGTTGTCACAGGTGGTGTGGAAAGACATGATGGCAGATGTTGGTTTGGTGAGACCGTAGGATAGAGAGAGATAGAGAGAATCGAGATGGAGATGGTTGAAGCTATAGATGGAGAGCAACAAGGATGGAGGGGCACGTATTTATGTTGACCGTTTCCTACCCTGCGGCATTGCTGCCCTACAGGCTAACGCTGCATGGTGACACATTTAGTGGAGAGTGGCGGTAATAATTGGAGGGCAGCGCCACGGTCTGTGGGTCAGACTGGGACCGAGTGGAGAGCACTAGTGGTCGATGGTGGCGGTGTGTATTTACTATTTGCCAAATAGGTCTAGCCAGTCTTTATTTTTGGGGACGGAGGGTCTACGAGTGGGCTGGTCTCGCTAGAGAGACGGGATGTCGCGGTGATGTCAATGGTGGAGGGGGGTGAGGCTGCGAGATGATGTCCGGATCGACGCGTGGGCTGGTGGGCTCTGGAGAGCTTGGGGCTGGGTCGATCCGTAGTTTTCGTCAGGCCAGTATTTTCGGCGGTAGTTCCCTGAAGCTGAGGTTGTACAGCATGAGGTTGACTGTTTTATGGCGATCGCCGCAAGATGATCTCAGTCTGCAATCCCGAGCACTGGTGGAATGATGTGAGAGGGTGGCATGCACTCGGAACATTACATCGTCATATCCAGACAAAAGGGGCAAGGGCGTTTCATCTGTATGAAGACCCGCTGTACTGGAAGATCCTGGAAGATTCTGCTTTTCGCAGTCCATTCCATCCACCACCGTGAAACTGGACCCATCGCCAAGATGACATGGGAGAGCAAAGTCGTAGGCTGGATTCTGAAGCCTTTCTGAACTGATCTACAGGATTCTGCATATGCAACCTACTGATCTGGATGAAAATGCGATACTTTTTGCTGTCTTCTCAGCTGCGAGAATAAGATACCCGCCATCTTCGGCCGGCTGGACTCGATCCGGCAATCCTCCAGAGGAAGGAGGTTTAAACTGATGATGTAGGCTTCGGATTTGTTTGGCGCTTCTGGGTCACTCCAGCTCATGCAGGAGGTGCATAGTGATGTCATTTATCGAAAATAAATGTTATTAAACTTGCTAAAGATCCCCGTGCAAGGAACACCAACTTTAAATCTCCGAATATGTACTCGAACTTGCGCGGTTATTATCAATTCCAAGGTTATGTCCAAGCTGTCCGCAGCTAAAGGTGACGTGAGAGAAGGATAGAGCCAGAGAGAGGGGATATTTATGACGAGGCCTACATTTCTTAATGAGACATATCACATTGGATCTGGATGAGGTGATAGCTTCTGCGACTTTTCCAGGACGCTTCTCCTAACACAACTTTGAGCATAACGAACCGGAGACTACTTCGATCTCCTAGATAAAGAGATGCACTCAAAAGCCCGACAAGGTGACGAGTCTTGATACCCTAACGAGCAATATTAGCAAAAGGGTATTATTAGCGCCAACGACGGCCGTATTCCAATAATTCCGTTCTACTCAGTCCTGCTAACGTTGACGGACTTGTTTCCCCAGGAATAATCGACAGGAAATGAACATAGGAGACATCCGCTAAGTTTACGCTCGTCGCTTCCTGACGGTTTTGAGAACGATGTCCAAACGCTGACTCAAAGGTTTGAATGAAGCTCTCGCTGCGACGGCTAAAGCTGCAACTGTTGCAAAAGGCGATGAGAGAGATCGAACATAAGATAATGAGTGACGGTCGTATACCAGAGCTAGTGAATCCCTTCATTCATAGAACAAACAAAAAAGAAGAGCTATTCTTTACCTATCTGACTACGTAGCGAAACCGGCTATATAGTGAAATTAATTGGCAATTTGTTGACTAGTAATACGAAGATACTTTAGTGAAGGATTGAACACCGAGTCGTAGGTTTTAGAGCACAGAAAGTAGGCGAAATAATCGAGCTGATAAGGACTAAGACCGGAAGGGTTTCCAAGGTCAATTTTAACGGCATCTATGTGCAACTGATGGCACTATGAGAAGGCGAATCATCCTTCAGGGTTGAAACTTTACGGAGAATGGACCTATGCCACGTCGAATTCCGAGCCCTCCGAAAGACGCGCTTCGTGGGTCTATTGCTATAACTCATATTATATTGTGCATAACTGATAGCTTATGAAAGACAGGTAACAGGAAGGAGAGTGGGAGGGCAGAAGCCGATGAGGCAGGAGCGAATTAGCAGACTCCCTTACAGCTCAGTTCCTTAACCACGTCTACTCAGAGACCACACCGTCACTATACCACGATTAATACATCAACCACATCAAAATTATAATATCTCAATCATTACATCAGATTATCACAGTACGCTTTATATATGCTAATCACCAAAGTCACCATGAACCACCTCTTCCGAGAGATCCTCGTGATCAGCCTAGAATCCAGACACGAATTGTCAAAGGGCTAGATGGCGCGGATATCGTGGCTATTGGAGATGATATTCAAAGGCCATACTATCGTTTTGGGTTTTTTGTTGTGAAAGAAAATGCCTTGCGGTATCTAGGACTTTAGATACATAACCAGGTGCTTGGCCGAAGTTCGCTGGTTGATCACAAGGAGTGTACATCCCACCTACGTGTACACAGAACACACTCCTATCGACTGAAAAACACCGATTACATTCTCGAAATTGCCCGATATTACAAATATAATCGCATGAGAACTCAAAACTTCCAAAGACAAGGCCTGGCGAGTATAATGAGCAGCGAAATGTCTAGTGTCCCATCAACACCATAGGGTGTATCGATTTTTGATTCCAATAGGACAATTTGCTAGGAGGCCACGCGAATTCATTAGTCGGACATTCAGCTGGTTACAGCACTGATCTGGATACCTTCTTCCCAACCTAGAAGGCATCGCCATTTGAAGGCAAAAACACGGGTTTCGGGGATTTTATATCCTTGGTTAAGAAAATAGATGCGGCACTTGGCTTGCCATTTCTTTCTAATATAGCACCAAGTACTGCTGCAGTGTTTACCAATACGAGGAAGCCACCACCTGCTTCACAGGACGCTCCTACTACCAAGAGTTCCTCCGGTTTGATGCAGACAGACCTAGGCATTTTTTTCAGGTGGAAGACGCGATTAATTTCCCTCTCTCCGGAACATATACTGTGTGGTAAAATCCAGTGTGCTTGACAGTGCCGTCCTCCACCTGGTTTTCAGAAATCTCAGAGCCGTGATATTCACCGACGAAGGGATAAAAGACCCTAAGAAATGGAACGCCACAGTCGCATATTCCCAAACTTACGTCCAACAAGACGGTATTCTTATCAATTTGGTCCCCGACAAGCATTCGAGAATATATCCTTTCTATACTTTCATAGAGAGTGATACGATTTTATTGACACACTAAGACCGCACACGCCTCGTGAGCTAATTGGAAATGACCTGCGTCCATCACATATAAATCTGTACGACTAAGGTCTAATTAAAGTGACTCCACCGCTGTCATTTGACTGCCTCTCAAGATGCTTAGAGCTGACAGGATGCCCTGCACGGTACAAATACCTGGCTTCCCTGTGACGCAACCTTCATTCCACGGGCCGTATCCAGAATTGAGCTCAACCATCCCTTGCATTCCAGACAAACAAATATAAAACCCTGGATTTCCAGGTTTATGGACTCATGAAAAACATTCTCCAGTGATCACGCAAGATTCAAATCTCCATACGAATTTCCATTCAAGTACTGCGCCATCCTAGAATTTTATGGTGATCAGACTACTAACCATACCAGAAAAATGCATTTACACTACGTCCTCTCGATCCTCGGTTTGACTGCTGTTGCCTTGGCGCAGACAGAGTCTACCCCTTGTACGTTGTCCCTCCAGATCGCCTTTTTCTGTAGGATATTGGGAATTGATGCTAACGTGCGATAGATGATGCCCCCTGCGGAAGCTACAAGACGTGCCTTGCCAACTGCCCCAACGAAGACTTCTTTCCCCTGGCGGATGAGTGCGATACGGACGATGATGGAAAGCCGTTCTGCTATGTCAACTTCTGGTGTGCTTAGTCCCATGAACTGAGTGTATATGAGAATGATCGGATGATGGGGAGGGGATGATGGGTTCGAAGGGGATTGAGAATAGGTTCATGGGTTGGAGGAAGGATAGTTCCTGGTCGGTGCTATGATATAACTCGATCAGAATCTCCATATAAACACCTTTCTAGAATGGAGAATAGCACCAGTCCTAATGCCTCGGAGCTTCCTCCGCGTTACGCACGTCCATCTTGATTAATATTCAAAATCGGCCCTCGGAGTCCGTTGGGGCGTGCTTTCAGGGGACCCGTGGATTCCAGAAATCGGCTCATGTAGAAAGTAGACGACTATTTTAAGCAAGGTACAATCCGAAAGGGTCACAGGCTCCATATTATTTCCTGATTCCGTGACTCCGCCGGGTCCGGGGCATGTCTGGGTGGTCGTGAAGTATCGTTCGTTGCTGATGGCGAGGGTGAAGAACGGAGGCGCGCTTACCCGATGAAGGAAAGGATACGGATACGTCTGTCGCTGGTTGGCTATCCACGCTTTTCTTCTTCGCTATGGTCCCAGGGGTTCCGTGCGGATCCACCACTGCGATGATCGTTATGACGAGGAGGATCTAATCTCCGTGGACGTATTCGTATATATTTCCTGGTACAATTGCTTCCCTGGTATAAGTATGATTGGGTTTCCGGTGATTCCTTGAGATTTTATTTTTGTTCAAGTTGTGTGCTGAGATTGTCCGATAGTATGCGTTTCGCGACAGGAACAACCTTAGGGCTATTGGCTTCTGTGCAGGCCAGTTCTGCTCTCGCGGCCCAGAATAATCATAAACGTTTTGCCTCTCCTCCTTCCCCTGAACCGATTGTCGTTACGGAACTTCCCCTGCCACCTGTTACCCCGAATGAGAAAAACGGCTCCTGTACGCTCGCCATCAATCCCCGTCGGACAGGATGCATGTTACAGTCTTCCCAGGTCCTGGGTGGTAATTTCCTGCCCGACAATGATCATGTCACCGTCAGTGTGACCTTTGCGGGGGCTCCTACCAGCATCTATAACGGCACTCAACTGGTCATTGTCAAGACGGACAACACGACTTTCCCCAATGGCGATCCGTGGAAGTGCATTACCTGCGGTGTTCCTGAAAAGAACAAGGTCGGCAGCACCGAGCTGAGCCCGTATCCTCAGGCTTTCTATGATGGCAAGCGGGTGCTGGTCGGGACTAACATTGTGGACTGTGGCTCTGCCAAACTGGCTAGCAAAGACTGTACCCCGGATAAGGTTCATATCTATCCGGTTCGTTTCAGTGGCGGCGAAATGCGAGAATTGCGGATTCATCCCGACAATGTGCACCTTGGGTTCAACTCTTTCGCGATTAGCAGTGGAAATCTGGGCCAGTTCGCCTACTTTGGTCGTCTGCAGTTCAACGATTCCTCCGTCGAACCGGGGTACGATGTCGTCAAGACCACAAGACTGTTTGACCCTAGCTCTGCGCAGCCGATCGACGCAAACGGTAACCAATTGATCTTCAACGAGTCGGCCATTGCAGTGGGTGAGCTTCGTGGCTTCACCGGCCGTGGCAAGGAAGTCGTTTACGTCGGAAGCCCCGTGGAATCTTGCAACATCGACGTGTTCGCCGCCGATCTGACCACCGGTAAGGTCCGTCGTCTGACCAGCCATCCGGAATACGTCGACCCTATCGATATCTCGCCCGACGATCGCTCCCAGGTCATCTTGGATACTCGCGGCACGGGTCGCCAGATGTTCATGACCGGCATGCGTGGCATTCCACCGATTATTGACATGATCGTTACCACAGCGGTCTCGTCGACTCGCAACAACGGAGCCAGACGATTCTTCCTCCCTTGGCTACTCGACCATGATGGAGATCGTGGCGATTACTTCGGCCAGCAGATCAATGCCGGCGGAGACGGAAGTCCAGGAAGCATCAACGATCCGAACTGGAATGCCGCCGCCGACCCGAAATGGTCGTTTGACGGGACTCGAATTGCGTATGCCGAGAATCTCGTCGTGTCTCCGGCCTGCGGTGGAAAGAACCCTCTTCCTTGTCCCAAGTCAACTGCGCCCGGCGGTCGCGTTACCCGGCTGATGTTGGCACATCTGACGAGCCGACAGCCGCTGCAGCTTGATCCTGTCGAGCCTGTCGCTGACGAAGTTCCCTGGGGTGTGCCGATCACAGAGAGCAGCAAGCTCCCCGTGCGTCCGTATCCGGCTCAAGGCAATTACACGCTGAAGGGCAAGGACTCGGGAACTGCTTCGACGTCGGTCGTGTACGAGGGGGATCTAGTGAAGACCGTGGCGGTCACTTATCGAAACTATTCCGATGATGGGAAGATCGTCATTGACGGGTCCGAGAAGGTCACTAGAACTCTTGAGCAGGTCACGACCAACAAGATTGACTGGTTTTCCAACCTCACGTCTACTGGAGAGCAGAAAGCGACCAAGAAGACCAGCCCTGGAGGATTCCATTTGGAGGTTGACTCGCTCGCCAATATCTTCAAGGCGAATGGCACGTTGACGACGACGGTGGATGGAAAGGAGTGGAAGCAGCCTGCCAACGGGACTTGATTGATTGCTTTGTTTTCATAGGTTTTTGTGTATAGAAGTATGAAGTGGTGTGGCTGCAAGTGTCCGGCATAGCGATGTAAACAACGCGCAGCCTTGTCTTACTTAGCTCGATCCTTTGCCCCACTCCAACTGCCCATCATTCAATCTTTTCGAAACTTTTCCTCTCTTCATCTTTCAACATCACTTTCAGCAACCATCATGCCTCTATCATCCTTGCCGATTGAGATCCTCGGCGAGATCATTGATCGCATAGTCACTAGTCCCATCGGGATCTGTGGCTCCGCTCGTTTGCGTCTCGTCAATCGTAAGACCTCAACCCCTCGTATCCATAGTGATCATCACTGACCCGACTAGGAACGTTTGATCTGGAGATCCGCCGCTCTTACGCGCGCACTACTCGATTTGCATCCGATCGACGGTTCGCGGTGGCTCCTCATAGCCTCAGCAAACGCGTGTTTTTCGCTAAATACCTGCTCCTCCGACCCAAGAGGAAAGGAAAGCCGGAGGAAAAGGACATCTCGTATTTCTTGAACACCCTCGTCGATCGGCTACTCAGCCATGACAACAATGCGAAAGGGACCCCCTCGGAGAGTGAATATGACGACGCCAAACGCTGCCAGCTGCTCTCTGTTCTGTGCGCAAAGATGACTCAGGTACAGTTGTCGGTCTACCCAACGCATATCAAATTATACAACGGCGAAGACATCACCATGGAGCTCCTGATCGCAGCCATCTACACCAACCGACTATCTCTTGTCCATCAAATGCTCAGCACCGGCCAGGTCAATCTCCAATCCGACCCTAGTACCCTCTTCGAGACTCCTCTACTCGCCGCCGTCGACACGCAAAACCCCGACACCGTGCGCGTCCTCCTCGCGCACAACGCCCCATTCAAACCCCCAATCCCGCGCCCACACCGACCATTCCACGGAAATCCGCTCCTCAGGGCCGTTGAAAACAACGACCTCCCCATCCTCACCCTGTTGCTCGACCCTTCGTCCAATCTCTGCAAATCCGACCTGACCTACCAGCACGCCCTCGTCTCCTCCATCACCCCCTCCCCGGACTCCCATCGCATCACCTCCCTCCTCATCTCCCACTATGCATCAACCCTCGCTGAATCCCCATATATCCTGTCCGAAGGCCTCCGCGCCGCCTGCCGCGCCGGACACACCGAACTAATCAAACACCTCCTCTCCTCCGGCGCCGACGTCAACAGCACCCTGAACTACCGCGAAACGCACTCCATGGCTGCTCCGATCGCCCAAGCTGCTTGGACTGGCCAAGTCCCTACCATCCACCTCCTGCTATCCCACGGCGCGTCTCTCCGTCCGAACCACTACGCTAACACCGGTGTCCGAACCCAACATCCCGGCGCCGATGCCCTCCGTGCCGCGACGTGGGGGAATCATTGGCCGGCTGCGCGTGCTCTCCTTGACGCCGGTGTCGCAGAGTTTCTGTCCCAGAGCGACTGGTGCTCCGTGTTCAAGATCGCAGCGCTCCATGCGGACTGTGTGGATGTTGCGGCGAACTTACTAGATAGTGGTGTTGTCCGATTGGCCGGGCTAGCGGATGATGATGTCGGAGCCGAAGATGCGGTGGTGGAGTTGGTTGCGATTGTATGCCAGAGGGGAAATGTGGGTTTCATGGACGCGCTAGTGAGACATGGATTGCCGGTGACGGGGCATGCGATGTATGAGAGGGCGATGTATCCGGTTCCGGTTGTTCAGGCGTTAGCGTGGGAGCAGCAGGGCGTGGTGCGGTTGTTGGAGGACGTGGCAGGACAGAAGGTGGATGACGAGATGAGACGGCTAGCTGATGCGTTTAGGGAGAAGGAAATATCGAGAGGTTGGAGTTGTGTTGCGGCGCCGGGGTGTGGCATGCCGGCGTATACGATTTTGAGATGATGATCTATCATTTCTCCGGAGGACTGGGATTAAATAGTGGATACAACAATTGAATCGCATTGACGCTCATGAATTTAAATCCAACTGAACAAATAAACAACTAGATCCCGAAATCCCAATGACTATCCCAAACCCAAATATGATATCCCACCGCACAAGAACAACACCTCAATCCAATCTCATGTCGCCCAGCAAATCCAAACCGAATTTAACTCCATGAATCGATATTCTTATCACAAATCCTCCCTCTCCTCATCAATCGCTTTCTCCGCCGTACTACTAACATCCAAACCCCCAGGCCACCCATTCAAATCCGAATACGCCTCCGTCGGGGTCGTCCCATGCAACACCTCATAATGTGTCCTTTGACCACACCCTGTCTCCCCATCCTGATCTCCATCGCCATCCTCATTCCTACCACCCTTCCTCCTCTTCTTCCCCACCCCCTTCTCGTTCTTTTCACACTTCTCCCTCCCCAACAACAAATCTGCAACCTCCCTCCCCGCATCCCTCCCTTCAAACCACGCCCCATGCAGAAACCCAAAATACGGCGCACTCGTCGCCTCCCCGGCAAACCACAACCGATCCACATTCGCCCTCAGATTCTGATGCATCTCCAACGTCGTCCCCGCGGGCCAATTCGAATAACTCCCGTACGCCCACGGCTCCGTTGACCATCTCGGATAGGTAAACGCAATCGGCTCGGGGACATCCTTATCGGGGAACATCTCTCTCAGGACAGCCAGGATCTCAGACTTTGTCTGGGCCAGTGGTTGTCGTTCCACGCGGTACGCTTGCTCGTCGACGACGGTGACAAACAAGATATTCGAGTTAGACAGGAAGGTTGGGCCCGTCAGGGATTGGAAAACGGGGTAGTAGCCTCTATTGTGCGGGGACGCGTAGAGGAAGAATTCTGTGTCTTTAGGCCAGAACGTGGAGGGGAATTGCATGAAGATCTTCGTGTAGGTGTTCATGTTGAATTTGTGGATGGAGGTTTGTTTCCAGTCGGGAAGGGCGGGGTGGAATGTCACGGCGGAGTTTTGGAGAACACCCAGCGAGAAGGTGCAGATTGCGTAGGCGGCTGTGTGGCAGGTTTGGTTTGCTGTGTGGATTGTGACGCCTGCGGGGGAGTGCGTGATGTTGGTGATGGGGGTGCTGAGGTGGAGACGGGGGTCTTGGGGGGTGGTGGTGAGGAAGGTGGAGGCTTCGAGGTTGATGAGGCTGTTGTAGCCGCGGGGATCGAGGACGAGGTGGTTGGATGGGCCGAATTGGTTGAAGGTGAGGTTTTCACCGGCGATGCCGAAGACGAAGGAGCTCGTTTCGGGAGAGGAGGCGGCTTCCCAGTCTTGGTTTCTTTCTTTAGCTGGGAAGGAATATGTGAGGGTAGATGGGATGAGGCTATGAAAGACAGAGAATGTAGGGTTAGGGCTACATACCCCAGTTCCACCACTCCACGGCCTGCGCTTTCATATCGTCCTTGCGAGGTCGCCATCCGGCCAGGGCTAGACCGCTGCGCGCAGTTTGGTCTTGCAGGTTCTCTGATAGAATCCGACCGGCTTCTTTGGATGCGATCTCGCTGGCTTGCGTATACTTCGCTAGTATGTCTCGATAGTCAGTGTAGCCGGTTTCGTCGTACGTGCGAATATTGTCGTAGTTTGAATATGTGTTTTTCAGTTTATGGTTTTGGGCCTAACGACCAGGTAAGCCCTTCTACCCTCATGGTGAGCAGATAGATAGATGAACTGACCAGCGTCCAGACGGGATTCTCTGCATAATAGTATTAGCCTTCGCCCTATATAGATTCGGAAGTTCATACCCGTATCATTAGATCCCACACCTTGCAGCTGATTACTGTTAGCCCCTAATCCCACAGGCAGATACGAAGTTGTACCTACCCAGTTCGCTCCAAATTCAACAACATAGGGTTTCCCGTTCTCATCGGCCCCGAAGTCCGTATGCCAGACTCTCCCGCCGAGCGTATCTCGGTATTCGAGGATGACGAAATCGGTGATGGATGCGTTATGTAACGCTTGCTGTATTCAATTTTCAGTTTGGTGCAGAACGTTAACTTTAGACAGGGAGAGAACTTACTGCGGCCGCAACACCCGCCATCCCGCCTCCCCTGTATTAGATGGTTAACTCGCTACGCAGCGTCTCAGAACGTTAGCGAGACTGACAAGATAGCCACAGTTGACTGGGTGCATTTCTCCGTGCCTTGTCTAGGCTGAGAGACGTAGGCACTGGTGAACTGAATAGTGAAAGTGGAAGCTGTTAAAAGCGCGCATATTGAGCGACGGATATGCATATCGGATGAATAGATTTGCTCTACGTGGGGTGACAACGACAGGAAGTAATCATAAATAACCAAGTCTCCACTCAAGCAGGGTCAATATAAGCATAATCCTTAAATCCAAGGCCAAAAATAAAAAATAAAAAAGCTATCTAGCATAAAAACAAAAGTTTTTAAGCCGCCAAACCCCCCCCCTTCCCCCGGGTCAGACGCCGGTAGATAAACAAAGAATGGTACATCCCGTACCAAGATGGATACTCAGTCCTGGGCGAGTAAAGGGAGAAAAGCGAAATCCGCCGACATGCGCAGCCAACAGAAAAACAGGCGAAAGTTCAAACCGATACGATGGCTCGCAGAAGGGGAAAACACCGGATATCCGGTCGAACAGCTCTCCTTCCTATCATCCTTTAGGGATCTGGATCATGCAGGAGGGAGGCGTTCCACCAGACCAAGTGAGGCGGGCTTGTGATCGGTGGGGATCACTTGGCATGCGCGCGACTAATCACCGGATCGGTAGGTCCTGGCGGTCAGTCTGTCAGCAAGGGGCTGATAGTGAAGTCTTCTTGATGGGTATTTAACTGGATTTTATGGAGAGCGCTGCTTTAACAGACTGTGGAGGAGCTGGGGGCACTCACCGGGCGCTTATGGAACACGCATTTTCAGTGTATCTCGTGCCACATTTGCTTGTACTATATAAACCAACATGATTCCATGAAACTTGCTCAAAGGTTTTGGGTCTCTTTCTCGACGCGACAAACGCAGTTCAAGATCTGGTTGAAACCACAGAATAAAAGAACTCAAATGGAAGATCTACCGGTTCTGATCGACTGGATTATTAGATTCTGACTTTGTAACATCTACCCACCAGAGAAAATGATGAAAAAAGGTTTGAATTCCAGAGTCGCTTTCATTTCGATATTCGGTCTCGAGGAGTGAAAATCAAAGTCGGACAAAGGGCAAGCGGCGTCTCCTGCATGAAAACGTGAATTTGTGAAACCAAATCCTATATTATGTGGCTGAATGTCTACTCCTGACTCGCCCACGCACCTAGTTACTCTCTCCACGATCGGGGCATCTGGAACACAGTCATCCCGGAAAAAGCGGCAACCTATGCTTGAAACAATCTAGTGAATTAAGTGTGACTCCAGTATTTGCTGTAGATAAGCTAGCGGAGACTACCGTCGACGATCTCGAGTGAAGAAGATAGGGCTAGTAAGTACTAAGAGTCTAGTAGTCATCCTTCCCCCGCATGGACATTCCGCATGCAACTTGGCGGCTTCGCCTTCTCCGCATCGCCCATCAAGGGATCGTCTTCATATCAACGTATAAGTAATTGTCATTGAATTGCCCGCATACAGTTCCATCCTCTTTCTACTTTGACCGACACTGTACATGAAAACTTCATCCGACATGACCGATCTCGATAAACATCACGATGTCCCCGAGGACGACGCCCAGCTGGCTCGTATGGGCCACAAGGCCGAGCTGCAACGGAACTTTTCCACGCTGTAGGTCGCTTTCATTCCCCTGCGTGCTTGTCGAGGGAGATGAGGGGAAGAATGCTTGGAATGAATGATCAGTGTAGTCTGATGCCATGCGATGCGATGCAGCTCGATGTTGGGCTTGGCTTTTGCCGTGTTGAATGTGAGTGAGATCATCTAGATCGCTACTCTGGGGTCTCGCTCGGCAAGTTCCGTGGCGCCCCGCGGTCTTGGAATCCGACTAATGGGTGGATTTTGTGAAGTCGTGGACTGCCCTTTCGGCGAGTCTTTCGATTAGTTTGACCTCGGGGGGAAGTGCCAGTGTGGTTTGGGGTGAGTTTATTTCCTAATGGTTGGCTGGAGACTTTACTGATGATCTTTCAGGTCTCGTCACGGCCGGAACATGCAATCTGTGCATTGCGGCTTCACTGGCTGAGTTTCTATCGGCTTATCCAACGTGAGTTCGTGTTCTCCTGTGCCGACAAGAAAAAGCAAAAGCGATCTATTCGCGCCATCCGTATCACATCACGATTCACGACTTCTTTTTCTAGACGATGGTTCTGATCTCGCACATTCCATTCCAGGGCGGGTGGCCAGTATCATTGGGTGGCTGGTAAGTTTTCCCCCAGGCCGCGCCCCTTACATGCGGTGTCTCTTGAATGAGCGGAGCGAACTAACTGGATGCCCTGCAGTTGGTATGTGGCATGACGTTCTCGCCTTATTCCATCTCGTCCTATCGAATATGCCAAGACTAAGCGCATAGCAAATAGTATCCTGGCCGCAGTGGGTGCCGATTCTGTCCTGGGTAACGGGTTGGATTAATGTTGCTGGATGGGTATGTGGAACAGACCGGACAGAACCTTCTATGATCCTGGCCAATATACAGGATGACATATAGACAGCGAGAAAACTGACCGACGGGACATGGATGTTTGCAGATTGCCCTGGTGGCCACCAATGCGCTGCTGTCGAGTCAATTGATTGCCGGGATCGTGTCGGCGGTTTATCCGGTGGGTTTGCCGTGTTTACCTGCGACGGAGGGTAGTTGCTGACTTTTCGATTGGATTGAATACCTAGGGCTTCGTGTGGCAGCGCTGGCAGCAGTTTTTGATCTATGTCGGATACACGATCCTTGCGTTTGTGATCAATGCGCTTATGAATTCGGTCTTGCCGGTGATTTATCGCGGGGCTTGTATGTTCTTGTTTTCAAGTGTGAGGCGAGCGACCGATGGCTGATTGATTGATTTAGTTACTTGGTCGATTGGTGGGTTTGTCTTGGTTTCGATCACCGTGTTGGCGTGTGCTTCGCCGGACTATAGTTCTGCTTAGTGAGTTGGTCTCGGAGTGACTGGCTGGAGCTTGGCTGACGGGGTAGCTTTGTGTTTTGTGACTTTGTCAATCAGACGGGATGTGAGTTCTTCTGGCCATGGATTGGGGATATCGCTAATGAGATAGGGCCGGATGGCGTCGCTTGGTTATTGGGGGTAACTATTCTATCCATCGCGTGGAGAATATACTAGACCGAACATGCTGACAACGACAGCTTCTCCAAGGAGGATTAGGAGTGACTGCCTTTGTATGCTCTCATCCCAAGTCCCCTCGGCGATCCCGACTAACAAATCAATACCAGGACGCCGTCGCACACATGATCGAAGGTACTCTATACCTACCCTCCACTTATCAGCCATGCCCGACTAACAATCAAACAGAAGTCCCTCAACCCTCTATTCGAGGCCCCAAGATCATGGTCTCCTGCGTCGGCATCGGCACCTTCACCGGCGCTGTCTTTCTCATCGTACTGCTTTTCGTGGCAGGCGATATTGACGAGGTGATCAATTCCAGCGCCGGCCCGTTACTGCAGATATTCCTGCACGCGACAAAGAATACGGCGGGTGCTATTTGTCTTCTTATGTATGTCCTCCCAGGATGCCTGGATGCCCGAATGGGGATCCGATGGTTTGATTGAGATTCAAGAACGACTTGGCTGATGTAGACGCACGTACAGGCTGCCGCTCGTCTGTCTTGCCTTTGCAACTCTCAGCGTCATGACGACCAGCAGTCGCATGATATTCGCGTTTGCTCGGTGCGTCGGCTCCCCTCCCCAGCGCAGTCATCCATGATAATCTTTACATCTGACTGGGATAACGCTCATGCAAAACCAGTGACGGCGGCCTTCCCGCATCGCGATTCTTCGCGCACGTACATCCTAAACTCGGACTCCCGGTCAACGCGCTCGGATTGACAGCCATCGTGGTTGTGATATTCGGATGTATTTATCTGGGATCGACGAGGTAAGTCGTCCATTCCATTCCTCCCTCTCTCCTTTTCTTCTCGTGCCCATCGGGTATAGACACAATGCTAGCAACAAAGCTAACACGACGAAAACAGCGCTTTCAACGCCATTATCTCCTCATCGGTCGTCGCTCTCGATCTATCCTACGCAATGCCAATCGCTGTGAACTGTCTTCGCGGACGAAACATCCTGCCCGATCGGTACTGGAAGGTGCCAAGTGTGCTGGGATGGGTTATTGATATGGTATTTCCGCATATACGGACACGTGCTCAGGTAGAGAACATAAGCTAACGGAGATGGAATGGCATGGGTAGATTTCATTATCATACATCGCACTAACTACGGTGCTGTTTCTTTTCCCGCCGGGAAGGACCGTTACGGGGAGTAGTATGAGTGAGTGCTACCTTACATTTATTCCGGTCGCGTTTGGCTGCCTTTGCTCTACGCATTAGTGGAAAGGAAGTGGCGAGGAAGAGAGCAAGTGGCTAACAATATAACGGGGATAGATTATTGTATCGTCGCGTTCGCCATCATCGTCACCGTCTCGGTCGTGCAGTGGATTGTTGACGGGCGGAAGAATTTTAAAGGACCGAGGGTAGAGGTTTAATGGAATCCCTTACCTGAGTACCTATTCTGGTTTATTTCTTCTTGGATAGGTATATATCGATTTCGATAGGTGGATATTTTGAATAAATCGGACATAAAAAGCCTTGGGAGTGATGAATGATGTATTAACTACGGCCATACCACCCAAGGGAAGCTCCCCCCTTCTTCACTCTATCCACAATTTAGGTCGAAAAACATTAACCATACCATCATAAAATGATATCACTACTTCGGTCTAACGATATCATTATTCCATATCCATGTCCAGGACAGTCAGGGAACTCGGGAACCAAAAACCGGTCCAACAACCGACCCACCAAATCTCATGATTGCAACAGGACTCCGCATAAAACAAAGCCAAGACACCAATCTGAAGGAAATACGGAGTCGGGAAGGAGGCAGTGCAGTGGTCTGTGGGGTGATCGGTGCGATCGGCGCCTAGTGATCATGTTATCAATTCACCCCTAACGAGTGGGCGGTTACTTTGAGGGTGAGTGGGGACTTGGTGTGGTGAAGTTGGCGATGCCGATGTGCTACCCGACCGAGGATGTTAGCTGTGGTCATGTTGGAATATGATCTGGCTATTGGGGAATAATTTATGCGAGACACGATGATAATTTCAGGATGTTTTGTTAAATTTAGATAAATATTCATTCGCTGAACATGAGTATGTACCCAAAAACCAACCCCATTCATTCATTCGCATTCCCGAACTCCGTAGCCGAAATCAATCACGATCAAAATGCGGATCCGGCCCTGCAAGTCGAATCGAATCATCGCCCAAGAATATATGTGCAAGTAAAAATCCAGTCGTAAATGTTAATGATCCCATCGACCATAACAACGATGAAAAAAGATGGTTGATCATAACCCCGTAAGCAGCACCATCCTATCGCACCCAAGAACGCCGCCAGTTAAACTCCGTTGCAAAATTTGTTCACAAAAGAAAGACATCCACCCAGCCGACAGGGACAATCCGTCACAGTCACCGGAGGACCGACGGACAGGCTGACTCACTGGATCTCGTAGACGGCCAGCGCCCGCTCGATATCATGCAGGTTGTCCTTGTCGCCGTAGGCGTCCATCAGTTGGCGGTTGCGTTGGAGGCGCTCGAATTCCTCTTGGGCTTGTTCGTGGCGCTGCTGTTGGTTTGTGTACAGGTTTGCGGCGCCGAAGCCTACAGGTTTTATGGTTAGTTAATTGTGGTTGTTTGATGGGGGATTGGTGGTGGTGTTGGGTCGGACAAAATGATGACATCATCAGGTTGGGGAAGGAGATCCGGGGAAAAGGAGATGGAAGGGAGGATTTACCGAGTGCGATCACGGCCATGGCAGGGAGGTACCTGGTTCACAGTTAGTATCATTGGATTTCTCCAGGAATTTCTCCGATTGAGGAAGGAACAGAAGAAGGAAAGAAAAGACGTACCATTTGGATGGCTTCGCAGGGATGAAGAAAGGACGTTTGTTGAAGGCAGCCGGGCGCGAAGATGGCGGAGTTGCGGACAGTTGCATTTTTCGTTACAAGGGATAATTGTGGTGGTATGATTTGCAGAGTAGTGTACTGTAGTACAGTGTGAATAATTGTAGTTAGACGATGAAAAAGTCGCTCCCGTCCAGATTGAATGGGGTGGGTATTTATAATTGTGGACAGGGGAGAGGAAGGAAAGAGGAGAAGACAACGTGATGAGGTCAAGGCTGGCGTGGCGTGGTCCATCGTATGATGATCGTCTCCCCCGCCGTAGTCTGCAATCATCAGCCAACCCTGCGCCGGTTCCTGCCCTAACTCCCCTTAACCCTTAACCTTCGTCAGGCGTTCTCCACAGCGAATTCCACTTCCATTTTTCCGGGGTTATTCACGGCTACGAGGAGTGACTGCGACGTTGCACTCTTGGGGTGAATCATGAAGATAGAGCAGTGAACGAATGGAGATTCCCTTGGATTCCATCATCATCCTGGTGATAACAACGTGTCTTTAATAGGCTTCAGCTGAGGATTCTCTCCTGTATTCTCCCACAGATCTGATCTGGTCGATCCGACCGGCCTTTATATATTGATTCTCCTTCATGACTTCGTGTATCTCTGTATATCCCTGCATAGCCCTCGACGAGAAGAGAATAGCTGGCTGCCACGCTCTGCGTCCGTACTTCTCAAGGAACTTATAGATATGCGTCGACTTATCCTCCTTGGTTCACATACAAGCACAGCTTGAACAATACATTTTGCCCATACCAAAACCGCCTCAATCGTCTCACCCGGGTTCATCCCTGTGTTGTATATATTTCCTTGGCTCAATCTGCTCCGCACTGTTTTGCATCTGCTCATTATGTTTCTCAGGCATCGGATGTTCGAGTTGTTGGGCAACCTAAGTGCACAAACTCCCACTCATCAATGATCGACTTTTCGCGCTCCTGTGCATGCAGGGTTGGGATAAAAACAATCTCAATGCTTCAACACCGACCTATGTGTGTTTTGGGACCGAGAACGGATTCCAAAAAATCGGAAATATGCCTGTGTCTGGAACGGAAACCGAGTGGGATGCAACCACATGGTCTCGCTTGACAGCGAAAAGAGCGATCTAGCCAGTACAGCCCTCCTTGCAGACTCATCAGAAAATCGATGATATTATCGACTGAAGTATACACCAGGAGCTAGATAACAGCTCTTTCGACCGTCTGGTGTGAGTGGATGCATTGACCGCACACAGAAAACATTCCTTCTGTTTCTCTACGAACTCATACCTAGCTTGACAATCCTCGTTATCCTCGAAACAACTTTGCCAGGATATGCGACAGGCATCTTGCCGATGAGGCGGGCGCTGCGTGTGCAGCAAACCAGAACCTTTTCGGACATGTATTCGGCGAAAGAAGCATCAGGAAATAGCTGAAGATCAGAACCCTTGCGTACCCGGGCTCGAGGGCGCCTAAGTCAATTGCCCCAATACAAGAAAGCTTCTAAATGCTTCTACCAACCAAGGAAGGTTGTGAGTCCCTGCTTCGGATAATATCGTTGAGTTGTGGCTAACTTGCATCAGGTATGCGGTTTATGGCATTCTGTCAGACAGCGATACCCCCTTGTATTTGGTGGCTTATCGGCCAAATGATCCAAAAATGCCGGAATAATACCGAATTGGACGTGTCTGCCTGAAACGTCTAGATGCTGGAACAATGTACAGCTGCTGAAAGACCTCGCGGCGCGCTCATGCATGAAATACTCGCGGCTACGGTTGCTTCAAATTCAGCCATTCCATTGGTTTTAGAAAAGGATGTCGCCAATCACCGCATCACAATCGAATGGGAAGACAATCTTAGGGATCAACTATACCCCTACATCGCACATTCAGAAAGGCCACCACCGTTGATGCTGGACAGGCTCCGTTATATAATCGAAGGCAACAACAGAAAGCCTTTACGGCAGCGAGCACAAAGAAGAAACGATGATAGTTGATCAAGGGTTTGTCTGGATACATCTCGCCTTTCTCTGCTCGATCATGCAGAAAATGCTGTTTCCCATCTTTTGCATCTTCGGCGAAGGCATTTATACACGGAAGAGAGAACAGTTCCTCGAATACCTTGTTCTTGAGGTACTCATTTTCGCGGATGTCCTGCTCCTGAGCGAATTCCACGCAAAGCTTGTGATCAAATACGATCAAGCGGTATGGCAATAGAATTTCGATCTGAAAACTATCCTCCTTGGAGTACCCTAAGACGGCGGATGTCGAAATAGCCAATACTCCAGAGCCTTATGATGTGCTGGGTTGATCCTGAAAGTGCCGTCAGGCCGAGCAAAATCGCATTTCGGTATGAGATCGTTCTCCGACAGCCGCCCTGAATTTACTTACTGGGATGCCGAAGTGTGCTTTCCCAGGACAGCTATTCTGTCCCCTATGCTATTTGCACAACGCTCCCATGCGGCATATCTTAATTCATCTGACGCACTTGATCTGTTCTTCGATATTTATGGAGACCAAGAGAGTCAAGACAACAGTCAACACTGTTCTCAATGTTCCCAAGATAAACTAAACAACTTGTGACCGAAAGAGTATCGAGTCCTTCCATCACTTCTCAGAACTCCAGGTGATAATCAGTACATAGCGCTGGTTGTCGGGGTTTGACTACTTTACATAATTTTGCTAAAGATTTGACAAAATGGGTGGACACAAACGAGCCAAGCCTGGAGCGACGATTCTGGACCGCCACCGTTCACCCTTTTGAGGTTACTCACTTGCAGCTACGAAGACAGAGAAACCAGGAAAGATGAATTTAATACCAATAAGGACATACATTGGGGTAGATTCCCACATGAAAAACCAGTTTTGTCGGACCGCCAACAAAAAGGTTATGTATTGGGCCGGGGATGTACCATCCACGTCCGGCTTTGCGGCAGAAGGTGGGATTACAGGTCCCTTGCAACCTTCTCTATTACGATCCTGGTCTTTGGAAAACGAGACTCTGACCATTCGCGTTGATTTATCAACATCTCGAGAAAACTTCGCGAACAGCTGTCACAAAAGGGGTTTACTAAGGTTAAACTCGAGATACTTAATCCCCGATACAACTAGAGCTTAAGGCACTTTCCATGCCTACCAAGTGATGCGATCTACCATACATGAACGCAACTGGTAACAAGAATCTTCAACAGCCTTGATATCTCGGAATGGTTGCTATCGAATAGGGACAGAAGGTCTTTGCAAACCCGGAACAAGTATGCCGTCGCTATCACGGTCGACGAATCATACAGAACGCTAGAGTCTACCATACAACAGACTCAATTTGCGCAATCAACTTAAAGAGACAATTTCATCGGAGACGTAAGACGTCACTGCGCCCCCCGTAGTCTCCGTGATCGTTCCCCGGACTTCCCATGCGCTCCTTCGGGAGTACGCTGGCACTGTGGCTACTCTTGACTGCGGAGGTCCCTTCGATCCTACCGCGCAGGATGAGGGGTCTCCTTTATCGGTCATCCCGGCTCAGGCGGGAAATGCTTCTGGTGTAGGCAGGGTACACCGCGTAGATAGCACGTGATGCCACCAGTGCCTCCAGCTTTTAGGCGATGAGGGTTGCTCGCTGCTGTTTTCCGGCTGCCAATTCTCTACTACGGAGATGTATTTTGCCGCGTTCCTGATTCTTCGAAGGCTGGCGCTGCGTCCGATATTAGCAGCTGTGCCATGCGTACGAACCCGTGAGTAAACGTGTGGATCCTGATTTAGATCGAATTACATTAATTCCCTGTTATAGACACTCTTGAGGACCATAGGTGCTCGCCTGGCTGATAGCGCGCCCTGGTGACCGGCTGCGCAAAGTCATTACGACCCTGCGTCTTTTATAGACGTTCAGCTATGACTCTTCTCCTAAGTGTCTGTTTCTATACCGAACGCTCCCAACTTGAATTCTGGATATATGGGCTTCTGTTGCTGCCCTTGTAATTTGGCCTTTCGACAACACTCCGTGATAGTCTCTTAGTGGGCAGACGAAAAAGACTTGATCCGAAACAGAGCGAGGAGATCGATCTCATGTGGAGCGTAATCTTACCAGCGATTCGGCGTCCACAACAAACTGTCACCAAAGAGAACTTGAGTGCGCTGGCGGCAAATATGAGTCAAAGAGGGTTCAATAATAGACGACTAGGCTTATGGCGATTCCAATGCCATCACATTCAGACACATTGATTCGGCTCGGTTCATTAAACCTGAGATTCAAACGTCCATGAACCTGGGACAGCTCCGATAGATTCCGTCTTCGAACCATTAAGACCTGAATCTGAAAACTGATCTACGAAGCGACATAATCTTCTCTGCCGTCTCATTTTCTGCTCAAAAAAGTCCAGACTTTTACCCTGATAGCTGACTGAAGAAACATTGCATACTACGTATGAAAAAACATGGATTCTGTTGCATGATTATTTACGGCAATCGAGACTCCGGCTTCCAATAATTCCAATGAGATCTTGCTGTGTTCACATTCCCCTAGAGTTGCCACAGCAGGCTCAATGCAAGGAAAGGAAGCGAGGGTCATCATATACGATTGAGCTGTCACGTCACCTAACAGCACTGGCAATATGGGGTTTACCACTGACGACCACGTACCATCGCGGTAACGCCAGAAGAACCGCATATCGACTTGGCTTTTCCTTCGTGGCATTAAAGTGGTATCCCTGTCCCAATCATGATGTAACACATACCGGACATGTTAATCTCGCATCGCTCGGGCTACACGTGGAGCAAATATCAGAAGACACCCATCATCCATATCAAAATCAGCGCACTCAAGCACTCAGATATATTGACCGCTTTGTAGGGAAGATATATTGACCAGATTAATCCCACAGGAAGATCACTTGAGGAGGAAAAAAGAAGAGTCTTCGAGATGAGCGGCACAGCATTCGAGGTGCAGTTCCCGTTGTTCAATCTCGCTTTTGAGGCTAAGCAAACACCACCACACCTGTTCACCTCATCTGTCCATTTCACTGCTTCAACTCAAATATTCCGAATTAACAAGTGTCTCTTCAGACAAAATATCCGAACAGACTCACAGGTTCAACTATCGAGGTGGCAATTCCTCTTCACCTAACCTTTTTTCTCCGGTATTCCAGAGCGCCGTTTTGCGCAACGCGTCAAAGGGATTTTGACAAGACTATGGATCCGGGGTTCGCTTTATAGCTGGAAGACTTAGAGCTTCCTATCAATATCACCTACAAACTAGGGTATTCACAGAGAAAGACGGCCAAAATTAGTTTTCTACTCCCTAGGTAGCAAGATGGCTACCTGTGCTCTGTAACAGAGAACAGAAGGAGAAACACTCGGATCATGAATATCCATGATTCCAGCGAGGCAATATCTCGCACGCTCATCGATATAACGATGTTCGACTTCCTGAACCAACACCTCAACGAGGTTATGCGCCGAAACATTGCAGTTCGCGGTGAGGTCCCAATTGTCACAGGTATCCAATAAGCAGCAACGTATCTCCGGAGTCGCGGATTAGGTATGTAATCGGGTATACGTCGAAGTCCGAGGAGAGATGGCATCTGGTGGGGCTCTCGCAGTTCGCTCATCTCGCCCACGTCAAAGGTGATACCACGACGGATCCCTCGGGATCCATGTATCACCCGCGAGAAGCCAATCTTGGGGTGGCCCTGGCCAAGGCGCTGGTGGACAATGGGGCTAAGGAGATATTGACCCTATCCCCCGTCCGCCCGAGGGTCCAAACCGTGGATGGCTCGCAGGGCTCGGAAGCGGAATTCGTCATCGTTCTGTCACAAAGATATCTCTACGCAAGTTCCGGGCCCCAAATCTCTTGGAATAGGAATGGATTCGGAAGAAATCCAAACCTTTCTCTCTGGTTCTCGTATCTATTCTTTCTTAATATGTGAGATATAGAAAATGACCAGGGTCTACGATTGTGACCTTCCTACCTTTGTCGCGTACCATAGCCGTCGCTCGGCCGCCATGCGGCGGCACTTTCGTGCCATTCCGGCCCAACTCGCCGTCGCCAAACAGAAGGATAAGAAAAAGAGATATCTTTTAATAGCGAAGGGAGATTCGTCAAAATCAGTTGAAGAAAATACCACTGCATGCGGAAAAGCGAAACCATTCATTGATCATTTATTTCAGATATCGAGAGGAAAACTGTCAGGAAAACATGTGGCCCCCTTGCTGCTGTCACCACTGCAGCCATGTGGCGAAATTCAAGATCGTTGAAGCTCTTGCTAATCACATAAAGCGCAGAGACAAGCACACAAAGAGGAGGATTTTAATTTTATCTTTGAACCTAATCTATAGGCACATTAGGGCGTATAACCGGTTTTCCTACGAGTAGGGGCAAGCTTTGATCGAGAGTACTAGTCTCAGGGAACAAAAATAATCGCCGTTCAGTTCACGCTTCTCTGCGCGTCTCGTGCCTCGGAATCCTGTGTCTATTTGGATGGCCGCTAGATGGTGGAAGCGCTTTACAGAGCTGTCTCAATTAAAGCGAACAAGGCTTTCTGGTGTCGACACGCACGTGGATTCCAACATTCTCTGGATTTTCTGAAGCTGCTGTCGAAAATTTTATTGGCTTCGCTCCCCCAGGTATGGGTTGCACCGTTGTAAGAGAAACACTTGTGCCGTCACCCGCATCTATACGAATTGTCCTATGCGCAGTACTGGCAATGCATCTCATCGACTGTCCATGATGGAGCGGGAACACAGTGTTTATCATTGGATGATTTTTCCTTTCGACCCAGCTCCATACTGCTCTCATATCCAGGACCCAATCCCCCCGATGCATATTAGGACCATTGATCTGGTGTATCCGAGGAGGGTGATGGAACTGCACCGTCGCCGGTTTCCTTATCACCCTCCTCGCATTTTCGCCAAAGTTCAAGCATTATGTGACCAGCGTGGTCGACGGCAGGCGAAGGGCATGAACCTTCCCGAGGCTGCGGCCAGGTCTGATATCGGTCTCGGGATGTTCCGCCGTAGGTGGGTAGCTAGGTAGTTTAGACCTTCGAGTGGACGGACTGGGAATTCAATTTTCTCATGACCAACTACCTTGCCAGTTAGTTGTAGACTACCATTTACGGTGGTCCCAACGAGGGCCTATTTGACCGACCACCAAATTGCACGAATTTACTCCGACAAGGAGATCATGTCAAACATAATCAAATCGGAATATACTCTCGATTTCGATCAAAATTGTGTGCCCAAACGTGGGCGGATGCCTAGCGGCGACCCTGTACCCATACGACCGGAGAGCGAGCGGCCACAGGCCCCTTAAGTCGTTTCGCCGCGGCAAAGTATCCCATGACGGACTGCCCTAAGGAGCAATACTTGTTGTACATGTTCAGAAACAAAGGTGTGTTTGACTGTCTAAGCAGCGGGCAAACGGCACTGCGCTTTCTCATCTTCTGCGAGCACTCCCTGATCCTTGGGTTTCTGGAGATGTTGATGGACTCGTGGTCCGTCTCAATTCTCACCATCAAGTCGACCGCTAACGACACGCAACGGGAGGCAGCTGCTCGGGCATTCGTGGTGGAGGATTCGGGCGTTGTGGTGATGCTTACCAAGTTCCAAGTGTGTGTCTACCGGCTCAATCTTGACTACCAGTGCTCGAGGGTGATCATAGCGAAAATACCACGAAACCTCAGTACATTCTTCTAAACCACTGAGCGTGTACATCGGGGTTCGCAACAGCAGAAACAGCAGGTCTGGGTCCCCAGCAAGAAAATGTCCATTGAGAGGTCCCTGGAGTGGAAAATGGCCTTTTAAGGAGATCTCACAGGTGACGCAGATACCTTCTTTGAACCGACACTTATCCTATGCCCCACTACCCTTCTACTCAGCTGGCTGGATGAACTGCGTAAGCATTTCGGCGACCAGCTGACCGTTATTCTGTTTCACGGCAATGCCCGCCATTACGGCCAACAACCTTAGCGAACTGCAGTCCAAGTTGGCGGACCTTCCGCACAATGAGCGTTCAACAGAACGCACCATTGTGCTCAGCACCTACAGAACCTGGTCGAAGCGAAGTTGTGGAAGAGACGCCGACCGTGGTAGTTAATCCGGAACTTGAGCAGCTCGGGGAGTGCCGAGACCAGAAAAGCGCCATCGAGGCTACCCATATTCTACAAGCAATATGAGCGCGAATGTCCTTCGCAATCAAAATACACAGGCTCAGGCAAAAACTGATCAAATATCTCCAATGACCGTCATTCAGGCCAAACTTGATGAAATTTTGGAAAGAATATTAGCTTTGCCAAGCATCATAACAACGACTGCATTACTATTACTTTCTCAGCAGCCAGAAAGGACCAGAATTTTTACTCGGCCACCTTGATAATATCATTCTCAGTCTCGACATCGAGACATTTGACACATATGTCATCGCATTAGGTCGCGTCATTACTATCGTTCCTCTCATCGCTACCGTTGTTACCCTTCCCAGCATCGCGGTAACTATCCCTAATCATAGCGCCACGAGAACAAAGATCCCATCAGTAAGAAACACGAACGGAAATCCAACTGCAAAGACGAATAATCTACATCCTCGCGCGGCTGTGGTCGTAACAGACATTCCTCGCCCCCACAACAGAAGAACTCCTCGCATGACCGTAAACATCACACGAACCTAATGACCAAGGCTCTAATCCTTGTCTCATACTAGACGACACCGCGGAGCTGCAGCCCGGCGGCACAGGATGGCAGGACGGTAAACCCGTTACCAGCAACATTCACACCGGAATCTGACTGCAGCAATCTCAGTCCTGGCTAACAGCCTTGGCTGCGGAATCAAGGTCGATGAGTCGCAAATATGCGACCGAGATAGCTATAGAGATCAATTACTATTTGTATTATTGCTTTAGATCTTACTCATAATCGTATTCAGAGGCATCATTCCAAGGAACGATGGTCACATTCTAGCTCAAGCAATTACCAGTGCCGCAAACTTCATTCCTACAACGAATAACAGTGGTAGTTAGAGATCAGTACGGAGAGAAGTGAGGGGCTAGGTGAGGGAAATAGGGATGTAGAATAACGGTATAGGAATACTAGAGAATGCAAGAGTTTGAGTATATATATTGGGACTTCTACCTAAGTTGCAAAGAAGATGTTTGTTATGTGAGCTAGGGCAGTGTGGTGTTTTGACTTAATCTTTTGGGTCAAGATATTCGATATCATCCTACAACTATCTTGGGTGCGGTGGCTCAATATTGGTTAGGCTGAACTTGGGTATGGGCGTATGAGTAGAAATTCTTGGTACTGATTGTTGCTGGTTAGACGTACATTGTCGCCGAAACTCCCAACAAAACGACCTCTTGCCTAGGTTTTCCAGATTTTCCGAACAGCAGGTGTTGATTAGCCATTTCCAATATAATTTGAACTTGACTGTAGTTTTCTATTCAATTGATACCAAATATCACTTTTCTAGGATCTATAGGGTGTGGTAATTTGGCAGAGCGGCATTTCTGCCCTCTGCACCAGACGGAGCTTACCTAGGAGCACGTATGGATATGCTGTGACGTTGCATTATTAATTCAGGAGACGGCAGTTGCTATATAGAGTAAGTTAGATATCTGTAGGATTATAAGGTTTCCCAAGGTCTATCAATAAACTTATAGCGCGAACAAAAGTAGTAGTAGTAGTAGTAGTAGTAGTAGTATTAGCATTCACACCCTTTCAGTGTACCTAGCTACGACCGCTATACTGGGGATGACCGGCCCAGAGCCGGCCATCACATCTACCTAACCTAGTCCTATATACACCAAAATTCTAACAAGCGAGACCCTTAAAGAGCAAATAGGTGCCCCCAGAGAGCCCTAAACAACCCTAGAACACTCAAAAGATGAAGGCTCAAGCGCAGAGGTAACTGGAAAAGTAAGATAAACCGTGGACGACAGCTTCTAGCGTCTAGGAAGGACCTACAAGAGGTATATAGGGTGCTGCGCCGGCTATGCATACTATATACTAAACAGTCTTCTATCTCAATACTCATTTTCCATATCAGAAGCTTTATTATCTAACAGTAGGCGTATTTGCTTACCCTAAACTGCTCTGTATTTCCCCAGCAGCCCTGTGTTGACATATAGCGGTGCAGGGGCTGACCTTTCCTAAGCTGTGGCTTTTGGTTTAGTTAGCAGAAATCCGAACGCCAACATAATATTCTTATACCCCTATTCTATAATAATGTATCCCCTACTTAGCCCCTTCCATCTCTCTGTATTTTCTCTTTTTGGCCAGAAGATCTAGATTTCTTCATCCGATTCGAGCTGCGCGATAGGGCACGCAGAAGACACCTACCACAATTCCCCCACAACGAGGAGAACAAACTCAGAGTACCTACGGCGAGCAAGTACAAGGTGTTTATGCATCAGAAGAAAAACACCGAGCAAGAGGGAGAAGGCTGGGGCACGTACTATCGTGTCCATCTAGTGGACAGCTGCGCACAGCGTGTCACCAAAGAATCACCGATCAAGGAATGGGGCGGAGCTCCGTTCGCGGCCCTTAAGAGGGCAATTAGGATAATTGGATGCCCGAGAAGCGGGAGGATTCCGAAGGACATGCTTGAAAAATTACAGATCTTACGGGATGCGTATTATGGCGAGGAAGATAGGGAGGCGCAGGTTGCGGTGGAGAAGGAATATGGGCTCGATCCATTTGCCGAGCCGGATGATGATATGGATAACTTAGATGATTGTGGTGACGACGAAGGCGACAACAGTGATGAGGAGGAGAATGAGGAAGATATTGAGGAAGAGTCGGCTCCGCGAAGGAAGAAAAGAAAGAGAGCGCATTTATGGAAGCGGGGAGAGACGCCCGACCAAGCTAGCTTCGATTACACCAATTAGTCCTGAGTATACGGTCCCAAATCCTCGTCTGAGGACAACAGAAAGATATATTTAGAGTCACCTTTCACACTTGGCCTGGCGTAAATGTGCTACGGACAAGTATTTTGCTTTTTATTTCTTTCGACGTTTGGTGCGCTTAGAATTAGCTACATATCCTTATAGAAGAGCCAATGATGATCACAGCACGGGGTTTCCAATCCGCGATTGAGACCACGCTGAGTTATGAGCCCAATCTTTAACCCGTTTTCAACTCCAAGTAACCATGCCCATCGCTATGACTCCGTATCTCCCGACTTTATACCAGTCTAATTGAGAGCTGTGCTGGCCGCTATTGCAGCTACTGTTTTGAGTACATAATGCTGATTAAACTGCCACGGACACTCATCACAAAGCGATACGTCATGTAGTAGAAAACGCCATTAGATACGGCGACACCATGAAGACCAATAAAAAAGCGCCCGTGAGACCCCAATCAGTGCTAGTTGGTTTGTATCATTTGCGAAACGATAGTCCGATCGAGCAAAAAAGGCTTAGCAGGCCTACTTACACATGCACGCATATTCTGGGCATAAAAGTGTATACTTCGAAAAGAGAGGTAGAATATAAGTAAAAAGACAGTAGGAACTGATAGAAAGCAACAGTAGAGTAAAAAAAAAAAACAAAACAAAACGTAGGGTTAGATGGCAGAATATCTGAGGGTAGTAGGATAAAAAGAGCTCATAAGAAGTCAGAAAGTGAACAGCTTTTACTACAAAATGTTGAATATATCCAGTACTACAAGGACTGAACCATCAGTCAGCTGGCTTTTTGGTCTAGTTAGAAGTCCGAACGATAATCAACATCATACTCATATCAATACCTAGATTCTCTACACAAAAGTTATGGTGTATAGATAATGAATCAATTCATTACTCCATAATCGAAGCCCAAACAAAATAAATACATGCCATAAGAAACCCATGTTCATCTTCATATCCATATTCATAAACCATCCCTTTCAAAAATATGTCAAGTAATAAGGTTAAGGTATATTATCAACACTCGTCCATTCACAATAGTCTCTCAACGTGAGAGCAATTTTACAACTTCGAAGCCTGCCCCGCGGTCGAAATCTCATTATACAGCAAACTGGTCAAGAAATCGGCATACTCCTCGCCCGTGACCTGGCCGGCAAAGTACCGCCCGGCGAGCTGGAACTTGTTGCCCTTGGGTCCCTTGTTGGCCAGCTCGTCGACCTGCTCCTTCAGCAGGCGCAGGGCGTAGGCCTTGTCGACTTTCTTGCCGTCGTTGGTCGAGATGCCGTGGTGAGTCCATTGCCAGAGTTGAGAGCGAGAGACTTCTGCGGTGGCGGCGTCCTCCTGTTTATTTGTTAGTATTGGCTCTTTTCCTTTTTTTTTTTTTCCCTTGGGTGGAGAAGTGGTGATGAGGAATGAGGAAAGGGCAAGCAAACATACCATGAGGAAGTTAATCGGGATACAGCCGACTCCACGCAGCCAGCCCTCCATGTATGACAGACCGATGTTCAGATTCTTCCGGATGCCGTCCTCAGTGATCTTACCGGGGACGTTCGTGTTCAGGAGATCGTTAGCGGTGATGTGGACGTCCTCGCGGCGTCGGAACAGCTGGTTGGGAGTAGGCATGTGCTGGTTGAACACGTCGGACGCGATGGCTGCCAGAGCCGGGTGTGCCACCCAGGTGCCGTCGTGGCCAGCCCGCACCTCGCGCAGCTTGTCAGCGCGCACGCTCTCCATGGCCTTGTCGTTGGCGGCCTGGTCGGTCTTGATGGGGATTTGAGCGGCCATACCACCCTGTTTGTTTCAGTTAGCGTCTGGTCCGGGCATAGGGAAAGAGGGAAAGGGAGGGGACATACCATGGCATGAACGCCTCTCCGATGGCACGTCTTGATCAATAGCTTGACATAGGCATCCATGAACGGCACCGTCATAGTAACGTCCGAGCGATCGGGTAGGACAAAGTTGGGGTGCTTTCGGAACTTCTTGATAAACGAGAAGATGTAATCCCACCGACCACAGTTCAACCCGGAGCTGTGATCCCGCAACTCGTAGATGATCTCGTCCATCTCAAACGCCGCCGTAATAGTCTCGATCAAAACGGTACCACGGATAGTGCCGCGTGGAATTCCAATGTAGTCCTGGGAGAGGTTGAAGACGTCGTTCCACAGGCGCGCCTCCAGATGCGACTCCATCTTGGGCAGGTAGAAGTAAGGCCCAAACCCGCGGGCCACCAGCTCCTTGGCGTTGTGGAAGAAGTAGAGACCGAAGTCAAACAGGCCGCCGGAGATAGGCTCGCCGTCAACGGTGAAGTGCTTCTCGTCGAGGTGCCAGCCTCGAGCGCGTGCAATCAGCGTCGGCAGCACCCGGTCCGTTCGCAGCTTGTACTCCTTGCCGCCCTGCTTGAAGTCGACTTGTCGTCGGATGGCGTCGTACAGGTTCACCTGACCACCGATCATGTTCTCCCAGGTCGGGGCACTCGAATCTATGCGGGGTTAGTTCGACTTTTTTTTAAGGCCATTACTTGGTGACGGTCAACGTACCCTCAAAGTCAGCCATGTAGGTCCACACGTCCGAGTTCAACGCGTTCACCACCATCTTCCGATCCGTGGGACCAGTGATCTCGACACGTCGGTCTACCAGACCCGGGGCCGGGGGCGCACCCTTCCAGGCATCGTTCTCGCGGATGTGCTTCGTCTCGGGCAGGAAGTCGAGCAGGTTGCCCTTGTCGATCTCGGCTTGACGGTCAATGCGGCGCTGCAGGAGGGCTTTCCGGGTGGGGTTGAAGGTGCGGTGCAGGATAGCCAGGAAGGCCGAGGCCTCCTTGGTCAGGATCTTGCGGGCCTCGTTGGGGATGGCACCGAGGATGGCGACATCCTTGAGCTGAGCGTCGATTTGGCTCATGGTGGGAGGATGTTCTTATCTTATCGTTATCTTATCCTGGAGGTTATCGGGAGTATAGGATAGTGTAGTACTAGTTCGATTGATGTAGGGGAGGTTGAGGCAAAACCACAACAAGGTCAGAGAGTGAAATGAGGAGGAAGAAGGAAAAGAAGAAGGTATCAACCAGTATTGCAAGCCCTCGGCAGTAGATATAAGTAGGTTTGGGAGCAACGACGAATACGTCAGAAGGAGGGCGACAACCGCGGCCCATGGGAACTTTGTTCCCTCCCGATAGGCGGTATTCAATTTACCGTGTATCATTACCAGCTGGGCAGCATTCGGCAGCCTCGGGCCAATCACACCCCCCAATTGGACTACGATCCCGGCGTGGAGGAACGGAACTTGCCTCATTGGGAGCACCCGTGACTTTGCCGCGGGAAACCCGTACGCAAGACGGTAAGATTACCCTATCGGCCGATTACTCGACCGGAATGACTGCAGGAATGCTCCCTTCCTCCGGCATGCGGCGCCCACCGAGTGATTGATAAGAGTGACTATACGGAATCGAGTAACAGGAATGTACAGAATGAAGAGGGGCATCTATCTCTATGTGCTTAACTGCTCATGTCCCGCACCCGGTGAACATCTCTGATCTCCCGCAGTCAACCGAGGACACGCCAGCCCCAGAGTCCCGGACTGACCCAAAGCTCCCCACACCCGAGAGCTGCTCGCATTGCCGCGGTTCGACGTCATGCATGCCTCAGGTGTCGTCTGCGGCGTCGCGGGCAATGAGTATATCCTGCTCTATCTGCACTTGCCAGCACCCTCCATTCTATCTGCAACCGGTGTAAGGATGAGTACCGGATATACAAACAGCCCGTCCCTCCTGTCTGGCACGGATGTCTCCTCACCCAACAATGACGAACAACCACCAAACATGTGAAAGCCTCAGGCTCGCATGTGATCAACTCTTACCCGCTGCTCGGGAGGCAACGGAGGCGTCGTGCAGCGACATCCCCGGTCGGTCCTCGTCCTCCAAGTCTCTGCGCATGTGGCTTCCGGTTCTAGACCGTTTCGATGTACCGTCTCACCTCCCTGTAGATCATTTGTCAGTCATCGGCCAAATCTCTTCTCTCTCCCGCATTATACAGCCCCATATACATACCAATCGGTAACCGCTTCCTCCCACAGTCGCACCTCATGCTCGCGAGTGCCCCCGAAATGATCCACGAACGCATCGCCAAACACCTCCCGGGCGACGCTGTCCGGGCGCATAAAGGCCGTCGTGGCGTCTCGCAGTGACTTGGCCAACCGCACCCCCTGATCGCTGGCTCCTCCCATGTCCTCGCCCTTTGACAGTGGGGCCACCGGGATTGGCAGCTTCTTTTCCACTCCGCGCCACCCCAACGCGACGACAGCCGCCAGAACGAAGTGCGGGTTAGCATCCGCGCCCGGCACACGCACCTCCAGTCGCGTAGCTTTCGGACTAGCGGTCGGGGGCGCAATCAGGCGGACAGAGGCAGCGCGGTGCTCCAGGCCCCAGGAAACGGTCACCGGAGCCCAAAAGTTCTCGACCAGACGTTTGTAGGAGTTGATCGTGGGCGCGAACAGCGGCATAATATCCGGCAACCCCGTCAGCACGCCCGCCAAAAAGTAGCGACCAAGATCAGACAGATGCGCGATGTCGGGATACGGAGGCGAGGGATCGGGGGTGTCGCGGAGGAACGCGTTCTTCCCGTCGCTGCCCACTAAGGAAATGTGCATATGTCCACTATTCCCGGGCAGACCCTCGCGCGGCTTCGCCATGAAGGACGGTGTAATTCCATGCTTCGTACCGATGGATTTGACGACGAACCTAGGTAGCGGGCGGTCAGTATATCTCCGGGCGCATCCAGACCTCTCCCCGCAAACCTACTTGAAGAGTCCCGCTTTATCGGCCATCTCCTTGGCTTCCCCGAATTGTAGTGCCTGTCCCCTCGTCAGCGCGGTCCTCCCCATCTCCCGTATAATCACCCACAGCTTCGAACACCCCCGGTCCACTCTCCGTGTGCCATCCCTCGATCTCGCAATTGAACTGCTCGCAGGCATCATACACTCCATAGTAGTAATCTTGGTTATGAATCGGTCGCGTCAAACTGTATGCGAACATCCCCTCGGTCAGGGACGGTAACGACTCGACGGGGTTGTTTTTCAGGAAGGTCGCGGTGGACGACGCATTTCGCTCGGGGGTCGCGTGTTCTCCGGGAACGCGGAACTGGTAGAACTCGTATTCGGCTGATCCGTCAGGATTAAAACACGCGATAAAAGGGGGTCTAGGGAAAGCGAAGGGCACTCACCTCCAGCCATCGCACGGTAACCCGCCTTCTCCGCCTTGCCGAGCGCCGTCTTCAACAGACCCCGCGGACACGCGCACACCGGTTCCTTAGTGTCCGGATCGTGAAAGCTGACGAGGAAGAAAGGCACGTTGTTCTCCCAGGGGATGCGGCGGAAACTGCTGAGGTCCGGGACGGCGACGATGTCGCGGTATCCGTTCTCTTTATTGCTGATCGAGAGCTCCTTGAAGTATGTCTGATCGTGCATATCCCAGCCGAATACCACGGAACAGAAACCGAAACCGTCGGCGACGATGGAGAGGAACTTCTTCTTGGAGACTAGTTTACCGCGCAGCTGGCCGTCGACGTCAACGCCGGCCAATTTGACGCGGGTGTCGTTTTGGAGGATGTCGGCGACATTGTCGAGGGTGACGAGGGTGTCGGGGAAGACGGACATGTTGCTGGACAATTAGTGTATGGTTGTGAAAGGTGTAGGTGTAATCACTCACGGCAATGGGTGGCAGTTAAGTAGAATGGAAGGGAGGAAGGGGAGGGGAGGAGATGACGAGGGACAAGGAATGAAGTGGGCCTGAGGCGGCTTATCGGAGGCGGTGATCATGCATCGTCTGGGATTCCTCCTGGGTTACTTGTACCATGCCGCGCTATCTCAGCCACCAGGCAATTAGGCTATTCTTGCCGATAGTAATCATTTGAACTTTTTCCTTTTTATCTCTGAGGATATCAGACGTACTACATTCCAATCGACGCAATCCCTGCCCCATCGGGTGATCAAAGCTTAGCTAATGGGCTCCACAGCCCCGCGTGTGTTGTTCTGTTCTCTTCGCTTCTCGTCGGACTACCTGTCCTCCTCTTCCTCCTTCCTCCTTCAATCAACTTGATACCCCCTCCCAGCTTTCTTTCTCTTCCTCATCCACGTCTTCATTTTCTAACAGTAAGCTCCCAGACCATTCCTCCCTCCCTTACCACCCTCACCATGCCAATCCCATCGGTGACATCATCGCCGTACCCCCGCGATACACCATCCCTCAGAACAAAACCGAGAGAACTAACCAACCTCCTCCAATAGCTCAAAATGTCCGCTCCCCGAGGCCGTCTCCAAGGCAAGAATGCCATCATCACCGGTGCCGCCGGGTGAGTTCCCATCTCAGCCCCGACCCCTCTCAATCCCACCCTCTAACCCCCACCCCCAGAGGCATCGGTCTCGAAACCACGATCCTCTTCGCCCGCGAAGGCGCCTCCGTCCTCATGGCCGACATCTCCGAGCCCGCACTCGAAAAGGCCCTCGCGAAGGTGAAGGAGGTCGTCCCCACAGCCCCCCGCGTTGAGACCATCAAATGCGACGTCTCGAAGGAGACCGACGTCCAGGCCATGATCGACGCCCAGGACAGCTGGGGCGGAGTGGACGTGATCTTCAACAACGCGGGTATCATGCACGCCGACGACGCGGACGCCGTCGACACCCCCGAGAAGATCTGGGATATGACGCAGAACATCAACGTCAAGGGCGTGTGGTTTGGATGCAAGCATGCGGTGCTGAGCATGCGGCGGAACAAGAAGGCGCGAGGCAGTATCATTAACACGGCGAGTGTCGTGGCGTTGGTGGGCAGCGCGACGCCTCAGTTGGCGTACACGGCCAGTAAGGGAGCTGTGTTGGCCCTGACGAGGGAGTTGGCGATCGTGCATGCGCGGGAGGGAATTCGGTTTAATGCGTTGTGTCCGGCGCCGTTGAAGTATGTCCCTCTCCCTCTCTCATTCTGCTCTCTAGGTGGTATGAATTGTTAGGATGGTTGCTAATGGGTGTCTATGTAGCACTCCCCTTCTGCAGGACTGGCTCGGCGATGACCAGCCCAAGCGATTCCGTCGCGAGGTGCACTTCCCGACGGGTCGTTTCGGCGAGGCCATCGAGCAGGCGCACGCGGTTGTCTTCCTGGCCAGCGACGAGAGCAGCTTCGTCAACGGCAGCGACTTCGTGGTCGATGGTGGAATGTCCAAAGTATGTTCCCTCTTCTGTCCCGTTCTCGTGTCCAGTATGTGAATTGACATTTTCTAGGCCTACGTTACTCCCGAGGGACCCGCTACCGCTGCGCCGCAGAACCTGGGCCATTAGATTGGGTTTAATTATTTCATAGTATGTTATACTGGATGCGATGTTAGTCCAAAGAATAGAACACGAATTTCATGATTGAACCAGATCAACGAGGATGAAAAATAAAAGGCTTGGCCCTTGAGAATTTGGAATGACATACGTAGCCTGGCTGAGCAATCTTCTCTAGGCTTGCCTTGCAGCGATGCTGCATACGTAATCCCGTTCGTTTAACTAGTTGTCTGTTCCATTCTGTTGTCTGTCAATCGAATGTTTCGATTAGCATCACCTAGCATCAAACGGCCACAACCTATCCGCTTTTTCAACCGTCATACCCTCACCACGAGCCTCTGATTCCGAGCCGTCCGAATCCACTCGTCATATGCCGCGCGACGAGCCTCCCTTGACGCCTGCCATGCCTCAGTAGAAACCCATCCATCCGAGTTGGTATTTAGAGAATTCCGAAGCCACAGCTTAAACCATTACACCGTCTCAAAGTCTTCGTAATTTCCCACATGCTTCTCATGTTCCTCTTCGGTGGGGTTATAGGGACATGAGCCCTGCAGACCTAGTTCCTCCCATTGAGCCGACAGCTCTACTAGCTCCTGGGTCATCGCAGTGGCACTATCCCTTCATGTCGTGTGGCAGTAATGGAAGAGTCGGAACAGTGTCGGATCTTAGAGACGGGCGGGGCGGAGTTTAGGGACAAGGCCTGTCATGCATACGTCGTAGGTTTGGTAGCAGATTGACGCGTCTTTCCGCTCTCTGTTTCTTTCCTTGATCTTCTGTTCAAGGAACTGGTGGTGCTCGTCTTGCGTGTGCTCGAATGCGTGCTCATCCGGTTCCTCGGCGGCGCGGCAAAGTCAGGAGTCTCGTTGGCGTAGATGAACACGGGCTCAATGCTCGTTGAGCCAATCAATCAGGCCGGTAATAACTGTTGGGTCCTCGGCTGAGACGTAGATATTCCGTTTGTGAAAATCAGGGCGAAGTAGGACTGGTGTTGCGGCATCTTGGATGCGCTTGTCCTGTATAAGTCTCTGCATTACCTTATGACTGATCTGTAAAAGGCGTATATGATCTTGAATGGATCCCTGATGAGGGAGCTCGCGATTAACCGCATCTGGTTTCGGTAATCGCGAGGAGCCGGTCTCGATCAACCCTTGGCAATAACTAGCCAGACTATCCCCTGGATTTGCGCCTATTGTTAGCAGGGAGAAGCCGACGATATGTCAAGCCTTTCGGGGAACTAACAAGGACCACGATTAGCACTTGGGCCGCCATACAATTCCAACTCCCCGGGATTCCGATTCCAAAGACCGGACTACAATTCGAACCCACACAGAAGCCCTCTCCGAGTGGAGTCGTCCTGTACGAGTCTAAAGGCCCCGGCCCATCAGCATTTGAAAAATAGGTACTGCCATAGGCCGGGAAATCCAAGGCGGCTATCTTCTGCAACGCCAGTGAAAGCGCCTTCGTGCACAACATATGTTGCTCTGAGTTCATGTTCGGCCAAGCTTCGTGCAATTGAACACCCGAAACATGTTCCTGGATGATGTATTCCGCGCCGATCGCATTGGAGGGGTCATCGCTCCAGTCTAGGACCTTGGGGATTGGAAGTGTGGTTTTGGAGCGTACTATATGAGGAAACATTCAGTGGTGAGCTTGGGGATTGCGTTATCAAGAAGGCAGATAGATAGGGATGCAGATGCAGATTCATCCTACGGTATGTCATGGCCGCGACTTCCGAGTTCGTCTTTAGCTTTGGCGGGCCAGCGATACCTGTCGGTAGTCTTGCCACGACAAGAGAGCCCGAGTCCATTGTGGGAATGAAGACTCGGTTGAATCCGCCTTCCTTCATTTCGTAATTAACAATCTTGTTTGCTCCGGGACAAAGACGGATGGCTCTGTCTCACAAAGCGCCGAGAAATCGAACACAATGTGTCGAGAATTCTTTCGAGCTCGTCCCTGTTCAGCCATCTTCCACTGGTGTATACATAAGGATAATGTTAGCGATGTACGGAGCTACAGGTCAGAGTTATATACTGCTGACGCGAACCCGCTCTGTGGGTCAAGCTACTGGGTAAGGGATACGATGACGTTATACCGGGTTTGTTTCCCCGGTCTGACAGTTTTCGCCAGGAGCGATAAGGAGCCCGATGCTGCTAAACTATTTTGGAACGATCTCATAGCCGCCGCCAGGATCGCAGCATAGTCTTAGCTAGCAGATCGTTGATCCTTGTTTGTTGTCATCCCATGTCTTCTTCCAGCCGCCCTGGGCCGGTTCGGCAATACGTTTTGCCGAATTGCCCTCCCCGACCGCCTTGATTTCTACATCAGTTTCCAGCCGTGTGGACAATCTCAAATTTCAATTGGAGATACATCTAGATCCAGTGATGTGTTAATAGTATTCTTGTTGATTAAACTACATCACATCAAAACAGCCACTAGGCCACCCACCCCACAAAATAATGCTTCCCACTATGGAACCAGCGCAATAGAAAACATGACGACCCTCACTGTTCTCATGGATCAGAGCAGTTGACTTCTTTGAAGCGCAGCGTAACCGTACTTCCGCTGTAATCATTTTGGAAATAATTATTATTCCTGTTGACCTGCAGTCCATTACGTCCACTCGCCTGGCCCACCAGACTCAGCGTAAGATAGCAGTAGTAACTGTCACGCGGACAATCATCCGTGAACACCTGGAACTGGACATAGTTCCGGTAGGAAGCTCCCGCGGCATAAATACTGCCCAGGGTGTTGCAGGCGGCAAAGTCTCCATTCTGGGAGTAGTGGTTGCCACGGAAGTCCCAGAGATAGAACTTTCCACCCTCCCGGATCTCTTGGTCATTCGAGTTCTGGCGCTCGCAGTCTCTCATTGATTTGCAGAGTTGGAAGGCCTGGACGTTCGAACGGCGTCCGAAGACGTAGTAATTCCACGGGGACGAATCTCCGCCCAGCCACAGGTCGTCGTCTTGCAGTCGGTAGCATTTTCCGTAGTGGATACTGGTGCCCTTGCTGTTTGAAGCGTAGTCATCATCGTCTTCTTCGAAGCTGCTATATCTGACTCGGTCGACGTCGTGGGCAAGATTGCCCTCATGAGGCGCTTGGTGGACGAGGGCAGCATCATCGAACATCTCGTTGATGCCAGTTTGATCAGGTGGAACATGGTAAGCGTTGGCTATGCAGATGGCCAAGGCGGCTACCCAGAGGTGGTAAGAGGATAACAACTGCATGTTGGTTGATAGTAGTAGGGATGGGTAATGATGAGACTAGTGAGTGTTGTCCATATGCGACCACCCCGCGGTTAGAGTACGATGTGCCGCTGTTTAAATAGCATAACCTGTCTCCTATGGGCGCTGCGGTGATTAAAGAGTATCAGCGTCATAGTGAAACAACGATAGCTCTCTGTAGTCAAAAACGTCCCGAGCAGCCTTCACTTTGGGCAGTCTATGATGACACTACCGGCCTACGTTTCCATCTATATCAGGGTTACCTTTTTGTACAATGATCATGATGAAACAATCAAAAGGATAATCCATGGTTAAAAACACCCACCCCGATATATGACGGGAGGTTGAACCAAGGTCCGCGTATGCGCCGGTGCATTCCAATGCAATCCCATTGTACTTGCTAAATCCGGAGACCAGATGACCATCAAGTTTGATATTCGCAGCCCAAATTCTCCGCAAATCATTTTAACTTTTATGGAGCATCTAGATGTAGCCATTGACAGGCTCCACACCAGAATTCTCATGGTCCAAGAGGGGTCATAGATCGTGGACAGTATCATCTCAGCTCGATTGTTTGGTTCTACCTCTGCAGAAAAATGACTATCTATAGCAATAATGCTACGCAGTCTTTTCCTACTATTCACCTTGTATCTAGTAATTTGCCTTTAGAGGCTGGCAGTGATGCTGCATCCAGAAACAGCCTTGCCCAAGGGCGAAGTGCTACCCCCCACTAGTTTAATGTCTAGTGTTATTCCACCATAAAGGCAAATACCTATAACCTATAACTTCCAATGCCTATTTTAGTAATATAATTACTACAAAACAGACGGAGGGAAACTATTCTACTGAATAACTATGATTAAATAATAGAAACCATAGAAGTACTGGAGTTCTAAAGTATGGCTTATAAACATTCAAATTCAGTTCGTTTTGAGTCTCAAAAATTCATTATTCCGATGCCCCAACACCCCCGAAGCCGGGAACCACTAAACAACAATCAAATGCGTCATCATCCTACTGTAGGGATAAACCCTAAGAATGTGTTAATAGTTTCTATAGTGGCTATTCGCTAGTAAGCTTCTGCGATACCTGTATTCTTGGGTCTTTACAGAACTGCGTGCTTTCTGCTGGCGTCAGAGACAATTATCATGTTGCTTTCATGGCCTTGGGCGGGCTTTGTGGTGCTCATAGGTTGACTTTTGTACTTAAATGAAGTAAGAAACCCCTTAGAATACTCTATATAGTGCTGCTATTGTAGCTTTTAGGGCCCCAAGACGAGTAATCACATGTAGATGAAGGAATTAATAAAGTTTTAGTAGTAAGAACAAATAAAATGAAGAGAAAGGTCCTGATAAAGTATGTACTGAATTCTGCATCGAAGATCTATAGATGGAGTTACCTCAATGATTCCTTTCTAGCGGTCTTGGATAATAATGCAATGTTTTATCAAGGTACTCATCTACTGTGCCGTTAGGCGAGGTGCCCAGGCCCTGTCAAGTGTATATAAGCCCGGAATATGATAATCAAATAGCACCGTAACCACAGCACTGAGACACAAATCCATCCATTTATATTACAAGATACAAATCATCTATACAATCTGCTCTGTCCAGCTATATACATAATTACCAGCCTACACATTAAAATCTTCCACCCACCGGGAAATCCCTCGAACTGAATCCAACAAACACCTCATGTTCTCCCTCAGGCATGACCCAATTCTGATGTCTTGCGCTCCAGTAGCTCAGATCCTTGCGGGTGAGGGTTAACTCGATAGGACGGACTTCGCCGGGCTGGAGCTCGATCTTGGTGAAGTTGCGGAGGACGCGGTCGGGGAAATCAATTCGTTCGTGTTGGCGTTCCATTTTGATTTCGTCACGTTGTTGGGCGGGTTCTTGATTAGGATCCTGAGAAGAGGGCTCCTCCTCAACAGGGACAAGGTCGCCCTCTTCAGTGACGTCATCCGGATAGCCGACGTAGACTTGGATGACGGTTTGGCCGGGACGCGATCCTGTATTTTTCACCTGGACTTGGACCTGGGCGATTTCGTCGTAGAGGGACGGATTGCCGCCGAGACCCCCACTGGCCGGAGACGGAGGGTAAGGGAGGCCGTAACCCTCTGGGTAGTGCGTGTAGTTCTTGGGAAGGGTGCCGTCCAGGTCGCGGAGATAGGGATAGATGAATCGTGGAAGCTGCACAACGTTGTCAGGGAAGTAGAAGCTCTCGTTAGACGGGATGGTCGTGTTGTATTCGGGCGGGGGCAGTAGGGCGACGGAGGAGGCCGATGGCAAAGACGACTTAGACCGCAGAACCTTGATGTTCAGGTCAGACATCTCGAAGCTCGTGTACGACAGACCGAAACCGAATTCGAATCGCGGCGTGATATTGTAACGGTCGAAATGCCGATGGTCGATGTAGAGTGAGTCCGAAAAGTTCACCTGCGGCACGACGCCATTCGTCTCGTACAGCACCTGCGCGCCGGGGCCGTAATCCTCCAAGCTCTTGCCGACCGTGTAGGGAAGTCGGCCGCTGGCGTCCAGATCGCCGAACATCACATCGATCAGCGCACTGCCACTCTCCTGCCCGGGCAGGTGGGCAAAGAGCACCGCGTGCACGCCCGGCAGATCAATCCAGGGCTCCACCACTACCGGGCCTACGGCGTGCACGACGACGACCGTGCGGCCGTTGCCATTCCCGCAGTTGTTCGCGACCGTCTGGATAAGGGTGTCGCCGCCCCGTTGCAGGAACAGATTCGGCCGGTCGCCGTGGATCCCGCCGACAGACTTGGAACCCTCGCCGGAATTGGCGTTAGCAAACACCAGACACAGATCCTTGTCGGCCGCATCAGCTGGCATCACGGCGTTGCGCAGGTACGAGGTCGTCTCCACGTGGTGGTCCCAAGCGTCCTCGATAGCCTGCTGGGGAGCCACCAGGTAGGGAAAGTCCACGGTGCCGCTGCCCCAACCCGTGGCCAGGGTCCCCGAGCTGCAGCGCCGGTCTGGACACACGTTGGGTCCCATGGCGGGCCCGGCGTCGTCACCGTAAATTCCCACCTTATACCCGTCGACGGGGTTGCGCGACAGCGGCAAGGTGTTGTCTTTATTTTTCACCAAGACCGTTCCCTCGGCGCCGATCTTGCGAATGAGAATCATGTGCGCGTCGTCACCCTGGCCCTGGACATCCACGTAGCGATTCACGTGATCGTAATCCCGCGCGTTGCCCTGCGTGAGCCAGCCCACCTCGTCGTTCGTCCAAGAAGAGAAGTTGGGGCCTCCGTCACCGTCCGGGCGCGGCAGTGGCCATTCGTCCTGGCCCAAATGATACCAAGCGGCCACAATGCGGGTGACCATGTCGTTCAACCGCTCCATCGGAAGCGAAGTGTTTAGCACTGCGCGAGTGAGCTCGCTGCCCCACAGCGACTTGCCATCTTCCCAGTGCAGTCCATCGCCGGGCATGCTCATATCCAAACCACCAAGGGCGCTGTTAATGCCCGAGCGCTGGGCCAGCCAGTCGGACTGCACGAAGCCCTGGAAGCCCAATTCGTCCTTGAGAATGCCGTTCAACAGCTTGCTGTTCTCACAGGAGTGGCTGTTGTTCACCATCTGGTGAGCACACATGACACTAGCCACGTCGGCGCGGATGCTCTCCGCGAAGGGCCACACAAAGACCTCGTGCAGCGCACGATCTCCGATGTTGGATGACAAGGCGGTCGGCATGCCCCATTCGTGGGGCTGACGGAAGTGTTCCTGTTCGTTCATAACGTAGTGTTTGGCCGTCGCCATCACTCCGTTGCTCTGGATGCCACGGATGGTCTCCGCGGCAGCCACACCCTGCAACACGGGATCCGAGCCGAACGACTCCCAGTTCCGTCCACCGGCAGGCATCATACCCAAAGGACCCATGGACGGGCCCAGCAAAACATTGATACCCTTGCCTCGCGCCTCCTGACCCAAAGCAACGCCCCTCTTATGCATCAAGTCACGATTCCACGTAGCTCCCGTGGTCAACCCCGCCGGAAATGCGGAGACGTGATCGGCGAGCCGAATACCCATAGGGCCGTCCTGTAGACAGAGCGAGGGAAATCTGACATTGTTCGCCGCACCTACACAGAATACCATCAGTAAAGAGCCATTGGAAATGCTTGTAAACCTACCCGTATTTCCCACGCAGAGACCCATCATCCAGCCCGTCCCCGTCGTGATATTGACCTTCTCCACCAGAGTCATCCTCTCTACCAGCAACTGAGCTTTGCGGTAATCCTCCGCCCACTCTTCGTAGGCTCCTCCACGCGGCGTGGGAAACCAAGATTCGGCCGGAAGATACGACTAAACACATCACAACAATTAGCATTGCCAAAACCCGACTCTCCGCGAATAGAAAGGTCCTCACGCACATAATCCGGCCTGTCCTTGTCTCCCTTTGACCAAGCAAAGCTCAGGAAACCCCACACCAGCAACGCCAGAGCAATGATGACGCCGACCAGCGTCCGCCACCAAAACTTGGAGTAGTAGACCGCGCGCCAGCCCTGCTGTCGACTTTGTCGCCGACCATGCAGAAACCGCGCCTTCTTCACCGGATGGCCGTACCCGTCCGTGTCTTCGCCATCGCTGAGCTCGTACTGTCGGCTGGCGGAGAGCAATTCCTGCTCCGCCTCGGTGATGGTATCTAGATATGCCTCGACGTCTGTGGAATTGCGCGCGGCGTAGGCAGTCGCATCTTTGCCGGGACGGGAGGAGCGGGTGGAGCGATCGAGGCGACGCAACTTCACGTCGCTGTCCTCGCCGTCGGAAGGGTCGGAGAGGGGAAGCGAGTCGTCATCGTCGGAGTAGCGACCCTCCTCGACGGGGGTGTATTTTTGAGCGGACGAGCCCTGGTTGTTATCCCGGAAGAGGGCGGGAGGCATGGTGTGCGAATTAGACTAGGGAGGGCATGGAGAAGGGAAGGAGAGGAAGGGAGGTGGCAATGCGGGATTGGAGGAGTCCAAAAACGGCGGACGAAAAAGGAGATGTCGTTTATGCCACGGAGCGACCGGGATGATGAACAGGCGAAAGAGCTGAAGTGTCCATCGGGCGAAAAGCGACACACCGAAAGAGTAATGATTGTTGATGCTGGAGTTGAAACGTGCCGGCGGCCAATCAGCGCGGCGGTGGGCGGGCGATTACGCGGACCTGTCGTCTTCGGGTCCTTTTAAGGTGGAGAGACAGATTTGAGGTTGATTGCACCGGGAGGGGAATGGTCGCGATGCGGATGCATGGTGTCGCTGGAGGGTGAAGATGCGAAAGACAGAGAGAGAGACAGAGAGAAGGTAGAAAGATGAAAGAATGGAGGAGGGAAGGATGTGACCTCAGAACCCTAAATGTCGTTGCCTTAGGCCATTGTCACGTCACTGCCTGCCAATCAGCCCCCTACTTGGACCTGCTCTACGCTCTACACAGTCCCTCAGGAACAAACCACGATACGCTGTCTCAAATTCAGCTACAGTGTACTCCATCTCCGCTCTACAGTCCCACGACCTGCTCTTCAATCTCGCGATGTCGCGCCCCCTGTCCTCGGAATGAGCGTCGTCCGCGGAGGAACCAGTCGGTCGCGATGATGATCGCCACCACCCCATATACCGCGGACACGTAGTTCATATCTACGCCGTTAGCTGTGGCTTCTCGAATGATACGGAACATCTTACCTCCGGGTGACACCGGATATACCGACGGAAATGAATAAATCACCAAGCAAAACAGCGTCCACAGGAGGACCACGATATTGCAGACCAAGCCGATCTTGCCAAGCCAAAACGGCCCGTGGTGGATGTGCTCGCGTCCGCGCAGGAGTAGACAGACGATGGGCACTACGTACGAGGCATACAACAGCACGATGCACGCTGTCACCATGCTGTTGAAGGCAGTCGATGATCCCAAGTACAGCAGCCCCAACAGTGCTACGATGGAGCAGCTGGCGCTGTGCGCATTCAACGGCACGTCCAAGGTCGGATGCACATACGACAGGATCTTGGCGGCCGGGAATCCGCGATCGCGCGCAAACGACCAACACAGTCGGGACTGCCAGGTGTGGCAGGCGATTTGGCACCCAATCCCCGTGACAAGAATTAAGGACTCGAGGACGACCGCTCCGGCCTTGTTCTGCAGCGCTTGGTGAAAGAGTGCCAGAATCGGGACGGCCGTGGGGGTGTCTAGGATCTCGTCGAGGTTGCACAGGCTAAAGAACATGGATATGCAGTAGAACCAGGAGGTGACGAAGCCGATCAGCACGGTGCAGAGGATAGCAATGGGAATGCTGCGTTCGGGCCGAGTCACTTCCTCGGCGAGATGCGTGGCCGAGTCGAGACATGCAAACACCCAGTTGGGGTTGATCAAACCCACCAGGAAGGCGATGCCATCGGACGGCCAACCCGTCGAATTGACAAAGTGGGCAAATACAAACTTGGCCGACGCGTGCGTTGGGGCTGTGGCCGGAACCGTGATGAGGATGACCGCGAACGAAATCAGCGAGATATACAAGGTGGTCGTGGCCACCGCTGGGAGTACTTTGCCCACGCAGTTGAACAAGAAGGCGAAGAAATTGATGACTTCGTACGCTACCACCGTATGCCAGGGGTGAAGCTCACTACGGATGCGTCAATTAGATCGCACCGTCGCCTTCCGTTAGAAAACCTACAAGTCTGGATGGGTCAGCTTCCACATCCCCACGCCTGCCGACCCCAAGCTCATTGCCACGCTTGCGCTGGTGAAGATCGCCCCGGCCCACGCGAGCCATCCGGTGAGATACGAGGCAAAAGAGGCGTACTTCTTGGAAGCCAGCTCGCTAGCCCAGAAGTACTGGCCGCCGGAGTTGGGCATGGCCGAGGCCAACTCAGACAACGTGACGCCTACACACGTGGATATGAAGGTGATCCACGGAATGCCGTAGATGGTCAGCACCGTTCCGCCGGAATTGATGCCGGTGATCAGCGACGCGGAGATGCCGAACCAGGAGTTGGCCAAGGAGAAGGCCACGGCGAGTAGCGATAGAACCGAAAAGTTGCGCTGCATATCCTGGGTGTAGCCCATCTCTGCCAGCTTCCTTGCATCGGCGTCCAGATGGGAATCTCCGACATTGTCTTTCGGAGATGCGCGCTCTACCTTCTCTGGCATCATGGTTTAGATAGACCGGTGCTTTGTCTTTGTTAGAAAATGAATATCCGGGGTAGCGGGATGCGAATATAAGAAGGAACATGCGGGGTTGGATGACTTGGATGGCGCAGGTCTGTCCACGGCGCAATCTGTCGAATTCCGATGCAGGACTCGTCGGAGGAGTGAGTTGTTCAACCGCTGAAGTCACCGGCGAGAGTGACGCGGAATCAACGGGTGGCACGGGATGTAACCAGAGATGAGCACGTGGGAATGCAACCATAGGCAGCAGGTCTACGACAAGAGCTATGGATGACAAGAAGAAAATTGATCAATTGAGAACATGCTAACGAAACCTGGAAAGTATCATAATATAGTAACCAGAATAGCAAAAAAAAATAAAAAAGCAATGTTCAAAAGAGGTCCAGTCACTTCCTTGTGTCCATTCCTTTCTTCTCTCTCACTCACTCTCTCTCTCTCTCTCTCTCTCTCTCTCTCTCTCTCTCTCTCTCTCTCTCTCTCTCTTCTCCATCTTTACCCTTTTTCAAACAGGCCAAGCAAAACAACGAAGCGCAAAAGGGAAAAGAAAATAAAGTAAACGACAAGAAAACAAAGTCATCGACATCCCATCTCATTCCCCATTCATCTCCGTTTCCTCCATATCCTGCATGTCTCGGCAGCGCTTCACATAGGCATAAAGATTCCTTATGTGCATCACGATATCCTCGAGCGTCAGGTCAGTGTTCTCTTGAAGATAACGAGAATACCTCCCTACGATATGACGAATGCCATCCACAGTGGGGGCTGCCTGGGCCAGATTCATGACGTCAGGGATAGAAGCATAAGGCACGCCTTCCTCTTTCTTCAGCTCGGGGTCTTCCTCTTGGAGCTGCTCCTCTTTCACGATATCGAAGGGCTGCGAAGCTCCGTGCGAAGCAGGCATACTCGGTGATTGGGGTTCGCTTTTCAGGAAATGCACGATCTGGTCCAGGTGGAAATCAATCATGCTGTTTTTCTCGCTCAGGACTTGCTGGCTGGATGGACCGCGCATGATGTTCCCAGTTCCAAAAAAATCGGTAAACGTCTCCTCACCCGTTGCAGGCCTCGGCGGAAGTTGATCGGAGGGCTCATATTGGGAGTTACAAGGGACAGTGAACCCGTTGAGCTCCGAAACCGGCAGTATTTGATAGTTCGGCTGCGCGGCAGGGTACACGCTGTAGAGCATCGTGCGTTCATCGCTATTTCCAAGGAACGACCGGTCATACGTCCCCCCATGAGCTTCTGCAGCTTTCCAATCCGCGGTGGCGGGCCGCTCCATATCCCACTGGTTCGGCTTGTCGTGGAAGAAGAGGTGGCGCTCAATATTGGGCCCATCTGCCGGGATGGCCTCCCTCGGCACACACACCAGCCCCAGTGTGAAAGGCACGGTACGTTCCTTCCTCTTCCTCCTCCCGAGTATCCAGTTCCCGTACGCAGCCAGATCCCGGCCGCACAGCACATAGAATTCCTTAAAGACGGGTAGGCAGTATATTCCATGCGCGTTGACCACGGGCGGGTTACCACACGGCACGCGAGCAGCTCGGATGTCACCATGTAGGTCAAAGTCCCCTTGATACCGGGTTGCTCGCTCCTCCGCAGACAGTAATTTGACGGCCAGGTAAACCCAGCAGTCGGATAGTAGGACATTCTTAGGTGGCCAGTGGTTCTCTTTGATCGGGTCCCAGAGCGTGTAGACGGTCTTCCAATTTGGCGGATTCCATGAAGTCAGCTTCTTACCTGGCTCGGGGCCTTCGCCGTCAGCGGGGTTCCAGACACTATGATGTATGTGATTCTGCGCCCGCTCAAATCTCATGACGGAGATTTCGCGGTCATCCGTAAATCGTTGGACCCATGACCTTGTTTGCTTTGGTGATCGTCTCTTGCCGGCGGTGTTAGGAGAGTGGAAGGACTGCGGAGTTTTGATGGAAGTGAAAGAACCGGAGGGGTTGGGCGTTTCGGGCGCCTGTGGAGGACTATGATCGTTCATTGTGATTTAAGAGTGAGGTCACTAGATGCTTTGATAATTGTTATCACTTGTAGGTCGGTATGGGAGAAGTAAGGTACCGCAAGGGTGTTCATGTGTGGGGTGAGATCTAGAGATGTGAAGGAAAGAGGATAGAAGATGTTGGTTAGGTTGAGCTAGGAGGGGTCGTTAAGAGCAGACGTTTCGGTGGGACTGTGATAAGATTAGAGTTGCTAGGGTTGCTATAGTCATAGATTAGGTTGTGAATGCAGTGAATTGATTGTTTATTTGGAATTAGGATTGAATTGCCAAGTGCATTTGCCTCCCTTAAGAAGCATTGGTGATTACTGAGGATTCACTTGGAGCTGAGGGGTGAAAAAAGTGATGGAAGAAGTTCCAGTTGTTTGAGTGAAGGACTCCTTTAGAGTTAAGGGACCTAGTCCGGATCACTCGTTGTGCCCTTGTCATGAACGATGCAGTCTGATCGAAGATTAGTGAATCTGAGTTTTTCTCAGCTGCTAGATATGTCTTGTTGAACAAGGAAATTGGGAAGAACTTAGATATCAAGAATTTAATGCCAGCGTAGAATTCGTTAATGCGATATTAGTGAGATCTAGAAGAGGAAGGAGAAGAGAAAGATCAAGAACGAAGCAAAGAAAAAGGCCAAGAAAAATATTACTGAGTAGAAATAACTCCAAGCACGGTGTCTGTGTATAGATGGCCATAAGTAATCTCCTGGGTGACGTAAAATCTAGGTTCCAGCAGCAACACAAAGCCGAACGTTGTTATATGTTAAGTCCATACAGAAAAACAATTGCAAAAGCAGACTAAATGGTAAGGAGTATAGCAAGTGAAAGACAAAAGTTGCGGGAAATGCAAGCCCATCTTAGAGATCCTCATTATCTTTCCCCTGTCCCGGCCCACGTCCATCCCATGGGCCCACCCACGTCGAACTCATCGACAAAGCCAGCACTAGCACCATCAAGAGGCTACGGGCATTGAACAACCGCCGCTTGATACCGACACCGAAACTAACTCTAGTCTCCGCCAGAGAATGCTTCTCGTGAGAATCTGAACCGATTGCATTCTCTTTCAAAGTCGAGGGTAGGGACGGTCCAGTGTCATCGTCCACATCTGTAGGGTCTATTCCAGCATGTCTTATACCACAGTCACAGCTGTCGTCATGATACTTGAGTAAGAGCTCCGCGATATCCGAACACTTACTTTTCATTCGGAGTGCTCGTTGAAGTAGTGTGAAGCCATCGGTATCTACATTGCCATTGCAGACAAATATTCTGAAGCTAGTGCTTTGGGAGTCAGAGGATTGAGATGTGGACCGAAGCAACGAGCATAGTACGTTAAACTGTTTTGCAGTTATGGCAAGGTGGAGGAGTGTCTGGCCGGTGACGATCTTCCTGTGCGCGAGGTCTGGTCTTATCTCCTTGCTGTTGATAATCAGGTCGTATAGCGTAGGCCAATGGCCGTGTTCCGCAAGGTACAATGCAGGAAGGTCCCTTAGCTGCTTTGCTGTTGAGGAGTCGGACTCAAGGTCTTTACCTTCGTTTTCGAGGGCCTGAGCTAGGACTTGCTTAACCTCTGTCTGACCAAGAAGCGATGCCAGCATGTATGGTGTGCAGTCCCGTCCATCCGAGATCGTGAGATTTGCGCCAAGCTTAATAAATCTGTTGGCTGTAGTCGCTGCGTTCCTTTCCTTGGATTGGACGGCGTAGTGGAGGGGTGTTAGCCCGTTCTCATCTCGATCGTTCAGATATGATATGCCTCTCCTCAGGAGAGCTGAGTGTAGCTCATCCATATGCGGGTAATCAGTTGCGCTGGCAACTCTGCATTTCGCAGGTTGACGTCAAGGGGCTCGTCCATCAGCAGCCGTTCAGCAAAATCATAACGCTGGAATCGCACAACATGCATGAGTTTCCGTCTTGCATTTTGATAGTGAAGGACAGAATTGATGGTAAGATGATTCGTGGGACTCAGCATATCCGCCCCGGGCTGATGTTGATCAACATTAACGTTCATTGAGAGGTTACGGTCTGTTGAGAGGCTACTTCTTGAAAAAATCCTCCATAGCTGTTTTCAGTATCCCTAAGTTTGCTTCTTACGGCCCCAAAGAATCAAAGGGGTTTATCGAGACCGTTCAGGATTTCCTCACTCGCAGCAAAGAGGAGGGCATGAAGCGAGTTGTTATCGATGTGCAGCAGAATAAGGGTGAACAGCCTCTACTGGCCATTCAGGCCTTCAAGCTCTTCTTCCCTTCCAAGAGCCCGTTCGCTGGGAGCCACAGGCGCCGTCATCCAACGGCAGATACGCTTGGTCATACTCTGACATCTGAATGGTATCTAGGCTTGTTCAGCTTAGTCTTTAGCTGTAAAGTCCAAAATATTATTTATTCGCCTTTGTCAGGGTCCCTATATAGTACGTTGACTGAATGGCCTGTTGGTCATTCATTGAGCCTTTTTGGCATGTAGTGCAGTGGTAAAGTCAACGGATCGGTGCCTTACAAAAGCCTTCGAGCTACACGAAACCTGAGAGCTCCAAACAATAAATGACGATCTTCTTGTTTTGTTGGGCATTTGGATGTCTGAGGCAACATAGCCTTTTAGATGTGGAGAATTTCTTTTACTACGGCTTGGAGCGGGTGGTTCTTTTGTCTTTTTCTTTTTTGCGTTCACCTGTCTCTTCTTTCTCTTCCTCCCTCCCTGTCTCGCTCTCTCTCTTTCTTTATTCCTTTTTTTCTCTTTCTTTTCCCTTTCTTTTTCTTAACTTTTTTTTTTTTCTTTCTATGCAGGAAGAAGCGAGGTCTTCCACGGTGTTGCCTATCTAAGGTGCCCAAGCAGAACGGCGAAATGCTTGGCATATTGCCTCAGGCATCTAAAACGCCAACACCTATGGCTTCTACATCAATCAATCAATCCAATCTGAATCGAGGTATCCCTTCGTTCATTCATCATTCATCAGATCATGTTTGGCCACTGCGGTGTATCCGGTCCCTAGATAGCGCCTACGTATGCTGTTAAGTGGTGGAAACCTGAAGGGCAAATGAGAGGTTTCAAGCAATTATATATCTCCCGGGATGTTGATCTCGCTTTGAAGTCTTGGCCAAGAGTGATCTATGGGTAATCATTTTGAAAAAAGAAGGACTAAGGATTAGCTTATTTCTTTACATTTAACTATGTAGAAGCTTTAAACTGAAGCATCTTATTTGATCCAATTGTCATCTCGTGCAGAACTCTTCCATGTTTGTACGAGTACAACACGGGATGCAGATCATTCCCGGAAATGGACTGGCGCCATCCGACGGGTAGAAGTGGGAAAGACAAAGAATAATAATTTCACGACTACCCATGCAAGATCCCTGCTACGATTCAAGATAAGCATACTGTCTAATCCAGTCTATTCTCTAAACATCAATGCTGTCTATCTCGAGATAACTTGGTACAAGAAAGTAAAACAAAGGTATGTTCAAACTTCAATCCGATTCAACCGATCATAACGACATCAATCAATCGAGTGGGGTCAACAGGGGAAATAGCAGACAAACATGCTAAACGGCATCAGAAACAAACTACAAAGTCCTATTCACATCATATGATCACATCAACTCGGACTGTCAATCACTTCTTCAATCCGAGCAGGTTAATGCTCTTGGGTCGCTCGATGGGAAGGCCGAGGGCACGGTCCCAGATGAGCTGCGCCAGAGGTCCCAGAGCGCGACTGACACCGAAGGTGACGGTGTAGTAGAGCGGCTGCTGGAAGCCGTAGTGGTGGAAGAGCACTCCCGACGCGGCGTCGACGTTCGGATGAGGGTTCTTGGTCTGGGATTTCGTTAGTTGTGGTTTACTTCAATGGGCAAGGGCAACATCAACATACCTTGCCATGCTCGGTCAACACTCCTGGGGCGATTTCCGAGTTCTTCTTCACCAATTGGAAGACCGGGTTGGCTAGCACGTCCGGACGAGTGGCGGCAAAGTCCATCAGCGCCTGGAACCGTGGGTCTGGCTTCCGGAGGACGCCATGGCCGTACCCCGGAACCACGCGACCGGACTTCAAGGTGTCCCAGAGGTAGGTGCGCACATCCTCGTCCGTGAACTTCGTGCCGATCTTATCCTGCATGGCGAGGATCCAGCGGAGCACCTCTTGGGCGGCGAGACCGTGCAGAGGGCCCGCGAGACCCAGCAGGCCGGCGCTGTAGCTGAGATAGGGATCGCTGAGGGCGCTGCCGACCAGGTGAGTGGCGTGGGCAGAGACGTTGCCACCCTCGTGGTCTCCGTGCAGTGCCAGGTACAGACGCAGCAGGTCGTGGAAGTCCTGGTTCTGCGCGCCACCCTTGCCCAGGAGCTCGGCGAAGTTGTGCGACCAGTCCTGGGCGGCGTTTAGGGCCTGGGTGCCAACAGTGTCGATCTCGTCCGGACGGAAGACGAGCGCTGCGACACGGGGGATCTTGGCCAGCAGGGAGATGCTGTCGTCGAAGGTGGGTTCCCAGTATTCGGCCTTGTTCAGGCCCTTCTCATAGGCCTGGGCGAACTGAGACTCCGTGTTGAGGGCAGCGACCGCAATGGACAGTTGGGTCATGGGGTGCATCGAGCGGGGGAAGGACTTGATCAGGTCAAGGATATGCTGGGGCAGATGGGACTTCTCGGCCAATTCGCGCGAGAAGGCACGGACTTGGCCGGTGGACGGGACCTGGCCGGTCAGGAGCAGCCAGAACATGGCCTCGGGCAGCATCTCGGTGCCGGTGGTACCCTTGGGGAGCTCCTTCTGGCAGTCCTTGATGGTCTTGCCGTGGAATCGGATGCCCTCGTCGGCGTCGAGCACGGAGCCCTCCCAGAGCATGGACTTAAGTCCACGCATGCCACCGATAACATTGCCAACCTTGACCTCCCCGATGACCTCGTCACCCTGTTGTTTCACTTGCTGCAGGAGTTCGCGCTTGGCGGGGATGACCGATCTCAGGGCGGTTTTCAGGTCGGGTTCCGCCGTTGCATAGGATCTGCGAGAGGTGTGGACAGCCAATTGGCGGGAGGACTGAGAACGATGTGAATTAGTCTCTGCATTAGGGTGAGGCACCGAAGCGATCGGGATGTTCAACTAACCTGGGCCAGCCTAGAAGCATGGCGAGTGGCTCGCATTGACATAGCCATCGTGTGTGAAGTCGTAATGAAGAGAGGGGGAGAGATGCGGGGAGAATGCGGCAGGAATAGGTATGTTGAGAGTATTCGAAGAGAAGGAGAGGATTGAAGAACGAGGAGCGAGAAAATAAACGGAGGAGAGAAGGGGATTATCCGACAGGACAGGCACTCTTTTCCCTTGAGCCGGTTGGCCTCGGACGGTCACGCCTGGCCGAGGTTGGGCGGTTGCACGCGGCGATCAGCTGTTATGTAAGGTGGTTCGGTGGAGGAGTAGCTGCGGTGTGATGCAAGAGCACAGCAGGCGATGGGGATATGGCGTACGGTGTAGAATGCTCAGTATCACCGGAGAGGATTATTATTTAAGACATGTTTCCTCATTCAGAGATACTGTTCTATCGGTTTAATGCCTGAGATTTGTGGCTGCTGATGATAGCGGTCGGCGTCACATGGGTCGGCACATCCCCAGTCACCGGCAAGAATGCTACGGGCCTTGAACCGGGAGATATTGGGACAACTGTACAGGTACATTGGCTCTACCTGATATCCTACCCATTGACCATCTTACCATGTCAATTGACGCTTCTCCATGTCTCCGGTTGACCGAGTGTGAGTAGAGTACAAGAGTTTCACAGTCATACTCCTGTAGCGGATAGCGATGGGCCCGATGGATCCTCGACTTCCGCGGGTGGCGGATCCCGTGCGGGGTAATCTCAATGCGGTCTAGTCCCGTCCCCCGGGAATCTGCTGCCTCAGGCACTCAGGTGTCTACGGGGCAGCCAACGCACCGCCACAGCCTGGCCAGCCCCTGCACCAGCCACGGATCAGCCCCCGTTGCGCCACATCCAATGGCGGTGCCTCATGCGAAAGCGGTGAGTGCTTATTGGCTTATCGGCGGGGGCCCACGCCTCAGGCAGAGATTTTCGCCCAAAAAAACTAAGAACCGGGCAAAAAAAAGAAAAAAAATTAATTGTCAGCCCCGCCGCCAGTCAACTTTTCTTCCTCGATTTGGTCGCGCAGGCTGATTTTTCCCTCCCTTCTTCTTCTTTCTTTCCTCATCTCCCCTCCTGTTTTCCTTTCGTTTCCTGTTCTTCAGTTGTATACCCTGTTTCTTGTTTGCATTCTAGAAGGCTGATCCGTATTCGGTGGCCCCCGGTTGTCATTTGGCTCAGAAAAGTTTTTGGGAATTTTTTTTAATCTTTTCTCTTATCGATTCTTTGTTCGCCAGTACCGATTTTCGACGGCCCCGCCATCGCCGTTGAAGCGAAGGATTTGTGTGTTTGGATAGAAGCCAGCACACCTCGTTACGACCTAGTCTACGCCGATTTTTCTCGAATCGGTTATATATCAAAGAATGCCGCATTCTGAAACCCCCGCGATGCCGACCGCTGTCTCCAAGACCCCTTCGTCCGTCCCTCCCACCGCTGAGGAGGTGACCTCGCTTCTCAACACTATCTTTTCCGCTCAGACTTCCCAGCAGTCTCTCGATGCCTCTTATGCCTTGACGAACCTCCTCATTCAAAGCGTCGGATGCGGCGCGTTCTCGACGTACAACATCTTGCCGGAAATCAAGAAGGCCGCCACCGATAAGAAAAATGGCGCCAGACGTGAAAGTGCCATGCTGATCCTCGGCGCTCTGCTGGAGCGTTTCCCTCGCGAGCACCCTCTCAGCGAGGTCGTCTTCCTGCTCCAGGACGGCGGTGTCCTGAACCTCGCTCTCGATGCGCTTGCCGATAAGGGTGCCATCGTGCGCGAGTCCGCCCAGTATGCTATCGACGCCTTGTTCTCGTGTCTCAAGCCCGAGGCCATGGTCAACTCCCTCCTGCCTGCCCTCTCGGCTTATCTCGGCAAGGGAACCGGAAAGTGGCAGGGCTTTGTAGGCGCTTACTCGCTCATTGAGAAGATGGCCATCAAGGCTCAGATCGGAACCGGAACCTACGACGAGGAGCTCGCGAAGGATGTCCTGCGCGAGGCCATGGGTAAGACTCTGAAGGACTTGATCCCCTTGGTTGAGGGGGGTATGCACGACCTGAAGAACGAGGTGGCCAAGCAGTCCATCAAGGCTATGAACGCCCTCACGACTCTGCTGTCCAACGACGACGTCGCCCCCCGTATCCCCCTGCTTATGAAGACCATGGAGCAGCCTTCGGAGCAGACCCTGCAGGCGGCTATCCACGCTCTGTCTCAGACCACCTTCGTGGCCGTCGTCACGTCTCCCGTGCTCGCTCTGCTGACCCCTCTGCTGGAGCGTTCGCTGAACGCCCCCACTACCCCCCAGGAAACCTTGCGCCGGACTGTGGTCGTCGTCGAGAACTTGACCAAGCTCGTGCACGACCCCGCCGAGGCGCGTACCTTCTTGCCCAAGTTGAAGCCTGGTGTGCAGGGTGTCAAGGACCGCGCTTCCCTGCCTGAGGTCCGTGAGCTCGCCACCCGTGCTTTGAGCGTCATTGAAAACGCCATGAGTGACAATGACGTCGCTGCCGGTGCCATCGTGAAGGTCACCCCCGAGGAGGTCCTTACCGTCTTGGACGCCCAGATCCAGGCCAACGGCGGTCTCGCCGTTCCGGACCAGCGCACCCTTTTCGAACTTGGTAAGAACTACGTTGCCGAGATGGTGCGCGAGGACGTCAACGTTCGCATGCATGATCGCATCCCCGCCTGCATTGCCCCCTACCTGCGCGGACTGCTCGAGGAGGGCAAGGAGGACGCCGTTGCCACGGCGGTGCAGATGCACTTCGTCGAGGAGGACCATCGTAAGTTCGGCAAGCCCGAGCCCGATGACCCGAACGAGGTCGAGATCGTCAACGCCAACTTCTCCCTCGCTTACGGTGGTATGCTTCTGCTCTCTCACACCAACCTTCGTCTCCTGAAGGGTCACCGTTACGGTCTGTGCGGTCGCAATGGTGCTGGAAAGTCCACTCTGATGCGTAGTATCGCCAACGACAAGTTGGAGGGTTTCCCGCCCCAGGACGTCGTGCGTACTTGCTTCGTCGAGCACAACCAGGGCGAAGATGCGGACCTTACCATCGCCGAATACGTGTCCAAGGACCCCGCCATTGCCGCCACCGGCAAAGAGCACATCAGCAACGTCCTTCTCGAGTTCGGTTTTACGGATGGCCCCGAGGGTCGCCAATCGCAGCCCGTTGGATCCCTGTCCGGTGGTTGGAAGATGAAGCTGGCGCTGGCCCGTGCCATGTTGATGAAGGCCGACGTGCTCCTGCTGGACGAACCTACTAACCATCTCGATGTCGCCAACGTCAAGTGGTTGCAGGAATACCTGAAGAAGCACACCGACATCACCAGTTTGATCGTCAGTCACGACTCCGGCTTCCTCGACGAGGTGTGTACGGACATCTATCACTACGAAAGCAAGAAGCTGGTCTGCTACAAGGGTAACCTGGCCGACTTCGTCAAGGTCAAGCCCGAGGCCAAGAGTTACTACACCCTGTCCGCCTCGCAGATCTCCTTCAAGTTTCCCCCTCCCGGTATCCTGGCTGGTATCAAGTCCAACACCCGTTCGATTCTCCGCATGACCAACTGCTCGTACACCTACCCCAACGCCAAGAAACCCTCCCTGACTGAGGCCTCGCTCTCCCTTACTCTGTCCTCTCGTGTCGCCATCATTGGAGGTAACGGTGCCGGTAAGTCGACCTTCATCAAGATGCTTACCGGTGAAACCATCCCTCAGACCGGAAAGGTGGAGAAGCACCCCAACCTGCGTATGGGATACATCAAGCAGCACGCCCTGGAGCACGTGGAAATGCATCTGGAGAAGACCCCCAGTCAGTACCTGCAGTGGCGTTACGCCAACGGTGACGACCGCGAGGTGTTCCTGAAGCAGACCCGTATCCTGAGCGAGGAGGACAAGGCTCAGCTCGAGAAGCCCGTCGACCTTGGTGATGGCCGTGGCCCCCGCCGTATCGAGGCGCTGATCGGTCGTCAGAAGTGGAAGAAGTCCTTCCAGTACGAAGTGAAGTGGGTTGGTCTCCTGCCCAAGCACAACACCATGATCTCCCGCGAGACTCTGAACGAGCTTGGTTTCTTCAAGATGGTCCAGGAGTTCGACGACCACGAGGCTTCGCGCGAGGGTCTCGGATTCCGTGTCCTGGAGCCCAAGGAGATCTCCAAGCACTTCGAAGATATCGGCTTGGACCCCGAGATCGCCAACCACAACCAGATCTCCGGTCTTTCGGGTGGTCAGAAGGTCAAGGTCGTCCTTGCCGGTGCCATGTGGAACAACCCCCACTTGCTGGTGCTGGACGAGCCTACTAACTTCTTGGACCGTGACTCGCTGGGTGGTCTGGCTGTTGCCATCCGTGACTTCAAGGGCGGTGTGGTTATGATTTCTCACAACGAAGAGTTCGTCGGTGCCCTCTGCCCCGAACAGCTCCACATTGCCGACGGCCGCATTGTGTCTCGCACCAACAACGCCGTCTCTCTGGACCGATTCGAGGACAGCGCCACAAACTCGCCTCAGGCCGGCAGCACTGCCGCCAACTCGACGACTACCAGCGCTGCCGCTTCCGCCGTAAACTCCGGTGCCGAGGACCAGGGCGAACTCAAGTTCAAGGCCAAGAAGAAGAAGAAGATGACCCGTGCGCAGATGAAGGACCGCGAAGTCCGTCGTCGTCTTCGTCATATCGAATGGTATGCTCTTCTCCTTTCCTAATTTTCTACTTGGTACTAACATTTTACTAGGTTGAACTCTCCCAAGGGTACCCCCAAGCCTGTCGATACTGACGACGAGGCGTAATTACATTACTTTTTCAATACTCTTATGATCACCTGTATGATGTCATTGATTGATTTTCGGTTTTGGTTTTCTTGCTTTTTTTTCTCGCACAATTTTCGGTGGTATATAGAGGTGTCCGGTTTGCTTTCTGCATCATGACTTTCTAAATAGATTAGAATTCAGCACTTACTTCGCTACTTGCACTAGTGAATGCTTGGAGTATTTCATCAAAATTCACATGCACATATATTTTCTTGATTTCTTGAACCGGACATATCCATTCATCGTGATGATTCACCGTCGTAGGATGTAGGGAATATAGCCTCCAGATGATTCCATATAGTGGGCTCTCCCCTCTCTGATCATTCTTTCTCTTCTACAACTCTCTACATCTCTTCGTTTGATCTCCTTGGGTGGGTTTGGCTAGCGATATACATTCATTTGTGAGATCAACATGGGTATCTTGTCTTTCAGTAGAATTCTGCAGAATGTCGAACCTTTCTATCAAACGAACACACTGACAATCATGCCAGCACGAGGACGCAAAACAACAAGAAGCGTGTCGTATTTCGTTTTGTACTGTCGAGTTTGTGATTGCTCTTCAGACATACAATATATTGGAATATCGCAGAAATGTCATATTTTGTGATGTTCTCCCTGCCTAGTTACGATCATGCCAACATGTGACGGCTGCTGTTTGTATACCCCACGAGATCAAGTGCCCAGAGGCTATTCTTTTGCTTGGAGATTCTGGGGTATATTCCTTCGTTGAGACCTGAAAACCGTCTAGCGACCCGCTCGCCATGCGGGCCTCATTCGCCGGTGTGTGATCGACGTGGGTTGGGAAAGTAGGCGCATCGTCGCCACCGCGGACAACAGCACACATATGCTCACGCCACAGAGGCAGAGATGCTGGAACACGGCTGTGAGCTGCTCTAAAGACCACCAGCGCTCCCTCTCGGATTGCTGGGGGCCAGTCGGCCCCCCGCTGGAAACTAGGGTTATTCTGGAGTATGTTACAGACCTCCGGCTGCCTTGTCTCTTCGCAGGAACCAAAGAGGTCGTTTGATACACTTCGTCTGTGACTATCAGCACTACTACAGTTGGCGTCTGGGTTTAAATATCCAAGTATCGATACTGGCTCAGAATCGTGTCTATTCACACTGCCTCCCAAGAAATTGTGCCCAAGATGAAGTCCAATGACATCAAAAGAAATACATCTCGAATACCAAAATTTTCGACAAACGATTTTCCATCGACTACATGGAAAAAAAGACGACAGCAAGGTAGCCTGGTTCGAACAGCTCTCGAAACAACGGAGACAGTTCTAGATTGCGGTGGTATAGCGATTATACCGATCTCTCACCACAAATAGACGGTCCAGGTCTAAATGATGTGTGTCCTAGTAGAAAGGTCCGTGGCTGATGGTCTCAGATGCATAGAACAAAAATGGAAAGTTGATTGTGAGTGGGGTTTATACCCCTGCTGCTTGATTCCTGGAACTAACCTGGCTGATAGAATGGGATAAATACTCGGATACATGGCCGAGGATAATCGAATTGCCTGGGGAGATGTATCCCCCGGTTTCCTAGCTGTTCAAAGCTATTCCCGATAACGTATCCATCCTACTGAAAGCCATGCCTTTTCGAGAGCCCTTCAACGCTTCCAGCACCAAATCGCTATTTGATTGATCGCGTGCCACAAAGAAGACTTCGAAATTAACGTGGTCCTGTCTCTGGTGCAGCTCTGTCCCGTCGACAAACTGGAAGAGCACAATGGATTCTCCCCGCTCTAGCAGGCGCTCGTCAGCCCGAGTTGGTAAATATGGTCATGACTTCGGAATTGAAGTTTGATGGGCCTTGTGCGTCCGTCGCGGCTTGCGAGATCATAGCCGGCGTACTTTGCTATGTTGCCCGCTGGGATCCACAATTCCACACATTGAAGAATTTAACGGGGAAAGATCGAAACGTATCCACCAATTAAATTTAGTGAGATTCATAATGCTACCAGAAATATGCCAGAGATTCCCATATGGGTTTAAGCGATGTACTTGGCCTAGGACATCGTCTTGGGCTTCCCGCTCAATATGGCTGAATTGATTATGAAAGCGATCGAAAAGCTTCGCCTACACTTTTGTATAATCCTGAATATCGGGAAAGTGCTGTCTTATATTGAGTTTGTAAAGCTTCCTTCCAAAAGACAACCAGTGTCGAGTTACATTTTATCAATTTCTGGCAAGTCAACAAGCCACTTGAAACCAATAACCACACTGTTATCTGATATTGGGGCCGATTTATGACAGCTACACAGTTCGTCCCAATTTCTGTCTCCGAAAAGCACAATTGGTCGAATCGACTAACTTAGATAGGTCTCTTACATCGCCATGTCTAAACCTAGCTGAGGCCTGCCGGGGATTTGATACACATCTTTTGAGCTGTATTGTATCGGGCAGTTATCGGCATATCCATATGCAATTTCCGGGTACCGAACCCCGGGTACCCTCCCCGCAGAGCTCCATAGATGGTAAGTGCGCAGTCTTTCGTATTCAGTCTCCCTTCTTACCTCCTAGTGCAGGTCTTCTGGCTATGCCTATACTGGCACATGTCTACTCCGGTTCTTCGCGGATGGGGCCCCTCCTCGCGCCCCAAGGAAAAGAAAAATAAAAGCATGAACAAGTCGAAATAGGAGGGAAAGAAGAAGGAAATCGATCTAGTGCGAGACCCAAATAAATGGGTTCCACCCCATAACCTCGCCGAACGCGCCCTGGGAGCACGCACATCTGGCCGCTCACGAGTTGGCCACCAAATTCCCCGACAGAATCTGGTTCCGACTGGAGCACAGCGATGTGTCCAAGTCCCTAAAGGTCTGCCGTGGGATCTACCGGGATTGCCTCGAGAGGCTCATCTACTTGTGTTTCCGGTCCAGCGTCGAGGGGTGCAGTTGCAGGGATTGGATATCTGGCACAGTGAACACTGGGACCGAAGAGCCTTCAAGAAGGCGATAATCACACCTGGAAACTTCCTGCTGAAAAAGACGTATCCTTGAGGCCAGGTTCTGGTATGTTAACATCGGCCTGAAAATGTGCCCCTCTTCGAAACACCTCGATATCGGCCCGTTGTTCTGTTGCATGTCATGTTGAGAATGCCATGATGGGCAAGCTTACGCGGTCATGACATCTTACCCTCCCGCTACAAAAAGGAGCCCGTGGGAATCCATGTGTGAGGTGTTTGGATTCAGCCGATATCTCTACCGAATACTGGATATATGAAATATGAATTCTAATCCGAATCGACGGTCCATTTAGAATTAGCCTACCCACGCGTTCATTGAACAAGCGCCCGATTAGGGAGTTTTATCTCATGACATGCGAAGTCATGTTGCCCAGGTATACACTGGTTATTCTCTTGCCTTCATACAAGTCTGGTCCCTATATCAGCACCTCAAGCAAACCTGCACTTATCCAAGAAGACCGGAAGATGGTTAAGTAAAACCCCCCAATGGCTTGTGCACTATGGCCGGTCAACCGACGGTCGACAATAGTCGCGGGCTGTCACTTAAGGAAAAGATTTCAGATGGCGGACATAACGAAGTTTGTCCACGGCGTCGCGTCCAAATGTTTCACGCAAGTAGAGTTCCTTCAACCCATAGAATGTCTACTAATCGATACATTCTAGGACAATCATACCTGCTTCCGCTGCGGAAATCGCGGACACATGTAATAGAACTGTCTACTAACTCTTAATCTTCCACTCTGGAAAATAAGGCATCTGGACTCCCTATTCAAATTATTTAGGATTTCTGCGACAGGGTCTATACTACATGATTCAAGGTCGTCGGTTTTGGACCTGGCAATTCTTTGCGAGAACAGTGTCGGTTCGACCCAATGCCGAAAGTGGTAAGGGACTTAAAGCCTAGAGCCCAGGAAGCTTCCGTCATCATTCGCTCAAATTGTGGACTTAACAGGCGCTGCATGGAGCACGCATATTACAAGGGCAACGGAAATTCGGTAATAACAATGCAATGGCCGTATGTACCCACATCATCACTCTCATCCATAACATCTTTTGACCCGGTGAAACGCTGCACTGGGGCAGGTTGCCCGGGATGGAATGAAATGCCCTCTGGAAGTTGCAGCTTTGTCAGTTGAGAAGCTATATTCAGCATCATCTACACAATCTGTCTCAAAATGCAATGGCTCGCTGTGCTGGAGGAAGAGCGCACATTTCATCCATCTCAAAGAAAAAAGGAAACGGGCCACTTACTCATATACATCTGACATTTCGTGACAGAGTTATGGGAGATTCAAGCGAACGCTTAACCATGTCCGGGGAGGAACAATTGAAAAACTCAAGAGAGTTCAATTTTTACCTGCGGGGAATTACCGGTGGAATGCAGATCGAATAAGAATTACAAAGAAGGCAGGGCGGAATTGTTCCCAGCAATAATAGAGTTCGAACTTCCTCTATGTTCTGCCTCTACATGAATCCTTAGGGGATGGCGAATCATAGGGTCGAATTCCTGGATTCTTAAGTGATCTCGAGCTGGGAGAATGGCATTTGCGTGTCGGTCAGCCAGCTGTCCATGCTGGGATGAGAAATGGCACGGTCATCAAATGCAATTGGAGCGGGGAAGATATTTATCGGTACAAAGGAGAGTGGGGACCAAATCAGGATGCAGAGGAGAATCATCAAAGAACACCAATACAGCGATCAGAAAAGAAGCAGGTCACATGGCGAGGCCATGAAGGATGTGAAATTGCTTTGTCAGTCATACAAGGCCAGATCCTTGACATGTTATTGTCACATCAGCAAGTACGCAAACGGAGATGTAAAGTGCGAAGCATATGCATAATTTGAAACGGGACCACAAAATCTCGATGATCTTAAAGTCGCCGTGTTCCATTGCATATTGATGAATTTCAAAATTAGCACCGAACTCCCGTTTATTCTCGCCCATACATTCGGCCAGCACTCTGGTATCACGAAGAGGGATCTTCGATGAATGGGCGACTACAAGAAACTCCAACAAAGAAGCACCGTTCGGCATAGAAGGAAATTTCACCCTCAAAGTCTAGCATAGTACAAAATCTGCGCTTCTTTGAAGACTATAGCAGCAATAGCGTGAATAATTTCACGGCCTAGTTCAACCCCAACGAGTATCATACGGGTTCTCTACATGGATTAAGGCACAAAAAATGGGATCATGAGGCGTCATATGGCCAAAAACGAAATACTTCGCCCTGGAAGGCAGCCACTTTTTTGACTTCTCTCATTTCATTGTTTTCAAGCTTTCCCGTTTTATGATTGTTTTCAATTTCTGCACTGTCGATGAAAACATAAAGCCCGGCGCGTCCTCTCGTCAAGGACGTGGATATCGACTTGCTTGTTTCCTACCTTTTCTGTTGATCGTGGACGACCAGTGTGTTGGGTTGGCCGCTTTTGTTGGCTCATCCCTGCCGCTCGTCCCCGATCCCCGTGGCTGGCATATCGGAATTCGCCAACGGAAGGTAAAGGTATACAAACCTTTTGATTCTCCTCAAACAAGCGGCGTCTGACCGTTCACAACTTAAGCGAGACAGGAGACATGGCCATGGAAATGGACGATGCCTACGGGACCCAGGTCAAGTGGGATTCCGTCCTGAGGCCTTCGGTTATTGAGGGGAGCACCAGAGACGGAGTTAAAAACCTTGTTGCCATCCAACAGAAGATGTCGGGGATTTATGCAGTTGCTGAGGACGATGAGACCATGGCTTTGGGGTGGCTGTCATGCGGGGCGATAAAGCCTTTGAAGAATATGCCCACCAACTGAGACTTGTCTCGCAGGTGTACTAGGCATACACGATATCCTCCATGCTGTGTGCAGATCTTCGACATCCAAAGGAATCTTTTCTTATTTATAATTTTCCTATATTTGATCTATAACAGAATGGAAGCTAATATTAGATTTCAAAAAGTCCTGAACCAGAAACGCAAGCGACTGCATCAAAAACGCAAGCGACTGTCGAATTGATGAAACTCCCTGATCTGTATCCCGCGATTCAGCAATAATGGATAGGACACAGAAAACCAACATCCACAATGTTGGTACGAAAGAGCAGGACGGACCATACTTTCCACGATTTCATGGTGTCTCGGCGGTCCTCAAACCCAGTCTCACGATACGTTAATGGATGCCTTCAATGAGCTCTTCAAATCTGTTAGGTGAGAGAATAGCCTCAAAATATTAGGCTATGGATTTTCTCTCAGGTCGCGTTGGATGTAAGCTTTGATTTGGCGAAGAAAATTTACATGTTGCTTGATTTTCTCGGAGGGGGACAAGTCATGATGGAACGCCATTATATACGTTACCTGAAAAGCAGACTACACATTGTGGTACGGAGGCCCCGGGAAGCAAGAGTCGAACTTGCTGATTGTTGAGGCGAAGAATAGGATTGGTGATTGCCTAAGACATGTAACTGCATATATGGGTGAACAACTGCTTCAAATTACCACCTGATAGTCTATTTTCTCAATATAATCACCAGATGATCTATCACGCACACAGAACACTGAGCACTTTCTGAGGCGTTCCTGGTTATGTAGTGCATTACATAACAATTACAACGACTGGATGTTTGGCTGTTGAGATTGTTTAGCCTAAAGGTGGAGATTAGGGAAAGATGAAAACAATTTTCGAACAGCCACAAACAAACAAGCTAATTTGGGGCTTGACTGTGAAAATTCTCTCATGAGCACTCAGTTGGCTAAATATGTCTATTATACATTGCATGGGCTAATACTGGACTTGAATTATAAAGAAGCCGACATCAACATGTAGGCTGGAAACTACAATCAAACCTTCATGATTCCCTACAATACGAGTCGTCTCATTCTGCGGACTGCGTCCTCGCTTATGACCCTATATTACCATGCACGCAGAAGACATACGAGCTCATTTTGATTGAGGGTATTGGTATTTGATCTCACCGAGCAGGCTTACATTGACCTAGACAGCTCGAAAAAGCAGGGTCACAGGGTATAGATTTATCATTTAGCCTCTTATTACAAGCACGCAGATGTGGCCAAGCCGCCCTCCAGAACGGCGATCGAACCGGTGATGTTTCTGAGTAGAGAGGCGACCGCACCGGAGTTGAATTACTGGCATACAGAGCTTGAAGTGTCGTGCTTGGTGTGGGTGTTGAAGAAGGTCCGTTTTATGATCGAGTCAGCTCCACACGACATGCCAGTCATTTTCTACACGGACCACTCGGCAACCTGCCAAATTGCTACGGAAACGACCCTACAGTCCGACTCCATGGATGCATTGAACCTCTTACTGGTATGAGCTTCTCAGTACATCCAGCCTCAGCCGTGATATCGATCGTTACGCGACCGACCTTGAATACATCGCGTCTGTGGACCCCGACTTCAAGGCATCTTTCGGCAATCGTTTCCACCGAGACGTGATTGATTTCCCGGGCCAAGGACCGGGAACCCTTGGATCTGCTCGTCGCCAGGCAGGTTCAGAAGCAACCTACACAGCCCGTTCAGAAACAATCTCTACGGAGCTGGAGACCTCTACTGGAAAAAATTAATACCATAATTAGGGAGTGTGTCGCACTAATTCCACGCGTGATAATAGCAATATTTAGCTTGTCACTTAATATCTAGGCTGCCTACAACTATCATAGTGGACAATGTGTAGTGGGGAATGCACACGTTCTCGGTCTTCGGTGTTTTGGTGACTGGTGGGTCTTTCATGGCGAGATCCCATACTTCGGTATTAGTTGTGCCCTTGTCCGAATCAACGCTAGAGTAATATTTGTTCGGGCCACTTACAATAATACTAAGACATAATCCTGATTATTGAGCGAGCACAAGTAATGATTTATTTTGAAGAGGATTTCCGCTGATGGATACTCATATCGACCGTATCTTGGGATCTTGCGCGCCTGTCACTGGAATTCATCATGTCTTCAACCGAATCGTGCACTTTGGAAACATGCTCCCTCGACCTTGCATACATTCAATATCTGCCCTCCAATGGCGGAAATACATTCCTTTTAGCCCTTTTCTTGGTTATCCTGCTCGTCCAGATGACATTTCTATTATGCTACCGCACGTGGGCCTTCTCTATAACCATGATATGCGGTCTTATCCTTGAGGCTCTGGGATATGTAGGACGGATAAAGCTACATTATAATCCGTTCGGATTCACAAATTTCCTACTGTTTGTTCCGCTCTCATTTGCTGAGGTGTTGCAAAATACTGAAGATCAAAGACTAATGTTATTGTGAGATTTATAGCTACCTTGTCTGTCTCACTATCGGACCGGCCTTCTTTGGAGCAGCAATCTATCTCTGTCTTGGGCGAATCATCATTATCCACGAGGGTGAAGACGTATCTCGCCTCAAACCGCGGACTTACACAATTGTTTTTGTGACCTGCGATGTCATCTCGTTGATTCTACAGGCTGCCGGAGGGGCAATTACGTCTTCTGCTGAAACCAGTGAATCTCGCACCGAGGGCGTCAATATCATGATAGCGGGTCTCGCATTTCAAGTTGCTGCACTGTGTCTTTTTATGGCATTCGGAGCCGAGTTCGCAATCAAATCGACAATGGGGTCGAAGAAATCTAGAGGACTCGAGCCGCTTCGGTCATCAAACCCAGAGCTTTTCCTGATAAGGAATACTCGAAAGTGGAAATGGTTCTTAATTTGTAAGTCATGGCATCAGAAGATCCGGCAACCAAGTTTACGGAGAATTGATACATTTAGGCATCCCTGTCGCCACCGTGACTATTTTCATTCGGTCCTTCTTCCGCGTCTTTGAGCTGAATGGCGGGTTTCATAGCAGCTTGGCTAATAATGAGCCTGCCTTGATGGTGCTGGATGGCGCTATGGTATCGATTGCGTGTATTTGGTTGACGGTTTTACATCCTGGTGTGGTCATAGGAAGACGGTGGAACTCGATTAAGTCGGCATAAGAAATGCTGGAGCATAGACTTACCTAAAGAAGAGAATGCCAAGGCGCCGAATGCCGAGAATTCCCAGCAAAAGCCGGCGAAGGGGTTCTCGGTTCTCGGTCGCCGCAGCACAAACCATTACTTGACTCTTCCGCCACCTCATCAGAACGAGATCTCCGAGATCCATCCAACTTTTATGTAACGGCGCCTGACCCAATTGACAAGGCGAGAACATGCAGGCTCTTCGCTTGAGTCAAACATGCGACCAGTGTCGCTCTCGGAAAGTTCGGTGTTTAGGTAGGATACCTAATACTCTTGCATTTCGGCATTCGCCCCCAGGTAGTAGTTAACATTGCGCGCTCTGTTTAGTTCCTCCTGATACTTCAAGCGAACATCGAGCATGTATTCATTGTATTGTACGTTCATGTGATATTGTATTCCAAAAGACGGTTCAAGGACTCATCATGGCGCGGTTATATACAGAAAAGGAAGGAAGTCTGTCAGTTCAGCACTTCAAAACGCGCATCTCGATCCAAACGAGGTAATAAATATGCTACAGATCACTATCCTATCGATATTCATTGTGGACACAGATATTCGGCCCTCGCTGCATGGGTCAACTGTGGCCTATGGGCACTCTACCGCCCTTTTTATAGACCGGCTACTTCAAGGCACTTCCGAAGAGGCTTCTCTCTTTGATGAATTTTCGGTTCTACAAGTATGTATTCTTATCGCTGGCTGGTATATCCTGCCGCTAACATTAAAACAGCCCCATGATCAGCAAGGTATCTCTGCCAGTGCGTTATTCATCGAGGTAATTTGCATTCGTTGACCTTTTTACTTCTACTTATTCCAGTTTCAAGCTCCGGGATTGCGTTTTTCTCCAAAAAACGGGTTGAATCCCTGACTCAAAGACTAGGGAACTCGAGACTCCGTGATCTGATATATCAGATGGATCTGACTATAAGAACGCGCCTCTTGGCAAGATCCGATCATGAAATGGCCAAGAATCGCCCGAACGAGACAGGAAGCACGGAGATTATACCAATAGAACTGGCTAGTGTTTATATCAAGAGTTCGATCCCCGGAACGCATATTTCTTTATTAATTCTAACTATTGACTCAGGTTACTTTGACAATATCCACCCTGTATTCCCTTTCCTCATTCAGGCCGAGTTCGAAGAAACTGTGAAAACACTCTATGTGTCTCAGTCATTCGGCACAGATATTGCATTTATTGTTTTGTATCAGGCGGTTTTAGCGTTAGGATGTCAGTATCATGGCTGTGGCTCGTTTGACGCGGGAACTGGAAAAGCTTGGAAGTTCTTTCAAACATCACTTGGCTACGTGCCCCGACTGTTATTAGCTCGAGAGTCTCTGAAAGCCGTCCAGGTAGCGTCGTGCTCCCACCCTCTGCTGAATTTCTCTTGCTGACGTGTAAATTCAGGCAATAACAGCATTGGTATGCTATGATGTTATGGAACCCAGAATTCATGCTTAATCGTCGCTGATTATTAAGGCCATATTTGCGATGAATACATCCTGCCTCCAGGTAGACCATACACTCCTAGCCGAGGCAACTCGAATGGTCCTTGCACTAAGGTACCACAAGTCCTCTGTTGTAGATGGAAGTCCAATGGAGTGCCACCGAGTCTTTTGGGTAGTCTACCACCTTGAAAAACAGTACAATTTTCAAGGTCGAAGGGCTTCGGTGAGTTTCTCCCTCGGCATGATAGCCAGATCTTGCAAGAACTGAAGGATGGATCTAACTAAACAGGCAATTGCTGACTGTGACGTTGGCTGTCCGGTTCCCGAGGTTCATCAGTCCATTTTCGGGGAGTTTAACTGGCTCTTGGCCTCGATTCGGATCAGTCGAATATTTTCGATTGCCTACGCCTGCTTGTTCTCGGTGGATGCTTCTACTCATCAACCTGAACAGTTAATTTCGGCCGTTGACCATGTGCAAAAATTGTTAGAAGACTGGAGGAAATCTATACCTATCGACTATCGACCAGGAGAACCACCCACGCGGCCTTTTCCCTCCCAGTCCGCTTTAAAGGAAATAGCCTTACGCACACACTTCTACTATTTTCATCTGCTTATAACATCGGAGCGATTGAAGCTTCACCTTGCTTCCAATCAAGGCAAGATACACGAAAGCGAGAAGACTCTTCTAAAAGCAGCTGGGTCAGTCATTGAACTGACCAGTCAAATTGATGTTGAGCCGTATACGCCTACATTGTGCGTATTCCTTGAAACGAAGACGAAATGTTGGACTAATATATTGATACTAGTGTTTTGGCCATTATGCCTCTGGCTGCCCTTTTTATCGTCTTTGATTTTGTTATCCATTATCCAGACAATCCTGAGACACGCCAAAATCTCATGCTGATGGACATTGTCTCTGGACATTTCAGCCTTATCGAACGGCGTTCCGGGGGAACACAGCCGGGAGGCTATTTATCATATTTTCCATATATTGCTAGAGGATATGTCGAGAGCCACGAGAGACAAATAAGCGACCAAGCGATTATGTCCGAGTCCCGGAGCACCGAGGACATCCAAAGCTTGCCCGCGGAACGATCAGACACTTGGGTCCAAAATGAGGTGAGTGTTATAAAAATTAGCGAAAAATTAGCGAAAAATTAGCGCTTCACACCGATAATAATTTCCACGGCTAATGTATTGAGAAACAGATTTATAACCACGTCATCGAGGGGAGAACAGCAACGAGGAGCGGATCAAGTATTCGGAATGATTCTCCTGCATTTGAGGATTATTTCACAAGCGACAATTTATGGCGTTCCAGTATGCAGACTGCCACGGAAGCTGATTTAGGGGCCCTATTCGCGTCGGTCATAGACTGGGAGAGTATGTCACATGCTGCATAGGTGTTTCAGTAATGTTACAATGAGTTATGCCCAGAATATATCAATTTATGATTTTTCCGTCACCTTGAAGGAAGGTGATTAGGATGATCTTTTGTCACGACGCATAAAACATTTGACTTAAGGAGGAGTGGTCTGGTTCCATTTATAGGATTTAACAAATTTAGAAAAAGCCAAGGGACAAGGTTACGTTACAAGATACCGAAGGTCCAAGGATAGCACCTACCATTCGGAAAGCGAACGAAAGATGACCGCAGAGGAAAGTGGTACCGTCCCTAGAACACTCGGTGAAAGGGAGTAGACTCCCGAACGTGCGAGGAGTGGGTCATCAATCTCGGTCCCGAGATCTGAATTTCAATCCTCTATACTTCGCAATCTCGGCTCGGTGCAATTCTCACTGATCGGCGGTAGCGATGAATTGTAAAAATTACTGGAATTTGTTATTCGTTGAAATCTGAATTATCTGTTTATCTGTGTCTCTCGTCCTCGCCCAGCAATAGCAGCCAATACCTGGGGAGAAAAATGGCCATTTCGTCACATTCAGCGCTCTCTATTGTTGTGATCATCTGCTTCTTCCCCCTACTACTTGTTTCTGCATGGATATGCCACCGCGAAGGGTTTGGAAAGCAGCTCGGTTGGCTTTATCTTGTTCTACTTTCGCTTGCACGTATAGTGGGCTCGGCACTACAGATTGCTGGCGATGAGAACCACCAGAGCGGACTAAAGATGGCTGCCAACGTGATTGGCTCTATTGGGGTTATGGCCTTATTATTGGGAATGCTTGAGCTCATTGCGATAGTGTACGTGCAAAATGAAAGCAGCTGCTCACTGCTCTCCCTTTATACTGACGTTAAGACAGCAAAGATAGGATTCTACGCCGCGACCCAATCCCCAAGATGATGTGGACCATTCTTCATCTGACGCAGTATGCCGTTCTCATCCTTTACATTGTTGGCATGAGTACATCGAGAAATGACCTGAGTCAAGCCGCGTCCATATTGGTCGCAGTATTGTTCCTTGTCCAGACTGCCATTTGCGGAATGATCGAGTACCAGTGTCGGTCATGCAAGAGTGGCCGAGCTCTCACGACTATTTGTCTTATAAGCATACCTTTCCTCGGGGTGCGTGTCGCTTACGGGCTAGCAACCATGTACGTCTTCAGCGACAGCAGATTCATGACAGGGGTATCAGGTGTCGTCGCCCTGGCATTCCTCCAATACTTCATGGAGTTTATTGTGTCTACACTATTTTTGTACGCCGGAGTGGCATTGTTACCGCGAACTCGGGCAGGAGACGAGGAAAGAATGAGTGTTGAACTGAAAGAGAACACTGGTCAAAATGGTTATTCTTAAATCACACCGAACCACTAGAATTCGAAACATGAGGCGCTGTGGGAAATAAATGCCATGGAATTAGCTATGGGCACTTTAGAATTAATAAACCAGTGGCATTCCCCCTTTTTCTTTTCGGTTTTACATGGTATTTTTGCGATTGTAGGTTCTTTCCATCATCTTCAATCAAGGTCCTCCGAGCCTATTTACTTTGGCTTGACCCATTTAGCTCAACAAATTATCGACATTCTGTGCATTGGATTCCCACCTACCGACGAGGGAGATTTGTATTTCGAGAACACCGAGCACCTTAATTGTGGGGCATGTAGAATTTTAGCTATCTATTCAAATAATACCGATGACCGAACCGCACTGGCGGTTCTTCGAAATTAAAATCTGCCTTGGTGCCGAAAGACCGAGTGATAAACTTGCCATTCAAATTTTCGATCGATAGATCATATGGGAACTATTTACTGTAGTAATGTTAAATTTTCTTCAAATCTTCGGTGTTCTTGACTACCAAACTGGCTTGAACCTGCTGTTTGTCTTATTATCTCTTCCGATACATAAGCTGTCAAAATGAGATTTTCAAGCTTAATGTTTCTTCTATCTTATCTCTTTATGGCCAGGTCTGATGAAGACGTTCACCACACCAATGAAGAAATGAGAGAATGTGAAGATTGCAGGGTATTTAGTCAAATACATATTCACGGTGGGGAAGCTATCTCAGACGTTTTGAACAGGCCATGATGGGGTACATGAGAGAATTGGCATCTATGAGTGACGAAGCCTTTATGACGGCTATCAAAAATATTTGTGGATTAGACTCGGTAATCCTAGTTATCCCATGTCTGAAATCGGAAAACATTTGAACCGGACGAGCATTTCTAACCGTATAAGCAGAACGATGAAAGCGAAGTTTGTCGACAGACAATTGCTTCACAGGGGACACTTCTGGCTAATAGTCTCAGAAGGTTAGACCCCGGTTCCAAAGCAGAGACCCTGTTCTGAATCTCTCTTATGGGTGTCTGTGACTATCCCGATGTGACAACTTTGGATGTCATTTTCCAAGTCACGGCAAAGCCGATGCAACACCTAATGCGAGCAAATCATCTTCAGCCTCACAATTCGAGGATACGGGCTCTTTAGCTCCCAATCGCATTGCTTATTTTTTCGACATTCATGTCGATCAGCTTTATGTTCCTGGGTCGAACGCCAATTGTTCAAAGCCAATGTGTTGCAGGTAAAAGGTTCCAGAAGCCCCATGGATATGAAAGATTTTATCTAAAGAGGCTTTCAGGTTAAGAGAACATTCGGATTTGGATGAGCGTACTCAGAACTATGAGCCCGCTGGGAGTTTTGGCAGCCACAAATGCGGCGCCCCTCCCAGTCTTGAACAAAGCATGTATGGAGCTATACAGAGGCTTTCGCCTAACTTCACCATTTTTACAGGAGACTTAGTGGATCATGCTATATGGAACACGTCAGTAGATCATAACAGTTGGGGAATTGGCAATTCCTATCAACGAATGATGGATGCAGGCTTGACACAAGTCTATGGCACGCTCAGCAACCACGAAATGTCTCCAACAAACGCCTTTATGCCGTCGGAGGTTAATAATAGTACAATGTGGCTCTTCGGTATGATTTCCAAAGCGTGGTCACGATGGGTTGGACCATCCACGGACATCACAAACTTTGGGCGCTATTCAGTCAAGCACCCTAGTTCCAATTTGCGCATCATCTCGCTTAACACTAACCTCTATTACACTCTGGAATTCTGCATATATGAATTAATGGACAGCCCCGACCCTAATCATCAATTACAGTGGCTCACTAATAAGCTCGATTCAGCCGAGCGCAGCGGAGAGCGCGTATACATCATTGGTCACATGCCCATGGGTAGCCCTGATGCTTTCCGTGACGCGTCGAATCGCTTTGATCAGATCGTTAATCGATATGAGGCAACTATTGCCGCTATGATTTTTGGTATTGAAATTTATCTATGTCCAGGTATCCCCAGAGGCCCCAAGCTAAATTCTACAGGTCATACCTACCTGGATCATTTCGAAATCAGTTATTCAAACTATCAAAACCAGGCAGCTGAGACGGCTGTATCAGTCTCTTACATCGCACCCTCTATATCACCTCTGCCTGGTATGCCGGCGTTTCGAGTTAATACGGTGGACCCCGTCACCTTCGGCATTCTTGATGTTGAAACATACATCGCGGACATGGACCAAGCGGAATTTCAAACCAAACCGGTTTGGACTAAAAGCTACTCCGCGAAACAGTCCTATGGATCCTTGATTCGCCCATCCCTTAATCACCGGCCCATAACGGAGCTCACCCCGGCTTTCTGGCATAATGTTACCACTATTTTGGAGACAGATTCAGCTACTTTCAACACCTACTGGTCACGCCGGACCCGAGGGTAGAATGTGAAGCCCTGCGATTAGAAGTGTCGAGCACTGGAAATATGTCAGCTGCTCGCTGCTCGAAGCCAAGATAACTGCCATGTTCCAACCGGTGGAAGTTTATTCAGCACTCGGCGTCAGTCTGAGTATGCGAATGCTCAGTACACTGATTATTACTCGTCTAGCTTTACGGATCCTGTTCTTGGATTCGGGCTGAATGCTTCTTTTGATGATGTTCTAGGGCTAATGATAAGTTGAACACTGGGTTGAGAGAATAAAATGACGAAAAGGGGTTTAACTACTCATATGGGGTATTAGAATACAGGTCTATCAGCGATTGCGAACCTCGCAGCGAGGGTGTTGATGATGTTGGAGGACAAGCTGACACGGTTTGATTACCTTAGATCATCTTGTAAATCAATTTAGAGACGCCAGAGATAAATAAATAATTAAGTATGGATATCTTAGTCTGAGCGAACTATTTCGGCAAAACCCGCGGACGTCTCACGCTCTGGTCCTTTATTCCGGTGCGACTATGTCAGCAATAAAGTTGTATAAGATTTTATTTTTAAAGCAGCACCGCAAGAAAGAGTAAACTGAATACTGGAGGCAATTTAGTCGAGAGACAAAAAAATTGATATTATTTGGCATTCGGAGCAGGCATTTACAACCACTATGATTCGCCTCCAGAGTAATAATCCTCCGAGCATCTCGATCATATTCATCACTTTCAGAGTCACCGCTTTCAGAGTCATCGTTCTCAGTATCATCGCGTGCGGAGTTATCACTTTCAGTGTCATCGCTTTCAGTGTAATCGCTGTCAATTGAAGACGGGTACTGAGGACAATTACATGGCCCAAAACACCTGGACTGACGATGAACAACATTTCCCAGCTCGACTCCTTCTGCCCGGTCGTCATCCGAAGTATCATACCAGGCAGTCTCCGGAGGAGGGGCGGGATGCCGGTTTCGTTCAAGGCAGGGTCCAATGACTATTCTCTTGAATTCAGCCTGGAACCGATCCAAGAGGACGACTTCCTCCACTAAACCCGTTACATATGCCTCATCCCACCAATTGTTGTCATTGTGAATTTTGTTTTTAACCTGGTGGAATCGGTCATGAACTGTAAAATGTATTTCTTCGAAAAGGTCCTGATTGGCTTTGAGCTTGTCCCTGATAGTGGAACTTTCCTCTAGATATTCGACACACCACCAAGAGAAGAAACTGGCCAGTCCCTTGAGGATCATCAAATCTTTTAGCCGCAAGATATAGACTCGCTGCTTCATAGTGGTACAGTCGACAAGCGCCAATCGCCATAGTTGATACACCGCTCGGATCAATCGGTGACGCTCAGTGGGGGTGAGATTCGACGGGTGTGGCTTAAATGGGCTTCTGAGCATAACTACCAGCGTAGGATTTGTTAAAACGAACAACAGACCGTTCCACGACTTGGTCATTGCGGATGATTTGGATAACATCCTGGACGGACAGATGACATGTATCGAGGGAGGGACCGCCTTGGTCGGCCAGTAATGCTCGTGCATGCTTGCGGCATGGAATTGTTCGCGGTGCGACATGTTTAAATATCATGTAGGGATTGTTAGTCTATAGTTGGTGGTAAAGATGACAAGTGGCCGCAAAGTATGCAACATCGGAAAATGACGACAGAGAGCAGAAAAAGGCCAGAATTATTTCATTTGGCAGGGATCTAACACGAGATGAGGTCATTGGGGTTGTCATCTTGTCCATATGCAGAGAGTACTTGTCAAGTGATCAGAACGAACGTAAGCTCGAACGTTGTGAGAGTTCGACCACTGATCTTGATGTTAAGCATAACCTGATATAACATCTGTGTCTTTCTGCTGAGTTCTTCGGGAGTTTTTTATAATAACCTTCTACCGGAAAACCCCCTTGTACACGCAAAGATACACTAGAATTGCCCTTCACTAAATGGGATTGATCCTTTCTAGTGAGGTGGGTAAAATTCAATGGTTATGAGCCCGGGAATTTCCTCAACTTTACACACAGGCGACCAGGCCTACCCATCTCACACGTTCGAATCCTTACCGCCTGGCCAGTGTGTGTCTGTAGCCAGATGAGTGTGTTAATGGAGGTTTCTTTCTTGTAGCAAGGGATACTACAAGTATCTATAGTTAGACATTCATGCCGGGCTCGGCCTTGCGCTTTGTTAGTCTAGTCCTGCAACCTCCACATTTGTTTTCTCTGATCGTTTCCCTTCGCCTTCAAGTTATGCAAAATTCCTCTACGTACAAGAATGAAAGTTACTTTTTCGTTGCAAAGCCTGATTCATGACAGTCTAAACATTTCCTTCGGATAGAGCAGTCATCCAAGTTCCCCTCATATAAATTGGATATCATAGGTTTTTGATAGCTGTGGTAGCTGTAAAGTGCTCAGGTTGATGAAATGTTTCTCGAAGTAGCTGAAGTATTCTGTTTTGTCAACTTGAGGGCAGTCAACATAAATGTGTTCTCGAGATACTCCGTCAATCAGAGAAAATTTTCAATACAAACATCACCCAGAGGCTCGGGAAAAGTTGACGTCTGGATGAACCCTCACTCACGCATAATAAATTCCGACGACTTTCGTACAACTACCCTCACAATTAGAAAAACAAAACCCACTCCCTCATAAAAGCAATCTTTGCAACCGGACCTGATGATCGACCAATCAAAACTTTCTCGAAGAATCCCGGTAATGGTGCCGAGAATATCATTTCCAAACACTCTGCCAGAAATCATGGACAAAATCCCCACCATCTACTAGCAACTCTCGGAAAGCGCTGCTCTCGCCTATCTGACCAAGCACAGACACAATGTACGTTGTAACTAACGTTCTTAGAGCATCATCAGCGCGTGTGTGTTCATAGACGAATTGAACGAGCTCAACCACATTACTTATGTTATCTTCACACAGTTTGAAATCTCCCAGCGTTACTACCAGTTTTTGCAGTACCAGATCTGCGAGAGAGAGAATATTGTATCTGTCAGCCAATATGTATAGCTTCGCATGTCCAAGAAAAACAGGTGCAAAATCCTCCTGATGGTCATCATTCCCCATGGGAGCAAACTTGGCTTTGTGTAGGAGTAGAGCGCTGTCAACCGAGTCTGCATATCGCTTTTTGAGATCTTCGAACTTGTCCTTGAGGTGTCGAGTCCAGATGCTCTTTTCTCTGTAAGGTAAAATGCGCCCTTGAAAAGGATCATAAGGATCATAAGGCTCCTCCGCCTCAGGCACGGGCTCTGGGCTGGGACATGCCGCAGGCTCTGGGATGAGACATGCCTCAGGATCCAAAGGTGCCTCGATGTTATTTCGTACGTTGCTTTTGTTTGTCTTTCCCCACTGGTTTCCCTTTTTCAATTTTCTCATTGTCGTCGAGGTCGAATGACCCCAATCATTTTCTTCCGGTTCAGCGTTGGCCTCTGGGATACTCAAGGTGGCTCCTCTTTCCACACAAGGCGGTGGCGTGTAATCACCTTGATAGGCGTATTCACACAGTCTGACGAATGTATCTTCCTCGACAACCTCTGACCAGTCGGCTTGGCGAAGCTTTGCCTCAAGCATTCCGCCATTCATGAGCTTGTCGAGCGTGGGCGACAGACCAGCAAGGGGCGCGGAGTGCACGGTAATTTCCTTCCTTCCCTGGCCAACGACGAAGGTGAAGAGGGCCGACGAAAGACATCTGCCATACGTTAGATTTACCTGATTCAAGAAGTGGTTTTCTTGCTTGCAACTTGCTTGCCAAACTCGCTGTCCATCGGTATAGATGCTGAAAGACTATCAAAGCTCTAATAGGTTTTCGAGCGCTCGGAAGGATTTTGTGTCAGCGCGGGTAGGATGAAGATGCGTAGAATGCCTGAATCGTTTGAAGCTCTAGCTCTGCAGCGAAACTATCTGCTACGGCCGATTCACTGTGGGTCAGCTGACATGCAGACTAACTAACTACAATAGGCAGATGCAAGGCCATATACCCGGGGACCCTCTAACATTTTGCAAGTAAGTGGGAGCTTACCGATGATTTGGATATTCCCTTCGTTTGGTTAGTATGACGAGTCTGCCACGTCACGGTCAGTAGTGCGGGGTACCGAGCAGGGATGTCTCATGCTATCTAATAAAGCGCCCCAGCCGACAAAGACTTGATAATTGTTTTTATTATGATTTAACTTGACGCTGCGGTACCATTGCTCTCGTTCTGGTATTCAAGACGCACAGTCAAAGGACAAACGTGCGTGTGTGGAACCAGCTCCCGTGTAAATCCATTTAGCTTACAATTAGACCATCAATTATATTAACACCCGATTTCCACTTATTTCACTAGCACTACATAAGAGCAACAAGTCTTCGACAAGCTTGATATTACCTTTCCAATTGCCCGGTGCAATATTCAATATTGCTTACAATATAGCTTTCCTCCACTACGAACGCAATCGTAGTTTGGTGGCAATTTGGCCAGCAGATTCAGACTAAGTTCTTGATCGTGACAGCACGATGTCAAATGCGTTATTTCACATTTAATTTAATGTTGAAGCTGTCTCTTCATAACGCATCTTAAACTCTATTCCTTGTGCCATGATGTTTCTACAAATATTGGTCGAAGTAAAAGCGGCAGGTACAGGGTTTCGGGCCTTTCGGCACGGTCCACCGGCGACTGCCGATCCTCGCAAAAGTACCGCCAAGTCTCGGGAACGCCGAAACGGAACAACAACGGGTGGCCAACGAGCTGCTCGAGGAAAACAGGGACTACTGGGTAAGTAAGGAGGCTCAACAGAGCCCCCGGATCACGCGTATCGCGTGGCTCACCCATCCTTCCGACTATAAGAACCAGAAATCGTCCGCCCTGATTGTAGAACTCTTAGACCCCTACCACGCCAACGAGACGATCGCACGAGGTACCATTTGGGACAGCGTTATCCATAAGACAGTGTTGTATAATCGGACTGCTTGTATCCAACGGTACTTTATCTGCTAACAATATAGTCACGTAGGAATTGTCTGTTCGAATAAAATAACTTGCGGGCTCTGTGGGAACAGTCACAAGACCCGGAACTGCTCCTACAAGTTTACCAACAGCCAGGAGCGCCACTGTGCAGGGTATAGAGAAGTACACGCTGCCTGGCACAAAGGGTGTTCGAGGTATGCAGCAGAGATGGACCGGGTTCAAGCCGCGGTAGTGTACTGGCAGGCCTGGCACCGGGTGCCTCCCTACCTGCAGGACTTTCAGTTCTGCGTACGTAGCGGTACGGAAGCCTCCAGTTCGTCTAACAGCGAGGGACGCAGCCAGCCGCACACGAGCCTCTCATAAAGGCGTACAAGGTCCGTTAGTAGACCTGCGAGCGTCCGTAATCGCTCAACATTCTGATTTTAACCGGGATCTACGCTGCCGCACGCCGGCTCGCAAGAAATAATTCCTACAGCCAGTGACCCTCAGATGATAGGATAGATTTTGCTGCAGACGGAGTGGATACGCCCCCGCAGCCTGACCGGGAGGACGCCGGTCAGCAGAGCAAGCCGGAGATGCCCGCCCCAGTGACCCCGATACCTAGAGGTCGCCGTGGACGAAGGAGTGGCTTGCAGAGCGTTACCTCGTCTGAAAGGACGCGCCGGAGTGCCCGTACCCAGTCCACAGCACGGCAGGAAGCCTCACACCTGGCTACCCTACCAGTTGATTTATCAACCGGCGATACACCACCCACGAAACGATCCCGCAGTAGAGTAGAATACCGAGGACGATCGAACTCGGACTCGCGGAGATCGCAGAACAGAAAATAGAGGCATTTCGCAAGGCCTTCTTTCCCGAACCACCCCTGGCGGACCTCTCTGACATCCCTTCGGCCCGGATACCCCAGATCAATTTCCCGGACCTTACCGAGCACGAGGTGCTCCGTTGTATCAGGCGGGCGCCTCCCGACAAAGCAACCAGGGCCGGATGGCATCCCTAACAAGGTCTGGCACTGGCTGGGTGAGGTCTCCTCCTTCCTCACTGTACAAACGCAGATATTTAACGCGTGCCTACGTCTTGGGCACAACCCTGAATACTTTCAGCAATCGACTACTGTAGTACTGCGTAAAACAGCCCCCCGGGACTAACGCTTCGCCAAATCCTACCGACCTATAGCGCTCCTGAATACCCTCGGTAAGATCCTGGAGGCCGTGGCTACAGTACGGATCGCCTGGGCCCTGGAGGAGCGTAATCTCCTACCCAGGAGCCATCTGGGGGGCCGCAGGGGCATCTCAGTCAACCACCTGATCCAGTTGCTCCTTGACCAGATCTTTGAGAGCTGGGGCAAGGGCCGGAAGGTCAGTATGTTGCTCTTAGACGTGGCTGGTGCCTTCGACAACGTCTCGGCCCAGTCCTCTAGCCTCATAGGCGAACAGGTGCATGGAAGTCTACCAATACAATGTTGGGGCCTGCTGGTATGGCTTGCGGCGCTAGCCTGCACGTAGTTAGCCAGTCAGCTGACCCACACTGGGCCGCTGCATTTCTAGAACCTCTGCAGTTGCAGTATGAGAGATAATCAAGCGTTTCCATCCGATTTTCTAGCCATATTAGAGCCACGCTCATCATACAATCCGTTTACGTGGTCCCTGCCATAGCAACTACTGTATCACTATCATCCCCGCTTTGACAACACAACCATCACTTCTGTTCATGCCCGACGGGCTTTCATCGTATTTACGAAGATAAAGTCTGTTTTATCAGAAGAGTGTCTTTTACTAAATACGTCAGCCATTTACTAGTTCACCTCGCAATATGGACACTCACGACGTCTCCCAGGCACCGGAATACCTGCAACACCTACAGAAACAGAAACGAATTCTCCAAAATGCGCAGTTCCACATGGGCAAGACTCTCAAGCCCACCAAGTCTCGCGACGAAATCATAATGGAGTTCATGTTTCGTCGGATGATGTCTAGTAATACATCTGCTAACGGGCATGTGATTCACTCGTCGTTTGTGCCTCCAGCCTACCCGCCCTCTGTTGCTACTTTGAGTACCCTGAAACGAGTACTAATCAGAGATCTTACTCTCGAAACTCATCATCGTGGATCTTACATTCTGCTTAGAGCGGTCACACCGCCAGATAGAATGACCGCGGTGATGACCGTAGTGGAAGATGAAAGAGGAGACGTTCTCGTGTTACAATTATACAATCAGGAGAAAGAGCTCTCGACCGATGGCCGTCTCGTCGAAGGAACAGCGATACTTGTGAAGGAACCTTACCTGAAGATCATGGCCGATGAAAATTACGGAATCCGAGTTGACCATCTCTCTGACATGAAATTTCTCCCAAGCCATGACCCTTTAGTACCCTTGTCATGGGGAGGTCGGCGCGGAATGGATGCAACGGCCAACCATTGCAAAACAAAAGGCAACGACCATTTCAACAAGGCTCAGTACTATCTTGCTATTGATTGGTAAGCATCCACGGAAGAAGTACTTGGAAGAAGGAAGCTGATCAGAATGTAGCTACTCCAAGGCTCTAAATTCCTCCCCAACCACCGATGAAGCCCTCACAATCCGGCTCAACCGCGCTCTTACATATCTCAAGACTCACCAATTTGACGCGGCCCTTTATGGCCTCGAAACTATCTTATCAGACCAGGAATCGTCTGAAAAATCCCTCTTTCGCAAATCTCAGGCCCTTTACCATCTCGCCAGATTTGAAGAATCCTGCAAAGTCCACCAAGTGCTCTGTGCCGCATTCCCGAGCAACACCACCGCTAAAATCGAATTTAACCGCGCCACTGCACGGCTTGCAGAACAACAGTCTGGGAAATACCCATTCAAGTACCTGCAACGAGAAGCAAAGAAACGTTGTCCGCCGCTCCTCGATCGCGGAACGTATATCGGCCCCGTGGCTGTCAGGTCAACGGAGTCTCGTGGTCGAGGCTTATTCACGACAGAGGCTGTTCGAGCCGGTGATCTACTATTTTGCGAGAAAGCCTTTGCGCATGCATTCCATGACGAAACTGCTGGTGCTTCGAGCAGCCTCTCGATCTTGATGAACACGGAGACAAACACCATCACAATGGGTACTCAGGCGGACCTTATCGCTTTAATCGCACAGAAACTCTACAAAAACCCGTCGCGTATGTCGATGTTCACTGACCTTTACCACGGTTCATACCAACCTGTTGATGTCGCAGAAGTTGACGGTACACCTGTTGTAGATAGGTGAGTCCTTAACACAAGATCCGTCCTGTCTTAAAATACGAGCTAAGACCTTTAGCTTTCTCATCGAGCGTATAATGTCACTCAACTGCTTCGGCTGCTCCCTCTCCTCCCGCGAATACCACCTACGCATCATGAAAGACGCCGAATCACAGTTGGAACCCACCGAGAACAAGAAATTCCACTCCTGTGGTGTCTGGCCTCTGGCGTCCTACATCAACCATTCCTGTTACAGCAATGTTCGCCGCTCATTCATTGGTGATATGATGATCGTCCGTGCTACCCAGGATCTTCTTGCCAATACCGAGCTGGTTTTCTGGTACAAACTACCCTCGGAAGACACCTTTAAGGCGAAACAACTCAATCTGAAACACTGGGGCTTCAAGTGCAGCTGCGTGATCTGCCAGGATACCACCGATACAACGGAGAGTGATCTGATGAAGCGAAGGAGGCTCACGGCGGACTTGGTGAATGCTTTTCAGGCCCTGAGCAAGTCCCGCAAGCCGAAGTCAGCTATTGCTCGAATTGAGGAACTTGTTTCTGAACTTGAGAAGACGTATCGCAAGCCAGCCGTTCAAGTCCCACGTCTCGGTATCTGGAATGCGTATTTGAGTCTAGCGGTGGCCCACGCCTCGCGGGGTGTCTTAGAGAAGACTGTTGAGTTTGCACTGAAGACTTTAGAGTCACTCGGGTATGTGCTTGAAGGCGGGGGAGTCCCGCATACGCCTGGTGCGCCGCTACATGTTATGAAATGGGGTCTGATGATGGATGGACTTATTGGATGTTGGATGATTCTTTGCAGAGCGTATTGCGATGTAGCTCCAGAACTAGCAAGTCAGGCAGAGGACTATGCTAGGATAACCTATAAGATGTGCGTTGGCGAGGATGAGACTTTTGAGGATACGTACAGTCGGTTCTCAAAGCGGACGGATGGGTTTCTTGCTGGGGTGGAATAGAAGTATGTATCATGAAGTGGATTTGCATATGGGCGCAGGAGGGAGACGGAGCTTGATATGGCGTTTCATTTTATCCAAGTCCAAGCAGTACGATGATCATGTTCCCTAAAACTTCAAAGGCATGCCAAGAAACCCGATCTTAGCCTGGCTCTACGTACTGCCGCGGAGGCCGAGACTGCCAGGATCTACGATAAATGGGCGGATCTCATGTCAAGCGGGGCCACCCTGCGACGCCTTACATGGGGCGTGGTAGTTCATGGCATCCCGATCAAGTCAATCCAGGACCTGAGTGATCAGGGCGAACAGGACCGAGTAGCCAGCGAGCTACTCGACGAGAACAGGGAGGTTTGGAACCAGAAACCCGATATCAAGCGCGTGGCCTGGCTTACCCATCCCTCCAATCATAAGAACCAGAAATCCTCCGCTCCCGTCGTCGAATTCTCTGACCCGAGGCATGCAAACGAGGCAATCATGAAAGGGACTATTTGGGCCAGCGATAGCCGGATAACTGTTCTATACGATAGGAACGCGCGGATTCGGCAATGCTTCAAATGTCAGCAATATAGACATATAGGAATCGTTTATTCGAATAAAACAACCTGCGGCCTCTGTGCCGAAGGCCACGAGACCCGGTCTTGCGTACAGAGGTCTGCTACCGGTAGCCAGGGACGCAAATGCGCTGGGTGCGACGAGGCGCACGCCGCCTGGTCGAGAGTTTGTACGAGGTATGTAGCGGAGCAGGAGCGGGTGCAAACTGCAGTTCAATATCGGCAGTCCCTGCACCGCATCCCGCCCTATCTACAGGATTATCCCTCCGTGGGTAGCGACACGGAGACCTCTGGCCCGCCCAACAGCGAGGGGTGGGCTGCGGGATCTGGGAGACAGAGGGAAAGATGGACCCGGTCAACCAGCCGGCCAACAGAGCGAAATCGCTCTACAGTAAGATTTCAAAAAGGATCTATACCGCTACACAGCTCGTAGGAGCTCGTCCCTGTGCAGCAAGAAGAAGCCCTGATAGACCTAAACCCGGAGATAGACGTGGACCCTACCCCGTCCGAGACAGAACCGTCGATTGCCCAGCAAATCAACATGATCAGCGAACCGGAGACGCCCGCACCAGTGACCCCTGCCCCCAGGGGTCGCACCCTGAGCAAGAGGCGCCCCCGCAGCGTCACCTCCTTGCGGGCAACGAGGCGAAGCGCTAGACATCAGGTAACGCAGGAAGCTGCCTCCTTTGCCATTTCGCCTGCTACAGGGGACACCCCTCCAGCGAAGAGGACCCGAAGCAAGCAGCCAACCTACCGAGGACGATCAATATCGACTAGCGATATCACTAGTGATACCGCAGTGACAGCCCTCCCAAAATCGCCGTATGCATCTCTTATTTCTGCACCTATCCCCTCAGGGCATTCGATTACGATCGTCTTGGCCGAAGACAACACGCTTGCCCGCTCAGTATCAAGAAAACGTACTAGAGATTGTCGCCATGAATAGGCCCCTACACGTGTTTTAATACAATGTGAATCGATCAAAGGATAGGGTAATAGTCCAGTTCCTCCGGGACCCTGCGGTTCTGGAGGCTGGTATCATCTTCATACAAGAACCGTAGGATAACCCCTTTCAGGATTCAACCTATTACTCAGCTAAAGCAACACACCAGCTTCTATACCCGACACGGACGGATATAGGGGACGAGCGGGCACGCGTGTGCCTCTTTATTTCGCGACAAATCGACTTTAATACCTGAAAACACATACCCCATTCGAGAGACATTCAAGAGCTTAATCTGACCGATGCTGATGGCAAGCGGCTTCGCATCTTCAATATATATAATCGACCAGCCGAGGTTGGCACAGGCACCTTAGGCCTGATCAGTGACCTCACTACTAACAATACTAACAACTATGTCCTCCTACTGGGGGACTTCAACCTTCATCACCCGGCCTGGGGCGGCGAGAATGCCGCCCGGGATACCCTTTCTAACCAGTTACTTGACTTAAACGATAGAAGGTGCCTGGATCTCTAGCTAGAGCCGGGCACCACTACCAGAGACGAAGCTGGAACGAAGACTACGATTGACCTAGTCCTCGGCTCGCAGGACCTGACCCCTAGGCTAGTTACCTGTGAGATTACTGAAAAGATTTACGCAGATTCCGATTACCTACCTATACGGACCCTTATTGACATCCAAACAAAGACCCCGGAGGCGCAGCGGCGCCGCAACTGGAAAACGTACAAAGTAAAAGATCTACAGGCTTTTGTAAATCTGAACTTACATAGCAAGGCCTTTCTACTTGAGAATAAGTAACACATTAAACTCGCAATGGAATTCCTTATTGAAACGGTAAATCAAGGAATAGCAATATTTACCCCATGGGCACAGCTCAGCAAGTGGGCGAACCAGTGTTTCACCCCGGAATGCCGAGAGATGATCAAGATCACTCGTAGATTTAGGCGTATATATACCGAGACCTGCATGGCTATAGGCCCTACCGATCCCACTACGGGGCTGGTCTGGGACCGCTATGCGAAGGTCAGAAACCGCAAAGGAAAAGTGCTGGCGAGGGCCCTACGGCAGGGACACCGGACCTGGGTCAGAAAGGTCACCGAGGCAGGCCCCCGAGGCATGTGGCGCGTGGCCAGATAGGCCAGGAACCGGGACGCCTCCGGGGGACTGGTCCCAACACTGAAAACACCAGATAACGGCCTCGCAGAAACTGCAGAACAGAAAGTTAAAACATTCTAGAAGGTTTTTTTCCCTTACCTACCTCCCGCAGACCTTTCCGATATCCTTACAACTTCTCTACCTCGGTAACTTGGCTTCCCGGATCTCGCCGAACACGAGATGCTGCGCTACATCCGAAAGGCGCCTCCTGATAAGGCTCCCGGGCCCGACGGCATCCCTAATAAGGTTTAGCACTGGCTAGGTGAGGTTCTTTCCTTCGTGAAGGCGCTTACAGGTACCTTTAACGCCTGTATCCGGCTCGGGCATAACCCCGGATACTTTTAGCAATCTATAACGGTTGTCCTCCGTAAGGCCGCGCCACGGGATTATCGAGTCGCTAAATCCTACCGGCCTATTGCCCTCTTGAATACACTCGGTAAGATTCTAGAGGCAGCTATCGCTACCCGCATAGCCTACGCATTGAAGAAACATAGCCTACTGCCACGAGGGCACCTAGGGGGACGCAAGGGTATCTCCGTCGACCATCTAATTCAACTACTGATGGATGCTATCTTTGGTAGCTGGGGCCGAGGCCAGAAGGTAAGTATGCTCCTGTTAGACGTAGCAGGGACCTTCGATAACGTCTCTCATACCCGGCTGCTGCACAACCTGAAGATGGCACGACTAGGGCACTTCGCCGGGTGGCTAGAGTCATTCCTTTCAGACCGTCAGACCCGGCTCCAATTACCTGGCTACCTGAGCGGTATCATTTCTACCCCCACGGGGATCCCCCAGGGATCCCTTATTTCCCCGATCCTTTTTCTTCTCTTCAATATGCCCCTTATTCGGGCACTGGAAATCAATACCGTTGAGAACATGCGCATCTAGCTACCGCTCTCGGGCAGAACCCTAGCATTCGGCTGGATTGACGATACTTGTACGATCGCTCTTTCCGAGTCTTATGCAGCTAATCAGCGTCTACTGGAGTGGGCACTCGATAAGGCTGCTGTATGGTCCTGGCAGCATTCGTCTAGGTTTGTGCCGGATAAGTTCGAACTGATACATTTCCGGAACCCGCTGGACCCCGATCCTAGGGCCGAGAGGGACACCCCCTGTGATTACACGGAATTATAGAAAGGAAATGACCTTACTAACGCTAACTGGGAGGACAGGAGCGCCAGGGAGATTCCCGTTGAACCCCCGGGGCATGACCAGCTGCCAATAAAGGATCACGCAACGGGCCACGTCATTCGGCCAGTGGAGCACGCTAAATACCTCAGAATCTGGCTCGATAAGACTCTCTCCTTTACTACCTACTGTACCAAGGTGGTAGCGAAGGCGAACGGAATCTCGAAGCCTTACGAAGCATCTCTGCGTCCACATAGGGTACGTCCCTGCTCAATATGCGGACCATATATCTGGCCGTAATAATACTGCAGATGCTCTACGGAGTTGCTGCATGGTATATCCCTACCAGCGGGCGTACTAGGTATGCAAAACGGCAGAAGACTATCAACGAATTCGAACGAATCCAGACCCGGGCGGCAGTACTTATTAGTAGAACATTCATAAATACTGTTTCTGCAGCTTTAGGAGCTGAGCTGTTCCTGCCTCCGGTCCGCCTGCACATGCAACAGATGATTGAGAAGACTGCAATCCGGATACAGACCGGACCGGTTATGGCCTGTCCCCGGGGATTAGTCAAGAAGAGGAGCTCGGCGGAGATAAAACGGTCAGGGTAGTCCCCCATGGAGGCGCTGAGGTGGAGGAAAGGGGGCCCCCTATAGACCGGAGGCCGAAGTTTAGCTACGTGGGAGTCCCGAAAGGCGCACGTGCTTGCCCCGTGGGAACTCCTACTTAACTGCGTGATCGAGGGAGCGGATAGCGCAGTCCAAGAACACGACAGGATCTGCCAGGAAAGCCGGAGGCAGATCTGGTACTCTGACGGCAGCAGCTTTAACGGCTACGTAGGGGGCGCTGCAGTCTCGATTCGGGCCAGGAAGGTCCGCAAGAAATACCTAGGAGCCGCGGCTGACTCCACTGTGTACGTGGGAGAGCTAGAGGGAGTCAAAATGGCCCTGAAGTGGGCAGAGGCTGCCCCGATCACGGTCTTTTCAGACAGCCAGGCGGCCATTCAAGCCGTGCAGAACCCTGGCCGACCATCAGGCCAGTACGTACTACGGGCTATCTACGAGAGGATCAGGACCCTGAGAGGCAGCGGCCTGCAGCAGGGAGATATAAAGCTGCGCTGGATCCCTGCGCGTATCGGTATAGAAGGGAATGAACGAGCTGATGAGGCGGCCAAGCGGGCCGCGATAGGTAAAGAGGATTGAATTAAGCTCAGCAGGGCCGCGGGAGCTGGCCGCTCGGCTAATCACCCGGCTTGCAGCTGCAGCCAAAACTGACGTACGCCGGAGAATCCAGGCGCAGTGGGCGAAGTGATGGGAGCGACAACGGGCTGAAAAGTCTACCAAACGGCTGATTCCGAAGCCGAATAAGAAGGTCTTAAGGATATACGAGGGCCTGAGCAAGCCTCAGACCTCTATAATTATCCAGATGCGCACAATGAGGATCGGACTGAGACATTTCCTTTTCAAGATAAAGCAGGTCGACTCCGACCGCTGCGGGTGTAAATTAGGCTCTCAAACGCCTAAACACGTCCTTATGGAGTGCTCGCTGCACCTCGCCAGTCGGAGAATAATGATGGAACGCCTCGACTCTATCGAGGGACTGCGTAGGCGTATGCAGGACTACGACGCAGTCATGAACCACCCGCAGGCGATACGTTACGTCGCCAATTTCATGCAACGAACAGGCCTCCTACAGCAATTCCGATTCGCCACATTTAACGACGAGGAGGAAGAGGAGGTCCCGGAACCCAGCACCCTCCTAGAGGGACTCGATCTAAACGAGGAAGACGATAGTTATACAGAACGCTAAGGGCCAGGGAGTCTCAACTGGCTATACGACGCACACATGCAGGAATACTACAAATAGAACGGAGTGGAAGGAGAGAACAGCGCCTAGGAGCGCAGTAGGCACGCAGCAGGCGTGTGGAAGCCGGTTTAGTTGTATTACTTTTTGATTTCCTTTGTCTACTGCTTTGAGGGTTTATATGGCGTATGGGCTCGAAATTCTGCTTCAGTCGGCGAAGCGCCTGCATAGCCTGCCGTTTCAATAGATAGGCTCCACCAGGTTAATAGAATTTTGATTGATTGATTGATTGAATGATTGAGCTTTCGGCCTCCTCTATATCATTGACCGGGGATCACGATGAAAGGGCGGGACCTTCATTTTTCGGGTTTTCTCCAACATGAGCTCACGCACTTCGCCGACCGTAAAAGGCACTGCTCGGTTCATTTCTTGTGGCTCGGCAACTAACCCCTTCGCTCGAATATAACGAACACAGGAGGCGGGCCGATTGCCGCCAGTGAACCGGAAAATGGCCTGTGCCCACTCGGTCATAATCTTTGCTGTCTGCGGTGCCTGACGATAGTAAAAGTAAAAGGTATGTGGCATTTTCTCGTACACATCGTAGGTAATTGAGACCCCCTGAGCATTAGCCAATTGCACAATCAGCCGCGCCGTATCAGTGGCTTGTTCTTCGCCAGAGGCCATCCAGATGGGACATGAGCCCGTCCAGTCTTCGGAAGCAACTGGGCTCACCAGAGGGTGAGCTAGCAGAGCGCCGTCACAGTAAAGATTTGAGCGGGGAGGTCGCGTAGGCCAAAGTGCGCACGTAGGAAAATCGGGCTGATTATAGTGGAGATTTTCCATCGGGACCGGATGTATATCAGTCTTGACATTCAGCTCATAAGAAGGAAGACAGCCCGTTTGGTCGGCTATTGGACTGACTAGTGCCAGGCCCGCAGGGACGGTGGGCTCGATCCTCTGCCCGTAAAAAACGATTGTTCTCTTCGACCGCTGGAGCCTCAGCAGCACCTGCAATAGCCCAAACGCAAGGCATGTGCCTGAGCTGTCCCCAGCAATCACGATTGAAGCGGGTGAAACGGCCTTGTGAAGAGCACCAGGGGGAGGAGCGAGCAAAGTTAAATAGGCTTGAAATACATCGAGCAAGGCTGCCGGAAAGGGATTTTGTGGTGCTAGCCGCTGATGTACCATCAAGACCTTTGAACCCGTCTCTTTAGCCAGGAAACCTGTAGTCCGGCGGTAGCAGGATGGGGTATTTAGAACAAATGTTCCACCGTAGATATAGAAAATGACCGCAGGATGTTTTGTTTCCGCATCGAGTCGCTGGAATTTCTCGCTCTCAGAGATCAAAGGCTCAGGCATGTTCTTGTCAACATTATGGCGGTATCCAACCCATTCAAATTGGAGGGCTTGACTGTCTGGACGATCATAGAAAATATTCTGATCGTTCAACTCATCCACCAGAGCTAGGAGTAGCTCGCGAGATGTATCCTCCATCGGCTTTAGGACTGTAAACTTTGCAACCCACCGAGGCCCCTTTACAGGGTCATCTCGGAGTGTTGCTGCCTGCTGATCAGAGACTGAGCTTTTCCGAACTTGTTGAAGAAAATCGGTTCGAAGCTTCTTTGCTGCCGCGAGAAGGTGGTTGGGGTCGTTATAATCCATACTGAGCTAGTCCTTGAGATGGGGAAAGGGTCAGGGAACAGTAGTTCAATGGACCAGATGATGGGTGGGGCCAGAGGGGGGAAAGTGGGAATACTCAGCCTGGGTGTCCCGATGATTAAAAAGTGAAGGGAGTCTCAAGTAATTGCAGAGGACTCATGGGAGGCAACGGACCAAACAAGATAAATGATGGGACCTTCCGACTACTTGACTGATGGAAAGAGTACATTGACCCCACTGTAGGAAATACACCAACCAAAAGATGTGGCTGAACGCACGAGGTCTTTGTGACGTGTGAAGGTCGTACAACTTTACTTCCGCCCTTTGGCCTATCATGGGTCATTGGTCGAAACTAAATGAAACAGAGACACAGCCTCGAAGCTAACTATCCAGAGAGCTCCCTTCAAGAAATCCAAATTTCTCGGAGCACAGGTCCTCGGCCGAAGTAATTGCAATACTGCTCTCATCCTACTGATGAGAAATATCGCATGGACCATCCAATCCGTGGACAGAGCGGAAAGTCACAGTTTCTGTCCTCTTCAATATGACTTCCCAACCCCCATGGGTACCAAGAGAGTCGTGTCACTTGCGTCGCTTGCGTCACTGTGGAACCTCGAGTATTGGCGACAATGGTCACCGTCCGTAGCGCGGTCTGCGGTGCCGGAATGAAGCTCCATCCCAGTTTGGGTGCCTGTGACCTTTCTAAGCCACCGAAATCTACTCGACGAATGACAGAAACTGCGTAGAGCGGCGAAGACTGGTGGTAATGTCGGCAGGCATGCGCACACTATGGCAGCAGCGCAGTGGACGACAGACCAGATGGCCGCTTTCGTCAATGACACTGCTTCGATCAGATATGCAACAAAAATCACCCCATTCGGCTGGAATCGTACTCACCCCAGCTGCTACCTGGATTATACATATAGGCAATTCGCAACGGACCGGTAACAAGTACCCTGGGCCTCGTCAGTCACTATTTTCTTCCCTTTTTTATCGCACCCCAGCGACCCACGTCACTCACAAGGCACTAAGCAAGAAAACTACCATCAGGACTAGTCGTTTGCGCATACTCAACTGCACTCGTATGATTGTAGGAATGGGAAGACCGATGACAGCGATGTCTATAATGGAGTCGGCGAGCTGGGTCGCCAAAAAAAAAGACGGGAAAGTTAATGCAAGACCCCTCAACAGTCTTGTCCCAGAAGTAGCGGATTGGGCGACAATTGAGCAGCGCCGCCGTTAAGGTAGCCACAAACCAAAGCAGGCAAATGGCCATAGCGAAGTTGACCTTTTTGCAGAAGGTAGTGCGACGATAGAAAGAAAGGATGGAGATATTTATGAGTGTGACGTTCAAGATGTATGGTGGCACCAGGGCATACTGGGACTGCATATATTGCAAATATTTCTGGTGGACTTCTGCTGGATCTGGGTAGACCTTGCCTGCTCCCATAGTATACACACCAACCAGAATATCAGCGCAAAAGGCCCAAAATGTAATTTCGGCCATGAAAGCAAACCAATCATCTAGCCCTAGTGGTGCATGCTTGATGCGGCGCTGCGCCAACAGTAGTCAGGACAACAGAGAAAATCGTCAGCGCTACCGTAACGCGTCCAGTGCGGTCGAAGACTGTAGACGAGGTCATAGTTCAAGATGTAGTTGGCGAAGAAGAGTAGATACAGATATCCTGTATGATCGTGGCCCGTTGACCCTGGGGGCTGCCGGTGTATTTATCCATATCCCGGTAACCTTGCAGCCAGCCTGCATTTTGGCACAGGATATTGGGGGCGGTCAGCTTCAGAATTTGATCCAGGGATCACATTGCACAGTTGAGAGTATCAGGATCTAGGTACATACTTACCGGTACGACACCGGGAACTTGTAGGTAGCCTTGTGTGGCAGTTTTACCGCTGCACCAAAAAGGGTCAACCCTCCCTAGCGCAGGGCGAAGAAGGCACATATGTACTGTACATACGTATTCCGCGCGGCCACACCTTGCGCCTATCCCGGTGACACCACGTGATTATGTGGTACATATGTGTCGCCGCGTATATACACTAGAAAAACCCTTACTACTAAGGGTTGACCCTTTTTAGTGTAGCGGTATTTTTCTGCCACAATATGTCCGTCAGAACAAACAAAGCAAGGCAGTCATCTTGCTTCTCCCCGTCAGCAACCTGACAGTTATTTCCCTCCCTCAAGCAATGTTGAACGTCACCAAATCATGCTGAATACCATCATCGCGCTCGCCCCTTATGGGCTGCATCTGCTCCTCCTTTACGCCGCTTCTGTCGTGGTGTATCGACTCTATTTCCACCCCCTCGCCCACATTCCTGGCCCTCCTCTGGCTAGACTGACATACCTCTTCGAGTTGTACTATGACCTGGGTCTAAAAGGACAGTTTACCTTTCATCTGAGGGACCTACATCATAAATACGGTTTGTCAAAAAATATAGAAAGCACACTCAAGAGAACTCATTTTTTTCCAGGCCCTGTCATTCGCATCAACCCTGATGAAATCCACGTTCATGACCTCGATTATTTTGACCATATCTACAGCCAGACCAACGGGCGAACTGACAAGCCACCTCACGTTGCCGGGGTGTTCGGCCCCTACTCAGCGGTAAGGAGAATATTCGTGAACATGGAAAACAGTTAAGAGCTAACAAGAATTGCCCAGACCATTAGCACCCAGTCACATTCACTACACAAGATCCGCCGCAGTGCAGTCAGTCCTTTTTTCTCTAGAAAGTCTGTCATCGATCTCGCACCAGCTATCTGCCGTCCCGTCGAGATTCTCTGTGAGCGCCTGCGCGAGGCATGTGATAATAGAGTATTGAATATGAAGTACATATTTGGGGCAGTAACACTTGATATTATTAATGATTACATCTTTGCCAGGGACCCATTTTACATTCGACAGGTTGACTTCGGGCGTAAGACTTTTGATGACGTGGATAGCTTTCTGAAAATCAGCCTACTGGTCAGGTGCCATGAATCTATCTACCTGAATAGCGGATGCGCTGACTGATATTCCAGAACATCCATATCCCTTGGCTAATACGCTTTACATACTGGATTCCTGTGGGCAGACGTATAATTTGTTTATCTTAAGAGGAGAGAAGGCTGACAATCCAATAGGACCGTGTGAACAAAATCCTAAACCCAGCCATGACTGATATATTGGACTTTCGTGTGGTATGTACTTGAGGACTTAGGCATCTCCCATATTTACCGTGAAATAGGAGCTGTCGCGACAAGTCGAGGCAATCCGCAGCGGGCAGGATACCGCGTACCAGCACACCGACCATCGAACTATATTTCATGAACTCCTTGATAGCAAGCTGCCAGCGAGCGAGTTGAAAAAAGATCGTCTGCGCGACGAAGCCTTCAGCTTAATGACGACCGGCTCAGTCACTACGTAAGACAGCAGCCCCACTCCAACATACCTTATTTACGGCAGAATAACCTGATCGCGACTCTAGAGCAGCAACTCTACGGGCGACGGCTTATCACGTAGCCGCAAATGAGTCAATCCGTCGAAAACTTTATGATGAACTCTGCACGGCAATTTCTGACTCGTCTCAGCCTTTATCTCTGGCAGTATTGGAACGCCTGCCCTACCTAGCCGCTGTTATAGATGAAGGGCTCAGGCTTTATGGCCCCGTCACACATCGCGCCTCAATACAGCTCCCGGATCGACTTTTAAAATGTCACGGATATACGATTCCTGCCAATACGACTGTCGGTATGACGCCGTACCTGCTGATGCGGGATAAAAAAATATTTACTGACCCCCACCTCTTTAATCCCGAGCGTTGGATCACCGGTCGAAAGAAACTTGATAAATATTTGATTGCCTTCGGTCGCGGCTCACGAATGTGCCTCGGGATGAACCTTGCTAGGGCTGAGCTTCTTATAATCCTCTCCGCCGTATTCCGGCAATTTACGTTTGATGTCACTGCCGTAAATCAGGCAAGGGATATCGATTACAACCATGACTATATCATGGGTGCTTCTGCTCATGATTCCCCGGGAATCCTGGTCAAAGTGCGCAGGCTTTTGTGAAGTGCTCTGAATGGCGTGGTGCAGTCATTGAAAATCCAGACCCAATATGAACCCCCTTTTTTTGGCTCATTATGGTAACATTGACCAAGGACTTCTTGTTTTACCATACTGTATTGACCGCGTAGTCCCATTTTAATCCAGACCAGTGGCAAGAGAAAGTGTTTCAAATGAATGCGTAGTAAACCAGGATCATGGCAGCTGGGTAGCATGGTCATTTCACTGTGTAACCCAACATGAAATGATTGGCCACCGTGGAAACGGTCCACATATCTCTTTGTTTGCTATTTGAAGCCCCTATTACCCCCTCTTTTGTAAGCCGACTTGTCTTCTATTCATTGCGACAGCAACAGAACAATCCACGGTAGGCTTTGGTGACAAAGAGAAGCAGGCGGTCCCCGATCCCGAAAAACAACAAGCACCGCCCACAGCATCGAAGATAACGATGTCCTCAGAGCAGGCTCCCCAGGAGCCAGAAATGAGTAGCAAGCTTGAGCTGCAAACCATGGGAGCGTCACTGGTTCATGATTCTGGACGTGTCACTCTTTCCGGTTGGCGGCTTAAGGTTCTCACGACTGGGTATGTTCAATGTTTCCCAGGATCGCCTCGCGACATTGGCTGATTCCATCAAGTCTGAACTTGTGTTGTTTCTTGTCGGCTCTTGATGCTATCATTGTCACCACATCTCTGACCTTTTTTACATCAATCTCCCCGTTGGGGCGGTAGGGCTGTTTTTCGTATATGTCACTATGCCAGGCGCCTTTCCAGATGTTTCGAACCTGTCCTCTCTCTGGTACTCTCCAAGAAAGTCCGATATTCGTGGAAAATTTGACTATCCGGGGTTCGTCTTGCTCCTGGCCGCGTCTGTCCTCCTGATCGTGGCCATTGAACAAGCGGGGTTATCATATTCATGGGATTCAGCGCTGGTAATCATCTTGCTTGTTCTTGCCATCATCCTTCTGGTTGGGTTCCTAGTGTGGGAATGGTATTTGTCTCGCAGGAGCAGCAGCAGGCAATCCGTGTTTCCTTGGAAATTCGTGAAGCATCGCGTTCTCCTAGGGACCTGCCTCACTTCGTTACTATCCGGAGTGCCTTACATGACATTAGTGCTAGGACTTCCAGGGCGGTTTCAGAATCTAAACAATGACTCGGGCCTCGATGCAGGAGTTCATATCCTGCCGTTTACTCTCAGCATCGCGATCGCTTCGGCTTCAGCGGGCGGATTAACGGCACGGGGCCGATTTCCGCCTATCGCGGTCTTTGCAATCGGCGCTGCTCTGCAAGTTGTAGGTATCGCTCTGCTGTATTCGGTTTACCCGAGCAGTGCCCTTCCCGCCAGAATTTATGGCTACCAGATTCTAGCTGGGGTGGGAGTCGGTCTTAGTTTGACCACAACCTTTAACATCATGCCGTTCATTGTTGACAGTAAAGATCTCTGTAAGTTCCTCTTGTATTCATGCTCGACCTATAGGGTATGGTCTAATATATCCTGATCCACGCACAGCCGTCGCCCTAGGTGCTGTTATCCAACTCAGGGTTCTCGGCGGTGCCCTGGGGGTTTCAATTGCCGCGAATCTTCTGAACAACACGCTCAGAAGCCAACTGTCAGGCGAGTTACCCCCTGCCCTGATTGAGCATGTATTGCATGATGTCTTCTATTCCCGGACACTGTCGACCTCGCAGCAGCAGCTCGTTCAAGCCGCTTTCGCAGATGGCTACCGGAAGCAGCTAGTCATGGTCCTTGGGTTTGCGGCAGCACAGCTATTGGCATTAGTTATTATGTGGGAGAAGCCCTTGAGAAAACTCGCTTAGATATCACATGGCTTTAGCACCATTGGGATATGTATGCTGTTCGAGCATGCCGTAAATGAGCTCTGGGCGGGTAGTCACTCCTATTCCATGCTAGTTATGGAAGTACGCATTCCATGTCACAAATCATAATATCCCCAAGCCTTTGGAGGGGTTATTCCAAGGAGTTAATGTCGCGTGACTGGGAGTATGTAAGCTACCGCCCCCGCCTCAGGTATTCTTTTATTCCCAGGGCAGAAATAGAACTCTTCCACAAGCCATCATTGCATCATTTGTCTCATCACCCGCCACAGCAATGCCCCCAGATGGCACACATGCGCGAGCCTTTTTGCGTTGAGACTTCCACATCGCCATCATCTGCGCATTGTGTCTTGGATATAACGCGGCATCTCTTCTGATAGACGAGTTCTGGGACATAGACGGCATTCAGTATGGTCGTACCTCGGGCGATCCCAACACATACAGGACTGGGCGGGTTAGAGTGCACAATGTCGTGCTCATGCTCCTTCCAGGCATGGGGAAGGTCACAAGCGCGATATCAACGGGTAGTCTACGGACAAGCTATGTGGGGATCAGACTTGTCTTCCTTGTTGGGGTCTGTGGCGGGGTGCCTGACGGCCGTGAGGTGATTCAGGGGGATGTGGTCGTGAGTGATGATTCGATGCTAACTATATGATCTATGACGATATAAATCTTGCAGTTTCGCTCATTTAGGACGATCCTAAAGCCCCTGAGATTGCATAAATATCGACTTCTTTATCGTGCAGTTAGAAAGAATTAAGACCTTCATTCATTTGAATATAATCATATAAAATCGGTTGAATAATCACTTCTTCAGTAGACCTACATATTTCTGCCACAATGAGTCTTGGGAGGGAACTCCATGTGACCCGGCAGCTGATAGCTTCGGTCGCAAGATTATTCGACGAGGGGTTGCAAACCCGGGAGTAACAACAGACAACGAGTTATGATAAGCTGCATGTTATAGAGCAAAATCTACCATGGCTGAGAACGCGGTCGGTAGTCCAGTAATTTCTTCCACGCGTAGTTCAACGACCAAAGAGGTCTTATACTAGTAATGGTCGCTGGTCGGCAGCTGTGGGACCAAGCAGGTACTGAGACCACGGTCGCAGGACCTGGACGGTCCCACGGTCGAGGAGTTCTTTGGTGAGTTAAAGCGATTCATCAGGCGTAATTGGGAAGTATATACACAGGATCCGGGTCAGGGATTTGATGTTTTCCTGGAGTGGTGCGTGAACATTGTAGGTGCACGTAAATTCAATGCACAGGGCCACTTTAGACACGCTGGCGTGACTATCGAGGAATTATAAAAGGAGAGCAACCCGAAACAGATATTAGGACAATTCGTGGGTTCTAGGGCCCTTGTTACTGTGGTCCCCGCTATTGAGATGCTTTAACTATTAATCATGTTGGATCCAGAAGTGAGGGGCGCTTCGAGAGGACTGGTGCAGAAATAAAACAGATAACGGACGATGTCAGTTTCATTTGGCCTTCCTCTGGAAAACCTGGGGGTCATTAGAATATTTATACCACAGGATTGGCAAAACTTCTGGATTATTGTAAGGAATGCAGTACCTAATTAGCCCAGCATATCCTTTTGCTGGTTTTTTTTCTCTTCTTTTCTTCTTTTCCTTTTTTTTGTTTCTATCTTTTATTTTTGGACAAAGGAGGAGCATGTACAGTACCGGCCAACCAAGCGACAGCGGTTTAAGGAGGCCATAACGTTACCACCAACCGACACATCGGAAAAAATGACGACGCCATAACAGGTTGTAAAGTCTAACTAGGGTTGTCTATAGACTATAGTCCTTACCATTACAAGTGATGGCATGCGCGAAGGATGTTGATCTGAAATGGCAGGATGCGAAACTGTCTGTAAGGCGCGCAAGGGGTACCATAGTCTTCAAAAATCCGAATATTTGGGCAAATAGCAATAGGTTTCTAGGTCGGCCTGCTATGTACGGTTTTTGGCTTTTTGAGTCCTTCTGAAACTCCGGAGCAAGGTTGTGAGTTCTAATATTCGTTAGAGCCTCAAGTCACGATATCGTGGAAAAGGCACTATTCCTAATTCTCAGCTAAATCAGACTTAGTCACCCTCCGACATCATGGCAGGCCTCCGGCATCATCCTCAAATATTCAAGGTATCATAGGTGCATATTTTTGATAACTGTGGGGGTCTATTAATACCTGTAGCGTGAGCGGATGAGTAAGGGAATGTTCATCAAACCCCTTTAAAACGAACTATTCTGCTCTATAATGGCCAATTCCAAGTTCGAGGTTCTAGACCAAGTCCACCGATATGGTCAACATGCTTCGAAGCAGTGTGCATGACCACCTCTTGCAACTAGTTGGGCCCAGTGTTAGATATCTATTTCGCCCGGCTCAGCCTGGCATCCGAGGCATGTTCATATGTTCCTTCTTGAAAAGTGGCGATGCATCGAGACTCGGACGAGTGTTTGTAGTGCCAATTACACGTATGTTCTTCAAGGAACATCTACTAGTTCTGGAGAGATCTTAATGGGTTTTGGAATTTGCCAGCCATTTACCACAGGGGTATTACGCGTTATGCTTACATAGATTCCAACAATGATATGATAGAATGTTACAGGAATGCAACAGCCCTCAACAATAGAATTCAGGTTGATGCTGAGGTCTGCGGAAGACGAAGTCTTTTGTCAGCTAGAAATGGGGTGGCATGTAGTACAGGAATGCTGTACTCCAAGTTGTTTGTTTTGATTCAGAGTTCCCTCAATGGATTATGACCATTCTTGACGGTAGGAGACTTGCAATAGATTATTTAAATAATCTAGACACCCTTGGGCATCGGGGTTGTAACCAAATCTCCTACAGGCACCATACCCCTTTGTGAATATGGTGCTAAAGTTTCAAACAAATGCCCTTCAAGGGCTTTGCACCGAAGAGCAACTCGAACATCTCAATTCCATTGATAGCCTTCGTTCACAGGGTATTAGTCATGATATTTCCTTGCCACAGATTATCGTGTGTGGTGATCAGTCGTCAGGCAAGAGTTCGGTGTAAGAGGCCATCTCAGGTGAAAAGCAGCTTATGTACCAGGTTCCCCACGGAGCTGGTACTTAGGAAGAATCCGCAGGTGGGGGTACGTGTTTCAATCGTGCCTCATCACTCTCGCAACGATATCGAACGAGATACGCTAGGTAGTTTTTGTAAGCAGCTGGATTATTTTGGAGGCCTCCCAGCCCTTATCGACAACGCAAAGGCGGCAATGGGAATAACGACATACGGGAAAGCGTTTTCGAATAACCTCCTTCGAGTAGAGGTATCTGGCCCAGACCGGCCGTTTCAGGAAGCGGGGTAATAGACCAATGGTTTGCTGTGTTTTCCCTGTCTAGAGGGAGGAAAGGGCAGGAAGTGGGTAGTCAACCAGGTCGCGCCGGTCGCCGGGCGTCGCCAGGCGACGCAGGTGCCACCTAAAGTACACCCAGGGAGCTCGCGCGACGGCGCCGGCGATCGCCAGGGTCGCCGGTTTAGAGGCACCCACCCGCCTATTGACTGCACACAAGCCACACGCCGGCAGGTTAGTAGTTGGGTGGGTGACCACCAGCGAATCCCTGCTGTTGTATGTTTTTGCATTTTTTTAAACCTTGCTCTACTGTAAGATCCTTCCTTCTTCTCCCTGTCTAACTATTTGAAGAATTGAAATTTGCGTGGTTCGTGGGTTGAGTGCACTGCATTATGGACGATCTGAACATCCGTGCGTGCCATCATTGAAAGTTAGGAAATTCTGAAAACTGACTCCAGTCACCACTAACCGTCGAAAATACGTTGCAGTCGCTATCAGGGCGTGTATAGAAAACTCATGGTCATTTAAATACAACTACACAAAAATACATTGGAGTTGGTCGCTAAATCTTAACATGAGAAGGGGGTCCGGACAGCACCAATGTCATAATGATGTCTCTGTAAAGCTGTCAGTATTTCTCCTTACAATTGTGGAGATAAGGAAGACTTACGATATCCTGAACACTGGCGTACGTTCCTCCACCGAGAACCAACATACCCATTAGAAATACCAAGATGCAGGAAACCGTATTGAGCAAGTTGTGCGGAGCATACCATTTGCCCTCGCGAAGAAGTTTGAACCACATGACGGGTGGAAAGTAAAGGACAAATCCGGAGATGAGAAGAGCAGAGCTCAGTGCCAGAAGGTCGTCAAAGAAGGGAATAGCTTCCGCTAAGATCCAGGCAACGATGGTGATGATGGCGAGAGTGATAATCCATGTAATCCATCCCTTTGGCGTATTGATGAAGCGAACAATAGAATCTTTGTACATGCGGAGATGAACATATCGCGCAGTGACGGTATTGCCAATGGCTCCGGAGATAAAGATCAGCGGTAGAGCGACACCGAACGCCACCTTGGGAAGCACTCCAGTGAGGGATAGTAGGGAAGGACTCTGGACATCGGCGCCGACGAAAACGAAGATAAGTGAGCCGATGAGGGTATAAACGACCATTTCAATGATTCCCAAGGTCCAGACAGACTTCATAAAGTCCTCCGGCGTGTGCATCTCAGACATGAAAGGTGTGATAAACATGCTGAAACTGTAGGCGAACATGATATTGCATATCGCGACCATTCCATCCTTGAATGTGGCGCCTTGAGCTGGCCATGCGGACCAATTCTGTCCAGTGACTCCGCCAGGGGAGTTTGATGCTTCAATTCCGGATCCTATGATAACAATGCCAATAGTTATAGTCACAGAGGCGAGGTCGATGTAGCCTAAGATGGCGGCTTCAGCGAAGGATGGTGCAATTGCAAAGAGAAACAAGAGAATAGCTGAGACGACGCCGAAAACTAGGCCGCAGGCACCTTCCTCGGAGAGGGTATTGAATGCAATCGTACCCGTGAGGCAAAATGATGCCGTCATTAAAATTAGCTGAAGCACGTACAAGATGCCCACCAGCTCTTGTCCAGGTCGCCCCATGACCAGGCCGCCGATATCTCCATAATGATGGATTTCCGGATAACGGACCTTGACCATTCCGACGAGATACCCTGTATAGATGACCACAAATCCAAGGCCAACGCAGCAGATAATGCCCGCAACGAGGCCAAGCGTTGCAAATGCACTGGGAAGGCTGAATGTCCCCAATCCTATGGCCTCGACAAGGAGGATCACGGCCATCCGCTTCCATCCAAGGCGGCGGAATTTTGCTTCTCCTTCGACTATCTTGTGTTTCTCCAAATCACTGACAGTGCCGATTGCATGATCATACGATGCGTCGACTCGCGATATTTCGTCCGGGTTGAGACCACCGGCATCTTTTGCTGAACGTGCCGTGGGATTTCGTTGGGAGGGAGTATTCTTTTTCTCCATATTGACAGATTTTTCTTGTTGAATTGAAGGTCAGAAACAGGTGGTTTAGGTGGATATAAGTTGGCCGTCAACCCCGCATACTGGGGAAGATAACAATGAATAATAGAAATTAGAATTTAGAACAACTGTCGGGGTGGGTGTGGGTACTTGAATCAAGGTTTCTTTTTACAGTTTCACCTGAGGCTAAGCATGATACCCCGTCATTTCCCCAGTTTCGCAAATCCTGGCATCTGCAATGGTTATAAGACAATCGCTCGAGGTTGCCGGCTGAGCAGTGACTATTGGAGATATTGCTCATTAGGTTTCGCTCATAGCTTCGAGTTTCCCCTTTTGTAATGGTCAGTGGGTACTTGAACCGGCCCTCGTATGTCTTTCTGTGGGTCGTACCCGGTCGTAGCCGGTCTCTTACCACAGCTTCTCTGTTGCCGGGAATAACTATTACACATAGAAAGATCCACTCTATGTATCTTCCCCTGTCTGAAAGACCGCAGGAGGAGTTACTGTTCCACTACATGTGCGGCCAAGCGCTTAATTGGCTACGAGGGATAAATCTCCACTTAGCAATCAGGCAATAACACCGAAAAAGCAGACACAAATCGTGGACACAGAAAAATCGGTCGTCCAGTTATCAGGATGGGGCTGGGAAAACGTGATAAGGACTCAGTAAAAGTCAGAGCTGCTTCTAGGAGTAGCACTTCGGTGTGAGATATATAGCCCACGCGAACAAAGCCTGAAAAATCCTGACCATTCCTAAAACACCTTTTACCTAGCAGAAAAAAGACATTTGTCTTCGAGAGAAGGTCTTTGTAGAAATTTTCTTCGTCCCCAGGGATGTCACCAGGCTTAGCCCAGGAGTAAATATGCCTGTTTCTGTCGAAAACCCACCCAACAGGGTGAGATTCTTTCTGGCCAGCTCCTTGTTTCGTTTCAGGTGTAGATGTCGAATGACGTCCAGTAGTTAACAGTTGGCAATTTGGCCATTCATTCTAGGGGCACTGATCGCTGTGTAATCCAAGGATGCAGCCAAAGCACGGGCGATTCCTTATTTTTTGATTGTACCCAGCCGGTACAAATTCCGGTCGTCTCGTACTCCTTGGACATGGAACCAGTGACCACTACATTGACGTAGTCTAATGTCACGACATAAGGATGCAATTCCACCATCTTTTGGAGAGTTCGTGATGGAGGGGGCGACATACCTGATCGAAAGGACCAGACCTCGTTGCCCGGGCAATCCTACCAATGTTCTGAAGAACGCTCCTTGGTTTCAACAGAGCCGTGAAACTATTCTGATTATTTATTATAATCAGCTCAACATGGAATTTGTGTCCTGCCCATTGGAGTTTCTCCTTGGCATCATCTTTTCAAACTCGTTTGTGTCGGGCACGAAGCCACTGCTTTCTTGGATTTTCCACAGCGACACCTCGACACCGGTCTCTTCAGGGACGCTGTAAAGCTGCTGATATGCTGGATAGATCGAAATGACCGAATCTCTCAGGCAAATCTGAATGAAAAGGACCTAGAAATAGGCCGCGATAGCCTCCTGTGTCACCAACACATCGTCGGCCTCGAGAAGGTTCTTGTTTCACAGTGCATTCTTGCCAAGCAATCTGGTGACATTTGTACGCAAGTCGGCAGTACCTCGGATGACACCCTAAACGAGACTCATAGAGGGGTCAAAGGGATTGAAATCATCTCTGTTGCCACTCTGCCGCCACCTTCATCGAACCGGAGGCTACGCCTAATTCTGCCGTATTGAATACCCCCAGTGTCACTTCATGTATCCATCCATCTCTCCACTTCGAAGGTAGAGATTGGCACCATTTCAATCTTTCAAAACATGATGAGAGACGTGTGCAAGTTGGTGCAAATCACAAAGACACGCCTCGAGTTTCGGTATTTATGTTCCCAAGAGACAATGCTGCGTGAGTCAGAGGCTAATAAAAAGAAACCAGAAGAAAACAAAAGAATGGTATCTATCTCCACATGGTACGAAAAACATCCGGTTATTACCGAACGACTTCGTTCATCCTGTTGGGTGTGTAGGATGAATGTGGATTGAGATGGTAGGACCATAGGATATGATGGTAGGACCATAGGATATACGGGTCTCTAATGCCACGCACCGAACTTTTCATGGAATCCCGCACTCTGCCTTCGTTCTACTGAGTACTTTACTTATAAAGCGGCCTCTCCTATCTAAACCAATGATGAATTCCCAGCCCATTCTTCTCATCCTCGAGTCAGCTACCATGGCGTACCGCACTCCCGTCCACACCACTGCCGCTGCCGCGCCCCTTCCCGCAATATTCACAGGCTGTCAAGTACAATGGCCTAGTATACTGCAATGGCTCAATCGGCATTGATCCGAGGACTGATGAGCTTGTTCCGGGGACCGTGACCGACCGCGCGCACATGGCTCTCCAGAATCTCGAGGCCATTGTTAAGACCGCTGGAAGTGGTATGAACCGTGTACTCAAGGTCAATGTCTTCTTATCCGACATGGATGATTTTGACGGCATGAATGAGGCCTGGGATCAGTTTTTCCCCGAGGACCCTAAGCCGGTGAGTTGATAGGGTAGTTAGCGGATTGCTCGAATGAATGATTTCGCCAGAGGGCAAAGCTGACAATTCCCAGTGTCGTACCTGCGTTGAGGCTCGTCAGCTGCCGCTTGGAACCGACGTTGAGATCGAAATGATTGCAAGTTACGATTTGGAATGAAGAATATGTAGTTAACTTTCGAAACTCTAGCGAGAAACCGAGAGTCTCTTCGATAATGAATAAGAAGAACAATGTACTGAAACTTTATGGCTGTCTTCGTAACTAAACGACTTGCCCTCCCCTGGGCTTGAGTGATATTGCATAGTCCCAATAAGAAACTGCTACACTGGATAACACAAAAATGAGATAATTATATTAACCAATGTTGTATCAACGCTCTGTGAATAGAGGAAATGTCCAGAAGCCTAATCCTAGGGATCGATTTCAGCTCCTCTGCTTTCAAGTTAATTGCCTTGATAGCATATGATAGTGCGAGCAACGAATTGCTCTTTTCATTCACTCACTTATTCAGCAATAAAACAAGAAAGGAGAAAAGAATCATATCCAATCTTCGAGTCTGCTCTCGTTCTCATAGGTCTGTCGTATGGGACGATCATCTTTAGCGAATCACGCTAGCCTAGCGCCGCTTAATTGTCCGGATTGGGAATCCGGGGACTATGTAGATCCGCACGCGTCAACTCGGGGCCCTTGTTCGAAGTACAGCTGCTAACATTGACGTGATTGGGTACAACGTCTCGATATCTTATTCTAGTATTTCCCATAGACAAGGACATAACTCCAGATATCGCATCACCGAGGTAGGAAAGCTAGTATACTAATATGAAATACCTCGACGAGTCTGCCTATATTTGTCTACATTCCTTCCCAACATCACTATTGTGATATCGGAAGTCCAACAAGAAAGCATGCTCAATGTAGTAGTGGATTAATTCGCAGAGGAGGAATTCGACACAACTTTAGCCGTCCGCAATGACACTAGTATGATATTATGGAATCAGCAAAGGCTTTAATATATAAAAGTCCTAGAGAACTAATCAAGGCTTTATCCTGAATCGAGTGTCCAGATCATGATTTAGGTTTGTCAATGACATAAAAAGCCACAAACAAAGCATTAAGACTTAGTTAAAAAATAGCATTTCCAATTGGCGAAACTATTCAAGAGTGGTGTCCACGAACGGCCCACCACTGTAGGTCCAAATAGTATTGTGTTGACAACCAGTTAAATGCGCCGTTCAAGTCCATCAAAATATTGTTCGGACCGAATACAATCTAATTATCTTTCCCGCTAAAATCTTGATTGTGACACTCCTCTTGCTTCTGACAAAGATACTCATCCGTCTTCCCCGGAAATAGCAGGTTGAAAACAGATTCCATGAGGCCGTCGTGATTCGTTAACACTCCTCCTTAACAAAAGCGTCGCCATGATCATCACACACTGACAGATAACAGTCTATTTAGTTCCCTATGTCGTTTGATCCAGCATTCGTGCATTGGACACAGTATTTTCTATATCTAGTTATGAACGAGTACATACGACCGCAAGGTGTGGAGAACAGGGCTTTCATTCCTGTCCGCTCAGGCGTAATTAAGCAGCTCTTGAACTGGAAATAGTATCACGTTTTGTGTTACATTAGGGGCTGATGGTATGCATGAGAATCCTGGAGACTGGGGGCGAGATAAGACAGAACATGGGTATGGTTGCCTCTGCTCCTTCTGTGCCAGTCGCCGAGAGTGTCACAGGTGCTTTTATTCCATGCTTGACTTATTCCACAGGCAGATCCTGTCAGTATCACATTCTTGCAGATTCAATATTGCCATCTAGGTTCGCTAATACCCCAGCATCCCTTGGTGACTTTCGTCCCGCCATAATAAAATCCCGCGAGCAGGAATGTTGATTAAAGGTTCATCGGGGGATTGACGTCCAAGTGGGGCCCGCCATTCCCCAATTTGGGGTAAGGTGCGTCCCCCTTCCAGTTGTATAAGAGCTTCCCCAACTCTTCTTTATAGTGACAGAAAAAATACAACGTATTCTACAATGCAAATGGACATCCCATTACTCCCGCCAGAAGTTCTTCTCCTAATAGCTCGGCTCTTAGGCCCGCGGGACTTGATCCACCTGGCCCGAGCCATGCCCGGCATGGACCGGCTCTACAAACCCAAATATTGGGTTCCCATCAAGGACGAAGGAGGCGATACAATGCTCCATATAGCCGCGGCAACTGGATGGATAGAGATCATTGACTCGCTTCTCTCAAAGAATTTTGATCTTGCCGTACGGAACAGTCAAGGGTACACCGCTCTACACTACGCCTCTCAAAGAGGCCAATACCATGTGGCATGTTTACTACTAAATGCCGGTCTTAACCCTAATATCGCCGCGCAAGGGGGGGTGAGGGCATTGAATCTGGCAGTCAGCGGCAGAAAAGCCCGGTTGGTTCAACTCTTGCTCGAGAACGGGGCTGATATTATGGGCTTGACAGCGGGTGACTGTTCGGTTCTTCACTGGGCAGTCTCGACTCAGGACACAGATATAACCAAGCTACTTCTTAGTAAAGGGGCAGATGTCACCAAAGAGGATATGTTTGGTCGGACGCCACTGCATCTGGCTGCAGCGGAAGGGGATATGAAAATCGTCGAGCTACTCTGCCAAGCTGGTTCTAACACACTGTCCCCTGATCATGATGGGAATACACCGGCAGATGTGGCGGAACAGCAGGGCTGGCCGTTGACAGCCAAGCAAATTCAAGGCTTGCGACGAGATAATAGATCTTTAATGTCTTTTCATGACCTTTTGACCTTCATGAGAAGCGCGTTAGGATGGGTATAGCCGACAATTGTGTTGGTTGATTATATGATGGGCTTGAATTTCTATCGGAGCCAGCTCGCTCAAAAAAACACTGTATGTATAACAGAAATACTATTTTGAAACATTCAATCACTAGTGAAAAGCGCCATAACCCAGCTTTAACAGCAGCATCTTCTTGGCCGGAGTAGTCCAACAACAGAAGACAGTCGCGCTACTCGTCCTCGTTGTGATCATCAAACGGCCAGTGTCGTTTCGTCATTTCGCGCTCATGGTCTATGCCAAGGGATGCAAGGCCATCGATTTTCACCTGACAAGCACGGGCACAAGCAGCTTCATATTCTTCCAGGGGGGTCCAACCGTCCATACTTATGCCAATGGCATTGCGAATATGTTTGAGTTGGATATCGACCTCTTCCTGCATGCTTTGTAAGTGCATGATGGAATCAGACTTGGTCGTAGAGAATGATATCGGACACGGGTCGGTTGAATAGTTGTGCCAGGTTTTATTGATAAGAACAAGGTCGGCCTGGAGTTGGATGTTATTCCCCTCCCAGGGCTCACTCGCATGGTTAAAAATCCGGCGCGTAAGCATGTTCGTAGGCTGATCCATGGCGCGGAAGTGAGGGTCATTGAAAAGCTGCGTGAAGGCTAAATAGAAAAAGTGGGTATGACGACGCTGAAAATCATGAAGAGCGTCGATCTTTTCGTCCTCGTCCATGTCGCTTAAATCTGGTCTAGGAGGCTGGCGAAATTCAAGGGATTCAGGGTCGTCGAAGTTCTGAAAGGATTTCGGGATCCCTGCGGCGAGAAAGAGTGGCAGCACAGATGCGTGTTGCCAGTCAATTAATCCGACAATGTCAAGATTATCCGAGACAAAAATGTTATTCGGCTGACGATCAGGGTGGCGAAGAACAGGCCGTAAAAATTCATTCGACGGGAGCAGTTCAGGAGCAATCTTGAGGAAGGATTCTAGCGAGACAATATGCTCATCGGGGTCAGACAATCGGTAATCTATAGATTCGCGATATGCACGCTGAAACGGGAATCGCGGTCGGCCATACGCGCGCAGCCAGGCCAGTTCTTTCAGCGCAGGGTTTCGGAGAACATCGATAGGGTCCTCACCTAGCACATGATTGGTCAGGATTGAGGCAAGCCAGCGTACGAGGCACTTACAAGGACCGCGGTCAATACGGAGCGAGGCACGCTCTGCAAACCACCATTCGAGAGCGGCATTAGGGCCGATGCAGAAATCTGAGTCTGGGATGAGAATGCGCGGTGAGTCCGATGGTAGGTCGTTGGGATAGTATATGCTTCTGCTCGCAGGAAGTTCGATAGCATGAACCTTTGCTTCTAGCTGTACAAGCTGCAGAAGCAATTTGAGACGTTCTCGATCAGATAACTCGAACCACTGATCACCAAGTGGTCTTCCTGGTACCTTCTCCATGATGATATACTCTGAGCCAACAGGATTTTTAGCATCTGTAGAGTATGCATGCACACGAGGCACAGGAAGACTATGAGCCCGAAGGAGCGCCAAGGTCGCCACCTCGCTAGCGACTACCAATCGCCCTGGTTCTGTTGAGGGGTATGGCAATCGGGCAAGGACTTCAGTACCATCAAGCATGGTGATCTATAGGAGACGATTGAAGCCCCCTTCCGCCAGCTTTGACAGACTCTTGATATTTGTATCGCATCTCGGTACCGACCGAGCAGCGGCGCTTTTCAATGCATCGATGCTGAACCTCCCGTGGCGCTCAGCAAGACGGATGTTTTCGTTGTATCTACCTGTATGAGCTATCAAAGTTGGGCAGCAGAGGGCACCGTTGAGTGACTCACATCTATTGATCAGATGTGTATTCGAAGAGTCGAGGATTGTTATTCATCGTTGAAATATTCCGGGAGATAAACGTCGAGGAGGACATAGTAAGTATCCAAAGAGAAAGGGATCGAGTGATCAGAGATGGTCGCCATGTCCATGGTGCCACCTTTGGGTTGATCATTCCGAGGATGGGCCGTTAACGAAAGAGATAAACCGTAACTAACGCTACCAAGTGCCTTCGCTCACAATGTATAGTTATCGTGCCATTTCCTGCCGACCGTTCTGGGTACCGTGAGAGACGGAGTGCTACCGTGATTGGAGAAAGGAAAGAGCACTTTCTCCTTCTCTCCTGCAAGGCGATGTTTCCTCACCGCTTGCTTCTATTCTGCCGCTCTTTCTTCTCGCTAGTATCTTGCACTGGAAAACTTTCATGACCTGAAGGCTTCTCTGCTTATAGCTGTGTTGGAAAATGCACAGGGGAAGGAGGGCAGAATGACACTGTATCGGCTATACGCACGTAGCCTACTAAGGAGCGAATGCTTTCTGAATGATAGGGCTCTTAATTCTCTCGCATAACGATTCAATCTTCTCTATATCTAATGGATAAAGGGGTAAGTTTCTCAGGGGTTCGAGTGTGCGGGCCAAACCGCTAGATCACGTAATCCCATGGATTCGTATCAAGCTGGTGTTCTTTAACCTGCTCTAGCATTGATTCCTTTTGTTGGTTATTGAATCTCTAGTCCCTTTTTCCCCCACAGTGTGACAGTATTCATCGTCTATGCCAAATCCGTAAACCTTGTAGCTGGATTAATTAACAGCACATCCAGATCACGCATGTTATATGCTCCGCTTTCATCCTGAATAGGTACTGGCTCTGGAATATTTGCGAGACGACTTGTGAAGCCACGAGAGAGCAGTAACCCTACAATTCTTGCTGCTTTAATGGCTCTCGTCGTATCACTGCTCAGTCCTCCCACTTCCTGGGTCAATGTGCTCCAGAATATGTCCTGCAAAGTGACGTAATCGTCATACCGGATCCAACCTATCTTGAGATGGACCTTGCTGATCAGTCGCTAGTGGGAGTATAGGTTCAAACCAAATGGCCCAATCTCTGCTTTGGCCCAATCAACTACCCCAACTAAATTGCAAGTCATTTCGTTCACGATAATGTTGCAGACACCAAACTATCTGTGGAGTAGCACCATGGGAAAGGAAAAAATGGCCGGTAGTGAGTTGAGAGACTCTTGGATTATCGGGTGGAAGCGATCTGGGGGAGACACAATCAGTGAATCAAGTTCTTTTTTGTATCGATGGTACAAGGAGTCGCGGTACGTTTGATCGACAAGTCGAGGGCATTTCCACGACAGAGCAAAAAACCTAACAGGGCGTGTAATTAGCAATTTATTATATTGTTAACTAGAATGTAAGAACGCTAAGAATACTTCGCGATATCAATGACTAAATTCTTGCGCCATGAAGAAAACTTGGGTGAGTTTTTGGGCACCTGACTGTTATGTGCCAGGATAAAATCCAAGTAACTAATGCCTCGTACTCGACTCAGGATGTAGATGTAAAGGGGTTCTTTGCTCTCGATTCCTTCACCAATTTGCCCCAGAAATGTCACCTGGGGTGCAAATTGGCCGTAAATGCTTCGAGCGAGATTTGTAACATTCATACCTAGTTGAAGGGACGCAAGACGAAACTGAACGACGAATTCGGCATTGGGTCCAGCATAGACGGTATAGCTGCATGCACCTTGCACGGCCACCGGAACGATGCTCCCACCAAGACGCTCCCTCGCAAGAGAGTCACACGCTGAGGGAGTCTCTGTAGTCTTCTCGATGAAGTCAGTAATTTCTTGGTCAACAGAGTACATGAGGTTACTGGTGGCCATGATGGGCACAGGGTCCAAGTCGATTTGTTTGATAGTACGAGCTTAGGAATGGAGGACGAGGTGGTAGCGGAGGCTAGGCAAAAAGGGGGGTGTCTTTATTATATATCACAGGATGTCAGGTGACAGAACATCGACACCTAGGTCCCTTATGTTTCTGGCTGAGGGGTTTCTCCGTATTCCTTCCACTTACTAGATTTTATGGACATTCCCAGTTGGGGTTCATGCAGTACAGGCGTAGGCCAGTCTTCTAAATAACTGGTAGAATGCGAGGTAAGTTCATCATCATCAAACAAAGAAGCACGGAGGAGAAGCTATGCTGATTTTCTACCATAAGAACGGCGCGGATCATGCTCCAGGAAGCAGGTAATACGTCACAGTGAGAACCTCTTATTATGTCCAGACATTCTCTCATTAGACCTTCTCGATGGGAAAAGCTTCGTGACCCAAGGGGTCAGCTGAGTTTATAAAACACTATATTATTGCTCACTCCGAATGCTCAATGAGATGGCTAACTACCATAACAAATCCTATGGACCACTTGTAAACACTGCGCTTTTTCTGACCTTCTTTGCGAGATTCTCAACCCTGGTGTTTACCGATCCTTGAAAGGACGAGCTGGATTGGTGCGATTTTCCATCGGCATTGCCCGTATCCGCCAACGGAATCCGAAGCAAAATAGTGACACGCAGGAACTGTTCACGAATCCACTCATACTGCCCAGGTCTGACAAAAGTCCTCATAAGAGGGCCGTGGTCTTCCAAAAAGAATGTCAACAGACGGCTGAGCGGCCACATTATCGCCCACGGCCCTTGGGCGATAATGTGGCTCCTATGCTCATTCCAACTTGTTTCATTCCCCGATGCTGGAATCTCATCGCTAGGGAGCAAATCACTAGGGAGAAAAAAGGTCGGATCGGTGAAGTCTCCAAGGCTCAATGGTCCGGCTTGGTTGCCAAGATAAAAAGGCACGCTGTGGCACACCGAGTCGACTAATCCTTGAAGAGTCTGTTTGTATTTGACGAAATCATCATCACTCGCAGAGAATATGTCGGAGCTGATGATGATCTTGATGAGTAAGAGGCGCTGCACGCGCCATAGGTTCCAAATTGTTCCAATTTGGCAGGAAGGATAGACCTCGCAGACAGACAGATAGGTGGGAATCAGTGGTTCGATGTCTTTTCCGCTTATGAGTTTCTTGGGCCTCCAATATTCTGGGACATTTCGAGCCCAGGCGAGGAGCTGTTCGTCAATATTCCGTGCCTCGGCCCTCCAGTCTCTGTGGTTATGCTGTTCTGAAAGCATGGGATCGCCGGGCGTTTCTCGCTGGAAATAGCTAGCTTGTAGCTCGGCGACAGATGCACCTAGAGCATCAAGCGCAAAGCTGGGGTTATCTGGCTCAGCAGTCGGATCTTTGCTCCGAGTAAAAGACGAGCGTACAATTTTTTGCAAGGGCCTATTCTGGCGCATGGACGATGACATCTCGCTATGAAAAATATACTTTCGAAGATATCCACTCACGAACTTGTTGGTGCGGTCCGAAGCCGCGAACGGGAGCAAAGAGACGGCGCCGTCGTGGTGGACCCTCGAGGCTGGGCGACGGCCGTACACAGCAGCGACATTCTCATAAAATTGTAGCGATATCACGGCTAACACGGTTGCTGGTCGCCCCCGCTCATTGGGATCTTGTATTGAACGGCGAAGACACCTGAGGGCCTCAGAATAAACCTCTTGTGGTCCTTCGAAGCTACGACTGTGACACCAGAGAGACATGATCTCCGAAGCCAGGGCCGAGACCGCCAATGAGAGCGCGGATTTTAGTGGCTGAGAGGAGTAGACTGGGACCAGCAGTTCAAAGAACCCGCGGGCTGATCGCATGTCACGGCCCATGACGGCATAATGCTGGATAAAGAACGAAACGCTCGTGTCGGGTTCAGCCATTGGTCGTGGGCTAGGACAAGCATTTCTTGGGACTATTTTGTTGCCGAACTTGTGGTTTTGATCTTTGAACTTGTACGTGGTCGGTTTAGCCTTGTAGCCTCCACAGCGAAGGCCGAGGCGCTGACACGACTGGCAGCTGGGTCTCGTCTCGTCGCATTTCACGCGCCGTCCTTTGCAGGTCAGGCATCCTTTAGAGCGCCCGTGGTTGACCATGGCGAGAGTGCGTGCCAAAAGGAGTGATAACGTTGCGAGGAAGTTGATCGCAGATCAGGGTCTCCCATGATGGGCCGGGTAATATACTGACTGGGGCTAAATTAGGCTCCAACATGCCGAGCGGCCCATCGCAAACCATTTACTGCTTTTGGTTTAGCGGATTGGCACAGCCTCACCGATTTATGGTGCAGCGGTAGTTAAACCGGCCATACTCCGTCTGTCAGATCCTATCGCAAAACAATCACTTTATTCAGTACAGTGTTGTGGTGCTTTAATGATGGCGCCTTGGTTGATGCCACTTACCTCGGAGAGCAGGATGAAGTATAAGTAGAGAGTAAAAGACAACAGTACAAGAAGACATCTCAAGAACCATAGTTCCATTTCACCCGCAATCCGATCAACACATCAATCTCGTTGCTTTCTTGCTCAATCATGAAACTCTCTGTCTATACCGGCCCGCTTTTGGCCACAATAGCATACGGCCGTGCAGCGGTCGCTACCAACAGCACTGAGAAAGCTCCCACGCTACAGCTAAGCACAAGCGCAGAGTTCAACTTTCAACTTCTCATTGCCCTTGGCGACGCTACCTCGGGCGGGGCAGATATCGGGCCCGTTTTGGGCGCTGCCAACGAAATCAGAGCCGGAGATATGGCCCACTTCAGCCGCCAATTTTATAGACTCGCCAACTCTACCAAGGCCCAAGCCGAAGACCCGGAAAACGCTTTCGATCCGATCAACGTCAGAGACACTTGGTTTTCTGCATCCCAGTACTTCCGACGAGCAGACTTCTACGGCCACCACAACTGGAGCAATCCGCTGATTAACACATTATGGGCCGAGCAGACTGCAGCGTTTGACGAAGCCCTTGCCGCCCTTCATATTCCTGGCAAGCGTGTCCAGATCCCTTCTCCAGAGGGCAACTTCACCGTCGAATCGATCTGGTATGGTGCGCCGGGGAGTGAACACCGCAAATTACCCACGTTAGTGATCGGAAACGGGTTCGACGCGGCGCAGGAGGACTCGTATCACTACTTCGTGGCGCCCGCTCTAGCTCGAGGATGGAACTGCATCACCTAGGAAGGCCCTGGGCAACCAACTGTGCGCCGGAACCAGAATCTGGGCTTCATCCCGCACTGGGAGAACGTGGTAACGCCGGTTGTGGACTGGATTTTCGCCGAAAAGGCCGACGCGGTGGACACGGACCGGCTTGTGCTGATAGGAAACTCCTTTGGAGGGTATCTAGCAGCCCGAGCTGCGGCTTTTGAACCCCGTCTGTCCGCAGCCGTTCTCATCGGCGGAGTCTGGGACACCTATGCTGGGTTCTCGGGTCAGTTCCCGTCCGAATTGATTGGCATATACGAGGCAGGTAACTACACGGACTTCGATCGCAAGGTCCATTCGCTGCGGGAGACTGGCAAGCTTCCTACATCTGCGGCTTGGGGCGTGGATCAGGGCTTGTGGTCGTTCCATACGCACTCACCCTCTGAATTTCTCAATATGAGCCAGAATTTCCGACTAGAGGACGCCGTTGACAAGATCAAGATACCAGTATTCGTTGGGGACGCGGAATTTGAGAACTTTTTCAAAGGACAGCCGAAAAAAGTGAAGGATGCTCTGGGAGACAGGGCTACTCTACATGATTTTAAAGGGGTTGCGGGATATCATTGTCAAATAGGTGCTGCACAAGAGCTTACGAGAACAATGTTTGCATGGATTAACAAGACGCTTGGCTAAGGGGAAGGCGGAAGCAAAAATTAGTCATTGTATAGATAGGTCAGAGGACTGCTATACAGTTCCGCTCCAGGCATACGAATTTCTCTCTAGACCAACCCAAGAACAAGTCCAACACGCTTTCACTCTTGATATTACTTCAACCGCTTTCCTTCGTAGTCTTCGCCTCCTCCCAAATCCCATTAGCCATCACATCAACAACCTCACTGAATTGGTCCCTATCTAACTCATGCGCCAGCACCACCCGAATCGCATACGCGGTCGCGTTATCAGAGTCCAGCCGCAGCTTGCGGTCTTCGACAACCCTCATAATCCAGCACAGCAGCTTCTCGACGCGAAACGGGCGCTGGGCACGGTAAAGGCTATCGACCGAGGAATCGAAGCTGAAATACAGTATCAATATGATTCTCAAAGCAATTGTTATTGTTGCTAGTGCACTGGCCGCTCGCACCGCCGCTCACGGTATTGTGAGCGAGTTCTACACTGACGGCGACCGGAACGCCGGGTTCCAGACGGAGTACATCTACCGCAAGCAGAGCGGAAACCCTGTACCTGACCTTGCTGCTTGGTCTACGGAAAGCTTGGATAGGGGCTACATCGAACCTAACAACCTGCAGACCCTTCACATCAATTGCCATGTGAATGCCGAACCTGGTGTTCTAACGGCTCAAGTTGCTGCGGGAGGCAAGGTTGATTTCTTCTGGCCTGACTGGCCCCATAATGTTGGCCCAGTCCTTACCTACATCGTCGCATGCACTGGTGACTGTCTACAGACAAGTCCACTCTTAGGTGGGTAAAGATCGACGAGTCTGGCTATGATGGTGAATGGGCAGGTCAGAAGCTTATGGACAATAACTTCACCTGGACGACCACTGTCCCTGAAAACATCGCTGCAGGGAATTATGTCTTCCGCAATGAGATTATCAACCTCCATAGCGGTGCCGAGCTCAATGGTGCGCAGCTCTATCCACAATGCGTGAACATTGAAATCACCGGTTCAGGGACAGAAACTCCCGAGGGTGTTCTTGGCATCAGCCTGTATAAGGCTGATGACCCAGGCATCCTTTTCGACCCTTACGGCAAGACAATCGACTACCCCCTTCCAGGGCCTGCGCTCTACAGTTCACCTGGTTCTACTGTCTCCCCAGCTCCCATTGGCTCTGTTACTACTGGCCACACCACTATTGCACCCACCGGTACACCTGCAATCGAAATATCGGGGCATCCCAGCGCAAGCTTCACTGCTCCCAGGACCCGTAGCAGGTCTAACCCTGGCTCACGTACTCGCACTTCAGGCCCTTGCCCTAGTGATGTATGAATTATGGTATGTTCACAGTCCAGCTCCTTTGTGTGATCTTACATTCATTGCCGTGCAAACCAAAATCAATGAATATGGCTAATTTGAGCTCTCTCTAACATATTAGAAATAAAAAAACTGGGAAAAGAGTACTTGATGCAGGTACCGGTTTGCAAGGTAGTATATTGGTCCACTGCACCTCGACATGCGTACCTCGTACGAGGTATCCTGATACTTGTGGACTCGATCACTACGTGACCTCATCGACCACTTATTGCTTGTTGCCCTTGTTGCTCTGCTTGTTGTAAAATGAGGTTGGTGACGCCGGGAATAGGACCGCAACATCGGAAATAATTCCATAGTCACTCATAGATGAAGCAAGTGATTGTAAATCAAATTTCTTCTCAAGATGTATATAGCCTCATGTATACCCTCTAACAAGATAATAATTCAACTTTCCTCTAAACTACAACATCAATATGTCGAATATAATCCGCAAGGCACAAGGGAAGAACAGCTCAGCTGAGTAGATGCTTAAAGACGTGGAAGGTAAGGTCATTGATCTGAAAGTTGGGCAGTATTGACGTTCGTATAGCAATGTTGACACCTGATATAGGAATGGTTTAACTCCAGTATGGGTAGTTGAAAAGCTTTTATTCTCACAATTAAATCCATCATCCAAACTGAAGGCTCTAGGTATGATATCATCTGTCCTTACCAGCTTCTGCCTGGTCCAAAAAGTCCTTAACAGTAGTGGCGCGCAGCCCTTGGAGAACACCAGTGCCTCATTCTAAGGCTTTCTCCCTGGGGTTGTGATTTGCATTCGTAAATCCAAGGATCCTCATCTGGTGGATGGCTAAACCAGGGCCATTCTCCTTGTAACCTTCAAGTATGTCCCTAAGGACTTCCGAAAGGGCCACTGGGTTTAACTCCCAGGCAGGGTCGCGTGATTGGATAAATTGGAAAAGCTCCCTGTAGGTCAAAGTGTGCCCAGACAGGAGAGTGACTGGCGATAAATTGGCGCCGTTGTTGATGCTGTTCCGTAGGACAGCGAGCACGGCCCGTGCTGTATCTGCAGTAGATGTCAAAGTGACCTTCTGCAAACCATCACTATACATGTCGAAGACCTTCGCACTATGGTTTATCGCCCATGCGAGTCCGATCTCGCGAAGTGGGTTCTTCTCTTTGAGTAAGAGATATTCCATAAACCAGCCATGGCAAATCATTGTCTATTTAACGGTTTGCTGAGATCGTAGCTTGTTGCGAACAACGTTGTGCGTGGCGGCGCTAAACATGGGCTAATCCGGGAAATCGTCAAGGTTGATATTCCACTCGGATGGGATAAAGTATTTACACCTGCGCGATTGACTGCATGCCTCAAGGATGTTGGTGTGCGCAGAAATATAGAACTCGTTAGGGCTACTGAGCGTCGAGACTACCGCATCGCAGTCATCGAGCTTTCTCTTCAAGTTGTCGAGGGAGTAATCGGTGAGACAGACCTCAGCTTTCAAAAGTTCGAAGCTCGGCTTAAGAGTACTCGTCAGAACAACAAGTTCATCCTCGGACTTGGAAATTTCGGTAGCTAAGCAAAGGCCAACTTGACCAGCACCGGCGAGGGCAACCTTCATAGTTTCTGAGATCGATAAAAGTCAAGACTTGGAGACAAGTGTGAATTGTGATGTGAATCCTGGTACGGCAGAAACACTTGGGAGGGGGGTCATGGAAGTTTGTATCAGTTGTTACCATGAATATCTCTTGTTACTCTATCATGCTCCAGGCTGCAGACAGAGCTGTGGGTTGATGTCTCGCGATGTGGCCGAAAGAGGAAGGTCAAGTTGGGGGCCCACCTTGTATCAAGTGGGGTAAGGAAAGGGGCAACTCTTGATGAGCGGGTATTCGAGGTTAATATGATGTAATAAAAAGATGAATTTTGTTGCTCGACGCAAGGTGCACTGCGAAGTCTGTCTAGATGCCTGCAGGCACCAGCTCTCACAGGTCGCATATTATCGTATGTAATCGATCATGGAGTAAAATTAAAAAAAAAAAAAAAAAAAAAAAAAACCCTGATACAGTAGTTCTGAAGGGTGGCCAACCCTTAGTTTGTTCATCCTTGTTGTTCTTCATATCTGAGACAACGAGGAATGAACATCGGATTTATTGGAAATTAATCTAAATCGATACGGATCGAATTCCGTGTAACAAGCTCTATTGCTCACTTTATCGAGCATCAATTCAAGTCAAGGGCAACTTGATTAGTCAAAACGAAGGGCGACCTGGCTGTTACTTCCTGAGCCAAGGACTTCCCGATACGGACTTCCCGTTACGAACTTCCGATACGAACTTCCTGATATGGAGGACCCTCCGGTAGGTATTCCTACCTGTGGCGAAGCCTCAGATAGTATATATAGGATAGGTCCTCCCTCATAGATAGCCTTTCTTCTCCTCCATGGGAAAATTCCTTGACTACGAGTCATAAACAAACTAGTCTTTTACTAGGCTCCTTTGTAGACCGTCACACTGGCATTGTCCAGCGTGTACTGGTTCTGACATTTATCTCGGTTCCTATGATGAACTTCTGACAACCGAATTCAGTTCAGCACTCGGATAAGCCATTGTAGGGTTATCGAACAAAATAAAGACACACCACTAACTAACTAGTACTGAACAGTTTCCCTAAAACTGCGAAGGGCTTGACAAGCATCACTCGTTAAGGTAGGTAAAGGGCTCGGCCAGGCGTTCCCCACCCCCGCCCAGCTTATGCAAGCTTGTGGAGCCTTCGAGGCAGCTATCAGGCACTCCGATAAGGCCATTACGTCAGTTCGGGTGCTGTTGGACCTAGCAATAACCCTACCGAAATACAACACCGACCGGTGGTGAGAGCTAGACTATATAGCTGCTACTGCTATAGTCCGCCTCCGCCGTCTTGACCCTTACCACCCTCTCCGCAGGAGGGCTGAAAGAGTAACCCGAGCTAGCCTTCAGACCAGCCGTTTTGCACGCCGCGTGCTAGCCCTTCCTTAATTAGAACAACTGAACCCACTGCAAAATCCCCCTTGGCTTCCACAAGAGGCGCGTGAAACAGTTCAACAGCGAATTAGAGCTCCTGCAGGCATATCTAAGGAGCAAGCGGCTGATAGATTTCAAAAGTTTTATAGCTCTCTCCCACAGACTGATATAAAGGTCTTCACGGATGGCTCGAAACTAGAAAACAGGATGACAGGTGGCGGATTTGCCCTATATCAATCTGGAACGCTGTTCCAGCAGACCTCTTTTCCCCTGGGACCGAACAAAGAGGTCTTTGATACCGAAGCTGAAGCAGCTCTAGCTGGAGTTAAAGCAGCCCTTAAACTAGGTACTGCTCGGTTTGCTACCAACCTCTGGGTCTGTCTAGATAACCTGGAGGTAGCTACATGTCAACCGTATGTGACCGCTATTACATAGGAGACCTTCCTATTCCGGATATCGGTATTGGTAACTACCGATCCCCGAGGATTATGCAGAGTTTTCTGTTATTTCCATGGTTCAAAAGTTATCTCTCTTCTAGCTGCCTTTTTAGGCTAGATTGCTTATTATTCTTCATGTATTTAAACCATCGTTTGCAGCTAGATTGAAAGAATCAGACCTTCATCATTCGATATTCCTACGGGTACATTACTAGCAATTACGCCTAGAGAGACGGCCAACACTACACGTCTCCTTTCACCTTTCACGGGCTCTTCCCAAGGAGTCTTCGAATCCATCCAAGCCCTAGCCCAGACCTGGCTGACACGAGAGAGATTCTCATATACTAATGGTGGCTTTGTACGGGTCTGCTGGGTTCCCGGTCACACACAGATCCCTAAGAATGAGACAGCTGATCAAGCTGCAAAGAAGGGTGCTACCATGGATCCTCCTTCTTCAAGCAAACGCTCGTACGCCTCGCTAAGGCGGCAGGATAAATTGTTATGATTGCTCTTCAAAGATACTAGCAGTCTACGGCCCCTCAATCCTATCAAGATCTTTAGATTACCAACTTCCCTAGATGCCCTGCAGAGCTAAAGCTCCCAAGGCCGCTTCTAGCACGAATCCTAGCTGCTCGTACGGGCCACGGAGACTTTGCAGCCTATCACGAACGGTTCAATCATGAAGACGCACAACTTCTCTGCCGCTGCGGTGCAAGGAAAACCTCAGTTCACTTCCTCTTCTACTATATCGCGAAGAGACGCCTGCCTCGACCCCCAGGTCCTCCCTCCGAGACAATCCCCTTCTTATTAGGCACCCCGAAGGGCGCGGCCAAGTTGGCTGCTTAGCTTGTTGAAACCCGTTTCTTTGAGGACATCTGCACCCGATTTACTACCTCAACTAGACTGAGGCATCCCCCCCCCAAAAAAGACACGTGATAGTTGTAGTAGGTGAGGTCACGGAGTGTAGGAAGACCTCTGCAGCTAGCATTTCTTCCCTCTCTGTACCGCAGAGTTTTTTCTCCTGACTGAAGCAGCTATTGAATGCGCCGAAGTCCCTTATCTGTACATAGAACTAGAACTAGCAGCTAGTTAGTGACGCCCAGGGCTTACCCCCTGGCGGCCTTTGCCCCAGCAGGGTGAAGTGGTAAAACTAAGGGGGATGGAGGAGTTCGATCGGTCCGAGCTGTACGAGGCCTAAGCCATAAGGAGAATGCAAATGAATGGAGTAATACTCTATCTAAAACGTAGCCTAGAGTACAGAGATACTTGAGTGCTTAGGTGTTGAAGAGGATCGTGGCCTCTGCAAAATATGAGCCTCGGACGGATTAACGTTGTTCCCGACCTCCGAGCTAATTATATCTCATCAAACAACAACAACAACAAATAACTAACGATTGCCTCTACGGCCTCATCATCGTTGCCTACTGGCTGATATACTGGTTTTTCTTGTTTTTTCGGCTTCATTTCAGCGTTCTGTTTGCTCTTTTGTACGTAACTAGCGCTCGAGGGACCTCACGCCCCTGTTTAAGGGGGGGGTAGTGTCAGGAACTTCCGGTATGCTGGATCACATGACTCTATCACGTGATCCACAGATAGTGTGGCCGCGGAAGATGACTAAAGTGATTACATCATCGCCTTGCTTGACCGGACCTGTCATGACGCGCCTGGGGTTACTAATACGGTGAATCGCCCGAGGAAAATACTGTAGCCTGGGGCAGCGCACCCGCATGAACACCTGCAGCGGATATTGACCCTCACAAGAGCTTACTTTTGATTTCGACATGCAAGATTCTGCTGATTCGGAATCCGCCGGATATCGCCGAGGAAAACAAGATGGGGAGGTGTCTCGCCCTAAACGTGCTCAGTTCAAATCATCGGGTAGCCGTCGGCATGCATGCGATCGTTGCCGTAGGCAAAAATTGAAGGTAAAGGCTTTAGGAGAAGATCTTTCAGTATTTAACCTAACGCAGATGTTTGGTTTCAGTGCGATGTTGAAAAGCCGTGCTCCCTGTGTGTACGGTCTGACTTTGCCTGTGTGACTACATCAACGCCGTTGCGGTAAGTAATTCGTTACTGAATCACGGGTTTTGCCCGGCCTAGAATCAATGATAGATTGGCTAATTCGATTTCTAGAAAGTCCAAAAGATCTCCAAGGATGATACACGAGCGGCGTAGAAGCCCGCACCACATGCCCCCCAACATATCGGGATCCTCAAGGCCAAGCTCTCGCAATCTGGATCCTCCAAGACGGCCACTCAACAGAGGTGAATCCCATCCAGATTTCTACCAGGACCGTAGCGAGCCGCCTGGATCACTTCCTGAGCCACACAGATACGCTCAAGTGTCTGCAGTGGAATTGACAGATCAGGTACACCCCCGGTATTTGGCACATAGGGACTGTTGAATGTAGGCGCTAACTCTGATACTAGCTTTTTCACATGCATGACCAAGGAGCTGAAGTGTCACCCGCTGCTCATAGCGATACTTCTGCTTTGCCTGGTGGCGCCTTTCTGAGCAGTCGAACCCTCGGTAGCAGGGGAAATGGAGAGCATACTAGCCTTACTGCGCACTTCCCTGGCTTGGACCTTCCGTCCCGTCCGGTTTGCGATTTTCTACTCGGATCTTACTGGAGATCGGTGCATTGGTTCATGATACTCTTCCACCATCCGTCATTTGAACAGGAATACAAACAGATTCTTGACAATCAAGCTGTGACTTCTCGACAGGAAGGCACGGCAGTCTTGATTCTGATGGTACTTGCGATGGGCGCTAGATACGCTTCTGACGAACAGAGCTCGAAAATCGGGTGGTCAAGGTATGAGCTGCTATCACTGCAGGAAAATATGATTAAACAAGTTCGATTGCACTTTTTTGATGTGCTTGACACCGGGGGGGTAGAATGTGTGCAGTTGTGCATCTTGCTCAGCACGTATCATCTATACAACGGGAAACCGAACCTGGCAATGCCAATACTGGGCGCAGGGATAAGAAGCGCCCAAGTACAAGGGTTACACAAAGAGAATCTTTGGGGTCCTGCAACTGAAGTTGTTTTCGAGGTTCGCAAGAGAACATGGTGGGCTCTATACGTTCTCGACAGGTACTTAAAGTCACTCAGCTAATTGTTTTCGTCATTCTAATATCCCACAAGCTTTGCCTCAATTACATATGGTCGGCCCCCGTTAATCAATGATACTCATTGTGCTGTGAGTATGCCGCGAGATATGAACGACTGCTTGGCAGTTCACCCATTATTAAGCTCTACTGTGGAGCGTACTGCTCATTCGCCCGGCCCTGCTACACTGGGTGCTTATCAGCGGCACAAATTTGAACTCTACACCACTGCTAGTTCCATCATCGGCATTATTTATGATCTCAACCAATCAAATTGGGAAAATGCGGTGGATCTGGCCTCGAAAATAAATACCAAACTGGTCGAATGGTTTGACAGACTGCCTATAGAACTGAAGCTCGAGAGCCATGTTGATCTGGACATGTCAGACTTGACTGAACCTGAAGTTGAGGTCTGCCAGCTGTATCATCTTCAGGCGTTAGTTCTTCAACTGGCGTATGATAATATCCAAATTATCTTGCATCGTCCATTTCTTCGATATGGTCACCGCCTCATCTTGTCTCCCGTTTCGCACTCATCGGATGCGCGACCGACCAGTTTCGAACAATGCAAACACTGTGCTCGACGCACGTGTAGCATATTGCCAAGACATACTAATGTTCTTCTTGTAGCTCAGAACACCCATGCAGCAGCATACATTGCGATCCAGAATTTTACCGCGGGTGTGACTTTGGGCATGGTGGCTCTCTCCGACCCCGGATCGGAACAATCATTGGATGCTAAAAGAGGTGTCGCAAATTCCATCTCGCTGCAACAAACGCTTGCACAATCATCTGTCGTCCCATCACAGACGGTCAGGGTTCTGGAAGGTTTGTTCCAGCTGATTTTTAAACGTGAAATGCAGACTTTACTTGGGGACTCGCGTTTTGAAATAAGCAACCCAAGGCCGAGAGATAGGCTGCAAACTCGAAAGTCTAACCGTGAAACATATGGGGGCTCTCAGCACTCTGACTTACACAACAACGGTCATCTCAATCAAGCTTCCGTGAACCAAGATCAAGAGACCACGGAGCTTTTGTCAAGAAACATTGGGCCCCAAAATGCCTCTTGCACTCCTGAAACGAACACTGTGGTCAATCCCGATTTAGGGCAGGATACTGCTGGTTCAACTTTTTACTCCGCCATTGACGAAGCACTGGAGTCTGTACAGCAAGGTACGGTTCCTACCCACCCCCCAAGTGGTCCTTTGAGTTGTTGAAGGTACCCTCTCTGCTAGAACCGAGCCCAAGCCGCCTAAAATAGTCTTATTAATGCAGCTGTTTACAGTACTATGGGAGAACTCCGATCCAATTACGTACACAGGCAATTATGTTTCGCCTACGACCGGCCCGCACTTCAATGCGTATTCCAGACAGCAGCCTCCTACAACCGTGTTCCCGGAACTAGACAATCCATTGTCTTCTACAAGTCCGATGGCTTCAATGGCCGACCCTGCCAGTCAAGGACTCAATACCCTTAACAACTCGCTTCTTGGTCAAGGTTGGATATGGAATCCAACAGATTTCTTTCAATGAGATCCAAAACCGATCGAAGTCATATGACATCATATGGCTTCGATAATACTTTCGCGAAATGTACAATCCCTGGCATTCAAGTCGTCCGCGGCCTCTCATACATAATATATCAACAATAAAATTCCCACAACATGCAGCAATGACCTATATACCAAGCTTCTAACGAATCAACTGATCAACATATTTCGGGTCAAGCCCAACTTCAGCATAATGAGCCTTTGCGCTAGCCAATTTCGAGAAAACGTCCTCCACACCGAGCGGTTTACCCATTTCATCCACGTAGATGTATGCACCGGTAACGTGGAACAAAGTAATCATTTCTTCGACTCCATCTGGAACCTCGAGAGTGTGTATATCGCCTGGGGGCTCGAAAGCATGGCTTCCCTCAGTTGCCCACCACGGATGCTCAAGGTAGTGCCATTTGCCTCGGAGAACAGTTGCGTGGACAGGGCCAGAATGACGATGGCGAGACAGAATGCCCGACCGACGTACCCGAAGTAGGTTGACGAAGTAACCTTGTGTGACGTTGAAAAGAATGGGCCGGAACCAGACGTCTGGAGCCTGAGGAACCCATAGTCGCTCATCGAAGTCCAAGTTCAAGACATTGGGAACAACAAGGTCTTCCGGAACGTTTGGCAGAGGCTCCCCTTTGTAAGGAACAGCTTCTGCCTCAGGTCGGTCTTCGGTCGGAGCAGGTGACATCTTGAAAACCGTTACTGCAAGGAGGAAGACTGGAGCAAATTGAATTGAGAATTAAATGCAGTTGATCGTTAAACTATAACAACAGATTGTTTAGACAGAAACACGACTATATATGCACTTATTCAACGATACCACAGTTTAAAAAGCGCGCAGGTTTTTTTCGTACCGACTTGCTCTAGGGGGGCAGATGACCGGACTCAAAGTGTTGCTGGGGACAGTGTACTGGTCCGGTGGAAGTTTGAAAGCTCGGCCACCCCGCAGTCCGAGTCCGGTGGAGATCCGAAGATTTTTGTCATTCACTCCGGTGTTATTCAATTGCGTGAAAAAAAAAAAAAAAAAAAAAAAAAAGGGCGAATCCAGGAGTCATGGCGCCAAAACACTACCTTAAGCTAGTCCGTTCGGAATTACGGCTTTGCTAACCTTTCTTTCCAATGGCAAGGAGCCGTGTCAGTGTCTGCGCCTTAGGTATCAAGCCGCGACTCCAGTTACCATGAGGTCACCACATTCAATGCTTCAATAATGATCATGCCTTGCATCGTGGTTATTATGTCACCGAGAATCATCTCTTTCTGGCTCTATCTACATCTTGTCTCCCATCTGCAAACCGAATCATTTCCAATTGGGGGTTGTTCACCAGCATTTTTTTCGCGGCTAAATACCCTTTGACGATAGATGAACAGACGTATGAGCTTAAGGCCCTTTCCATCCGATGCGAGGAAGGACACCAATCAATAGTAAATATAAGTATTGATGACTTGTAATCGTCAGTTAGATATTAATAATTGATCTTCAAATTCCTGGGCGGCGTGGCTAGCTTAGGCAGCGCCCTTTATTATTTGAGAGCGTGAATTGGGTTTTCGGAGAGAGAAATCTCAGCTAGTGCAAAGGGCCAGACTGAGCAAGTACTGAAAACCGTTGACGTCACACACTCAAAGTCAGTATGCCATGTACATGGATCTTTTCATATTTGGCCAGCCTGGGAGGCCCTGTCATATCATCCAACGTTCACCGAAGGAGATTAATGGCATAAACTCCTGTCCTGAGATAGAAAAGAAAAAATATATCCGGATGTGCTAAAGTTAACTTTGAGTGTTTCCTATGGTTTAAGTAAGCCTCAAGACATTTAAGAGTTTACGGACTGGTAAGCGCTCTTTAGCATAGGGAAGGCATAATTAGCTTGAAATTTCGGTGAAACTGGAGAGTAGTGCTTTCAATGCCCTCCCAAGACTGGGAGTTCTATTTCAATATTTTGGTTTGGGTTTATTAAAATGAGTGGAAGACGGCGAGTTCACAAGGTATCCAGATGACACCGGGGCCCTAATACTGGATAAATCTGTCAATACCTCTGACAAATGTGCCAACTTCATGCCAATCATGAGACTATTACCGGATATTAGGGGCTTCAATGACCACTTTTCGCAAATTATGCCATTTTCCATGTCTGGCATTCACAACATCCACAATACAGATACATAGGTATCAGGAACCAACCACGAAGCGCCAGAGAAATGCCGCTCCATGTAGGCTGCGGAATTATGTTAGGCAATTACATCAGTTGCCAGACAAAACCTGGCTCGGATCTCTGAACTGTGACGGACTGGTCGACTAACCAGCCTTTTGACCTACCAGAGTAGCCATCGGAGTTCCAGGCCCATCTCCACTGCTAGGCGAGATATTATTAGGTTGCTGTCACATGCGGATATCCGGTGGAGTTATCCAGTATTAATGCCTAGGACGTTTGATAGCAGCTCACATATTAATATATAGTAAGACTTAGTACCTGAGTTCATATTCACTCACTGGAATGAGCTTCAGTCCAGCTTGCTCGTCGGACTATTACGAGATATAAGTACCTTTCATGACCTTCAGCGCACGACTTTCTCCGTCCGATTAATAATGAACACTTTGCCAACCAACCAGCTGTTCTCCTTAGAGGGTAAAACAGTCATCTGCACAGGAGCCACTGGTGGGATTGGCCAGTCTCTATGTAAGTCACTTGCGGAGGCAGGTGCGGATATTATTTCTATTCAGATTCCGAATGACCCCAATGCGAGAAGTCTGTCGAAATGTCTCACCGAACTCGGTCGAAAGTTATGGACTTTCGAATGCAACCTTACGGACCCATCTTCTGTTCGCTCCACCTTCCGCGATATTTGGAATGCGGGGATCTCGCCCTCTGTCCTTTTAAACTGCGCAGGCGTAAATCGAAGGCGCCCTTTGACAGAGGTCACTGATGAGGACCTTGAGCTTGTATGATCAAAATCGGTTATTTGTTTTTCAAGGTTATTTGAGCCCCGGTTGACATGTTTGCAGATTCTCTCAGTCAACCTTAAAGCTACGTACGTAGCCGCGCAAGAATTTGCGAACAGGTTGCTTGAGCTGAAACTCCCCGGGAAAGTGATCAATGTTGGTTCCGTTACATCATTTCGAGGAATGTACAATGTGTCCGCCTATGCGAGCTCCAAAGGCGGCGTTGTTCAAATGACAAAGTCATTCAGCAATGAGCTTGCACCTCACAATATTCAAGTAAATTGCATCTGCCCCGGGTAAGTGCATGACCTTTCGCGCTTACCAACGAGTGCTTCCAGCCTTCCTGATTATATCCATTGCTAAAAGTGACAAGGTACATCAGAACACCTCTGACAAAACAGCTAGAGAATGATCCGGCATACAACGATTTTATATTGAAGGCAACCCCCGCAGGTCGCTGGGGGACGCCTGAGGACCTAAGAGGAGCCTGCATTTTTCTAGCCAGCAATGCCAGCAACTTTGTCACTGGCTCAAGCTTGATCGTAGATGGTGGAATGGTCGCTGCTTGAAAAACGCTTCATGTCTTGAAATTATAGGGAGAAGCACAATTACTTTACACGAAGGACACGTATATTTGATGGCGCAACGAGGGCGTCGGTAGTCATTTTCTACTCCTGCAGAGGAAAGCAGCATTCCAATGTAGACACTATGCTCAAATGTTCTAAAGACTTTTCTGACACCATGTGTGAAGTTGCAAACTTGGAATGGCTTAGAAGGCACCGTAATACCCTACGATTGCTAGCTGAGAGACATAATTTTGTTAGTACCTTGAGGCCTAGCACTCAACTCCACCTATATTATTCAGACTGGGTAGGTTTGTTCAAAGTAGTGGATCAGAGACAGTGCTTCAAGGGCCTTTTAAAGTCTGTACCAGCATCGACGGTGCCGTTGATATCATTTTTGTGGTTAGGTATTGTAAACAGCTGTCGGAATCTGCCGATCTCCGGTGGATGTCCACCGGAATTCTTCCCACCCATATACCACCGGATTTTCCCTCAGTCTACCCAAGCTTGATGTACGTGGAATGTGATAATCCAGAAAGCATTGATTCCGAATATATTTTACCTTTTGTTCTTTTTTTCCCTTTCGCATAGAGTAACAAGCGCAACTGCTATTTCTCTCTTCTATTAATACGCTAGAATCAACGGGTAATTTTCAAGACCTAGCATCAAACATGGCAAACGGATTGGCCCCCGGCGTTAGGAAGCAGTTGCAGGGTAAGACTGCTCTTGTCACAGGTGGCGCCACAGGATTCGCAAAGCAATTGTGGAAAGGTTTGCCTCACAGGAGGTAAATGTTCTCGTCATGGACATTTGTAAGCCTGGCGGGGAAAATAACTAACTACTTATAAATATTGAAAAGTTTAGTTATAACTATAAATTGTAATTTTACGTAACTAGTTAATTTTTAACAGGTTACATAACTTATTAGCGCGATTTTTGACTCGCGCGAGCTCAGCCAAGCACCCACGCGAGCTGTAACCACTTGCTTCATTGTGTAGAATAGGTGAGCTTGGAGTCATCTTAGGGCAAGGAGCATCCTGTCATTCTCTGCCCCAGGCCCTTTCCAACAGGCTACTAATGCTTGAAAATGACGCTAGATGTATGATCTTGCTCGAAAGGATTACAAGAATACTTCTAGGGCTGTTCACTATCAGCCGATTCTGCCGGTCTTGACGATACTATATTGTCGACTTTCAGAAAAGTCAGCCTTTAGTTTATCCGATACTTTCTGACGATAATTATTGCCGGCCCTTGGCTTATACGATACTATTGGTAGAAAGTTAACTATTATCGTTAGATCGGCTAATTTCCGAATTAAAACTAGTTCTTCGGTGCTAGGATTATAATTATACTTTGGATTTTGGGATTAGGAAGCATAATATATATAGCTAAGTAAACTGAAAGCTCTAATCCTTCTGATCCTAACAGATATCATTCATTAACATTAACATTCTTATAGTATCCCCTTTTATTGCATATCTTCGGACTCCCAAAAGATCCCTCGCTGCATTAAATAGCCTCTCAACAGCTACCTCTGAGACTGGAATAGCTAGATAATCACGAGCAGCTGCAGCTATTTGAGACATTTCATCTTTGTGGCTACGCCACCAGGTACAAAGCCAGTTAGAATCTGTAGTGTCAATTACACTAATACAAGGACTGTTGAAGTACTGATCAATATCAGAGAGAAAAGGCTGGTTGAAAGATTAAAACCGTTGTAGCATTCGTAATTTTATATTGCTGTATAGTTTGCCCGGTAAGGATCGTGTAGATGTACTTAACTTGGGTAATTTATCTTCCATAGGGTATCTTTGATAAATATTAGTCTTAATAGCTGTCGGTTGACTTAGTCATTGCCCTAAATAGATATTCTATCGATTTAACTGAATGTAGGTATATGCTCGGTAGGTAAAAGTAAAGTGTCATTTCTAAACTACAATCTGCTTAGCTATTTATAGTTTCACTTGTTTACACCTATGCATTCCTAATCCCTTAATATGCCATTTGGAATGGTAGGCCAAGTTTAGACCAAGCAAGGTACTGTACGGTATGTAGATTAGGTCAAGATACTCTACCTCTCTGGTCTGATTGATAATATCGTTCTAACAATAGCCTTAATAATCCAGCTACCAGTCTCTTTATTATCTAGTTTACCCAAAATAAGGTCTCCTTTCACCCGCAGATCAAGAACTAATGCAGTATAATATGTATTACATTTATCTACAAAAGTATAGTACTTTTGATACTTTCTTAAGCCTGTTTTTATCGCAGCAGCAATATTAGGGTCTATACTAGCAAAAGTCCCTTCGAAATTAGATACTTCGTTAAGCAAATCATGAAGCTCGTAGTAAAGTGGAATAGCTAGGCTGATATAAGGCTGTTTTTTAGAAATAAAAAGTGTAAGTTTATTAAACTTCGTGAAAACTTGATAGATTTAAGAAAGTCGTTACCAGTCATTATCTGTAAAAGGCAAAATTTCAGTTTGCAAAGATATAAATTGATTGATCTGATGCTTCGAATTTAAATCAGTATCAAACATACGGTAGATTAAATTCTATCGTATTTCTATATTATATTTAATGTACCGGTCTGAAAGATTTATATATTGGCAAATCTCTTTCCACTTTTGTCTCCTTTGAGGGCTGCGATTAATCCAAAGAGCTAGAATCCGGAATTTAACTAATGCTGTCTGAGATATAATAAGGGTACTATTCTAGAGATTATTACATATAGCTTGTACTTCCGCAGTACTACCAGAGTTTAGCACGCGGAGAATATCTTTGACAATAAGGTTTAAGATATGTGCAAAACAGCGGATATAACTGTCAATTCCTTAAAATTAGATTATTAATTCAGACAGAAGTGATCCTTTTAATGCATAATATAACTTTGAAGCTATAGCCTCATTATTACTAGCATTATCTCCGGTAATTGTTATCAATTTAGCTTCAAGTTTCAACTCACGGAGAGTAAAATGAATAGCGATTGCCAAATTTTCTCTACTATGAATCCCGTATAGTTTAATAAACTCTAATACCCTTTTCTGGTATCTAAAATTCTCTTTAAGCCAGTGGCTAATGATACCGAGGATTGATAAATAATTTTTGCTGGTCCAAATATCCAAGGATAAAGCAATTGATTTGCAAGTAATTGCAAGTTCCTCCTTTAATTGCAGTCGCTGTATTTGAAATTTATCCATAAGTCTCCGACGTAATATAGATCGTGATAGAGGTAGTAATGAGATTCCTAGAATATCATTAAATATCTGATAGAAGGCAGGTAATTCGATTGTTGTAAAAGCAAGTTTTTCCTGAATAATCTACCGAAGGATATTCTTTTCCAGTAATTGTTGGTATAAAAGATTTTCAGTTTTAGCTATATAATCTTTTATAGTGGGCTGTTCTTTCCTATCGGAGACTGTACACCAGGATTCAGGTAAAAAGATTCTGTATTTTTCTAGATATTACTTTATATTAGTAGTTAAAGTCTGTCTCAATAAATCTGAAGTACTCCAGCTACACTGTACTCCAGTTTCACTCTCAATAGAGGCGCATTGTATATGTCGGTCTTTCAGCTCCTGTTTCTTTATCTTTTTGTTAACTTACTCTTGATTAACTTCAGTAATCTGGAAATAATTCTACATCCATTTTGTGACTGGAGCTGGACGTTGTCATTTCTGAGGGTATAAAATTGAGCAGTTTAATTCTGCTAAAGTTTGTAAAATTGATTCAGATGGTAGAATCTCGGAGGAAAGAGATTCAATTAGAGATCTGATATCTGGAGCTGAAACTGGATTTGAATTTAGATCTGGAAAATCTGGCATGCGATCTATAGATAAGGATTCTTCATTATATCCATCATTGAAAAGGAAATAATTGAGTTGCTTTTGGCGAGTAGCCATTCGCTAACTGTCATTTAAAGCTATAATATTGATATAGCTCAGTTAGGTAATCATAATCTTTGTGGGTGTGAGAAGTTCGGTTAACAATCATCCCTTGTTAGAAAAATTACATGATATAGCGAGATTATCGTCGACTTTTATAGTATCGTTGACTATTCTGACGATAATAGTATCGTCAACCCTTAGCTTATCCGATACTTTCTACGATAATTATCGCTGGCTTTGGGCTTATACGATACTATCAACGATCAAGCAAAATCCTGACTTTAAAGTATCGTGAACAGCCCTAAATACTTCACCAATTAATTTATTCCTCGGCTACATAGAAAGGAAATAGAAGTATTTCAAGATATACTTATATTCATAACCAAGGCAGACAAATTTAGGCTACAAGCTGGGCAATTCAGAGCCGTATCAAGGAGAAAAGGCAGACCAGGCGAAGCAATGAGGTAACTAGATCTATGAAAGCTAAAAGAGGAATCATCACTTAAATAGACATTGCATATCCGTAGATGTACACAAAAGGCATTCGGAAATATAGGAATTTCCCGTACAGCCATAGATCACGATCAAACAGGAGTGTGTATAAAAAGATCCGCCATCCGCCAACACACCGCGGCTCATCTCGTTGGAGGTAACTCATATCCTTAGAAGTTTCGACTGGTAACAGCAAGCTCATTGTGCATTTAAAATGCCATCTGCCAGCGTAAATCTGGTATCTCTTCCTGTCGAACTGCTGGAGCCAATCACGCTCTATTTAGAGTACGCATATGAGATCAGTTCCCTCTCACAAACATGTCGACGACTCCATAGCGTCGCCAATTACCATCTTTTCAACTCTTTTGCCGAAGATTGTTCGCCAGTTGGAATTGAGCGCGTTGTGAAGAATAACAACGTAGACGCACTACGAAAGCTCTTGGACAATGGACTCCGGTTCGAAGAATACTGGCGCGTAACCTCAGAGCCAACACCGCTCTACATGACTATTGAAGAGGACCTCGCAGGTGTTGCTGAGCTGCTGGTGGCCTATAGTGAAGCCTTCGTAAACGGCTCCAAGGCAATTATAGGCACTTCAGGCTGTTTTCAACCCTCCATGCCGGGCATTCAGCACTACCTAACTGGGCTTAAGAAGACACTTCACCGCGCCGCACTCAAAGGAAGCTTAGGTGTTATAAAAGCAGTCGCATCTTGTAACACAATAAAGGGGGAAAGGCTCGATTCTGCTGTGTTTGGCGCGATTCGGGAGGGCCATCTAGCCTTGGTTAGGTACTTTCTCGAGGAGCACGAAGAGGACAATGAGGAAGGTCCGAGGGCATCTTTCAAGTTATCAGGGTACCTCAGGTGTGCTGCAGGTGAAGGAAACATGGAGATACTAAAGTATCTCGTGAAGGCTGGTGCTGATCTTAATGATCTGTCATTCCGGCGGGCTGCAAATTCCCCTCTTGTCTTGGCTGCGCTCGAGAACCAGGGCGCGGTAGTACATTATTTGACGGAAATCGGAATGCGGTTCCCCTGTTTAACAGTTTCTGACATATTTAGTTTGTCGCACGATCTCACAAAACCAAAGAGCAAGCTGACAAACGTTGTCCAGCCGGGTGAGCTAAGGAAAATTGCTGCTGATCCGCAGTATGATAGCCTTATGAGCTATAACAAAGGAAGATTCTTGGAGGTAGTTGCCAGTTTCGATGATGTACCTCTTTATAAAGAACTGATGGGTCTTTCCGATGATCGCGATCATCTACAGTCAAGTTTTAGTATCGCTCTTTCTAACGGAAATTTTGCTTTTGCGCGATACCTAGTCGACGAAATGAGGAAGGAGGAAATCTGGAACCGATCATGGTTCCATCTCATGTTCGCCACATTGCGCGATCGAAGTGTTCCGGGCTTTGAGATATTGCTTGATTGTGGGAACCCAGGCCCACTAGATCCTGAAGAAAGCTGGTTGAACCCCGTGCTGCGTTGGGCTAGAAAGTGTCCTGAGCTGATGGAGGTCCTCCTACAACGTGGTTATCTGGATAAGAATAAGAGAAATGGGTCCCGCGCGATCAAGGAAATTCTTGTTGGCGCGTTTAAAGCCGGCGATCATGCATTTGTTTGGCGTCTAATGGAATACAGCGAATTAGGCCTCCTTGATACACTCGACGATCCGGAGCTCAAATACCATGATTACACCGTCTTGCGACTTGCAGCCTCATACGGCTTGCTGGAAACCTTCCGCAAACTTCTGTCTACACGGAACTTAGCTCTGGACCCAAACAATCCCATCCATTGCTCTGCACTGGCCAACACAGCTTTGAAAGCGAACATCGATGTCGTCGGGTACTTCCTAGAAATGGGTTTCGATATCAATGCCTTGTACCCAAGGTCGGCATCAAGAAAGAACAAGGCGCCTGAGGCTTTGATAATCCAAGTTCCCGCAGTGCGGCCGAGCTGCAGAGATCCTTCCGACTAGAGCACTCCCAAAGATATTCCAGCAACAGTGAAGTACTTGCTTGATCACGGGGCTCAGATTGATATCAGAGATTCGCAGGGTCGGACAGCGTTATCAATTCCAGTGGAGCTCGGGAGGCCCGAGGTCGCAAACTTGCTACTTAACAGAGGCGCAGACCCTCTTCTTAGGCTCGAATTACGTGCCAACCTCAGCGCATTGGAACAACTCATCAAAAAGCTCAAGTCTATGGGGCACAAAGTGGCCCACCTTAGCATGCTTCAGGCGTCTTTGGATACCATGCTTGTGAGGGGTTATTCAAGTGATGATTTCCTGGATGTGATGCCCAGAATGGAGGGTACAGTTTCTCGTCCAAAACTGATCCCTTATGATCAGGTAAACAGTCTCAATGGTTGGCTCTACGATGATAAGCATGTGCGATGGTCGCAATTCTTCTTAATCAGGGAGTTAAGAAAAGGATATTGGCGTGCCATGTATCCAGTTCTGTCCGAATGAAAGTGGAAGAGACAGAAATATCAGAGAAATTGAATGATACTGAATGATATAAATATGTGTAAGGCATATCAATAACACCTCGATCTTGAATCAGTGTATATATTGAGTGAATTGTACAAGAGTTTCACCTAGGCATACAAACTTAGCGTTAATGTGTTCCGATTTTCAACTATTGGAAGTGGAAACGTTATGCGCTCGAGTTCCTTTATTTATTCATTATTACCACTATCAACATTACCTGTATCCGTAAATTGCGCTTCTAGATCTTATGAGCTATTGAACAAGCACTTCAGAGTATAGAAAAGAGAGATAAGACTATAGTATAGAAACCTATCGCTTCCATTGTGTTTACTATCTTTAGCTTTCACACGTTGGTAGATACTACAATACATTCTCAGACCAATGCCTTGTGGCAGCATACCACAGTGACTAGTTAATAATATTAAATTAGTTATCTTTCCTCTACAATGCTCCAGAACTATCTAATCTCCTCATACCAAAACTCTCACTTATCTTGTTGAACACCATCCATTGTAGCTCCACGGCTAAGCCTCTCTTCTGTGATACTCACCAAGCTGCGTAGTACAACATAACTCGGCACTAACCAACGACACATTCCAATTCCTCCCAGCAGTCCACGTATAGCAGGAAGCTTCCTCCCTTCCCCGTGTCACCACCAACCCCCTAGATAGGTACCTTAGCGGCCCTGGCGATACAACTCCGCCTCCGTCTCGCCCAGGCACTCGCCAACGGTAGTAACTAATCACACCATAGTTAGCCATGACAATTCTCATCCAAGACCCATCCCTTTAGAAAATAAATAAAAAATTAAGAAAGAACATACCCTTCAACCCCCTCCGTTTACTCTCCTCCAGCATCTTCCTCGCAAGCGTAACAACCGTCTGCTCATGAATATCATGCGCCAATACAATATTTCCACCTGCGTTCAACTCGCTCACAAACTTGTCGAAACTGAGACTGATCCGCGACGGCTCGTTGTTCTCGTAGTCTTTGGTATCAACACTGCTCGAGATCACCTTGTATCCGAGATCGCGCAGAACGGAAAGAACATTGTTGTTGACTTCGAGATAAGGTGGACGCATGTAGGTGGGTGCGTCACCCATGATGGGACGCAGGGTGTCTTCAAGTCGTGTCATCTGTTGTGCGACTTCTTCGTTGGACAGGGACGAAAGGCTCAGGTGGGAATAACTAGGTAGGTTAGAAGGGTTGAACATAGAGTCGATTGCGTTGCGAATCGCAACACAAGATGCATGGTACACGTTATAAATATGGTAGGATAGAGCATACGTGTGAGACCCGATCTGGTGGCCTTCACGCCGTGCGCGAACAATCGCATCGGGGGACGAGGTGACTGCATCGCCCAGGACGAAGAAGGTGGCTTTCGCGCCGTATTCGGCGAGGATGTCAAGAAGTTGGTTGGTGTAGGGGGACGGGCCGTCGTCGAAGGTTAGGGCAATGGTGTTGGGGGTGGTGCAGTGCGTGATAACCTGGCCGGCGCCTACACTGCTGGTCCACTGGGGGCGGGGGTAAGAGAAAACAGTAGAGGCAAAGGCCAGAGCGGCGAACTTGTAGATGAAAGACATGTTGTATAGGAACGTTTTCTTCGCTGGTGGAAACGAATTGAGCAATGTATGAGCAACGGAGTCTAAATAGATGCGAGCTCCTATGACTTCAAACAATGGAAAGAATGTATACTCTCGGAACAATGTGGCCGAAAGAGAGGATTCTCAGAGACGTTTATACAGATATCCTCCGAGAACACCTATTTGCTTTGCCCTGGGTAATTCCATATAGAGGTATGTCCTCCCACGCAGGTACAGTCATCTCTACTTGGCAAAATCCTAAGGATTCGGAAGATACCTAGGCCATATCTGCAATTTTTTTATCCTCACATATGGCCAGAATGTATACGAAGTCATAGTTGACTGATTTCGCATCTCGAGTTCGAACCAGCCTCTCTAGACAGTGACCGGATGTTGTCCCTTCCTGTTGTGCTATAGCTGTTCTAATAGGATGGAGACTCGTTTCTAAATTTCTCATTGGATCAAATAAGAACAATAAACCTAGGTTCAAAACCCGCCGCACAAAGGCATTCAATTATTTGTCAACATGCGATTATTCCATTGGCATAAACCCCTGGCGAATTTACAGGGTAAGGATTTACTAAATTTGGAATTATTATCTTCAAGGAACCGCTCATTTCACAAGGTGCTCATCGATGTGTCAACAAAGGAGGTTGGTTAAAAACCTAACGAGCCAATCTCACGTAAGAAGCCAATATAAACCAGCCCTCTTTCAAATACGTTCGGAGTTCCGGGCGATCTCGACCCTCTCAGTCGGCTGATGGTTTCGATTTAAAACACGGAGCGAACAGGGGCATAATATAAGTTCAAGGCTCACAATCAACCATCCATGATAAAGCTTAGAAGAGAGTTTGTAGTCCAACAAGGTGCCTCAACCTCTCGAGCGAACCCTGACAACTACGCATGAAGTATGTACTCAAGACATAGTATCTATGGAAATAGCAGCAGATTTTCCAATTAGACCATATATATCTTGGTGGGACCCGGAAGAGGAAATAGTCGGCTGTTCTAGCAATTCAGGGTCGCATGGTTTGTACTCATATATGCATTCGAGTACCACAAACAGACTTTCAAGTAACTGTGTGCTGACTGTAATTTTATATCATCTGCGCTCGCCTTGTCCGGCGAGCATCTATGCCAGGATGAATTGCCAGCCAGTCTGCTATTTTGGGAAGTTAAGATCAGTAAGCACTCTAGAAAAAAAACTGAATTTGGTTCAAACTAACAAATATTTCAAGACCGAGGAAAAGAAAGAAGGCGAGAATTGAATGCCACCCTATGTGCTGGTCAAGGTGGATTATTATTCAGTCTGCTACTTTGAAAATCAAGGTCGGCAAATCCTTAAGCGCCAGGATAACCCATATGTCAAGACTCAAGAAAGGGGAGAGAGGGACAGTTGTATATCAGTTATGCGTTGGTCAGGGTGAATTAACATTCAGTCTGCTATTCTCCGAGAACCAAGATCAGCAAACACCCTAAAAGGTAGGGATTTGTTCGATGCGCGATTAACTGATCTGTCAAGACTCTAGCAGAGGGGAAGAAAATTGTGCCAGCTACTATCTAGCCAGTACGAAGATTACCATCCAGTCTACCATTTTCTGAGAGGCAGTAGGACTAGGACCAACAAACCCCCTCGGCGCCAGGATTACCAATATGTCAAAACTACAGGGTTGAAGAAACATTTATACCCCGAAAAGAGAACAGGGATAAGTGGAGATACTGTTTCATCTTCCAGAAACAGTAACATTGAATGGTAGACCTAGGTTTACCAATGTAAAAGATTGACCAAATCTTCCTTATATAGCCAGGTAAGTCATTTTGCCATATCAGCCAACTTAACACAGCTGTAAAGCAGTAATCAACAGAAAATACATAAAATTATGCCCATTTATATCTGTCGTAAGAAATAAAGAGAACAAAAGCCAAAATGCACTAATCCTCACAATAACCACATCCGTCTATCCATCTATGGACTACGAGACCATTCCGACGTAGTCCTTACGAGCGATTAACTGAGTCCGTCTAGATCCATTGATAAAAAGATAGTTGTTTGTAAGCTTTCTTCTATGATTATGATGTAGCTAGCCAGCTTTATATGTTTGTATTAGTTGCTTTTTCTTCAAAATGGGCGATTGAGCGGGTGGGTGTCACTGTTGTAGAGCTTCTTTTGATCTGCCGAGTTGCATTTGTAGACGTTTAGACGGGCTCGGGATGGAGGGTTTTTTGGGAACGAAAGGAGCACATCAAAAGAAAATACCAACTAAGATATCATGCCAAAAGAGTGTCCAGAAGGACCCAGAATAAGTAGATAAAAGCGCAGTAGATTACAGTTGATTGTGAATCTTCATTTCTACCTTCCACTCAACCAGTTTATAGACCGTCAAAATCCAATTCCGGCACGATCCACATATCAAACAAATTCCCAGCATAAACAGGCTCGAAACTCGTAAACGAATCGGCCGTAAACGCCAACCCCATCGAATCGTCCAACCCGGCGGGGAGGTCCTGTGCGTCGAGACCAGCAAAAGACAGCCCCGCTGATTGAGCACCCTGAGCCGCCCCCGGGCTATGATCCTCCGGAGGTGAAAGCACCCGCGCGGTGGTATTCCCGCCGTGTGCACGGTGAACCAAAAGGTCCGCCTTCGCGGTAACGTCCCGAGTGACGTTCACGGCGCTAGCCGCGACGGCGAAGCTCTTCCCCATGATTTCAAACACAGCAATAGCGATATCGATAGCGTCACGGACGGTCGAGGTGATCGGACAGAAAGGGTACGCTAAAGCGAACCCGACCATCGATAAGGCGGCGTTCCACTGCCACTGGAAGGCCTCGTGCCAGCCATTCAGGGGCTGGGTCTCGATAAGCATCTGATACATGATGGCGGTGAAAGCCATTACGTGGTGGACGCTCTTAGCTGCGAGGGTATCGGCATTTGACGTGGTCGTCGCTTTTGAGGTAGGGAAGCAGATCAAAGGCCGACAGAGGTTCATAGATAGGTTATGATACAGAAGTTCGAGAAGGACGCGCTGGCGTTGGAGCCATTCGGGTGCGAAACGCTCGATGTCTAAAGAGACGTTCTCCGTCGCGAATGCGGCAGTGCCGTCTTTGCGTTTGGTCTTGAGTGCGTCGGGCACCGTACCCAGCCATTTGTGCATGCATTCTAGGCACGAAAGAAGAAAGTCCGCGCATGTTTCCAACGAGGTGGGCTCGGTATACAAGCTCTTCCCACCGGTCTCAGTCAATACATCAGCTCATTTGTCGAAAAACGCAACATAGACAGCTCGGGCGGACATGACTAGTTTTCCGAGTTGCACGCTATACGTCAGCCAGGTAGTCTCGCCGACGCATGCAAAATTGGATCCAGAGAGGAATACAAGGTCGCGATTATCGGACGGTAGGCTGCAGGAGATATCGGCCATTTGCGCAGACCAGGGCCGACCGAGCTTCATGCACGTTTTGACCTCCACTGCATACAACGTCCACCAGAGCCGATTGTGCAGTTCTTTCTACTGTCGAGGGAGATCCTCCGGGGGTTCCAGGTGCAAGCCCAGGATTTGAGCCGTGCGCACTGCAAGAGCGAGTAGATTATGCGCCATGTTCTGGAACGAGGCGTTGCATATATAAACGACCGTGAACATATGACACTGAAGGGTGACGATGGATGGACTCTCCTGTTCGTTCTTCAACAATGTTTGAGACCGGCGGTAAAGTGCCCTCCCGGCGATAGTGGCATCAGTGCTATCCACGTCCGTTTTGAATCCATCGGTCTCGCTTCGCGAAAGGAACGAGACGCCATACTGCATGCACAGGGCGAGTACTATATCGACCAGAGCAGATGGCCTTCGAGGGCCAGACCCCGACCGCAACGACCGATAGTGTTGACGGAACTCCGTCTCGTCCAGGATCTGATACGTGCAATGATACGAGTGCCAGTAAAGGCTGGGAAAGTAATCTTCTTGGATCTCGGTCAGATAGTCCCCTGTCGGGTCCTCGGGCAGGTCATCGATCGCCTGCCCGGATTCGCGGAGCGCCGACGCTTTATCTGGATGGGCGCTGCTCGGGCTCGCGAAGGACCTGCTCGCCGAGTTCGGCTGCATGTAATACTCCGAAGTGGGCTGACCAAAGACCGAGCCGAGGTATAAACTGACACGCGCGATGAAGTAAAAAGATGAGAGGGGCCTTAATACTGCGTTTGGTCCAGCTTGGCACTCCTAGTATGTACACCTTCCCAGCGCAGTCTGGCTCCTCCATGGCCTTGTAGCGGGTCTAGGGACGCATTATGCGGCGTAGGTTGCTGACTGGTCGGCTGCTCAGCGGCAGCCGGATTCTGCAGCTTCTGCGCTTCTACCTGCGCCTCCAACTCCCTTACCCTCTTCGTCAAGCGCTCTATCTCCCTATCGGCGAAGGTTAGCCTGCACAGCCAACTGGCGACTCACGTACCTCGCCGCGCGCGGGACTGTCAAGATCTCATCTCTGGCCGAGGACCGATCACAGTCGCCTCCTCTTTTTTGACAGTTCCGACACTGTTGGTTTCGATCGCATTTGACTCGATGGACGCGACACCAGGTACAAGCCCGGGGGGACTTGGGCTCGTTTCGGTTGAGACTGAGGTCGAGAACCACTTACCTGGGCTTCTCTGGGGGTTGAAGATGGACTGAGCATCTTGGATCGATACAGATGTTGTCTGGGAGATGGAAATTTATGGAGTTGTGATGGCAGATTCGTCTAGCCTCGTAGGAAGCCAGCACGTGTTAGGCTCGGATATAACGGAGATTATGTCCGATGTATCAACAAAGAATCATGTTTGAGAATAGAAATAACCAGGTAGCCCCTAGTCACTAAGCCTACCTAGTCATGGATAGTCAGCTCACTACTATGTAGTATCCAACATAATTCATCCCGAGACGGCGTAATTTCCTCGAACTATACAACCACAAGTCCCGAAGCACAAATGTACCCATGAACACTCAACTAACACACCAGGTCATAATATGTCAACCTCATATAACCCAGAAACTCCAGAATCTTAATATAACCCACAAGCCAAAGCCAAAGTATCCACCTCCGTCCGAACTAACCCTCCACCTAACCCGTCAACCCAGCAGAGCATCGCCACCGAGTAAGTATCTATGTACCTATGTACATGATACATCTCATCCAAGGCAACCAGGATATATCCTCAAATAACTCGCCCCCATCAGCCCTACACGTATGTGTAAACCAAGTCCACAGCTGCAAGCCACTGATGTAAATCCCCAGGTACAGGTCCACTCGACTTCACTCGAAAAAGAAACCATGAGCGCAAGCTTTACGTAGGCCGGTCATAGTTACCTCCCAGAATAACCTACCGATGTGACATCTCACGATCTACTTACCCATAGGTACATAACCTAATTACGTGGGGACCATGACGTAAAAAACCTCCCATCCCCTGCATTCGAGGATGTCAGGAACAACCGGATGGTCTGGGCCAGACAGATCGATGAACAGGTTGCACCGGATCAGCGATGACGAACTGCGATCAACAAGCAACGCCACCGACGGTGACGCGTATGCTTACCTGGGTTGTTCTATTCCGAGAACTTGCGGATGCAGGTACCCGTACTTGATAGGTCAGATTGGTTGGCCTGGTCTCATGTTATCTGGATGTCTATAGATGGCTTTTGGTTATGGTTTTTGGATGGGACTGCGTGAGATGCCTTTGACACTATGTACATAGATATTTGGGTATCCAGTTATCTGGTTTCTGGTGAGGGGAATAGATTGGATGTAGGGTGATGGAGATTTGTATCTATCTGATCTTTCGATGTGTACGTATACGACGGTAGGTAGGTATTATTGAATCAACATATTGAGCCATTCGCTATTCACCACCACTGAATTCATTGAATAATCACAATCAGAGTGATATTGCTAGCATTTTAACTATTCAATAAAGCTCTTCATAATGTCACAATCAACCAATACTTTCTCTCTTCGCCATCTACTCGATATGCGGGAAAAGAGTGCATATTAAACAAGCATATATTCACCCATAAAAATGCCCTAAGAAATTATGGAATAGAAAATAGATCACGGTATGTACAACCCTCAATAGCTCTCAGCCAGCCACCCTCGCAATTTACACGCTAGGCCATCCATCCGCCCACTTCAGCTGGTTCCACCCGAACTGGTACTTCTCCTTGGCCAGCCCGATTGTCTTGTCGGCGTAGTGATAGTAGAGAACAAGACCGAGGTCCTTGTCGTTGACGATCCCCCTGATCGGCTGTTAGCATTCATTCTTTCGCTCATTCATGGCCCATAGAGAAGGATGTGAGAAGGGGAAAACTCACTGTCCACCGGGTCCGTAGACATTGCCGTGACTTTCAAGTAGGGTGGTTCCGCCACTTTCAAGACAGGACTTGCCGTTCTTGTCGACCTAGATGTCATCCATTAGCTTCAATCTCCAAAACGAGTGCGAAAAACGGTCAGAGGGTAAGGAGAACATACAAAACCACCAGTCCCACTCTCTGACCGACACACCACAACCCGATACTCATTCCCCGGCGCCGGCAAATTCGTCTCATACCCAGCAGCCTTACCCGCGGACCACGTCAAGTAATAATAATTTCCGTGCTGGAAGATAAACGTCGCTTCGATATTGTGCGTTCCGGTGGCGTTGTACGCAATGTTGACCGGGTCCTGCGAGCCCAGTTTCAGCGGACTGGTCATCGGCGCCTGGTACAGGTTGTGCCAGTAGGAGCCCCAATTCATGTAACTGGTGTCGCCGATCTTGACCCAGTTGGCGTCGATGGCGTTGTAGGGTTTCGCGGAGGTCGAGGAGAGTCCGGTACTGCCGTGGTCGGTCCAGCTGCCGACTTCCATGGAGGGGGAGCTGGCGACACCGATGACGGAGGTTTGGGAGCCGAGGGTCGAGACGGAGTAGTACATGTAGTATGTGTTGTTTTCGTAATGGACGTCGGGGGCCTGTTGTTTGTTAATTCACGTCTTTGGTGGTGGGGTTGGGGGGATGCATGGGGAGGGAGGGTATACCCAGAGGTTGTCGGCGCCCGGGTTGTCGATGGATGAGCCATTGGGCAATGCGTAGCCGTCGTCGGTCCAGGAACCTTTGATGGAGTCGGCCGAGGCGACGTGGACGCCACCGCCGGTTGCGAAACGGAAGTATTTGCCATCCGAGACGCGCTGGTAGAGACCGGGATCGTGAGTCCAGCAGTCTCCGGAACAGGCGCCGGGGTTGGAGTAGGCATTGGCCAGAGCCAGGAGGGAGAGAAGAGCAAGCTTCATCATGGTGTAAGAATGGAGCAGAAGATTAGAATTAGGAAGAGATTAAGAGAAAAAGGAATAAAGGAAAGTGTTGGAGGAAAGAAGAAGAGATGCTGCTGCTGCTGGCCTACTACATCTACAGAATCGGGGAGACAGTCACCTCTTAAATAGGTTCTACATTCTCTACTTCGAAACATTCTCGCTCCTCCATTCCCGGGCTGTCAATGTAGGAGATGGCACCGATTGCCCGCATCGGTCACAAGCCTGCAACGACTTGCAGTAGATCATAGAAAGAGTGGGGTGGGGGGGAGAGAGTGAAAGTCTGAATCGAGAAGAGAAAAAAGAGGATGACTTGGAGGGCAGCTAATTAGGGTTTGGGAGGGCCCCGACAGTCGTCCAGAGGCACCGCCAGGAACGAGATCCACCCCGGTCGATAAGCGTGGAGAATGGAAAATGGAACATAAGATGGATGGAATGCATCCGGTAACTATCTACTAGCCTTTTCCATCACTGCCATTCTATCCCAAATCTCAGGCTACAATTTTCCCCCGTCGTTGACGTGTCACGGCATGGCGTGCTTGCAGAAAAGCCCTTTCGGCAGACTATCTAGACCTTATTTTTTTTTAACTGTACGTTGTCTGTCTGTCCTGCGTGGTCCAAGGCCAAAACACCTAAGCGGAGAGTTATTGAGGTATTTTTCGGGCGTTTATTGAATGATTGTCCCCATTATTATCGTCTGACCGGAAGCGTAAAAAGGCGAGAGATGATCATCGCCGAAAACAAACGAGGCAGAGGGCCGTTGCTGACCCTCAGCACCGTCCGCTCAGTGCGGAGAAGAGGCTTTGGACATATCAGATGCTAACATCATTAATTCTCCCGCGGGTAGGATTTATTATTATCTTTATTTTTTTGGAAATTTGGTATCTCATGAATAATAATGTTTGCATCCTTGGAGACCTCCTGGCATCTTGCATCTAGCTAGTTTGGAATGTTGCGAGTCTCCACTCGGTGAATCCCATGTCGATCATTCGGACCAGAGGGAAGGCAGATATTTGGAACAATTAGAACAATCAGAAATGGGTGAGCGATATACTCGGTCGATCTATTAATCGGTTGTCCTACAGAGTGAGTGAGTAACTAACTTACATAACGACCGTGACTAACTATCTATACTTCCTAACTATACATAGTACTCAACAGTTTAATATGCACGCACTCGGCATTAACCTCAAAAACACCATCCGTCCTCCACCATTGCGTGCTAGCTGGTCGATTTAAAGATGCAAAAGGACCGGGGTACAGAGGGCCTGATCGGACGAATCTATTGGAGGCTAATCCCGGCTTTCATGCAGCGCGTCTTGACCAACGACGTCGCAATGCTTGCTGCCCGATTGCTGTTCAGAGTCGAGTCGAGTCCAGTTAGTCTCGTCTAGTCTGGTCTTATCCCCACAGCAAACAAAGACCAACCCACTTGCCGCTTGGACCGTCCTTTTTGATTTTCAATTTCTTTTCTTTGCGTTTTCAATTTCGCTGGCCCGTTTCCTCCTTGCAGCTGGACCAGCGACCGAGCGAGTACCGTAAGTCCAAGTCCTTAGCCCGTCAGCTAGTCGGGAATCATGGAAGTCAACCGGCTTGTCCAGGATCGGGAAGTCAGGTTTTTTGTTTTCTTTTCGTTCTCCGACTATTTCTTTTTTCTTTTTTCCTTTCTTTTTTCGTGGCTGTGTTCAAGCTATGTTCCTACTGCATAGGATCAGGCCGAGAGCCCTAAGCCCCTAGCTATTTCACTAAGAGTCTAGCCAATATTGAATGAATGAGTGAGTGAGTGAAAGGATGAATGTGACCGACCGGCCGAGGGCGGGTGATCGGGTTTGGATGATATGATGTCATTTCGCCATGAGCATGGGAGGTTTAATTCTTATTTTGTGTGACTCTCAATCTATTTTATTTCATTCGTCGCATTTAATATATGGTTGTTGTTGTGGTGGTGGTGGTCGGAGAAGTCATCCCCATCGTTGGCAACCACTAGTTAATGGTAGTAGTATAGGTAATATAGCTATGGAGGTAGGGTACGATAGTCACGGGTGCCAGCCAAGAAGGAGACAGCCGAATGAGGCATCATGAGACAAAAGAAAACAAGAGAGAAAAAGAAGAAAAAAAGCCTCAGGCTCAGGCACAGGCACAGCGCACGAGGTCTCTTTCAATTTCGGTCTTCATGCAGATAAGTTGCAGATGTCCTTTTTTTTTCTCCCCCTCTCCTCCCCTCATACATACTGTACAGCAACACTTGGGGCGGCTGAATCGTCCGAATGCGGATAGCCCTGGCGGAGGAGATGGAGATGCGGGATGCGATCGGAATGATCAGGCTCTACTCTACTCTGTAGGCATTCTAACTCGGAGGATGGAGATGGAGGGGTCGGAATGTGTGCAGTAAGGTGTGCAATGTGCGGGGTTTCCAACGTGAATCATTCACGTTCACCTTTCTCTTTGTCTTGAGACTTACTAACTCGGTATACCAAGGTATACGGTTGACTGCCCTGCTATAGTAAGGATCGTTAACGTCAGGGTTAAGTCAAGGTTACACATATCACCCTCACACCCCATCACCCCTCTCTCTTCTTCTCTCCTTTCAACCTACAGAGCACTGTACTTCTATGTACAGTAGTCCTGGGTAAACTCCGGTGCACTACATACCAGGAGTGTAGGTAAGCGACTAGAGGATCACATCCCAGCCGGCCATCACCGCATGGAGAGCAAGGATAAAGCCCATCCTAAAGTGCTGGCCCGCGCCCGGTCCAGTCCTAAACTAGCACGTCATGAGGGACAATTAATACGGTATGACCTCACTTGCATTAGTGCGCCCTAGTATCCTGGTTAGTGCTCAGGCTGGTCGAGTTGAGCATGTCAGGTAGGACCGGGTCAGGCCAGACCAGGCTGAACGGAGAATAAAGCCTACGCGAGAAGTTGTCTGTCTGACATGGCATGCGTTGGTCAGACAGGACGAAATAGACGCGACCTGAGCAGTTAATACTGAAAACATATAAAGACGAGGCTGTGGACTGGCCTGCCGACCGACCGACCGTCCTGGGCGGGTTGACTACTGGCGGAGATTCGGAGCGATGTAGATGCAGCCAAGCGACAGGTGGATGGAATCAAGGCATGGGAATTGTAAGAAATTCTGACCGTGTCGGGCTGGAGCGTCAGGCTGACTTGACCGGGTCTGGGTTGTTGGTTTGACGGTGCGGTGTGAGATGCAGTTGGCAGTGGAATGCATCCATGTGGAGAATGGAGGACCGAGAGAGCCCGACATGTAGAGCAGGAAGAGAAGCCGTCGAGAGCCGCGAATCCAAGGTCAAGGTCGCAGGATAACCTCAGTCAGACCGAGATCCTCGACGGAGAATCGACCGGGAACTAAGTTCAAACCCCAGGAGAGTACTGTACCTCAGGCAGCCCCCAACACCCACTATACGGGACTGTGTACAGTACTCCCCCATACAATCACCACTCCCAATCGTCCTATCTTCCCATCTTCCCATCTCCAGATCTCCCTCCCTACATAATCGACTAATCGGCGCCACCAGATTACCACCCACGAACCTCGGTTCTCCCTTGACGCTCCCCGCTTTTCCCCAGAATTACGCCGACGATCGCTGAGTTAATCCAGTGTTTGTGCAGAACACAAAAAAAAATAACCGAGGATGAACGGTTATTCGGCAGAGCGCGAGTGTCTCAAAATGAGCGCTCACTGTCCAACACCGATTTCCTCGTCTGGATAACGACTGAAAATCGACCAAAGATGGCTCTAGGTGAGTACGACGTCTCAGGTGTCGCAATCTTGGTCGAAACGTGCTGACCCCTTCGGAGTCGCCGCATCGGTAGCAGGCGCGGCAACCTTCGGCGCATACCTCAATGCCAAGTTTCACGTCGCGAAGGACCTCAGGACCCTCTCGGCCCTCCGGAATGGCGAAAAGGGCTATGCGACGGCAGCGGCACGAGGGAAGGGAAACGTGTGGTTCTTGTTCGAAGAGGCCGCGGCTCGATATCCGGATACGACGTGCATCTGGACAAGGGAGGCGCAGTATACCTATCGCGAGGCCGTGACGCGGGCGGCTCGGTATGCGCAGTGGTTTCGCAGCAAAGGCGTGCAGAGGGGTGACATCGTGGCGTTTTATCTGCAGAATTCAGCGGATTTTTTGATCGCGTGGCTGGCGCTGCTGAGTATCGGATGTGGGCCGGCCACGGTCAACTATAACCTGACCGGGGATGCGCTGGTGCATTGTCTGAAGATCAGCGGCGCGAAGTTGCTGCTGGTGGATGAGGATGAAGGCTGTCAGGCCCGCGTCGAGGAGTCCAAGACGAGGATTGAGAACGAGCTGGGCATGGAGCGCCTGACGGTCGATGTGACACTGGCGCAGACTCTCGCCTCCTTCCCTGAGACCGTCCCCGACGGCGGAAAGTTGGCTCGCGACATGGCCGCCGAATTCCCCGCGATTCTGCTATACACTTCCGGGACCACCGGCATGCCCAAGGCCTGCGCGTTCACCATGGGGAGACTATACAGGGGTCTGACGTATCGAAGCGGATCCATCAACGACCAGGGCGGACCAGCCGGCGATCGCTGGTATAGCTGTATGCCGCTATACCACGGCACGTCGGCCATCTCAATGCTGACCAGTCTCGTCACTGGAGTCAGCGTGGCGGTCGGCAAGAAGTTCAGCGCGCGAAATTTCTGGCACGACATCCACGACTCCGAGTCGACGATCTTCGTCTACGTCGGCGAAGTGGCCCGGTATCTACTTGCAGCGCCGCCATCGCCTTTAGACCGCGACCATCGCGTGCGCTGCATGTACGGCAACGGCTTGCGTCCAGACATATGGGAGAAGTTCCGTCAGCGATTTGACATCCCGGAGGTCGGCGAGTTCTTCAACAGCACCGAGGGTGTTTTCGGGCTGTTCAACTACAACCGAGGACCCTTCTCAGCCGGCAGTGTCGGTCACCATGGACTACTATTGCGACTAATGCTAAGAAACGTATATGTGCCGGTGGCAATCGATCCCGTTACCGGCGACGTGCTGCGCGACGAGAGGACCGGCCTTGCATTGCGACCGTCGCATGAGACGGGCGGCGAGATCTTGGTGAATATCCCCAACGAAGAAGCGTTCCAGGGATACTGGAAGAACGAAGACGCCACGCAGAAAAAATTTCTCCGCGATGTCTTTCGCAAGGGGGATCTGTACTATCGATCGGGAGACGCGTTGCGACGACAGTCTGACGGACGGTGGTATTTCCTCGACCGACTGGGAGATACTTTTCGCTGGAAGAGTGAGAATGTGTAAGTTCTTTTGAACAGCAACATACTATACCACCCATTCCAGAGGATATACTAACAGAAGCAGGGCGACCGCCGAAGTGGCCGAAACCCTAGGCCAATACCCTGGTATCCAAGAAGCCAATGTCTACGGCGTGCTGGTGCCTCACCATGAGGGACGTGCCGGCTGCGCAGCCTTGCAGATTACACCCGAGGCGAAATCCCAGTTCAATTACCGTGACTTCGCGAGTTTTGCTCGGGCGCGACTGCCCAAATACGCGGTTCCGGTGTTCCTACGCATCGTAGAAAACCCGTCGCATATCCACAACCACAAGCAGAACAAAGTGCCGCTGCGCGAAGAGGGCGTCGACCCGGAGAAGAAAGGCCAGAAGGCACCAGATGGAGCCGACGATCGGTTCTTCTGGCTGCCTCCGGGGGAGTCGGAATATAAGGAATTTGGCAAGAGCGATTGGGGAGGATTGTTGGAAGGGAAGGCGCGACTTTAGTAGTAGTAGTAGTAGTATCTACCTAGCCTAGCCCTATATACACCATAAACTCCAACAGATAAAACCTCTAAAGAGCGAATAGGTATCCCAAGGGGTCCTAAAAGAATCTAAAAAACTTCAAAAGTAAGAATTTGTTGATATATCAAGTACTACAAGGACTAAACCATCAGTCAGCTGGCTTTTTAGTCTAGTTAGAAGTCCGAACGGTTGTCAAAATTATACTCATACATATCGATACCTGCATTTTCTACACTAATTACTCCATATCGGAGGCTTCATCCTCCGACAGTAGGCGTGTGTGCTTGCCCAGCAGCCTTGTGCTGATCATGGGAAGGCGCGACTTTAGAGTTTTGACGTGTACATTTTCAGGCAGATCCTAACTATTTGTTTGTTGCCAAATACCTAGTTATTGATATTACGTCCAAATCCACGTGTGACCATCAAATATGAGCTCTCACACCGCAAACATCCCCATCGCTGAGCCCCCCGAAGGGCGGCATTCCACCGCTTCAACTACACTCGCCATGCTCACCCTCATATCCATCCTGAGCGTGCTTCTCTTCACTTCCATCTTCGACTCGACCGCCGCGACATGTCGTTGTTTACCAGGGAATCCGTGCTGGCCGTCCCCGCAGACCTGGTCGCAATTCAATGCCTCCATCTCCGGCCATCTCGTCGCAACGGTCCCACTAGGCGCGCCCTGTCATGATCCCAACTACGACGCAGCCAAATGCGCCCAACTTCGCGACAATTGGACCCATCCTCAACCCCAGTCTGCCCTTGCCTCGGTAGATTGTATGTATAATGGCTAATTTACCTACAGCTATGAATCCTCCTCCTCCGTCATGGCCCCCTATTTCGCCAACAACTCCTGCGACCCCTTCCACCCGCCCGGTAAGCCCTGCACGCTAGGCAACTACGTCGTATACGCCGTCAACGCCAGCACCCCCGACCACGTCAGCAAGGCCCTGCAGTTCGTCCGACAACACAACATTCGCCTCGTCGTCCGCAACACCGGGCATGATTATCTCGGAAAGTCGACGGGCGCAGGCGCCCTAGGCCTCTGGATGCACCATCTCAAGGGGATCACCGTCGCCGACTACCGGGATGCTCGATATACTGGGAAAGCGATCACGGTGGGCGCCGGTGTTCTGGGAATCGAGGCCTACCAGGCTGCAGATGCGCAGGGCCTGCAGATCGTTGGGGGAGAATGTCCGACCGTAGGACTCGCCGGTGGATATACGCAGGGCGGCGGGCATTCGATGTTATCATCAAAGTACGGGCTTGCGGCCGACCAGGTGCTGTCTTGGCAGGTGTTTACCGGAGAGGGGGAACTGGTGACTGCCACGCGTGAGAATTATCCGGATTTATACTGGGCGTTGAGTGGTGGTGGCGGAGGAACGTACGGAGTTGTTTGGTCGATGACGGCGAAGGCGTACCCCGACACACCGGTCTCCGGGCTGAATTTGACGTTTTCCAGGGAGGGGACTGACGCGGAAGCGTTTTATGGTGCCATATCAAGGTTCCATGCCAGTTTGCCGGATCTCGTCGATGCAGGAGCCATGTGTATCTGGAGCTTGACGAATACGTCCTTTTCACTTAATCCACTCACAGGACCGAATATCCCCGCCACCGAGCTGGTGGATCTTCTCAGTCCCTTCATGGATCACTTGGATGAACAGGAGATCACCTATAATATTTCGGCCGATGACTTCCCTGGCTATCTTTCCCAGTTCCAGGCCATGATGCCGGATGTGCCCGTGAGCGAGGCACAACTCGGTAGCTGGTTGATACCACGCGATGTCGTGGAGGAGAACGAGAACTTCACAGCTGCAGCTCGTCAAATCGTCGAGGACGGGGCGTTTCTCGTCACTGTTGGACTCAGTGTATCGAAGGCTGTTGCTAGAAATGTGGACAATGCCGTTCTGCCCGCGTGGCGGGACACATTGGCTCACACCGTGGTTTTGACGCCGTGGGAATGGAACGCAGACGAGGAAATGCGTGAGTGGCAGAGGAGGATGACGGGGGTGTACGTCCCCTTGTTGAGTCGGTTGGCGCCGAATTCGGGAGCCTACATGAATGAGGTTTGTTTTCTTTCTCTTGTTCTCTCTTGTTCTTTCTTTCGGTTCACCATACTTCTTGAAGTCAGTGTTGCTAACTCTCTTAGGCCGACTTCCGACAACCCGACTACAAACGGGCGTTTTACGGGGAGAATTATGCTAAGCTCCGAGAGATCAAGAAGAAATACGACCCGTATGATGTTTTCTATGCGCCTACTGCCGTTGGTTCGGATGAGTGGATCGAGTCGAGCAGTGGACGCTTGTGTCGTGTTTAATCGTATAGACTTTATATCGACAGCCTAGATGATGAGCGAGTAGGCAAGAGAAACCCATTCACATGAACAAGGGTATAATTATAGTTATAGCTATCATTAGGTGGTTGTAAATATGATCTAATCGACTTGCATCAACCATACTTTGTCCCCACACTAACTATAACGATTAAAGTGTATGGGCCAATTAAGCCCACATGAAACCTGTCTGCTCTGAGTCTCTATATTATCTAAGCCCAATCGAAGATCTGTACCATCACTCTATCAGTCAATAACCCTCTAAGTTACCATCAAACCCTACCTACCTACCAGTGTCTCCGAACATCCCTGACTCTTACATACTTTTCACCACCCTCCATCTTTAAATCTCCTCACACCCACCTACCATTTAGAAAACAGTGGTTAGACAAACCACCGCGGCATTCTCCGACCGAACATAAAATTAGATTAGTCCGCGGCCGCCGTTGTGCCGGTTTTCTGCTCCCCTTAAACTTCCCCGACGGTTCCGGATCCACGGGTTCTCGGTAACCTTCCATACTCCATGACATCGTCGTCCAGTGTGCGGACACATTCTGTGCGGGCAAGTTACTTTTATTTGGTGATTCTGGGTGGGAGGTGAAGTAGCTCGTGCGGGGCTTTTGGGGGTGAGTGTTCGGTTTGAGATGGTAGGTTTTTGGGTGTGATGAAGTGGAGATGGAGGTCATATTTATATATCAAGTTTTACCTGTCATTATCATTGCATTTGTCTTTCTATCCTTGTTTGCATTGATTCAATATTGCTTTTGCGTGCTTCGGCCTCTCCTTTGTCTTTCACCATACAATTGACCTACTTAACTGGTTCGGTTCATTCGTGCGTTCCTTCGTGCGCATATTTCCTCGAGCACCTGCACAAGCACAGCACGAATCTATACGCACCTCCCTCCCTAATCTCCATGTCCTCTACAACAACCACGCATGGCCTGGGTACATAACCTCCAAGGCGTCGACCCCGAAAGCCACATTGCGCGTGACATCGCCATCTGTTTGTTTTTCTCGACCCTGGCCTTCGTGGCGGTCGGCGTCCGTTTCTGGATCCGGTTGCAGGCAAATCGATGTCCCTGGGCCGATGACTTTGCGGCCCTGTCCAGTGCCATCTTAGGGGCTGGTTATACGGGGATTGCGGTGGGTCGTGAGTCAATTCCTCCTCGGGTTCTTTTGTTGCGGTTGATATTTGATATGAAAATTGGTGGTGAGGGAAGCTAACTCATATGTTTACGGGTTCTAGAAACGCGATGGGGTCTAGGGACGAGTGCTGCCTTTTTTCCTGTTGAGAATGCGGTGCCTTTCTCTAAGGTTGGTGTTTTTGCTATTTCTTCTTGTTTTTGTTGTTAGATACTGGGCTAAGATAAATAGGTTCAATATGCTGGCGGCCCAGTCTACACACTCGCTCTCCTCGGGTTCAAAGTCTCCTTGTTGGCGTCATATCTCCGCATTGGGGGCTTTATTCGCGCCTACAAGGTGGTGATCATCGTGGCGATCGTGGGCGTCGTGTGTAATCAAATGATCTTTACCTGCTTATTGCTGTTTGCATGTCATCCAGTATGTCTTCCTCGTTGGGTCGGGTTGGATGAGATGGTTTGCGTCTTGCTATGATGACGATAGATGGAACTGACTGATGGATTGTTTGCAGATCAAAAAACAGTGGGATGCAATGGTCCCTGGGAAATGCATCGATACTGTGGCTTCTTATTTCGGTATCTATCTCTCCTTCGTCTGATAAAAAAGTAACATGACTAGACGGACTAACTGCGCAGCCCTGGCGGGGACTAGTCTCGGATTCGATATGATCATCATCGCGCTGCCATTGCCGGTGCTGTGGCGGTTACGGTTACGGTTGAGACAGAGGGTATGTATATATTTATCTCCTTCTCTCATGATCGACAACAAGCATACTGATAAACTGAACCAGATCGCTCTCGTAGCCATCTACGCCCTCGGATTTTTCATCACCATCATCCAAATCATCCGCATCTTCACCATTAAAGCCCTAGAGACGTATACAGATAGTGAACCAATCGTGATGTGGTCCAGCGTGGAGATAAGTCTTGGTGTTCGTTCCCTTTTCACCCTCTCCACCCTCTCGTACCTAGCCATGCTGAACCAAAGAACTAACTAGGTAATAATCTCCTGTGTTCCCACCTACGGTACATACTTCCACACCTTCGCGACAAACGTGAACGCCTACTGGCGCCGACACAGCAGCACTTTCACGTGGAAGTCGGATCGCTCGAACTCGCATAGCGGGCCGAGTGGGAATGGGAATGAGATATCGAATTCACATTCGAAGAGGAGTTCAAATTCCGGATCGCAAGGTACTACGCATACTACTGCGACGACTACGACGATTGGGAGTGGAGGGTCAAGGAAGGAGAGGGATAGTATGGTCCCAGACATGGGGCTGGCGAGTTTTGATTTCAATGAGTTTGTTTGAGGGATGTTTTTGGAAGGCATTTTGGGGTTTCTTTGGGGGAGTTTTTTGGGGATTGAGACCGGCGCCTATTTCTATTAGGAGTTTTTGGTGTTCGGGTGTCAAGGGGGGCGTTAGAGTTGGAGTCATTCTATTGTTTTGCTGTTTAGTTTTAGTTTCAGTTTTTTTTTTTTTTTTTTTTTTTTTTTTTATGGATCTGATCTGATCAGGTGCGAAATGATACAGCAGAATGTCAATCGTATGCATAAATAGTGATCTGGAGTAACTAACTTTAGTAGATCATATCAACATTTTATGCCTGAGGCAGCAGTTGTGCCAAGCGCTCGTGTTGCTCCTCTTTCTCCGCTCTTCCCTTCCAGGTACATATTCTTCCTCCTACACAACACTCTTCTGAATCATCTCATGCAGTTGAATCAATTCTTTTCATCAGAATAGTCGATCCTTCATCTGTGCATCCACAAATGACAAACAGGGAACACCCCGAATACCCCGGCTGAGTTCTAAAGAGAACCCGCCTTCCTTATCGTGAAAGCGGGCAAATGAACAAAACAGATGAGACAGCGGCGTCCCCACAGAAAGAAAACAATGTCCCAGGTTCCAATCTGACAAGAAAGCCGACCATTCATGCGAGATTTAGCAATGTAAGTCTTCCACACCGCTATCTGATACATCCCTTTTCTCTGCTCCCCAGGAACAAGGTTTGCGCTGACCGCATAATTCCCGACTATAGGTGCTCCGACATCTGCCATATGCCATTTGTGTGACGGCAGTTGAATAAAATGGATGAATAACTCACTACTTAACTTGACATCTTAGAGTTGGTCATATCCTCCATTTAACTAGTCACCCTCAGTCTAACTATTGCCCAGAAAAGCGAGCATTGCTTCCACAGGTTTGATCCCTGCATTCCCAGTCAGCCGGACACTTGCGGTGTAGCCAGCAGACATGCAGCACCAGATAGTTAGTGCGCCTTGCATGAAACGAGGAATCAGATTGACCAGTCCTGGGTTGGTCTTGGATACGGTTGTGTGAGAATCTAATATGTAGCGATGTGTTTCCTGCGCTTGTGAGGGGAGTTCCTCTCGATGAAGTAGCAACTCAATCTCCCCTTCATTTCGCCCAATTTCAATAGATATTGCAGTTGAGAAAATATGGCCAACCCTAACGAAGACCCTTGCTCGACACCTAGGTCTACAATTCCAAGTATGTCGATTAAACCCTTCCCCCTTCTACTTCCGTTAAGATTCGACTCGCTAAAAATGATCAGACGAAGATGAAAGCCTCCTTCCCCCCATCGCCATCGTCGGTATGGCGCTCCGCCTCCCCGGAGACATATCTACACCCTCATCCTTCTGGTCGCTCCTCATGAACAAGACCGACACCTCGAGTCCCGTCCCTGCGGACCGATACAACGTTTCTACCTTCCACTCGCCCACCAAGCCCGGCATGGTGCGTCCGCAGCGCGGCTACTTCCTGTCCCAGGACTATATGAATCAGGTAGATACCTCGGTCTTTCAGGTAGCCGGGTACGAGGCTTCGCATCTCGATCCGCAGCAGACGCTGCTGATGGAGGTAGTCTGGGAGTGTATGGAGAGCGCAGGGCAGAAGGAGTGGCGCGGACGGGATATCGGATGCTACGTTGGCGTGTTTGGGGAGGATTGGTATGATTTGAATGGAAAGGAGACGGGTGAATTGTCGAGGACTCATGCATTTGCGACGGGCGGGTTTGCATTGTCGAATCGCGTGAGCTATCAGTTTGATTTAAAGGGTCCCAGGTGTGCTCTTTCCCTCCCAATTATCCGTTTACTTGATTGGGAATGTCGATATTCGATTATGAGCTGCTAATCTGAGTATAATGGACTAAAGTGCCACCATCCAAACCGCATGCTCGTCCTCTCTGACGGCCGTTCACGAAGCCTGTCAAGCCCTGTACACGCGCAGCTGCGAATCCACCATCGTCGCGGGAACCAACATGATCCTGACCCCCACGATGACAATTACGATGTCCGACAACCGAGTCCTCTCGCCTGACGGACGTTGCAAGACTTTCGATGCGGATGCAGATGGCTACGCGCGTGGTGAGGCCGTCAACGCGGTGTTCCTGAAACGACTGGACGACGCGGTGCGAGACGGCGATCCCATCCGCGGCGTGATCCGGTCCACGTCGGCCAACTACGACGGGCACAGCCATCGCATCTTTGCGCCGGATGTGCACAGCCAGGAGAGGTTAATTCGACAAGCCTATTCGCGCGCTGGGATCAAGGATCTCGCCCAGACGGCTTTCGTCGAGTGCCATGGTACTGGGACGAGGATGGGAGATGTGGTTGAGACGACGGCGGTGGCGCGGGCATTTAAGTCCGATGAGTTATATTTGGGAGCGGTATGTTTTGTCTTTTTTTGGTGATATGTGCGAGTTAGAGGAAGCTAAGAAGAATGGAAACAGGTCAAACCGAATGTTGGACATGGGGAAGGCGCATCGGGGTTGACGGGACTGATTAAAGCCGTGTTGGCGTTGGAGCATCGCATCATCCCACCGAACATCCATTTCGAGACCCCAAATCCGAAGAGTAGGTCTATCTCTCCTAGCGATAGGTGATCGCTAACATCAGTGTGGTATAGTCCCCTTCAACAAGGGTCTGCGCGTCCCTGTAGACCCTGTCCCGTGGCCGTCAAATCGGAAGGAGCGAGTCAGCGTAAATTGCTTCGGTGTGGGAGGGTCAAACGCTCACGTATGCTGATTGATCAATCTATTTCTCTCAAAGCTGACAGTATAGGTTATCGTGGAATCGGCATCCTCGTTGAAGGCAATCGAGCCCCCCTCAAACCCAAGGGCCCGTCTGTTGGTGACGTCTGCGTATAGCGAGGCGTCGCTGCATCGGCGAATTTCCGACCTCCAGAAGTATTTGGAACAGAACCCGAAAGGCGTGCAAGATTTGGCACATACGCTTGGTGCGAAACGAGATCATTTGTCCCATCGTGCGTTCATGATCGCAAACGAAGATGGGATACTAGAAGAGCCTGTTTTATCCAAACCTGTCTCTCCGTCGTCGATTGTGTTTGCTTTCACCGGACAAGGAACTCAGTGGCCGGGGATGGCTAAGGAGCTCGTTCAGTATGTAGAATCATTCCGTGCGGATATTAAGAAGATGGATCAGATCCTCAAGGCGTTAACGGACCCCCCGGCCTGGGATATAGAAGGTACATGCAGCCTCTCTACCAGCCGACCGATTATGCTAATACAGCCCAGATGAGTTACTTCGCATCGGCACTTCCCACCGCGCTGGCAAGGTCGAGCTGTCGCAGACTCTTTGCGCCGCCGTCCAAATCGCATTGGTTAATCTGCTCTCGGCTTGGGGAATCCGTCCGTCCGCCGTAGTGGGCCATTCCAGTGGTGAAATTGCGGCTGCGTACGCGGCGGGTGCGATTCCCATCGAGTCGGCCATAACCATTGCCTACTACCGTGGACAAGCTGCCAAGTCGAGTACCAGATCAGGAGGGATGGTAGTTGTTGGCTTGAGTTCGGAGATGGCCAAACAATATCTTGTTGACGGAGTCGTTGTAGCGTGTGAGAATAGTCCCCAGAGTGTCAATCTATCTGGGGATAAGGATAAGTTGGACGCGGTGCTGGAGACAATCCTGACTGAGCATCCGGGTACATTCAACAGGAAACTACCTGTCGATGTGGCATATCATTCACGTTCGTATCTCCCTTCCTTTTATGTCTGTCTGACCTAACATCATCTAGCCCACATGGCCGAACTGGCACATATATACGAGGCCGCCATCCGCCCTCATATCTCGACCACTGCATCCACCAGCGGGGTTCCCATATACTCCTCTGTGACCGGGCAAGTCCTAAGTCCTACCGACCTGGATGCCACATACTGGCGACGCAACCTCGAGTCGCCCGTCCTCTTCGCCTCAGCTGTGAGTAATCTGTTGGACGCCCAGACAACGGATCTCGAACCCATCCTCTTCCTCGAGATTGGCGCACACCCAGCCCTCTCCTCTCCTCTCCGCCAAATTTCCTCACACCTCAACAAGCCCATTACCCACATAGCCACCCTCCGCCAACACACCGACCAACACCTCTCCCTCCTCCAATCCGCAGGATACATCTATCTCGCAAATCGCACCCCGTCATTTCCGGCCCTCAACGGCCCTGGCGCCACTCTCTCCGACCTCCCCATCTACCCTTGGGACCGCCGGAACATCAACCGCCAGGAAAGCCGACTGACACGCAACTGGCGATTCCGCACACACGCACCCCACGAGCTGCTTGGCTCGCGAACTCTAGAGTCCACGGATCTTGAGCCTTCATGGCGAAATTTGCTTCGCGCACCAGATGTCACCTGGCTTTCGGATCACCATGTTTTAGGAGACATCGTGTTTCCGGCTGCAGGGTACGTCGCCATGATTGTAGAGGCGGTTCGTCAGGTCTCAGACTCTGAGGGCAGTAGCAGTCAGGGATGTTGGGTCCAGCACTTGGTGATTAAGACGCCGTTGATCTTGAGTAAGAAGGGATCAATGGTGGAGATGGTTACCTCTTTCAAGCCAGTGCGGTACAGCGATCGCGTGGAGTCAGAATGGTGGGAGGTGACGATTGCTTCTTTTAACGGGACTGCGTGGACAAGGCATTGTATGGGGCAGGTTCGAAGCGGCGAGGCCGATGATGGTAACGAACATGGCCACGCATTCTCGACTGAGCAGATTAAACGACTTCCTCGTCCCGTCGCGCCCGAAAAATGGTATCGCACGCTCAAGAATGTCGGGCTGGAGTACGGGCCCCAGTTCCAACTCCTAGAGGACATCACTACCCATCCGGTAGAACACGTCGCGAATGCCACTATTGGCAAGAGGTCCGGTCACGCCGAGTACCCTGTGCACCCGACCGTTATCGACCAGTGTCTCCAGCTTGCCGGACTAGCGGCGTGTCGGGGCCGGACGACTCTGATCGACGGCGTCGCCATCCCGGCATTTATTGAGAGCGTGTATGTCGGCAGTGCGCAGGAAGGGGAGATCATGGTGGCGGAGACGAAAGGTGCTTCAGTTGCTGGGACACATGCGAAATGCGACGCGCGGCTGATGACAGGCGAGACAACGGCGCTGTTGGTGCAGGGCGCGGCGATCGTGCAATTGGATCGGGCGAGGCAGGAAGAAAAGCTGCCTCTGACATCTCACATTGAGTGGAGGCCGGATGCGGACTTGTCGTCTACAAAGGAGCTTATGGAATGCGAGATAAGTGAATCGGGGTCTCTTATGGATAGATTGTCTGCACTGTCGGTCATTCAGATTCACAGGGCTATCAGGGACGTTACGCCTGTTCCTCAATTTGAGGGATACAAACGATGGGTCTGCGAACGGGGCGATCATTACAGGAATACCACGGCCTCAGAGGCACAGGAATGGTATTCACTGGATGACACGGCTCTGCAGTGCCTTCGCGACGGGGTGAGCGCAAAATTGAAGACCCACGGCCAGGAGGAAATCTCGGGCCTCAGTGAGAGTGTTGTCGAAGCGTGCGCCGACATCTTGCGCGGGACAGTTGATGCGGCCCAAATCGTGTCAGAAAATAGTATGATGCAGGTTTACGAGTATACAGCATCATCGGAGCAAGTAACTCAACTTCTTGGTGTGATGCGCCATACGAACCCCCGGCTGCGCGTTCTCGATATAGGCAGTGGTCCGGCCAGGTTGACATCGTGTGTCTTAAAAGCGCTCACGTCGGAAGAAGGGCGATGCTGGTCTAAGTATACCTGGACTGATGTCTCCACTGTCGCTGTCCAAGCTGCGCAGGAAAGATATGGCGAGACGGTGGAATGTTTTCTTTTTGATGTCACGCAGGACTCGGTGTTGCAGGGATTGCAGGAATTTGCATATGATGTTGTGATTGTATCAGATGTAAGTGGTCTTGAAGTTATGGGCTTGATGAACTTGAAAGAATTCAGATCTAATCTATACAGGCCTTGCGCACAATCCCGCAAATTGGTGTTGCTCTCCAGAACATCAAGAAGTTCCTGGTGTCGGGAGGGAGAATTGTGATACAGGAGACAACTCGTATGTCCTGGCCTTCAACTTGTTCAACATATGCTAATCGAGCAGGCGTTGCAACGATGAACTATATTACGGTACGTTGAGTATGCGCACAAATTTGCATGAAGCTAATCCAAGCAGGGTCTTCTTCCCCAGTCGAAACTTCCGAGCGCAGGCTCCCTTTCGTCAACTGAGTGGGAGTCCTGCATGAAAACTGTCGGATTTGAGGACATCAACATGGATGACTTTGATCACTTAGCTCGACGGCACATCGTGGCGAAAGCCCGACAGCCAGCGCTCGAGCCAACATCAATTGACATCCTCATTCCCGACAACCCAAGCCACCCCTGGCACAAAACCATCGAGTCCGCTCTCTCAGACAGAGGATTCACTGTGCAGACTCATACTCTCGGTCAAAGTATTGCCAAGAACGCCCTAGTGATTTCCCTGCTCGATCTCGATGCCCCCTTCTTCAAATCCATGACGGCAAACCAACTCTCCGCCCTGCAAACCCTTCTCGCCTCCACTCCCCGCATCCTCTGGGTCACGCAATCTGCACAGGTGAGATCCACTAACCCGGACTTTGGACTCGTCCTCGGGGCCGCGCGGTGCATCCGACAGGAAACTGGAGTCTCGTTTGCCACAGTGGAGGTGGACGCATTCACCCCGTCGGCGCTGAACGCCGTGCTGAGCGTACAAGAGAAATTTCGTCGACAGCAGAGTCAAGATGATCTGAATGCAAAAGATTACGAGTTTGTCATTCATGACGGGGTTGTCTACACGGGGCGCTACCATTGGACTTCGCTCACAAATATGTTGATCGCTCAGTCGGAGCAGGACACTTCCCTGAAGTTGGACATCGCGAATTACGGCGCCATCGGGTCTCTTGGCTGGGTGCCCGATCATACGGATCCCTTGGGTGCTGATGATGTCGAAGTGGATATTCGATACGTGGGTTTGAATTTCAGGGTTTGTCCATGCTAGAATTACTCCCATCACGTCTATCTCTGGGCAGGAGGCTAATATTGACATGTTTAGGATATCATGATTTCGCTAGGCGTTATGGCCAACAAAGAGGAACTCGGTATCGAGTGCAGTGGCATTATCACCCGCACTGGCGCGAATGTTCGGCACCTGCATCAAGGCCAAAAGGTCTGCGTTCTTTACTCGGGTGTATTTCGCTCGCGGAAGGTCGTACCGGCAACTGCTTGTTCAGAGGTGCCAGCTACGGTGTCTCTGGATGATGCGGCGGGGGTCCAGGTGGTTTTTTATACGGCGATGTATTCACTTATGGAGGTCGGGCGATTACGCAAGGGACAGGTTAGTTCTAGGCTAAAATGAGTGGAAGAAGAAAAGTGATTGCTGCTAACGATGAACGAACCACAGTCTGTTTTGATTCAGGCGGCTTGCGGTGGTGTTGGTCTTGCAGCTGTCCAACTCTGTCAGGCAATTGGGGCGGAGGTATGTCTTTTTTCGTATCACTAAAATGATTACTGCCAATTGACAGACGGATATAGATCTACTGCACTGTCGGCAGCGAGAAAAAGGCCCAGTATCTGATCGAAGCATTTGGCATCCCGCGCCATCGCATCTTCAACTCCCGCGACGCGTCGTTCCTTCAGGGGGTTATGCGCGAGACGAACGGAGAAGGAGTCGACATCGTTCTCAATTCACTCGGTGGACCTCTCCTCCACGCTTCCTGGAAGTGTGTCGCGCAATTCGGAAAGATGATCGAGCTGGGTAAGAGAGACTTCCTGGAGCATGGAATGCTCCGGATGGATCTGTTCGGCGGGAATCGGTCTTTCATCGGGGTCGACTTATTCGAGCTGGCGAAGAAGCCGGGGCTGATCGCTGGGTTAGTTCAATGTTTAATGTACAGTCAAAGGGCGCAGATTCTAACAACCATTAGGCTGCACGATCAACTTCTCGACCTCTTTCAAGAAGACAAACTGCAGCCCATCCGGCCTTTGAAGGTGATGCCCGCGGGTGAAGTTGAGCAGGCCTTCAGGCATCTGCAACAGGGTCTGCACACGGGAAAGATTGTAGTGCAGATTCCCGAGAATACTGCTTCGTTGCAGGTTTCTCAGACCCGTCAGACGGTTACTTTCGACCCGGACGCTGCGTATCTGCTCGTGGGCGGACTCGGGGGAATCGGTCGCTCTATTGCAACATGGATGATCGAGCACGGCGCAAAACACTTGATCTTTCTCTCTCGCTCGGCCGGTCAATCGGCAGATGATCAGGCCTTCCTGCATGAGCTTCATGTCCAAGGGTGCGATGCCCGCGCCGTGAAGGGCGACGTATCGATTCTGGCTGACGTTCAGCGCGCAGTCGATGACTGCCCTCATCCTATCCGAGGAATGCTTCAGCTATCCATGCTGACTCGTGTACGCTCCCCTTCCTAGTACCGCTCATGTCCCTTACTTATAACTATATCCAGGACCAATTCGTCCGCGACCTCACCCATACTAACTGGACCACCGCGCTCGCCGCCAAAGTAACCGGTACCTGGAACCTGCATCACGCGCTCCAAAATTCACCCTTGGCCTTCTTCGTCCTATGCAGCTCCATTGCCGGCCTCATGGGCAGCCCGGGCCAAATGAACTACGCGGCCGCCAACACTTTCCTCAACTCATTCACGCAATTTCGCCTGCAACAAAACCTGCCCGCCTCGGTCGTCAGCCTCGGGGGCGTTGACGATATCGGCTTCCTAGCGACCCAGGCCACCCGTGTGAGAGATAACATGCGCGCTGCCTCCGTCCGCATGCTGCAGGAACATGAGGTCCTTGACGCCTTCGAGGTCGCTATAACCGGTCGAACTCTGCCCTTGCCGTCCTTCTCCCGAGAGGCTCTCGTCCCGCAAGAATTCGCCATCGGGCTGAGCAGCACCAAAGCCCTCTCAGATCCCTCCGTGCGTCCCCTATGGGGCAACGACGCGCGCTTCCTTCACTATCATGACACAGTCCCCGATGCCTCAGGCGATCAGGCCACGGCGCCCATAAACGCTATACGCCAGCTAATCAACGACGCGAGAATCCAGATCGCAGCGGCGCGGTCCGCATCTACATCCACATCCTACCCCCCGACAGGCGGCTCTGAACCCCAATCTAGCGGTGACAGGGACTTACTCGAGGCTCAGTTCATTCCCGCCCATCGCGCTGCAATCCGCAAGGCCATGTTAGAGGGGATCCAGACGTTCTCGATCTTCGGTGAGGACATGGACAACGAATCACTTGCCAAAATGCAGATAGACTCGTTGATGACGATCGAGTTGAGGAATTGGTTGAGGAGACATTTGGGACTGGACGTGAGTATCGGAGATGTGGCATCGGCGGGTACGATTGGGGGGTTGGAAGCTGTGGTGTTTCGGACGCTTTTAGCAGAGAGTCTGAGGGGATAAAAATATATCTCTCGGGGGGAAGGTCTTATTTGAGAGCATTATCTTTTTAAATGATAGGTATATTAACATATTCAAGGCCACAAGTCGAGAACTACAGATTATATTATTTACATGCCCTTTTCCATCCTCAACCCCGGTCATTCAACATGAAGAATATGAACAATAATGTTGATTTCATATGTTGAAACTGATATTTTACTGTTACCTTTCATAATGCTCTAAAGTCACTTCAATAACATCGAGCAGGGGATGTGGTTTAGTGGTATAACGTTCCCTTAGCATGGGAAAGGTCCGGGGTTCGATTCCCCGCCTCTCCATTCACTGTTCCTTTCTTTTTTTCTTTTTGTTGTGTTCGGGATTTTCTTGGCCTTCCTGCCGAAAATGGTTGTGGGACGGAAGGACCAGGCAGGGCAGGTCTTCTGGCCTTTTTCATCATCATCTCATCACAAACTATTCATCTTTCATCCATTCATCGATTCCTACTTGATATATGACTAGACATGTCCCATGGAATGCTACTGCCAACGATCATGGAATCAATCACCTTAACCGCATATAGTAAAACAGTACGAGAACGACGGGCGAGATCCACAATTTAATTGTGACAGGGAAATAAGGAGTCGTTATAGTAGGCTCGTTACCCCGTACTCCCCACAAGTAAGCAGCTTGATCCTTGCCGCAGGCTCCACTATCATCTTTGGATGATCCTGCAAAATACAAAACGAATGCCGATCCACAGCTTCGGCTTTACGCTGTGCCTAGTACGAGTACGACTGGAAATGCCATTCTAGAAGCTTTCTTTCTGACATTTGCTACGGTGAGGGCACGGGGCCGATCCCGCGATCTCAGGAGCTTTTCTATATAAGACACCTACCCCGAAGGTATGTAAAGTAGCAAGACCTCGCAGCACCAAATACCTCAATCATTCTTGTACTATGCGATTGCCTTTCTTTCAAGTCACGCTCTCGGCTTCCGTGCTGAGTGGCGGCCTTGTTACCGCCTCTCGTGCCCCAGATTGCAAATGTGTAGGGGCTCTATATTTTCTCTCTTTGTCCTGACTTCATGCTGACGGTTCCCTCCTACAGGGTCCGTCCGACACCTGCTGGCCATCATCGACTGAATGGGCATTGCTCAACGACACTCTTTCAGGATGTCTGATGAAGACCGTGCCACCAGCCTCGGCCTGCTACAAATCCGAAAGCAACTACAATGCGACGGAATGTCAACAGATTGTCGAAGAGTGGACCACATCTGTCTTTCACTCCTCTAGTCCTTCTAGTGTTCTGGACCCGATCTGGTCCGGCGATGCCTGCCCCCCTCTGTACCCAAATGGCACCGGCATCACAGGAGACCCTCACGCAGCCTCCAAGGGCTGTGGGTTGGGAAATCTCTCGCCTTACGTGGTGAACGCCACCTCTGCCACCCACGTGCAGACTGCGTTGCGATTTGCCAAGAAGAAGAATATTCGCATCAACGTCAAGAATACAGGACATAATCCTGAGAAGAGGTGAGTTGAGTAGTCTGTTTCTTGTTCTACGAGGAAAAATATTGGTAGATGCTAACATTATGCACAGCTCGGCGTATGGTAGCTTAGGGTATTTATAATTCCCTCCGATCCTAGCTCCCAATGTGCAATTTTGCTAACCCTCGCAGTATCTGGACTCATCATATGAAAGATTTCAAATTCCACAAGTCGTTCAAAGCATGTGAGAGCTCCGAGCCCCAGATGGCGGGTACCGTCGGCGCAGGAGTCCAAGACGGCGAGTTGTTCAAAAAGATGGCAAAGCATAACGCCATTGCCGTGGGTGGCACCAACTCGGTAATAAACTCCCTTTCATCAGCATCTGATAGCTCCTAACCTAATGCAAACCAGGATGTCGGAATCATCGGATGGGCCCTTGCCGGCGGCCACGGATACGCCACCGGTCAGTACGGGATGGGAGCCGATTCCATTATCGAGGCGGAGCTCGTCACTTCTGAAGGAGAAGTCTTGACTGTCAACGAGTGCCAGTATCCCGACCTATTCTGGGCTATTCGCGGAGGCGGCGGCAGTACCTTTGGCGTGGTTCTTTCGGTCACCGTCAAAGCCCATCCCATGCCTTCTGTCGGCGTCGTCAGCTTCGACGTGTCGCCGCGAAACCACACTTCTCCGAAACAGTGGTGGAACACCGTCGCCAGTGTGCACAAAGAAATGGCAGACCTGCAGGATGCTGGCTACGCTGGATACTACACGATCGGCGGACCTCCGTTGGCCTTCCATAACACCATGTTCGCATACAATGTCAGCAGTGCCGAGGAAGCGAGAAAGCTGACCCAGCCGTTGGAGAAAGCACTCGATCGAGTCAATTCCATCGTCAAGACAGATGTTTCTGCGCTTTGGTTCAAGACTTGGTACGAGCTGGTTGAGAAACTGGGGCCATTGGCGGACGCAACCGATGTCGGCACCAAGCGCAGCGTTCGTGCTTCTCGACTTGTAACTCGACGAGCTATCGAAGACACGGCACTTTTTGCGCAAACGTTGGAAAAGATTGGTCCTCAATTTACTGAGCCTAAGGTATGTCCCGGACCTCGCTAAAATCAACCTAATTTGCTGGATTCTGACCGACTCTTCAGAACGGGGTTTCCAACCCATCTCTGTCAGGAACTATGACCGTGGGCAAGAAATCTGTAGACAGTGCACTTAACCCTGCTTGGCGCGATACTGTCATTCATCTGATCTCAGAGCAGCAGTGGGATAGTACTCTACCTGAAAAGATTGCCAATGAGACCATTCATGATATGATCTATGACAAAGGGTATGCTCTCCGGCAACTGGCCCCAGATAGCGGAGCCTATATCAACGAGGTATGTTCCGGTCTTAGCCCATTTGACTTCCAACAAGCGAGCTGATCCTTAGATTTAGGCAAACCCCTACGAGCCCAACTGGCAATGGTCCTTCTGGGGATCTAACTACCCGCGTCTACATGCCATCAAGCAGAAATACGACCAAAATAACCTCCTGTGGTGTCGCACCTGCGTTGGGAGTGAGCAGCTCATTCAATTGCAGAATGGGACACTGTGCAAGAACTTGTAATAAGCATTCTTGACCGGTTTACCTTTGTTATCACTCACTCTCTTGAGCTTGATAACCCAAGGCTGAAAATCCTTTCGTTTTTATTTATTTACACGCTCTTTATTAGACCCTCTTCTTCACTGTTATATCGCTCCATCTTTCAATAAAAATTATTTTTTACTAATTGTCTAATATCGGGGTTTACATTTTGCAGTTTTAGGGGGATGACTATCAAAGAGGACCAAGACGGCTTCATATCATGATCGACCATCTGAGCACGATCCTTACAGCACATATACCAAGGAAATATAACAGGAATAACAGGAATAACCGGTAGCCCTCCACGAAACTACTATCTCGTAAAAGATAGCCATGACGTTGCACGTCGACCTCTAACCCATCATCTCCAACGAAAGCCAGAACTAAAACACAAGTGTAAGACCAGATCATAAACAAACAAACCACTCGGTGCCCCCGACACCTTGCAGGATCCAAGACGCCGACTTCCATCAGCCGGACATGTCATCTCCGCTGCCACTGCCAACCCCAACCCGTCGGGCATACGCTCTCCGACCAATCCAATCTCGCACATGACCTGCAAATCCCTCAGAGGTACAACCCAAGACTTTTGCTTCTCCCTGACAGGGATCGTCATCTACGCCACGATGCTACTTACCTGCTCTCTGTCTAGTGTAAGAGGGGAGGGGAGGTTGCTTATTGACGACGTCGGCTGTTTTGGACGACCATGTCTACCTACCTACTTCGTGGCTTGTTCCGGCTTTCTGTTAATGGGGTCTCCTGAGGTATTGATTTGTATCGCCTCTTGTCTCGCCTTGGCCTTACTTGAACTCCCGCTTGTGCTTGTCTTGTCTAACGCCTCGATGTTACTTCATACAACTACGTACAACTTACCTACCTCATGTCATGTAAATAGAGTCTACCCCATCCGCCAAGTAACCGCCAAGAGACACGCGGTCCTTGGAGGGTTTCCTTCCATCCCGCACTGTCTCTCCTCAAAGCTCGTCGGGTCCTTTAGGTCGGGGTAGCTACCCCGGCAAATAATAACTCGTAGTGTCAGATGCAATGCCCCGTATGTGCGGACCAGAGAGGGTCCATTCGCCAAGCATACGGGGGAGGCTGTGCAAAGCTTGGAAAGCTGTCCGGGGAAGGTGGTACAGTACATACATACGTCTGGGGTAGGTAATGGGTCCGTCCCCCGGGCACTTACTTTATTGATTTGACTTTCTGGCCTTGACTTGGCTTATTCGATCCTTTGATTGGATGAGGTCAGGTCCCTGAGCCTGCGCGGCGAGAGGGCGATTATGGCGTGATATCTTGGTCGTGGTATTTGCTTTGGCGTGGCGGACTCCTGTTTTCTTGACCTCTTCTGTTCTTGCCCTTGGGGAAGGGCTTGGGTGTGTTTATGGCGGAGGTGGAGACGTGTTGGCATGTCTGGGCTGGCTCTCTGGGCGTCTTCTTATTGTTGAGGTGGCGGGGAGATGTTGCTCTCCTGTTTTTCTGAAGTCGTATGTGGTATGTAATCGCTTTTAAGTTATTGGGCGCCAGAAGGACAGAGAAGGTTGTGTGCCAATACTCAAACTCATCTTTGATCTTGATCTGCTTCGTCTTGGACCGGGTGTTTACGGAGGCTGTCTGAGGGGGGTTTGCTTGTTTTGGTTTCTATACCGTATCTACTTGTTTTGATGTCTCCATATCATCCCCGCTGTGGATCTGAGTCTGACAGGAGCGTGGGTGCTGATCTGGGGAAGGTATGCGGGGTGCGTTTCCCCGGCCTCGTTGTACTGGGGTAATTGCATACTACTCCGTCTATTCAGATTATGTGCAATGGACATGACTTGCTCCGAGTGAGTTAGGTGATTGGTATAAAGGCCTTGCCCCCTTGCTCCCAGATACCAGATATCTATTCATCTCATCTCCTATTTCTCCATCTTCCCCAGACACCACAATACCCCTAGACCAGATACCTGTACAAAATGGTCTCCATCTACAACCCCAAATCCCCTCTCCAGCCCCCTGATTCCAAAGAATCAGACCCCAAGCCCTCCACTCTCCACCGCGAATTCACCATCGACGAAGAAATCAACAAGAAAGTCGCCCGCTTTGATGAAGACAAAGAAGATGGCGTCTTTGCCTTCGCCGGCGGTGACTACTCCGGTGCTCAAAAGAAGACCGATCCCGTGGAGATCAGCCTTGTTCGGAAACTGGACCTCTGGATCATGCCGACGCTGTGGCTCATGTATTGGTTGAATTATCTGGATCGGAATGCTATTGCCCTGGCGAGGTTGAATGACCTGGAAGAGGACTTGGGATTGTCGAGCTCGCAGTATCAGACTTGTGTGTCGATTTTGTTTGTGGGGTATTTGTTGGGGCAGATTCCTAGTAGTATGTCCCCCTTTCCTTGTTTGCTTTTGTTGGTCGTTGGGTGGTGTGCTTGATACAGAGACAGGCTGACAATGGTAGATATGATCTTGACTCGAGTTCGACCGTCACTCTACATGGCCGGATTCATGGCTCTCTGGGCAGTAGTCAGCACATTGACTGCCCTGGCCAAGGACTTCAAGGGCCTGTTGCTAGTCCGGTTCTTCCTCGGAGTATCCGGTACGTCCTCACCTCCCTCTACAACTCTAACCCTAACCACCTCCCTTTACAACTCTAACCCAACCATACTACATACTAACAAACAAACAGAAGCCCCCTACTACCCCGGCGCCCTCTACATGCTCTCAATCTTCTACACCCGCAAAGAAATCGCCACCCGCATCTCCATCCTCTACACAGGCAACATCTTAGCAACCGCCTTCGCCGGCCTCATCGCCGCCGGCATCTTCCACGGGATGGACGACCTCGCCAACCTATCCGGCTGGCAATGGCTCTTCATCCTGCAAGGAGTCGTAACCTTCATCATCGCCGTCTTCTCAATCTTCACTCTCCCCGACGACCCGCTCAAGACCCGCTGGCTGACGCCTCAAGAACGTGAACTCGCTCACGCCCGGATCGTCGCAGATACCGTCGGCGCTAAACAACAGACGAGCACGTTCGCGGGGCTGAAAGAGGCGGCGAGGGATCCGAGGTTGTGGCTGTTTGCGTTCATGCAACATATGCATCTTGCTGCGAATGGGTTCAAGAATTTCTTTCCGACGGCGGTCGAGACGCTCGGTTTCAACACGACTATCACGCTTGTGCTTACTTGTCCGCCATACCTCATCGCCGGGCTGGTAAGTGTCTTCTGGAGCTGGAGTTCAGGCAAGTATAATGAGCGGACGTGGCATATTACATCTGCGAAGGCGATTGCGATCGTGGGATTTGTGCTGGGTTGTGCGACGCTGAATACAGGCGCCAGGTATTTTGCGATGGTGGTGTTTGCGATAGGCACGTATGCGGTGAATAGTATTGTGTTGGGCTGGGTATCGAGTACATGTGGACAGACGAAGGAGAAGAAGGCGTCGGCGTTGGCGATTGTGAATACGATTGCCAACGTGTCGTTTATTTGGACGCCGGTGAGTTTTTTTTTTTTTTTTTTTTTTTTTTTTTCTTTCTTTTCCTTTCGACGTTGTTCTTTAATAGGGGGAGGATGATGATGGAGGAAGGCGGTTGGAAGGATGATGGGCTAACTAGTGACAGTATCTATGGCCGTCGTCTGATGAGCCTCGCTATACGATTGCCATGTCGTCGAGTGCGGCGTTCTCGGTGGCGTGTGCGGCCAGTGCGTGGGTGATGAAGTTCTGGTTGATCAGGGAGAATCGGAAGATTCGTCAGACGAATGATGAATCGGCGTTATATTATGCCTACTAGCTGGGATAGATACTACCCACAGCAGATCACGCACTATATATTGAGCAAAAAGGTGAGAATATGAATGTTCACTTCAAGCCCCTTGATAAGGAGTTATAAAACCCATTAATTATGACAAATAAGATTCATTCCAACTGTGCTCACTCGGCTTCATCTTCAACCCGTCGGCCAAACACCGGGAAAACACTCAAGATGCCAGCGTTTTCGACATGGAAGTTCATCCCCACAATTGATTTGTTCTCCGGACATTTCCATTTCAGAACCTTGTCATTCGGACTGTCGAACTTGAGCTCCCTTTTCGGCTTCGCTAGATGCAGAACGCGATCGTAGCTGGTAAAAAACTGCAGTCGGAAGGTTAGCTCTCAAATCAAGAATATTCTAGTAAATACCAGCTTACTTACCCGAAATCTGTGCTGTCCTAAAGTCGCACTCTGCCAGATGTCACTGCCGATGATTTTCTCCCCCGGGTTCAAGCGGAAGATATGCGGCTTGGGGCGTACCCTGTAGTCCGATTCGCCACAACAGGCGACTACCTTCTGGCTTCCATCGGCGAAGAAGAACTCAAGTCTTCGGCAGGTTATCTGAGGGTCCAGATCGAACATTGCTTGAATCTCAAAGATGTCACTGTTGCTCAGGTCTACGAACACTGTCCAGACCTTCCTGGGAAGAGGAAGCGGAGGAAGTCGTGGGTTGTCCGGATCTTGTTCTTCGGTCTCTCCGTCCTCAGGATAGTCGGCCCAGTAGGCTTTATATTTCGTCTGCGTATAATGGATTTCACTATCTGGGAGCTTTGGTGGCGACTTTGTAGTCTTGCCACGTGGTGCACCCCCCTTCGATAAATCCGCGGTCATGAATCCGAAGCCAGTGATGGTGCCATTCTGCTGCTTGTTAGCGCGTCGGAAACAAATGTTGTCATGGGAATTCAATAGTTAAGGGCAAACTCACCATAAAGTGTCCACACATTCCAACTACACTCCAGTGCTGATGGGTTGTTGCTATCCCTTCAAGCCGATACAGAAATATCTCACCAGTGTGACTCCAGGACCCAAGCTTGAGACGTGGTTCAAAGGGGCTGTCGTCTGTAATAATGCCTAGTCCGCAAATTCTCCTTATGTTTCCGTGGCGTCGCACTCGGTAACGCTCGGTATACAGCGAGAAGCCGTGGATCTTTGCCCCGGGAGGAAAAGCAACACTTTGCAGCGGGGGAAATCGACGCCCCAGCAGCCGGGGAGAGCGCTTCCCATTGACTGCAAATTCAATCCCGGCGATAGTCGTAGTCTCTGGCTTGAAATAGACCGTAATACTGCGTATCTCAGGTTCTTGGTGGATATCTGTAATGAAGAAAGTCTCGGCCTCCTCTTCGTAAGCCTGCATATCCCCGACGTAGGGGGTGATGACTTTCTGGAATGTGCGGGATCTCAGCGCCGGTGAGATCGGAATCCTTCCAACGATGGATACGACAGAATTCGCTTCCACATTCTCCACTATCTCTTCGCAGCACATCCAGATCCGACGGAGGTTCTGGAGGCCAATTTTCCTCCATTGGTTGCGATAGTCGTCATACAACAGATCGGGGGTTTGGAGTTTCATTGAGTGATATCTGAGTTTTCTCAGCAGTTTCTTGTATTTCACGGGTCGAGTGGCCTGTTTCAGAATTCGGTTCAACTCTGGCCACACTGGCAGGAGCCATGGCATTTGAAGAAGCATCCGTGATTTCCAGAAACTCCTCGGTAAATCGGAGGCAGAGGACTTGAATGCCGGGCTTGCGGTTGCCAATGCAAGGACATCCTGGGATGGGAGGAGCTGTAGAACCATGCAGCGCAGTTCCATTGGCAAGCGTTCGACCGGGTCCTCGTCCCTTGTCACTGCCGTGCCTGCCGTTCTCAATCCTCTGATTCCAGGGTGCTCTCTACCAAAGCACTCCGAGACGAACAGCTCGAAGTCGATCATCCCAGGATCAGTCACAAGTCGCTAAGTCATTATAATGAGATTAATATCAAATCAAAAAAGCTTTTCCACATGGCTACTCACTTCGTATGATTTGACAGGTTCCCAGGTATTCCAAACCTGAAATTGTTCTGCGACAATGCAACCATCGCAATCCCAACAAGGCCTTCCGGTCTGAGAGAGCGAAATGATCTCCTTAATGACAAATATGAGCTCTTGGAGATTGATTTCCCTTTCATCGGATACCATGGATCCATGAACGGTCTTAAGAATATTCCAACATGCCTCATGAATAGGGTATGCGTTTTTGCCGCGAACGTCTCGGTCTTCCAGCCCTGTTAGCTGGCTAAACGTGGACTATGAAAACAAAGCGTTAGCAAATTCAGTCTGCTGAACGGCCGGCATTCAAGCTACTTACTTCTTGTGTGAGGTAATACCCATCATGGTACTCGTCATCACTTTGAGGAACCAGCATGCCGGACTCAATATAGACCATTCGACCACGTGTCAACCACTGAATTTCAAGTCTCATATCAGCGATCTGGCATCTTTTCGTTCCTTGGAATACAGACTTACCTTGAGTTGATTCTCACCCAATATATGGGCATCATAACCATTTCGACTGCTGCAATGCCAGAAATGTCTCTTGCCATAAAGATGAAATGTATCATTTGCATAATGAGTGACTACCTGTTCACACGTACAGTCATCGGTTCGTAGCTCCAAATTTATAGCCTGCTTTTCCCGAGTAGCTGCCGTGGTTCCAAGTAAGCGTCCATTTTCAAGAGGGCCTCCACATATGCTACAGTGATAGTTATGTCCTCTGTTAAAAAGAGACATTGGGGAGCGCTAAGAGCGGTGGAAAATTGAGGGACGGTTGTTACAAGCTGTGGATGATACAAAATATTTTGAAGAGAAGTGAATGGGGCTATTGAAAATATGATTGTGGTATGATTGAATATTTCCGACCGAGACGATTGATAGAATAAAGACAACCCAGAAAAAGAAGTGAAGGCGGAAGGAAGGAAAGGTAGTTTTTTTTGTGTATGTTGGCGACATGCAACTCAATGCATTTTAATAAGGACCAGCAATTGCATTTGGTTTGGACGGTGAACGGAAAGTCCCTGCATTGTGCACTGGAAGCAATCGTTAACATTGGGACGTGACTGTCAATTTACCATCCACTCTTTACATTCCAGCAAGATAGATGAAACTATCACTTCTATAAACTGCGGAAATTCAAGTTCACTCAAAATCCGCGAGCTCGTTCTTGGGAACAAGCGACTCATGGACTCCTCTTTCGTTTGCCTGAGATTGTTTCCACGCCCAGGCCTCGTCTTTCTTCGACCCATTGCTGGCTCCATTCACCACATTCATCACATAATTTCCAATTGTGGGCAAGAATTTGTAGCTGTGGAATGAACCACCAACCGCAAGATACAGATTTGATAATTTTGGTTCAGGATGTCTGGTGATACGAGGATGTTGGTCCGAAGAAATTGAGTCCCAGCAAAGACGGTAGTAATCTGGTCGTCGGTCATTATCCACCAGCTGCGGGAGTCGGGCACGAATCTGCGATATTGAATCGTCCTGGAGCTTCTTCGGAACTTCCCATTGATTTTGGGATGACGGGACCGATATTCCATGGCCAGATGGAGTCTGGATGGTGTTTTTGAATGAAGTCGAGAAGGTGAATTTGAGAACTCCCGACTCGGTCGGGGGAATCACCTCGCCTTTGATCGTTAGCTGTGAACTAGAAAGGTCATCATCAACACACCTAATCCTCCATAAACAAACACGGGCAGCTGATTATACAATTGCTTCTCCGACTCGGACAGCTGAAAATGAGCAACCGAAACCCCAGTAGCAGAGATTTGACTCTCCACTCTCTGAGCCTCGGCCAGTCCCAGCTCATCTTCTACCGAAGACATCAATTGACTCGTCCAAGCTCCCGTCGCCAGAAGAACCTTGTCAGCCTTGTAGACGCGACCTGATTCAGTCTGAACCCCCTCAACCCTCCCATTCCCCAAAACGATTCTCCTCGCCTCCCCGACCTGATAATTAACCCCAAGTTTCACAGCTTCCCGAGCCATAACCTGCAACGCCTGTCCCGCATCAGCCCATCCAGCCGAGGGATTATAGTAAAACGACCCAAACGGCGTACAATCCGTCCGACGAAGCACGCTCCATCGCTGCCGCACTTCCTCGTCCGTCAGATCCTCAATGACGTCTTCGCGACCGCTGTTGCGGAAATTCTGCCTTATGCGCGTCGGCGCGTCGCTGTCCTTTTCGTCCATCGCAATCCATCCACTTTGGTGGTACACTCCAGCATCGCGGAAAAAGGGGAGGGTTTTCCAAGCTTTGATGGCTTCGAACCCGAGGTCCATGTACAGGAGGTTGGAGTAATCTGCTCGGATGATCTTGTTGATGTCGGTGGATGCCGCAATGGATGAAGGAGGGTCAGCACGGTCCAGAAGCGTGATACGGGCGGGATTGGTGGCGTTGAGAGCGAGATGGTAAGCTGTGCTAACTCCGAAGATACCGGCACCGACGATGAGTATGTCGTCTTCCATTGTGGATTGTATTTTGATGAGGTTGTTGTTTGGATGAAGAAGCGGGGAACTGGTGAGGGGATGCTTGACGTCAGGTGTCTCTGATCAGACAGGGCTTAGGATCTTTTGTGAGCACTTTGGGAATGTGGCTACCAGCGCAATGTTTGGAATATATAATATATAGATGATTTTGGCTGTCTAGGCCAGTTCCATAGATTTTATTGATTGATGTAGGAAGAATGAGGTCTTTCTTGGCCCTGCATACATCAGAATTCCCTGGGCTTTGCATCGACACCTCAGGCATGAGCAGATTTACCCGCGTACATACTATTGCATCGAACACTGATAATTGATCAAAGGTAACCGTAGTCCCTCATCATCCTTTTCGCATATGCTTGTAAGTTTTCCGTTATCGGCCAGTTCAGTCTCTGGCTGCATCAGCCTCTTCCATCCACGGAACCAACCGATATCGAGACATCGTCACAGCAGACCTAAAAATAGACCGATGACCACCTGGAATAGCAACAGATAACATTAAGCAACTCAGCCACACCCAGACAAAGCGGTTATTTCCTTCTGACTGCAGAGCCACCGCTCTGGCTGATATAAGCCTCACGATACGGTAGGTAGAGTTTAGATACCGGAGCTTATCGCTTGTTCCTCCCGCAACCTTATATTTATAGTTTGTATCCATCATCATTATCCCATCCCTGACTCAGATGTCTGGTTAGGCTTCAATCTCGTGAATTTTGTGGACAAGGCTCGGTAGTTACGTGGAGATATCTACTTCTCTCAATTACCTACCTCCTTTTGTATACGAGACTACTATCCACCCACCCACTCATACAACTACACACAGCCTCCACCACCAAACAAACAGCCGAAATGCCCGAACTCCTCTCCACCCTCCTAGACATCGATCCCACCTCTTCCGCCGGCTGCTGCGGCCCCATCTGGCGCCGCTGCCCCAACAAACTCAGCCACCTGAGCCGTGTCCGCGCCGCCCAGATCATGCGTACCGGGGAGGCTCTCCTCGCTGTGGAGGCACCTCTACGGCAGTGTCTGGAGCAGTTGGCGCCGTTGATGCTTTGCGGGGAACATCGGGGAGAGGTCGGAGAGAAGGAGTTGTTGAAGTTGTGGTGGTTCTTGATTAATGAGGGGACGGATGCCGATGTTTACTATCGTGAGATGGAGGCTTTGTTTAGGCATTGGGGATGTTTGGATGAGTTGGGTGGGGAATTGGAGGAGGAGGATGATGGTGGTGATGATGAGGATGAACACGATGATGAGGATGAGGATGATGACCATGTTGATGAAGATTATCATGGTGATGGTGAGGTATCCACATTCAGCGACACATCCAGTGATACCGAAAATGACACCGACAAGACAGTATCAGACATCTCCTCTCTGCTCTCCCGTCTCATCTTAACACCCCAACAACCGGCATGTCTCACATCCACCCCAACCACCACCAACAAGCAACAGAAACAGAAACCCCCACAATTCCCGAAAGTAGGCACCCCGCTCTCCATCGCACGCACTATTATCGCAAAACATCATGGTCTTGGTCCGAACCACGTCCTGCCCAAACCACCTGTCGAAGGGGAATGTGGGATCTGTTTACTTGGCTTTAATGCGCGGGGTGGATCAAGGGCTAAGTTTGCAGAGATGTTTCATCCGGTTATACCTGTTCAGGATGCGGATGATGATGCTTGTAGGGAGAAGAAAAGGAAAAGAAAGGCGGGCGAGGGAATAACAAGGGGGGAGGAGAATAAGGAGATGGAAAAAATTGTTCAGTCCAAGTCTCGGACTCTCGATGAGGAAGAGCTCTGGCCGGGATACGATTTCTCGCGATGGATATGGTGCAAGGGGAGTTGTGGGACAAGTTATCATAAAGAGTGTATGGGTGAGTGGATCCATGCGAGGCTGACTCCGCAGAAACACTATGAACCGAGGTGGCCGACTTGTCCGAGTTGTAGGGTGTATTGGGTTTATTGATTTACTTTACTTTACTGAGGAGGACTGAGTATGCAGTTTGTTGTTTGCGTTTGCGGGTCCGATATGATGCAAGCTAGGGGCTTGAGCGTAGGTGTTAGGTTCTCAAAATATTCAACTGTTCTATTCTCGATACAATTTGAAAAGTCTTCTTTCATACTTCACGTATTTTCCCTACGTACTCTTACACTCGAATCCGCGTCATTGCAATCAAACAACCCTCTTTGAAAAGTGGATGGATATCACAATCGAGCAGCTTTTTTCTCCGTCGTCTGGTTCAACCAGAACTCAATAGTCCGCACGAGCCCATCGATCTCCTGCATGGTATTGCCGGCATGCAGGCACACCCGCACCCGCTCCTTACCTGCAGGAACGGTGGGCGACATGATGGCCCGCACCACATATCCACTGCGTTGACACACGGCCGCCAGTTCACGCGGGACCGGACTGCGCAGCGAGAATATCGGCGAGCTGGGGAAATGGTCGACTTCGAAGATGGCCGGGTCCCAGGAGTCCAGCTCCCTGAGTCGGTTTCTGAGATACAGAATCATTTCTTGGAGCTTGTCCTGGAGCTGGTAGTCTCTGTCAGTCAATTTCTCTCTATTGGTTTGGAGAATTAGGTCTTACATGTTGGGTTTCTCCTTCGGATAGAAGCTCGTAAGCTGTGCGGATGGATGCTAGGAACGGAAATCCCATCGCAGTGGTGTAGATCAGGCTGCGGGCGTAATTGATCAGATAGTCCCGGGTGTCCGCGCAGCAGAGTACAATAGCTAGCAATAGAAATTAGTATCTCCTCCTCAGTCGCATCAGCAACGAAAACTTACCACCATGACTAGCCAACGCTTTCCCGAACGTATGAACCCGTATGAACATGCGATCCTCCAATTCTAGATCCTGAACAACGCCAGCTCCACGAGTACCAAACGCCCCCGTCGCATGCGCTTCATCCACAATAAAGTACCCATTGCCGGCAGTAAGCAGTCGGTCCACAATCTGCACAAACTCCTTGATCGGCGCAATGTCTCCATCCATGCTGTAGATCGATTCCACGGCAATGAAGACATTCCGAGCGCCCGTCTGAATCAACGGGTCGCTCTCAATCTCAGACCGCAGCACCACCTCGAAGCTTTCCGGCGAGCTGTGAGAAAATTGCACCTGTTTGCCCGCGCGCGATAACCGCATGCCTTCTCGGGCACTGGCGTGGATGAGCTCATCATACACGATCAAATCCCCCGGCTGCGGGATACAGGACATCACGCCGACATTGGCGTCGAAGCCCGAATTGAATAGAAGGCCTTTCGGCGCTCCATGGAATTCGGCGATGAAGTTCTCCAGCTCCTCGGCATAGGCGGAGTTTCCGTCCAAGAGTCGTGACCCCCCGCTGGCAAACGGGTATGACGGAGGAGCTTGCTGGAGGTGCTCTAGGAGGCGTTTTCGATACGCCGAAGACGTCGACAGTGATAAAAAATCATTGGACGAGAAATCCACCGACGATTGAGGCAGCACAGTGAGTCTGCGACGAGAAGCCTTGAGCTCTCTGCGATGCAGAGCCTGCCGCAATGAGTCATGCAAACACTTAGACGATGGACGATCCATTGGTTTCCGTTCACTATGCTGGCTGGCGGGGTTTGTCGGTGCGGGGAATAGGGATGATCTTAAGAGGACGTTCCAGGACCAACAAAATCAATCAAACGGAAGGGATCGAATAAATGGAGCAGACATAGCGGCGTCTGTCAGTTTAGTCGGGGGGGGGGGGGCACCGCCATTATCACCACCCACCACACCGGAGCGTGGAGCCCGGGAATTTCACGCAGAAGATGAGTAGAGTGGATCGGTTCGCGGCACACGAGCGAGCAAGACACGGGTCAGTGGTGGCTTACTCCGGGATTTTGACCATTTCGGCTATCCCTAGACCCTAGTGTGTTCTAGTGTCTGTCGGGGGAAAGTCGAGGGCGTTGAAAAGACATTGAGACCCACGGCGGAGCGTCGTCAGGAACAGGGAAATTCAATTAATAGAAAAATAAAATAAAAACAAAACAGTTGGGGAAGCGGTGGCTGCCTGGATGCCTGGCGTGGCGGGCCTCAAAACGAGTCTCGGTCAGCCATGGTTTCTCCTCCGGCCTCGCCGCTTAAGTACAAGCCGCCTAGTTCTACTCCGTACTGATAGTCACTATTGCATTCAATCCTGTCAACTCAATTGACCCTCCCATTTCACCCGGTTCAACTGAACGGCCATGGCCCCCGTGGGAGCTGCCCTCTGGCGTTCGTTGCGCGCTCACCAGGTCTACGGAGCCAACACTGACGTAGGCAAGACCATCGTCTCGACAATCCTTTGTAATGCCGTCCAACGTCAGAAAGCGCCCGGAAAAGCAGCATTCCTGAAGCCCGTCTCGACGGGTGCATTGGACGACGCGGACGACCGGTAAAGTGGGCCTGTCCGCGCAGAAATTTCCATCTATTGACAAGGATTGTAGACATATTCAACGCTACGCGGCCGGGGTATCGACCAAGTGTCTATACCAATTCGACGAACCGGTCAGCCCACACATTGCCGCTCAGCAAAAGAATTTCACAGTATGATGGCCCCTTTTTTCGTGGACTGGGGCCGACCGCAATACTTACCTTCGTTCCATCAGATTCCGCGCGACGATGATATCATCGCCTCCGTTCACAAGACGCTCTCCGGCTGGGCTGGCAGCGACGTGGATTTTGCGCTGGTAGAGACCGCTGGCGGTGTCCACTCGCCGGGCCCCAATGGCAACTCCCAAGCTGATCTATACCGACCACTCCGGCTGCCCATCGTGCTGATTGCGGATTCTCGCCTGGGAGGTATCTCCTCGTCTATCTCGGCGTATGAGTCGCTGCTGCTTCGAGGCTATGATATCCACTCTGTCCTACTCTTCCGCGATGATTACTACAAGAACCATGAGTACCTGCACTCGTACTTCCAAACGAAGAGCATTCCACTTGTTCCGCTAACTCCGCCTCCGTCCAAGCCGACGTCGCTGGACGCCGGATCTTTAGCGCGAGATGAGGAAGCCATGGCGACGTACTACGGCCATGTGTCGCAAACCACGGACATTGAAGGCCTTCTGGATGAGTTGACTGCCAAGAACACCGAGAGGATTGACCGGTTGGAGGCCATGGCCAGCCGCGCTCATGACACAATCTGGTATCCGTTCACGCAACACCAGGGCATGGCCCCTAAGGATATCACGCCAATTGACTCAGCCTACGGGGATTATTTCCAGACCTTCTCGAAGCCTGACGGTTCGAACCAGGAAGGTAAACTCCAAGCTACATTCGATGGTTCCGCCTCATGGTGGACGCAGGGTTTGGGGCATGGAAACCCCGACCTATCCCTGTCGGCGGCTTACGCAGCGGGCCGGTATGGCCATGTGATGTTCCCCGGGAACATCCATGAACCAGCCCTGTCGCTGGCAGAATTGCTGGTCCAATCAATTGGAAACCCGCGTCTCAAGAAGGTTTTCTACACGGACAATGGCAGTACGGGCATGGAGGTGGCCGTGAAGATGGGTCTTCGGGCGGCATGCGACCGGTACGGATGGGACGCCAGCAAGGAGCAGATTAGTATCCTGGGTCTCAAGGGCAGCTATCATGGCGACACTATCGGCGTTATGGACTGTTCCGAGCCTTCCACCTTTAACCAAAAGGTGGAGTGGTACCGTGGCCGAGGATACTGGTTTGATTTCCCTCTGGTGAAAATGTCCCAGGGCGTTTGGAAGATCGAAATGCCGGCAGAACTCAAGGATTCGCTGGGTCCAGATCTCGAACTCCCATCTCTGAACTCTGTCTTTGATCTGGAAGAGCGGGTGCGGTCGGATGCCGGACAGCGCTACAGGGAGTATATTCGGAGTACCATCGAGACACTGGTCCGAGAGAAAGGGATGAAATTTGGCTCTCTCATCATGGAGCCGGTCATTCTCGGCGCCGGAGGAATGCTGTTTTGGTAAGTCATCGATCAAACTTCACGATCAACCGTCTAACGAAACTCTCCAGCGATCCTCTTTTCCAGCGTTGTCTTGCCGACGTTGTCCGCGATCATCCCGAGCTGTTTGCTGCTTCAACCCCCGCAGCGCAGACGGAGACGTCATGGTCTGGGCTGCCGATCATCCTGGACGAGGTCTTCACCGGGCTTTACCGTCTTGGCCGCAGATCATCGGCCTCCTTCTTAAACGTCGATGCCGATATCGCAGTCAACGCCAAACTGCTCACCGGCGGGCTGATCCCGCTGTGCACCACCATGGCCAGCAAGGAGATCTTCCAGGCCTTTTCCAGCCCAGAGAAGAGCGATGCGTTGCTTCATGGACACAGCTACACTGCACATGCTGTTGGCTGCCAGGTGGCCGTGGATTCCCTGCGGACCATGATGAAGATGGAAACCGGTGGATCGTGGGACGAGTATCGCGCGGATTGGCAAGTACCGGAGAGCGCAGGCCGCGACGGGAAGTCTCCCGAGGTCTGGAGTGTGTGGTCTCACTGGCTGGTGCACGATCTATCGCATGCAGCTAGCGTCGACGGGGTGTTTTCCGTGGGAACCGTCCTGAGTATTGAATTGAAAGATCTCCACGGAGGAGGTAAGTCCAGAAAATCCCTTTTTCTTCTCGCACTTTGTGTTCGATTTGTGGTCGACCCCAGCCGACTAACATGTGACGTCTCCACCGCGTTAGGCTACACGTCAACGGCAGCTCGAGGCCTCCAGGAGAGACTGGCGGCTGGTGGACCGACCTTCACCGTCCACTCCCGAGTGCTAGGAAACGTGCTGTATCTCATGTCGAGCGTGACTTCGAAACCCGAGGCGCTGCGCGAGGTGGAAGCCATCTTGCGGGAAGCGTTGATTTAACGATTACATGTCATGACTATACTATTGTTTAGAACTTCAGAATGGCGTTATGACCTTTTAGAAATCTGATTATGGAAGACCGAGTGGGGAATAATGAGTTCAGAGTTCAGACATACTCCGTGCTCCGTACTCCGTAGTAAATCATTTAGTGCTCCGTGTAGAGTAGAGAACCTCAGGCCGAGAGAAGGCTATTGTCGGCCCAAGGCATCGCCCCGCGCCCAGCTAAACGATAACGTCGATTTTCGCTGGTTTACCGGGAAACCTCGAGAGGCTAGTTCTCCGTGGGCCAAGAATAATATTTCCGTCAATGGAGTGTCGATCGGAGGATTTGACTCCAGGGACCAGGCACCATCTAACCATCTGATAATCGCAATATTAATCGAAATCCCAGGGACACTCTGCACCGCTCACCGGCGGCCCGACGGGAGGGGTTCAGGCTATGACTCAGCAGATCTCGTGCCGGTTTGTCTGGTTTGCTTTGTATTTGTTTTGTTTTTCTCTCCTCGCACACTTTTCCCCGAGACCCTCGCCTTCTTTCTCTGTTGTCTGTACTCAGTATGTTAGTCTGTTAGATTGGATCAGTTCCTTTGGTCCGATGAACATCCTCAATAGTCAATTGGATTCCCAGCAATCGGTGGATACCCTTCCGTAGTGTTGAACATCTCATTTCCCCCCTCTGATCGGATCCATCGGCCCTCTTGGCTGGCCAGGCTTAGTCCAGTTGAGAGGATCCTCACGGTTGAATTGATCTCCCTCGGGGCTCGGGGCTCGGTGCTCGATGCTCTCAACGGGAATGATTGTTGTCTTCATTCTAAATCCCCTGTCTATCCACCATGACGACGTTCGTCCGGTGGATATTCTTTTCACTTTCCTGAGTACGGTGGAAGCACCTCCGTTGAACAGGCGTTGGGGTCAACTGGGCCCCAAGGCTGCGACGAGGCCTTTCCCCACGCTGACGGCACTAGGAGGGATGTTATTTGGATTATCTTTGCCCTGACTGGTGCCATGCTCGCTTTAGCTTTGGCGGCGGCCCGCCTCGTGCTTCTCCTTCTCTCTGGCTCTCTCTGGCTCTCCCCCACCTGAGTGAGTAATTCCATTGCTGCCATTACCGCTGGTGTGCCCAGTGCCCATTTCCCCTCTTCCAGTCGATCGGTGCATTTCCCGTGGGCGCTTTGCTTAATTGTTTTCCACGCCAACGTCTTATCACTCTTTCCTTCGCTCTTTCCCCCTCTTTGTCCATCTACTTCGTTGGTGAGCACGGTTTCGAAGCATCCCCCACGCGATCATGTCGCTTCCTCTACCGCGGTCCCTGCCCCGGACCCTCCTGAAGAGATCCTACGGCACCGTCCAGAACTCCCCTAGTGCCGCCTCCCTCAACAGCAGAATCCCAATTGCTCTGCAAGAGGCCACTGGCGCCACCGCTCCGCGCACCAATTGGACCCGGGAAGATGTCCAGCAAATATACCAGACGCCGTTGAACCAACTGACCTATGCGGCCGTACGTGCTCCCCTTCTCTCTCCCGGATTCCTTCCACGGCCTGTAGTTCTAATTGGTCCTTCTAGGCTGCCGTTCACCGACGCTTTCATGATCCCTCCGCCATCCAGATGTGCACTCTGATGAACATCAAGACCGGCGGTTGCACTGAGGACTGCTCCTACTGCGCCCAGTCGTCGCGCTACGACACCGGCTTGAAAGCGACGAAGATGAGCCCCGTCGACGAAGTGCTCAAGGCTGCCCGGAACGCCAAGGCGAACGGGAGTACCCGCTTCTGCATGGGTGCCGCCTGGCGCGACATGCGTGGCCGCAAGACCAGTCTCAAGAACGTCAAGCAGATGGTCTCCGGCGTGCGCGAGATGGGCATGGAGGTCTGCGTGACGCTGGGCATGATCGATGACAAACAGGCCAAGGAGCTGAAGGATGCCGGATTGACGGCCTACAACCACAACCTGGACACTTCTCGCGAGTTCTACCCGTCCATCATCACCAGTCGATCGTACGATGAGCGACTGAAGACCCTGTCCCACGTCCGAGACGCCGGTATCAACGTCTGCTCCGGTGGTATTCTGGGACTGGGCGAGGCGGACTCCGACCGCATCGGGTTGATCCACACCGTTTCTTCTCTGCCTTCGCATCCCGAGTCTTTCCCTGTCAACGCTCTCGTCCCCATTCCCGGTACCCCGCTCGGAAATCGCAAGATGATCTCCTTCGATAAACTGCTGCGAACCGTCGCCACGGCCCGTATTGTTCTTCCCGCCACCATCGTGCGTTTGGCTGCCGGTCGCATCGCTCTCACCGAGGAGCAGCAAGTGGCCTGCTTCAACGCCGGAGCCAATGCCGTCTTCACGGGTGAGAAGATGTTGACGACCGATTGCAACGGCTGGGACGAGGATCGGGTCATGTTCGAAAAATGGGGATACTACCCCATGCGCAGCTTCGAGAAGGGCGACGAGGTCTCGCACCCGACGAGCACCGAGTCCCCCACTCCGGAAAGCGTCTCTTCTGCGCCGGCCGCAGCATCTTCGTAAATAGCGTTTCTTTCTTCCCCCGCAGTTTTGCGCGGTTCTGTTGATTTGTTTGTTTGCTGGCTGGTTGGTTGGTTGTCTGGGCCTGAGATCACTCCGCTGGGCGATGACTCAGTCCGAGATGAGGCATTAACTATTACGATCCAATAGAAGCAATGCGATCGGCACGATTCACCCTATGACCGAACTGCCCCCGCGTAGATTTGATTCGACCCGACTGATTCCGCGCTTCTTGGGCTTCTCTTGGCGCTCCAGTGGCCCTCTCTGCAACTGTCCATTTTCTCTATCCCTTGCGTTACTCAAGAAATGGTCAAGAGCGTTGCCTAAACTGCCGTCACATGATGGTGTGTTGGCTCTGTGTTCCTTCCCCGTACGTCGTAGTAAATGTCCTCCGCTGAGATCCTCCGCTCTTCTCTTCCTTCCCCTCTTCGGACTCACCACCCATCACTCTTTGCTTCAACATTGATCCTCTTGTCTTCATTCATCATGGTCGTTCTTCCTATGGCCTCAACATCTATTATAATGCATTCCTGTACTATTTCCCAAACAGGAAGTTCGGCAGAGAACCCTCTGGCCAGTAGTCCATCTCCCGTCTCCGCATTCTGTTCAGTCACACCAATGATCCAAGTGGCGAAGGAAATAGGCAGATACAATCTTCAGTGTCACAGAATGCTTGGAATTACGTGATAAACAGACGTCAGTTGCTACTTACCCCTCAATTGAAGGTTTTGTTGATGCTATAAAAGGCCGACCTCGTCTGCGGCCGGAGGACAGTCGGCAGGAAAGGGAAGGAAAGATAGGTAAGTTCTACGCTCTACGCATCCCCAAACTACGTCAATGATTATCTCAGATCTCAGTGAAAGGAAATTCATCAATTCTATATGCTATGATCTCATTACATGCAAAATGTCCAACATATCCAATGAACCAATCATTCCGAAATATGTGCGAGCAAGAAAGAAAAAGAGTTCATCACCATGGGTTCGTCCCAAGGAAAGCCAGTTCGGTGTTTGTTTCCTCCACAGGCGCGGGGGAGGGTTTCGCGCTGCGAAATAAGGTACGGAGGACTGCTCGGAGCAGTCATCCTTCTGCATCTGGTGGGTAGGCTTCCCGAGATCCGCAAGCAGAGCTTTTGAGATTAAGGTAAATCGTATCCCAGGCACTTTTGACAGATACCTGGATATTCAAGACTGCAGATTTAAACCATGGACTGCTCAACCTTCATATCCGTGGCTTGAGTATCGGATCGGCTCATCGTGGGATAGCGGCTGAAATCACCGGGCAATTTTCGCTCGCTCTTGCCCTTTCCAAGCCGGTCCTGGCGTCGGAAATAAATCCGCTTAGCCCACTTCCAACTCTCCACGCCGAGAAAGAACAGGATGGCTTCCACAATCACGACGCCCCATTCCCAGGAGATGGGCTTGTGTTTGAAGACGATGGTGTTGATGACGGGGATATAGAGGATGGGGAAGGTGGTCACGAAACCGATCATGATACCGCAGAAGAGGAACTTGTTGCGCCACACATCGAACATCCACTGCGTGAAGTAGCGGGTCGAGTCGGGCTGCATACGGAAGAAACTACGACGCATGTCGATCTGCTCCCAGGCGAGGAAGAGCGCGAACCAGGTCATGCAGACGAAGGTGGTGGCACGAGCGCGGTACACTGTGGTACATTCGTCCGAGGCGTTGCTGTTGCAACCGCTAGCGAGGTCGCCGTCGCCCCAACCGAACATCACGAGGGAGAAAGAGGCCAGGCAAAGAGCCGCCATCCAAACGCCGTAAACGAGGGTGTCCACGATGACTTCCCAGGTGAAGATACCTTGTTTCTATTGACGATGTTAGTGACAGTTCGTGGGAAAACAGATTCCGGGAAGGCAGTGTGAAACTTACACTCTGAGGTGGGCGGTTCATGATATCCGGCGCAGCGATTTCCATTCCAAGTCCCATGTCAGGAAGACCAGACGTGATCATGATGATCCACAAGATTTCTACGGGAGCAATGGGGAAGACCGATTGTCCGTTTCCATCCTTGAATGCAAGACCAATGAGCAGGGTGAGGGCCAGTCCAACGTTCTCCGCCAGCAAATGCAGGACGAATTTCTGAATGTTATCGAAAATGCGACGACCCTCCTCAATTCCATTGATGATAGAAGCGAAGTTATCGTCAGTCAAAACCAGCTCGGAAGCATCCTTGGCTACATCGGATCCAGCTTGACCCATGGCAATACCAACGTCGGCGCGCTTCAACGACGGCGAGTCATTTACGCCATCACCGGTCATCGCCGCGTACTTTCCTCGGCGGTGCAACGCGTCGATCATACGGACCTTGGTGTTGGGGGCACAACGAGCAATAACCAGCGGGAGAGTGGGCAGATCATCAATTTCGTCTTCGGTCAGCTTGTCAAACTGGCTGGCAGTCATGACCATGGCATCTGCCACATCCTTGGACAGACGGTGCATGTCCGTGGGGATAATGCCCACCTGGGCAGCGATCGCGCGCGCAGTACCGGGATGGTCACCAGTTACCATGTGGACGGAGATTCCAGCACGGTAGCACTCTTCAATGGCACCGGCAGTTTCAGGGCGAGGGGGGTCATAGAGACCGACCAATCCGCAGAAAGTAAGTTCCTTTTCGATTTCCTCACGAGGAGGCACTTCCTCGCCCTTCACGGGCAAGGGGTTTTCCCGGCTGGCAAGGCAAAGAACCCGAAGACCTTCCTTAGCAAGCGCTTCCATATTCTGCAAGATCTCTTCCTTGATGTTCTCATCCAGAGGGATAGGGGAAGAGCCAGGGGTCCAGATGACGGATGTGCAGGATTCAATAACACGCTCCACGGCACCTTTGGTAAAAATCACCTCCCGGTCCTGGCTAGCGAAAATAACGGACATCTTCTTGACGGTCGAATCGAAGGGATACTCAGCTTTCTGGCGCCAGACAGGCTTCTCGCCTTTGGTCCAGCGATCGCGACCCCAGTTGAACCGGGATGCAAAAACCTGAATTGCAATGTCGGTAGGCTCACCACGGGCTTGCCACTCGTCGGCATCCGACTTGTGAACGTGGGCGAGGTTAGCCATAGAAGCAACGTTGAGATATTCTTCCAGTACTTTGTTGTCCTTCAACAACTCCTCTGGCTGGGTCGGTTTGCCGAGAGTCTCACGGTCAATCTTCACGGGTGTGTCAGAGAGCAAGCTTAATTCACCCTCATAGGGATTGAATGGGTCGCTCGACGCTCCCACGGAGTAGGTGCCCTTAGACGGGATCCAGGCCCTTTTGGCAACCATGCGCCCTTGAGTAAGGGTTCCAGTTTTGTCTGAGCAAATGTTAGACACAGCGCCGAGAGCTTCCAAAGAGTCAAGCTTTCGAACAATGACATTTCTTTCAACCATTTGCTTGGTTCCTACCGCCATAGTAATGGTCAGGACCACCACGAGACAGGCAGGAATCATGGCCAGGCCTGTTGCCACGGCATAGATGATGACTTCCTTGTCGTTACGCATTTCGTTGGCACCCTCGACAATGATGGCGAGAACAACGGCGATGGCAAAGAGCAGCAGTGCCAGTTTCGAGAGTTTGCGCTGCAGAGGCGTTCCGACGTTGATACCCAAAAACCGTCCGACGGCATCTGTGCAGGTCAGGGTCCAGGCCTGCACGTACCAACGCTTCTTAGTTTCGCCCTGGGGACCGCGCTTCACTGGTCGTTTCCTGGAGTCGCTGGCATGGAGCGCCGCCGCGATCGCTCCAATTTCGGTTCTCATTCCGGTGCCGACGACCACGCCACGGGCACGGCCTCGTGTGACCGTGGATGAGCTGTATGCGATGTTCAGGCGGTCACCGGGACCGGTGTCGTCGTCAAATACGGAGTCAACTTCTTTCTGCACGGGCAGAGACTCTCCGGTCAACAGGGCCTCATCGGTTTCAAAGTTCATGGCGTCGACAAGTCTAGCGGAGATCAAGTTAGCAACCAGCCCATTCTGGCCAGCAAGGGCAAGGAACATACCTGACGTCGGCGGGAACCGTGTCGCCCACTTTGAGTTCAATCATGTCGCCGGGAACAATTTCCGTAGCGGGCACCGTGGCCGTTTTACCGTCTCGCGTGGCCACTCCAGTGGGGGAACTCAGGTTCCGCAAGGAATCCATGGTTTTCTCCGCCGCATAATCCTGGTATACACCTACCACGATGTTCAGACCAATGACGGCGGCAATGACACCACCTTCAATCCACGATTCAATGCCAAAACTAACGGCCATGGCAATGATGAGAACCTACAAGAGGAAGCATTGTCAGTTTCATGCCGAGGAGTGGGCCAAGGTAGGGGACACTCACCAGCATCATTGCATTGGCAATCTGTCGGATGATGATTTTCACCATTGAAACGCCTTCGCCGCCTTCCAATTCATTCGGACCATACTTGCTCAGACGTTGTTTCACTTCAGCATTCGTCAGACCTTCCTCCGAATTGACGGAAAGTTCCCGGAGGACGTCTTCGTATGAGAGGCTGTGGGCGGGCTTGGAGAGCGGTTGCTCCGTCGCACCCAGCGACTGATCTTTTGCGTCGTTTGCCATCTTGCGTCTCAAGATGGAAGAGAGCTGGAGAGGAGGAGGGTTATGTTGAGGTAGGTAAGAGGAGGGAGAAAGAGGGTGGGGGAAAGGGTGTGTATGTTGTGTCGATGCTTGTTTTCTACTAATGAAGCTTTGTCTCTTAGGGTGGCTCCATATAGATTGTGTCCTCAAGAGAATGTGAGTCCATACACGAACCTGAAAACAAACACACGGGATTGGAAATCTAGATCCTACTGCTGTTAAAGTTCCTCCTCCAGAGGATGGGGGGATCTATGGCCTATTTAACTTTAGGTCTGGGATGACGCGAGGGCAAAGTCATCCGCTTGGCATCATGACCAATTCGGTTATTTCCACTATACCGTCGGCCGGAGCAGCGGGCCTACGCCAATCACAGGGCCACAGAGGACAACCTTCTTGGCAGCGAACCTTGGACGAGGGAGGCAAAACGAGGGTATCTGGACATGGTTGATGGGTATGACGCAGACGACCGGGTGCCCGCCACGTGAGACTCGGCTAATGCTCGGCGGCGTGACTTCATACGGCGAACCGAGGGGTGGCGACGGTCCGTGATTGGCCACCACACCCTGCATCCCCAGCGGGAGTGCCAAGTCTCCCGCGCCCCGGAAGAGCCTTGGCGCTTCTTGGGTACTTTCCCGCCTTCGGACTGCCTGGAGGCCTGGTGGCTCTTGGCACGCAGCAGGAGGGAGGGGTCCGAGAGCCACTCACAACCCTAAATGCAACCCGTCGCTCACCCAATCTGCCACTGTCGTTCCGTTTGGTTGCTCCACTAGTCTCGGCCCTTCTTTTTTGGGGGGGTTTTGTCTTCCAATTTTTCGTTTATCATGCTGGTCCGGTCTTAGCCGACTTATCCGACCCTACGTCTGCCCTATCTCATTGGACCTATCTACTTTGTGTCTTGTTGCTGCTTCTGCAATCTTTCTAATCGTTCTCGTGTTTCGGTTCCGGAAACGAAACGAACAGAACCCCGACGTGCTCCTAGGGGAATGGCGGGTGATCGGCCGAGCACCGATCTTGTCGGCGTTGTAGTCGGAGCGGTCCTTTTGTTTGGCGCCGTGAGTCTAGTTCCGATATGAGTACGCTGATTTGATTTGATTTCTCTCTATTATCTTCTGGTCCCCGCCTTTCCCCCTCCCCCCTCCATCCTTCAGTTTTGCGCCCCATCCCCAGGATCATCCTTGATGCATGAGAGAATTTTCCATGCATTGGACGGTTTTGACGGGAGGGTGGTCGGGCGGACAGGTTGGGGAAGAGGGAGGGAAGGACAAACATGTGCTTCTTTCCCTACCTCCTGTCTTTCCGAACATTCCTCTCCCTGTTTTCTTGGAAGCCTGACAAAGAAAAAGCAAGACAGAGAGAGAGAAAAAAAGAAAATAAACCAAGAGAAAAGACCCAACGATTTGACCCGAAACCGGAAATCCGACAACAGTGTCATTATGCGCCATCGTCGTCGAACCGCAGCAGCAGAAGCCTGTAGAGGCCACGAACTCCACCCGGAGACGACCAATGGCACGGAATGCCAAGTCACCGTGGAACGATGGCTAGAAGAACAGACCCGGTCGGGCCACGGGGGGCCATACGTACAGGAACCTTGGTAGGGCTGCTGATTGTGTGCCAATGCTTGGCTTTTGGGGAGTGCGGGGACAGGGCTGGTACTAGTAGGTCTTGGCCATTCCATTGAGTCCGGACTAATCCGTGGGCAGCTGTCTTTCTGGGCTAGAATTTTGGTACGGATACTCCGTACAACTTTAGAGTCTGGACGGCATTCCTGCCCACCTTTTCTTTTTCTAGCCGGACCCTCTTTTTCTTCTTTTGTCTTATCTCCATTTTCTATTCAACATTATCCCCTGATTATTCTTGGTTCTGGGTCTATCGAATCCTGTCGAATTCTTTTTCGGTCTGGTCTGAGACCAACCACCCCGGATATTCTTTCCCCTGCTGCAGCCATGCCATTGCAACCACGCGTTCCCACTCTTCGGCTGTCTTGCGTCATGGCGGGCTTATCACCAGTACATATGCCCAATATCGCCAATCCCATGCTTACTTGTTTGGGCAATCCCCACATCTGATCTTTGCGAACAGGATCAGGGACTGGTTTAGACTTACTGTGTACGGAGTACTCGGTGTAGACCTACATGGTAGGGTAGTGGTATCCACGACTGACGGTACTACGTATGGCAGATGATGTGACATGACACATGTCTAGCTCTGGGTCTGGAGTAGAAAACATGAACTCCGTACATACAGAGGGTATGAGTCCTTTTTTTTCCTTGTTCACACATACATATATACAATCTACATCCAGCTAGCTACAGATAGTATGTATATACACCTACGTAGGTGCCTATGGTGTATATCATTCGAGGAGAGAGGGATAGGGATGGAGGAACTAAGGAGCAACAACACCGATGACGATAGACCTAACTATTCTCCACACTTGATCCATCCACATATTCACAAATCCAATCAACGCCACTTCCTGACCTCTGTCCGTCCCGTTATCCTTCCCTTGAAAGACTTAGGGGCCGTCGGGATATATCATATTTGCGGTGTGTAGACAGACCTTACCCTTGTGGACTGCGGAATACGGACTACAGTAGGTGCAGGTACATACGTACGTACACTATGTAAACTTCGTTTTTCAATTCCTTGATTTTGCCGACCGATGATGATGATGACAACACATCATGTCATGTCTATTGCACCGGAGAGCTGGGCAGTTGGATAGGTGGGTATATTAAAACAATAGATAAATGACCGCGACACAACGAACCTGAATAAGACGACCGACTCCAGACAAGACACGACAACCTACCTACCTACCTAAGTAAAAAGAAGAGTCAACTGCACCCTGCACGTCACATTATCGTTCTTTGGAGTGCAGAGGTACAGTACTTAAATAATGATGATCATAATCATAATAATAATACACCATGCTATTATCTACCACAGTACCGGTCTCAGGGTTATAATAAGCCATCTTATGAACTAGTCACTATAGGGATTGCATAGAAATCCCATCATTCGAGGATGAGGATCGGAATACCTACGGAGGACCTAATTAACCTGCTCGAACTCGGTCCATACAAAGCCCGCATGATACCAGTTAAGAAATAAAGAATAAAGAGAGCCCGAGAGAGGGGGGGGGGGAAGGCTCTTGGCGAGTCCTTCTAGACCCGGCTATTGTATTTCATTCTTTAATTTAATTTTATCTTGTTTATTTCGGTTGTACAGATGTTACTAGGATGTGTTAGGTAGATTGTTGATTGGATTTAGAACTCGTCGGCATATGGACAGGTGAGATAACTAACCTTACTAGCATCCTGTTACTACAGTCTAGGTGTCAATACTGAGGCTCGGTCTCGGAGTGTCGATCTCGGTGTTTGTCTGTCTGCATCTGCAGTGCAATCGGGTACATTCGGGAAATTACCTTTAGGGGACTCTTAGCTTACTATCTCTATCGATCTATTCATTGATCTAGCGAATTGGACCGAGTATCCATAGAGCATGAACGTGTAGGACGAGTATGTAGTACGAATTAGGACATGTTAGTTCCCTGCATACATATGAGAAGTCTCATTGTATCTAACAGTTTGCTTTTGCCAGCTGGCTAGCTGTCATTGTCGGCTAGATCTCAATCCGAATCTGGATTTGGATCTGGATCTGAATCGGACTGATCTGATGGATTCTGATTGATTATGATTAGATAGTGTGTGTGAACAGTTAGAGTAGGTGACACGACAGCTGGTCGTGTGTGATTTTCTATCAATCTAGATAGGTCATACGGGGTGTAGTCATGGACTTGGGGGTTCTTGTTGAGCTTGTCTTCCTTTTTCTTTTCTTGAGGGTTGTTACTGTTTGAATTGAGTAGTTTATACCGTGTATACTTGAAGATATATCTATTTGCTTTGTAAAATTAGGTCATGCAACTGAACTCATTGTATATTTCTATAGTCAAGGAATTAAAAGATGCCTCGACGGATAGTTACTTCAGCATCCTATAGGTATAGTCTAACCCAATTGTCTACCCCGTACCCCATATTCAAAGTCGAGATTCAACAGTAAAGATAGATCCCATCGCCCATCCCCAAGCAGTAATCGGCCTCCAAACCAAGAAATCGCCAAGACGGCGCAATCTGACATGTTCGAAGAAGGAAACTGTCGCGTGCGGCGTCCCCCATCCATTTCCATTTGCAGTCTTAGTTGATTAGGCGCACTGGGGTGGATCTCTGTTTTTGATGAGTGTTACTGGTTAGTTATGTGCTCAATACAGAGTATGAATTTGCTGTTGGAGTTAACTAACTAGTTAGTTATGGTTGGTTTCTTAGTCAGGTTCTGGGTGGGATTTTCGGACATTTATCTTTCTAATTTAATTGAAATTATTTTATTTTGTCTTGTTGCTTCTCATCAGAATTGAAGAAAATATCAGAAGTAGAGGTACACAGCACGAATAGAAACGGTTCAGCCATTGACTTCGCCATGACATAATCCTTCAGAACTAGGAGCGGTCCACATTCATCATGATTATCACAGCGACAGTCCCAGACTCCAAGACTCCACGCCCGGGAAATTCAATTCAACAATGAACAGAAACTAAACTAGAATGGACTAGTTAAACCAAACTATCCGATCACGCGATGCTGTCGATCAGCCCAGTGCCCTGCACCGAGTCTACGGAGTCTACGGAGTGCACCCACGGTCTGTCTCTCCGCGAGAGACCGGGAGTAAACCATAACGGGCTTATTATAGACCACCATACCATGGATCAGAATTCATGGCGTCCCCATGACTGGGTTATGGATTTGGTATATTTTTATACATTTTCAGGGCCGTGATCATCATCCTCATTATTTCCGTATGATAATTAGGTTTATGAGGGGGAACTTTGCGGTAGGGAAATGGCCCCCACCCATTTTGACGGATAACCCTAACTGTTATTATTAGAAGACCGTGGAAGTGGATGTTAGATGTTAGAACCGCCGGAAACCGGCATTCCTTATGCCAATGTCTATGTATGATTAATACGGGTACGGTTGTTTCTTGGTGTCGACGGTCGACTGGCTAATCTAGTCTGAGTACGCACAGTTAACTACTTTCCAGGATTCCGCGATGAGGGGCTCCAGACAAGGCTGGCTTGCTATCAGCCTATCAGCCTATCTTGAACTAACGAGTAGTATAGAGTAGTGCTTCACGCCAAGGACTCGGCACGGTGGAGTGTAGCTGGAATAGGTTTGGTTCAGGGTCAATATTAATTTACTAGTTAGGGTCAGGAGTGGTGTTGTCGGGTCCCTGAACTGCCGTCAGATGGATCGTGTCAGGTAACTAGAGACTAGAGACTAGAGGGGAAGAAAGATGATCATGATCCCTGCTGCACTGCCTTTTTCCTATCTATCTCCGGTCCAGTCTTGTTATCCAGTCCGGCTAGACTATCCCTCCAGAAGGATTCTAGAATGTTCGGTTTACTGTGTCTCTCTTCGCGGATCCTACTTACCCTTGAGAGCTGTTCCGGATCCCTGAGAGTGGATGGATGGATGCTGGGATTCTTGTCACGCGGTGACTGGCCCAGACTGCTGTCGTCACGGTGCAGGTTTCGTCGCTGTCTAGATCCCGATTTGGTGGGTGCTACGTTGTCTGGGTGCTGTTTCGATTGTCCTTTAAAATTAATCCTGTAGCGGGGATTCGGTTCGCTTTGGTATGGCCTGGGTGGTGCTGCAAACTACCAACGTAGTCAGGTTTAACTAACTATTTTACTGGCTGGCTGACAAATGGACACAGGTCAGTTCAGAATTCATCATTCACATCTGCCGTGTCATCTTTCGATGCGCATACGTAGCATTCAAAACTTCGAGCATTCCAGCAATCGATTGTATGTGTTCGCTGCGAGATAACTTCCTCGTCTTCTAAGCAAGACTCGTACTCCCTGTCCCTCCCGCAGGAGTATGCAGAATACGGAACGAGTCCTCTTTTCCCCGGATAATCTCATCAAAGTGTCTGCTCACCCGACTGTAGTTCTGCCCGTAGCGGCCCAGCTCCCGCAACCGGATCGACACCCAATCTTGATAGATAGGATCGTGCGTGGCGATACCGGCCAGGAACAGGGGCCACACGATCCGAATCATCAGTCGGGGTCGGCTGCGATGCAACTTCAACGCGAGTTCTAGCACCAGTGACACGGCTTCGCCACGCGCATGGATGTGCTGTTGGCGTCTGCCGTGGTGCTCCCGGCCTTGTTTTTCCTCGTCCGGCGCCGGTTTTTCTTGCTGCTCCTGCTCCGGTGTTCCCGCCGTGCAGAGATGAAGGTATACGATGGTGCTGTAGAAAGTGATTGATGCCCAATATACCGTTTCCATCACCCTCCGGCCATCCCCTACGATCTCACAGGATGGCGCGGCTTTGGCGGACGAGAGAAGAAGCTCGAACTCCTGCATTGACAGTAATGGGTTAGCTTCCGTTTGCTTTTCGACTCAACATCTCGACTTCCCCAAAATAAAACCGGCCGATTTAGCCGAAAACCACAGTGCCAAGTCTTTTTCTTACGTCGGATATCGTTGCAATCTCGTCCACTATCTGCCGATACGAATTCTGGGCCCATGCAGACTGCGACAAACAGCTGGGCATGCCCTGTCGGTAGAATTCGGTGATGTGGAATTGGGTCACATGGCTGCGGTGATACAAGGTCAGGCCAGGGAGATTCTCCAGATCATCCAATTGGGCCGTCGCCGGATAGGTCTCCCCCCAGAACCGTGACGGCGACTGTCTACTGATTTTGTAGAGCTCTGGCAAACTCAGCTCCGTCTTTCCTGATTCCGCACGGATGAAGAGGCGAAAGAGGTCAACGTCGTCCACGCCCGTGCTCCCGGGACCGCAGAACAGTGCCCCCGGTGTGAAGAAGTACAGCGTCCAGAGCAGAAACAGCGGCACCGACGTCGACCGGAGTTTGCCTGTATGCTGCTCCGCGGGCGGGCTACTACTGCTCACCTGTTGGGGTAGGAGACGACTCTCGTCGTCCCCCTCAACCATGGAACTGCTCTCCGCCGGCGTCTCGGCGGGATTTAGGGCAGAAGTGATCGCCGCCGGCGGACTCTGTTTCGAGCCCTTGAGCAGAGGCACGACATGATGGAACAGCAACGACAGAATGCCTCGCACATGAACGTTAATGCCAGTCGCGCCGCTCCCAAACCGGTTCTCGTAATCGACCATCAGCCAGAGGGTGATGAAGATGGCCTCGATCTGGCCCGGCGCGTTCACGTCTCGTTTCAAGGCGTCACGCAGACCCGCCATGGCGCGGCCGTAATGCGACCGACCATCGAGATCGCACGAATCACCGCCCGCCCTGCCAGCACGTGCGCCGTCCTGATCGTGTAGACGAGATCGGTGGATCTCGCTGGAGGTGCTGGCCAGAATCATGCTCATCACCATCGGTTCCTTGACGGCCACACGATGGTACGCATAAGACATGGTGGACCACGGCCAATGCTTCCCAAGAATCACCACCAGGGCGGAATCTTGGAGATAGGCCAGACAGGTCCGGTCAGAGTCGGACAGCGCCAGAGAATTGGCGGCTTGGAGCGCCGTGGGCGACGAGTCCCGCGCGGGCAGCAAAGGCACGGCGGCCGACGGACGGGCTTGGGCTTGGGCTTGGGAGTGTGTCGCTTTCCTCACGGCGCGTGGGTGCTCCGTGGCTTGGCTCTTCTTGGACGGCCCTGCGGTCCTCCGTGGGATGGGTCCGCCCTTCCACTCGCACAGTATTTGGGCGGCGGCACATCGTCGACATTGCGGTTCCCGGTGCCCTTGCACGGACAGCTTTTCCTCGTCGCATTTCACCTTGCGGATTCTACAAGTCCGACAGCCTGTCTTGATGAGCCTCACACGCTTTCACTCAATTCAATTCTCGCGCAACCTCCCCCGGACAGACAACTTAAATACGAAAAACGAAAGGCCGGTGGATCCTTACCGGTCTTAGAGCGTGCTTTCCTGCCAAGCTTATGCATTGTCACCCAGCCCGACGTGGCCCGTCTGCTCCACTGGCTTGGTGTCTCGGCTATCGCAGGTCCTTCCCATGGACGTTTTCTCTCTCGTAATCGTAGTCGGATGCAGTTGGTTCCCCTGCAGGAATGAAACAGCGACCCGTCTTGGTCTGAAATATGGCAAGGAAGTAGAAACTAGAAAGGAATGGAGATAAGAGGAAGGGAGGAAAGCCGCGGGGTGGTCGGCGGGGAAATACGATTCAGAACCCCACTTGGAGTTGGAGGCATTGCTATGAGGCCGAGAATGAACAGACCTGCTAGACCGAGTCCAGAGTAGTTTGAAGGAATCCGGAGGAGTTGGCGAGAGAGAAAAGACTAGTGACTAATGGGAAAATAAATGCCTGGAAATTGAGGTGCGCAGTTGCCCTATCGGGCCTAGTGCCAGACCTGCCGACGCCCTCGTGCTGATTGGCTCTGTCGGCTAGTCACGTGCATCTTATCGCGGGCCCGCCAATCACGGGACTTGACGTCACGACGACTTGCCGAGACTCTGGAGATCTGGAGATAAGCTTCACGTCAACGCTGAACATGGCAGTAGACTCCCTTGAGTCAGTGCACCGTTGTCGGATGTCGGCACGCTTGTCGCAAGTAGGCGATCACTCGCGCAATTCAGCGAGATCTGCGAGTACGCCGTATATATCTCTCCGACCGCTCATCTAGGTTCTAGTTAGTCTACATCCACCAACCCACTCTCCTGACACATTCAAGATGCTGGTCTCACAATCCCAAGTCCGCTTCATCGAAAGCGTCCAAACGGCTCTCCATAAATACGATGACCAGCTGAAAAGCATCAATCACAAAGTTAGCCCTTCCTCACCCTCCATTTAACCTCTACTAACGCTCCCAAGATATGGTCCGACCCCGAACTCGCCTACGAAGAATACCACGCTCACAACGTCATCTGCGAACTCTTTGAAGATCTGAAATCCCAAGGCCACGCCTTCCAAATCCGCCGCAGCGTCTACGACCTCCCCACGGCCTTTGAAATCCAATACACTCACGGCTCCAGTGCTACCGGTTCCGCCGACACCGGCCGCATCGTGACCTTCAATGCCGAATACGACGCCCTCCCTGGGATCGGTCACGCCTGCGGCCACAACCTCATTGCCACGAGCTCCATCGCCGCCTTCCTAGCTACATGCTACGCCCTCCGCGCCTCAGACCAACAAGAACCCTGCACCGTGCGCCTCCTCGGCACGCCCGCTGAAGAATCCGGCGGCGGCAAAGTTCGTCTCCTGGAAAAAGGCGCATACAAGGACGTCGACGCCTGCTTGATGGTCCACCCGTTTCCGATCGTCTCGAATGACCCGGATCTCCTGAGTATCGCGACCGTCGTGCCCGGCGGGTATCTGGCGAACGATAAAGTGCGGGTCACGTTCACGGGGAAGCCGGCGCATGCGGCGGCCGCGCCCTGGGAGGGCATCAACGCCCTGGATGCGGTGGTCGCGGCGTATGTGAATATTGCGCTGCTGAGGCAGCAGATCCTGCCCAGTCAGAAGATTCATGGTATCATTGTGAATGGAGGCGATCGGCCGAATGTGATCCCTATGTCGGCGTCGGTGGATTATTATGTGCGCTCGGCGAGTATGAAGTCGTTGAAGCCGTTGACAGAAAAGGTGGTTAAGTGTTTTGAGGCGGCGGCGACGGCGACGGGGTGTAAGGTTAAATTTGACTGGTAAGGATAATGATGGTCTTTGATGAGATGATAATTTCAGTCGGAGGTAGTGGTTGCTGACCTGTTACAGGGGAATCTCATATGCGGATTTGAAGTCGAACACACCCATTTGCCAGAACTACGTCTCCGCTATGCGAGTGATGGGTCATCATACCGTGTTCGACAATGCCGGAAAGGGTGACGAGCGGTTTGGCGGGGGTTCCACAGATATGGGTATGTCTAGTCTGATACTTACCCTCTGCATGTTTGAAACTGACACAGTCCAGGAAATGTGTCGTATGCGGTGCCCGGTTTCCACGGGATGTTCGCTATCCCGGTCGACGGCGTCAACCACACGCCTCAGTTCACGAAGGGCGCCGGATCGCCCGAGTCGTATAAACGGAGTCTCTCCTGTGCGGCGGGGATGGCCGTCGTGGCGTGTCAGATTTTGACGGATGATAAGTTCGCGGAAGAGGTGAAGGCGGATTTTGAGCGGGAGAGGGATCATTGATTCCTGGATTTGTCTTTCTAAATTGAATATATACCATGATTTCGTTCGACTCTCATATTAGCTCTTGATAAATTGGAACTTTACTTTCCTAAAGGGAATTGATCCATGCGGAAATAGCATTTAGGGGGGTTATTGAAGTAGAAAGTGTAGGTAAAAGTAAATATGATGCTAGCAAACGAGTCTGACTCGAAGAACAGCTTGTTCCCTCATGATCATCCAGAACTATTCTATACCCGACACGCTCCTATACACACCAGAAGCGACACATGTTATCGAACAGCCCTAATCCATCTTCTCTCAAAACCTATACCCACAACAAAACACCCTTCTTAATATCTAAAAATTAAATCCATCCCCCCTCAATATCCACCCACTCCTCCCAATCTTCCCCTAACACCACCTCCCTTGCCACCTCCCCGTCGATCTCACTCTCCCAAACCCTTTTCCCCGTATCCGCTCCCTCTCCTCGATTGCCATATTCATAGAACAGCGGCGTTGCGCCCTCTGCCATCGTAGTCCATCCTGCTTCATTAATAATGCCACTAAGTTCAGAATTTTGATAGATTACTCTCGCGAGGACCCGCCATGGTCGTCCCAGATACACCTTTCCTGCTAACTCGTCTTCGAGCCCCGGTGCGGCGCTGATCGTGCATGAGTCGAATGCGTACCAGGCCGGGTCGGATTCGAGTTGTCGTGACATGGCGGTTATGAAGCCTTTGCCGGTGGAGATGATGGTGCAGGTTGAGAGGTAGGCGGATGCGGCGCCGAAGATGTAGTCGACGGCTCCTGGGGGATATTAGCTTGTCCCTTTCTCCATTTCTTTTGAGTGGGGTTAGTTGGGAAGGGGTTGTGAAAGAAGAGGAGATATAGGTGTAGGCATATACCTTCGATATAACAGTTCTTATAATATTGCGTTCCATCTTTCGCATACAACGTATCCTGATAGCCGATGAATTGGCAAGCATAAAAGCCCATTCTGTCGCCTTTCGCGGAGAGTCTTCCCTACTTGTCAGCTCTCTCTTATCCCACCACACCCTCCTACCCAGTACCCAAGGCACAAAAAGCCCCCCCTACCCCTACGATGAACAGCAGACGGGGAAGAGGCAAACATACGCAACAGCCTGCGCCCCGGCCCCAAACCCATTCACGACGTTGATATTATACAGCTTCAGCCCATCGCTCTCAGCCGCCACTGTAGCGCTATCGACCAGCGAGCCGGCCTCGGGAGATGAGATCGTATGTGTGATGGTCACCGTGTTATGCGCGTAGGTGGTTGTATCGTTGGTTTCACCGAGGATGGTCAAGTTGCCACGGTACTTGATTACGAGTTGTTCTTCGTAAGTGCCGGAGGCGATGTAGATGCATGCTGATGAGATAGAGGAGGGGAGGCTTTCGAGGGCGGCGGCGATGGTTTTGTATACGGTGCTGGTGTTATTGGTGGTGTTGGTTTGGTCGACGATGATGCAGTTGTCGGGGGCGGTAGTTCGGGTGGTGAGTTTGGTGGATAGGGTGAAGATGGGGAGAGTGAAGAAGAGGATGAAGGAGGTGAGAAGGGACATGGTTTTTGGATGGGATCAGGGGCTGTAGGGCTAGTTGACGAAATGTGGAGAACAGGGAGAGGGGGGTATGCATGCATTTATCCTGATTCAGGTGTCCTGGTTAATAAGAACTCCTCCATACACTTCAGTGGATCATGCCATCGAGGGCTAATGCCGCACTGCACAGTTCTATGAAACAAGCCAAGGGTTGTGGCGCGGAGAAACTCGTCCGTAGTTTGACTTGGGCTGCAGAATCTCCATCATCGATCTTCATGCAGGCGTGGTATTCCCTCGAATCAGTGTCCGGTCTGGGGTTGCGGGGAAGCATATGTCAGGTCGATCTATCCTGCGTGCTTGTTAGCTCCTGTGGAGCTCTTTTTGCCGTCGGTTCGTCAGTATTCTTGGAAGAAATCTACTGCATAAGACTAGGTCTGAAAACTGTATTGAGTCTACTGCATAACATCTGATATATACGCCAAATTCATACATCCGTCAACATTCTACCTTGGTTATAGTTCATTACTCCCCACGTCTTGCCAATCGCCTACGCAGTAGCAATCTTGTCCGTAACGTACAGGTCAACGTACTTGTCCACCTCGTAGTTCTCGATGGCAGACTTGTTCTGTCCCAGCTCAACCAGCTGGTCGATGCGAGCCTGGTCAAAGTGCGCCTGCAGGTGGCGCTTGTACTTGTCCAGAATCTCGGGCTTGGCCTCCTCGCGACGCAGACGGTGACCCAGAGGTGCCTCCACGACAACCTCCTCCAGCACCGTGCCGTCGTTCAGAGTGACCGTCAGCGCGTTGGGGATGGTGCGCTTGGTGGGGTCGTGGTAGTCCTGGGTGAACTTGGGGTCCTCGACGCAGCGAATGCTCTGGCGGAGCTTCTCGACCAGGGGAGAAGTGGCGGCCTCCGAGCCGTCGGTGTAGTCGTTGGCCGTCAATCGGTTGAAGGCAAGCATGGTGGCCACCATGTACTGATGTAGTTAGTACGCTGTTCATGGGATTGAGAAGGCATTCAAACTCACCTGAACGCAGTGGTCACGGTCGGCAAAGTTGTCCATCGGCTTAAACTGCTTGTCAATGATGCGGACACAGGCCTCGTGCGTGCGGTTGGTGATCTCCTTGATGTCCTTGGCGCTCTTGCCCATAGCCGCCAGCTTCTTGTTGATGATCTGGGCAGCCTCGATGGCAGTCTGCGAGTGGAATTCAGCTGTTCATATTTAGCGAGAAACTCTCGTACTGAAGATTCCATGTCCCTGGGAAGTTACTCACCAGGATAAGACACCTTGAAGAGAACGTTCTCCATGACGTAGCTGCCGTAAGGGCGCTGAAACTTGAACTTGTTGCCCTTGAACAGAACGTCGTAGAATCCCCAAACGGGAGCCGACAGAACGGTGTGCAGTCCGCTCTCGCCCTTCTGCACCTTCAAGACCAGGTTGACGGCCCGCTGACAGGCGTCACCCGCGGCCCAGGACTTCCGCGACATGGTGTTCGGGGAGTGTCGGTAGGTTCGCAGACTCTGGCCGTCCACCCACGCCTGGGTGATGGCGTCGGCGGTCTGCTTCTCGCTCAAGCCCAGCATCTTGGAGACGACGGCAGTGGTGGCCACCTTGACCAGCACCACGTGGTCCAGGCCGACTCGGTTGTACGAGTTCTCGAGCGCCAACACGCCCTGGATCTCGTGGGCCTTGATCATAGCCTCCAGAACGTCCTTGATGGTGAATATCTTGCCGCCCGCGACATTTCCACCGGCACGGTTGGTGCGCGACACCCAGTCGGCGACAGCAAGGATACCACCGAGGTTGTCCGAAGGATGACCCCACTCAGCGGCCAGCCAGCAGTCATTGTAATCGAGCCAGCGGATCATGGCGCCGATGTTGAACGCACCGTTAACGGGGTCGAGTTGGTAGGGGGTACCAAACACCTTGGTACCGTTAGGAACCACCGTGCCTTCGACAATGGGGCCCAGCAGCTTGGTGCATTCCTTGAATTTCAGGGCTTCCAACCCACATCCCAGAGTATCGAGGAAAACCAACCGAGCAGTGTCAAACTGAAGAACGGGCGCGGAATCCGTCAGAATTTTTGAACTAGCATCAATTGGAGCGAGGACTGTGAAGGCAGCTTACCGCCAAATCGGAGTCGATCTTGTAGCCGTGGATGTAGTCGGCCATATCCTTGATCTCGGGATCGTAGGATTTGTCGGCCGGGGCGGCCGGAGCAGCCTGTTGAAGCGAAGCCATGGTTGAGAAGCGAGATGTACGAGGAGTTGAGGAGTTGGCAGAGGACAGAGGAGAGCGAGAAATGAAGGAAGCGCCCGGTCTGGAGACGGAGACAATGCGGGACTGGAAAGTGCGGGGAGACCTGTGGGTCAGCCGTCTCAGCGCCGAACACGAGGCAGACATGATTAAAGAGAGCAAAGAGAGAGAGGAAGAGGAAGAAATATACTCAGGTAAGAGAAGAATTGATTCAAGGGGGAGGGGGAGGGGAGAGGAGAGATGAGGTGAGGAAGAAAAAGAAAAAGGAAGACGATTGTTGGGAGAGAAACGGAAGAAGAGGAAGAAAGGGAGGGAGAAGGAGAGCGACTGCTCTGGTGACGCCGGGCCGAGGCCGCCCTGCACGACGGCTATTGCCGGCCACAAGGAAGATGATTTCATTCTTCCATTTACTACTGTTGTGTCGGTCGCATCTCGATCCGAACGGCTGGTACGCATGGTTAAAATCAGAAAAAACTTCTCAATTGCTCTAATCACTCCAATTGATGTCCCTGCAAGTGCATCCCTCATATCCATTCCCCTTGGACCAACTTCGCGGCCTCAATGCCTCTCGGTTGTTCAACTCCCACCAAAAGCATGTGCGGTCGATCCCTTTCCTGAATCTGGTCTCCCCCAATATTCCGCCTGGAAATAAGCCAGTTCCGCCAAGAAAACATTCATCCTGAAAGAAATAAATACCGGATCTGGATTATGAACTCCACTAGTTGATGCTTCAGGAGTTGTTCCGTATGGAAGTTCGTGATCAAGAACGAGATGTCGTATCTCTTCACAGCCTTCCTTCGCAAGATGCATATTCCAACCTTGAAAGTAAATTTCCCCCCAAGTGTATTGGACGACAGAGGACTCCGCAGGCTGCATCAAGAAACGAGTAAACTTGTGGACCAAGATATGTTCGATCTCAGCTGCTTGCTTAATCCGAACGCTGACGCGGACACTGTTCACACTTGGTTCAATGTACCCTAAAAATCCCCCTCCTCTTGTATGAAGTGGCGCATCTCGGTCTCGTCGGTTTGCTGCAATGACCGAATGATCTCCGCATACAACGCCCGGGCCATCGCCGGAGGAACGGCGTTCCCAATCTGCTTTCGCACTTCAATGCGTCCAAACCGGAATCCTAGTGGGAATGTTTGCAGACATGCAAGCTCCCGGTTGGTGAATCCTCTGCGACCAGAGGGATGATAGTTCTCTCCGCCACCGCAAGTAATCGTCTTCGCTTGTTTATTTCCGTCATATGGCGCCTTTGGAACTTGGTACGCTGTCTGTGTATCATGATCCGGGGCTCTTGTTGGAATACTTGCAATGGCCTGGTTGATCGTGGTAAAAGGCTTCAATCCCAATTCTCGCGGCCCATGGGTTGGGTCGGGGAATTGTGGTAGAAGCTCCCCAGGTCTGCGAAGAGTTAGCCTGATTTCAATCATCATAGGAAGGAAAAGCAAAAGACCTACCCGGAAGCGATTATCACCAATCTTTTACGATTCTGAGGGACTCCGTAGTCCACGCAATAGAGAAGGCCCCATCGTACTGAGTATCCCGCTTCAAGGAAGTCCAGAATCACCCGGTTCAGGGTCTCCTTATGTCGATCAAAAAGCCCGCTGGTTTCCTCCATCGTATGAACTCTCGGCTTGGCTGTTTTGATCAAGTCGGAACAGGAGAAGATACATGCCGAGTTGGCATCGTCATGTCGACCCACGCTCGTGTGGGCGGGTGAAAAGGTCTGGCATGGGGGAGATCCGTGGCTCACATCGACTCTTTGGAAGTCTTCATCATTGGTAAGGAAGTGGTCGATTCTACCAAGTTCACATTCGGCATTGTCGAAATTCAATCGATAACTTTCAGTGGCGTGTTGAGATCCATCAAAAGCCCATTTGATCTCCAGGCCGGCCTGGTTGGCACCGCAGGAGACTCCTCCGGCGCCGCAGAAGCCATCACCAAATGTGTACCACCTGCGTCTTTTTAGAAGGCTCACTTCGTCATCTGGGCCTGTCAGGTCGGTCACGGGCTGGGAGAACTTTGCGGCAAACCGATCGGCCTGGCCGAAAGGTCGCGTCTCGCCTCCCCTCCATAGACGGCGCAGCTCGGTCGTATTCCATCTAAAACCTTCGTCTGCTTCATGGTGAGAGATATACTGGATAGAGCCTCCCCCCTTCCCCAATGTCTCCTTCAAGCGGCAGAACAGGCCTTGGTGCTGGTGGCGATCGCTGGCGATGTCGCAGTAGTTGGTAAAATGGATTGTCACGAACCTTCGTACCTCGAAAATGCTGATTTCAGCGGCATCCTCATTGGTAACCCACACCAGTTCAGAATCCCAGTCTCTACCTTTAGGCATGTAGCATTCTCTGTGTCTGGCCGTCTTGATCATATTCCAACCTTGAAAGTAGATCTCCCCGGTAGTGTATTGAATGACAGAGCGGATTCTCAGATATCTCCCCTGTTTGCGTAATTTAACAGACTGGCCTTTCTCGTAGAGAATATCCTCAACCCAGATCCTGTCATTCACCGTTCTGTAGGAATTGTGACCGGCTGTTGAGAGTGATGGATTCTCTCTCCAGTTTCCGAGCAGTCGTCGGATCTCTGCGTCTGTCAGATAGTCATCTTCTGTGAGCGAGAACTCCGTATCCTCGGTCAGATCAATGACTTCTTGCGATTCAGAACCGGGATCAAGGTCTAATGTGACACTTCTGTCATCTCTATCGTCGTCGAACTCATCATCAGATATCTCATGCACGTTCATTCTACTGGCTTGATGCAGAATGAGGTTATAAAGCCGGATCAAGACAGAGAAGTGAAACGAGGATACTTGAGTCGGGGAATTCTTCGCAGGATGGGATGTGTTCGAGTGGTATGAGATAAACGGGACTTTTGGACGAAATGAAGAAAGGAATTAGGATAGAGATATGAATTAGAATGGGATGCATAGAGTGATAGTGGGGACGTAGGGATAGGATAAGTAGCAGAGGGGAATCTGTAGATAAAAGGAAAGGAGTAAGTAGAAACAAGAAGAGGGTGAGAGGAGAGGGTATATGTGAGGGTTTGGGAACATAATGAGGAGACCTTTGGGCAACGGCGACAAAGAGATGATAACTTGATTACGTCGGCGGATTGAATGATGAAAGACATTCACCAAGAAAGTGAACTCCTGGTGAAGAGTGAGGGGAGAGCAAACGCGGGTGAATGTGCAGTGAGAGTGAATAGAGCGTACTAAATAGAACACATGGAAGAGAAAGGTCAGATCTGAGACAAGACCAATGGGAGTCATGGTGAGGAAGACAGGTGTCGTAGTGATCTGTCAGTTGAAATAATTCAGACTTTTGGCCGTAGGATGTTCTGATCTGATATAGCTAGACTGACAGAGTAGCTGATGGCGGGCGTCAGCATCCCGAATGCACTTTTGGCAACAGTACCGGAATAGGTGCAAGGTGAATAGTCTACTTGAGCGGATATGTTATCCGCGCTGTGCCACAGCCTGTGAGTCGGTACTCTAAGTGACTCCCAGGGCCTGAAGGAACCATTAACTTACCAGTAAGTAATTCAACGATTCACTCGTTCCGTCATCAATAAGAACCTACGTGTTTGTGTATCTCTGCTGCTCCGCCGCATACGATATCTTCTAATTCCCCATACAGCCACAACACCACAAATACTGCACTCCAAGTCCCAAGTGTGGTGAAATACCATCTCAATCCTATGTTCTCCAGCAGAGGCTCAAGGGCACTGACTCCTGTAGCTGCCATAGCACACTTCATTATACTTGCCGTCGCTGCTGCAGGACTAGGACTCTGCGGAAAGATGTCCACCAATAACGTGTTGTATATTGTGTAGAAGCAAGTGCCCCAGAAACCCCGAATAAATTACAGAATCAACGGAATTGAAGAGTGTCTTTCGTACTGCACAGTCCAGCCATAAGCGACCAGTGGGCCGGTCGATATAAGAAGATAATATGTACCATGGGTGCGCGCCATCTCGATTGGAAGCTCTTGTAAGTCGTCGCCGAACACATGATCAATAGATTGATTGTACTTGCAAGCTGTGGCCTTATAGTTGTAATCCATCATGCGACCGTTGCAGTAGCCGCTGATGATAATCCCGACTCCTCGTGGAAGGTAAGACAAACCTGTATATAAGGTGTCAAACCGATATATGTGCGTGAACGTTTAGACATAGTGGCGGCAACAATATTATCAACGCCATAGAAAGACCCATGCATTGGAGATTGGTAACTGGCGATGCAATTACAACAAGATCCATAATCAAGTGTACACACGCACTTATTTGCGTCATTGGGCGCCGAGTGAGCCACGACACGAATGGGATGACCGGATTCGCATGTACTCGGTGTACTACAATGTGATCTACTCTGTCAACCATAACAGCCAGGGGGCTGCCGTTCGTCAGACGTGAGTATTGGCCCTTCATTCTCTCCTTTTTCTATGCGCAAAGCTGACCTGGGGTTAGGGCCTACGATGACTTGTACTATTTGATCGATAGATATGCGCCGTTTGAGGAGGGCGGTGGACCTCGGAGTTTGGTTGAGAGTGATCGAGCGCAGCTGTCGGACGAGCGTGATCATACGCGAGGATGAGCACTTTCCCAGGATGATCTCAATTGAAGATACTGTAAGGATGTTTAAATCCCCTACGGAGTCCACCGTACAGTAAGGGACGAAACCGGCTAGCGGCCCCCTGGTGAGTCAGCACCGGCATCGGCGAATCCTCAGGCCGCCCCACGGCGAGTTTTCCGGTTCCTTAAGCGGCGCCCGCAAAAATTCTGTCTTTCACTCGGTTGGCAGTGGAGAAGAAACTGAGAATTATTATCATCCCCCCATTTCCCCTCGCCCTTTCTTCTCCTTCTTAACCCTTCTCTTAACCATGTCATCCGTTGATCCAATCCCTCCGTGGGTGTGACCTGGGTATCTTATTCCTCTTTTACTTCCATCTCCTGTTCTTGTTATGTCTTGAGAGAGACATTTCATTCACTCCTTTCTTCTCTTGACCGCAAAGTCTACCTTTCCACACCCCACCTCTGTGCGTGTGCCCAGAAATTTTTTTTTCATAGCATGTGAGTGTTTGACATAATTCCCCGGCTTGGGTTTTAATCCGGGGTGTTTTCTTTTTCTGTCCTTGGCTTTTATTATATGATGAATTTCGGTTTTTTTTATAGATGTTAGACTACCTAAGCTTTTTGCGGAGAGAATCCGATCTGACTACTTGCCTTGCTTTTATCTTTCGGTTCCTGGCTTCTTGTGTTTTCGAGGACTCCTACTGATAGTCAAGACTTCTCTAGAGTTATATACTATCCTGAAAAATGTGTGGTATCATCGCTCTGATCCAGGCGAACCCGTCGTCTTCCGCCGCCGTCGACCTTCACGAGGCTCTGTACCTTCTGCAGCGTAAGTTCCGAAACACCCGAATCCGTGCGGGATGTTGGAACATCGGGCTAATTCTATTGCTTGGGATACAGACAGAGGTCAAGATGCCGCCGGTATTGCCACCTGCGCTGCAGGCGGTCGTATCTACCAATTGAAGTCGAACGGAATGGCCGCTCGGGTTTTCCAGGACGGTGCTCGGGTGGCTGACCTTCCTGGTTTCATGGGTATCGGTCATCTGCGATACCCTACCGCCGGAAGCAGCGCCAATGCGGAGGCCCAGCCGTTCTATGTGAACAGTCCATATGGAATTTGCTTGGCCCACAACGGCAACCTGATCAATGCCCCCGAGCTGAAGAGGTATTTGGACCTCGAGGCTCATCGGCACATCAACACGGACAGTGACAGTGAATTAATGCTGAACATCTTCGCTGATGAGCTGAGCGAGACCAAGAAGGCTCGTGTCAACAAGGAAGATCTGTTCGCTGCTCTGTCTCGCATGTATGAGCGCTGCGAGGGTGGTTGGGCCTGTTCCGCCATGCTGGCAGGATTCGGTCTCATGGGTTTCCGTGATTCGTACGGTATCCGCCCGCTCGTCCTGGGGTCCCGGCCCTCGGCTGACGGCCCCGGTACGGACTACATGATGGCTTCCGAGTCGGTTGCTCTGCACCAGCTTGGTTTCACCAACATCCGGGATATCAAGCCCGGTGAGGCTGTCATCATCGAGAAGGGCGGTGAGCCGGTCTTCCGCCAAGTGGCCCCGAAGAAGGCGTACGCTCCGGATATCTTCGAATACGTCTACTTCGCTCGTCCGGACTCGGTCATCGACGGTATCAGCGTGTACCGCAGTCGGCAGCGGATGGGTGACCGTCTCGCCGCTCGGGTGCTCAATGTTCTTGGATCGGAAGTGGTCAAGAACATTGACGTCGTTATCCCTATCCCCGAGACGTCTACCACGTCCGCTGCTGCCGTTGCCCGGTATCTGGACAAGCCTTACTGCCAAGGTTTCGTCAAGAACCGCTACGTCTTCCGGACCTTCATCATGCCGGAGCAGAAGACCCGGCAGAAGGGTGTCCGTCGCAAGCTGAATGCTATGCAGGCCGAGTTCAAGGACCGAAATGTCCTTTTGGTTGATGATAGCATTGTGCGAGGAACCACGAGTCGAGAGATTGTCACGATGGCCAGGGAAGCCGGTGCCAAGAATGTCTACTTTGCTAGCTGCGCGCCTGAGATTACGTATGTTACCATTAGTCTAGCTCAATTCTTTCTACAAGTCACTAACAACCACGCACAGGCATGCTCACATTTACGGTATCGATCTGGCTTCGCCGGCCGAACTCGTTGCTTTCAACCGTGACACCGACTCTATCGCCAAGCACATCGGAGCCGACAGCGTCATCTACCAGACCCTGGAGGACCTGAAGGGTGCCTGTGCCGAGATTGCTCATGAGAACGGTTTGGAGGAGCCCCGTGACTTCGAGGTCGGTGTCTTCTGCGGCAACTACATCACCCCCGTTTCCGACGGCTACTTCGACCACCTAGAGGAGATCCGGGGTGAGGGCCGCAAGATCAAGGCGTTGGACCGCGCCAAGGAAGCCGTGACGCATGGTTTCGCCAGCGAGCAAGACTTCCAGATCGCTGCCAACGGAGTGAAGCTGGACGGCAAAGGTAACATCATCCCTGCCGGCTCCCCTGGCGAGTCCGAGGTGCCGCAGGTCAGCATGTACACCACTCGCAAGGATGCCCCTAAGGAGGAGCCTCCTAAGGTGCGGGACCGTATGGACATCAGCATCCACAACTTCGCCGACCACCCATGATTATGAAGTTTACGGGATTATCTATTTTTGATTAATTTCTTTATGATGTCATACCCCTGACTTGGAGTACTGGAGTTTTGCCGTAGACACGAGACAGGGAGGCTTTCTGATGATATGTCATTTGCATAGCTAGGACTTACAGGGTTGGAATACCCGTTGGCATGAATGATTATCAATAGACCAATGCTGAAGATCTACACTTATTTTTTTCATATGTTTCATCATACTTGCCTCCATCACAAAAGTAAAAATGGACAGGAAAAGAGAGCCGATCACGTGATGTCATCTGCCGTCGTGGCTTTCGCATCCTGTAGTTTTGTCTTCCGTCCACTCCTCGTCTACTCTCCATCTTCAAGCTTGTTTGCTTCTGATCTTTGCGCTGTCAATTGCCCTGGCTGCGGCTTAATGCTCAATGTTTGTTTGATGTTTGATGTTCTCTAGACCTATACTTGCCAAAGGTCTCACCTCCCGATATATTTATTTGTATCACAGACCTCTGGCCATGGAGCGCCGCACCACTCGTTCCTCTGCGCGCCAAGCCGCATTGCTTGCCACAAACGCGCAATCTACACTAAAACTAGCTGCTCAGGAAAACTCTAGCAATGGCACTCCAAAAGTCCCGGTCACCGTGCCAAAGAAACGAGCAGCGGCCCAGAAAAAAGCCACCGAGAAAACCAAACAACCTGCTGCCAAACAACGCAAGACAGTTAAAACTAAACCCGCCACGCCCACTCCAAAGGCAGACCCAGCCAACGAGCTTCCCCACAACCTCGGTGCAGCCATCACAGTGATACAACCGACCGCTGCAGGAGCAGGAAACTCAGACGCCCGCTCTAGAACCGCAAAAGCGAAAACCACACCGCTAAAGACCGAAACTAGTCCTAAGAAAGTCAAAGCAGAGATCCAGGACACAGTCGACAAAGCCACAGTTACACTGGCTGAGAATGCATCACCGAAGAAGGTCACCAAGAAGAAGACGAATCTGTACGGCCTTACACCTGGCGTCAGTCCCTTCCCGGATTGGGTCCATCCCACCCCGCAGGAATGTGAAGACGTCAATCGTCTGCTTTCCACCGTGCATGGGGATATCGTCGCACCGACGACTATCCCGGAGCCCTCACTCACCGTGACGGGCTGTGGCGAGGTCCCGTCGGTCTTGGACGCGCTGATCCGTACCTTACTGAGCGGGGCTACTACGGGGAATAACTCGGCTAGGGCATTTAGTGGGCTGGTGCAGCGGTTTGGGATCTTGGAGGATGGAATCGGTAAGGGGAGCGTGAATTGGGATGCGGTACGGCAGGCCTCGCTGAAGGATGTGTTTGATGCCATCAAGAGCGGCGGGCTGGCTGATGTCAAGAGTAAGAATCTCAAAGCCATCCTGGATATGGTGCATGAGGAGAATCAGGAACGCAGAGATACCCTCATGAAGGCGGAGAAGAAGGAGAATGAAAAGCCAGATGGCGATAGTGATGGACCCGCAGCCGGTCTACCGACCAAGGACAACGGCAAAAAACAGTACGAGATTGCATGTGCCGATCAGAACGTCCTCTCCCTGAACCACCTGCATAACTTGAGCACGGAACAGGCGATGGTGGAGATGGTGAAATACCCCGGCATCGGTCCCAAAACCGCCGCCTGCGTGCTTCTCTTCTGTCTCCAGCGGCCCTGCTTCGCCGTGGACACGCACATCTTTCGCATCTGCAAGTGGCTCAATTGGGTGCCTCCGACTAAGGCGTCGGAAGTCACGGCGTTCAGCCACTTGGAGGTGCGCATTCCGGATCATCTCAAATACTCGCTTCATCAGCTGCTCATTCGTCATGGGAAGACTTGTCCGCGCTGTCGCGCCATCACCGGGCAGTCTTCGGCGGGGTGGAAGGAAGGATGCGTGATTGATCATCTTGTTACAAGGACGGGGAAGAGGAAGGGAGCTCCGGTCGACTCGTCTACTGCGAGCAAAAAGAAAAGGGCTAGTCGCAAGGCTCATTCAGAGACGGATGAATCGCAATCTGAATCTGAACTGAGTGAGCTCGAGACCTCAGATTCTTCGGAATAGTTCGGTCAGACATGTCAGTGTGGTGTATTGCATTTACTAGGGGTTTTCTTTCATATGTTCAGCATAAGCGGGGATCAATCAGCATAGCATAGTCAAGAATAATCAAAGTCATTTCCTTCAATTCAGTTGCATTCCTCCTTTCTCTCTATAGAAGAAAAAGCGTCCCTTACGATCTCCGCCTTGGCACGTGCTCCACCCGGAGCTCCCCATCCTCCATCGAACCACCACTTAATTTAATTCCTTCTCTCTCGCGATTCGCGACGCCGACAACCCCAATACCCTCTCACGGCTGGACCTGCTGCCAATTACCTCACCATTGCTTGTCTGCCTCCACACACCATCCACCATGGAGAGCTGGGCACCCTACATCCCTCCGGCCCTTTATACCCTCGCGGAGTCCCTCGCAGAGCCGGTCACGGAGCACGCGCCGTGGGCTGGTCTCGCTCTGGTCTCGCTTGGCGCTGTGTATCTGGGCTATGTGTTCGTGCTGGGCCAAAGAGAAGCTGCTGTTGCGTTCAATGTGCCGATTCCCCCTGAGGTGCGACCGAATTGGAATGGGAGGAAATGGGAGGAGGTGCAAGGGGAGGAGAAGAGGTTGTTGGAGGGTCAGGTTCGGGGGGTAAGTTTCTTTCTTTCTTTCCTATGGAGAAGAGGTTTGGTTAGATGATTGGGATGGAGTGCTAATGCTGAGTCTTTGGGTGTAGCAATGGAGCGACAAGTTGATCATGAGCTATTGTCCCGCGGACGGAAGAGTGCTGGGGGAAGGAACCAAGCCTGAGACGAAGGACGGAGTCGATCGCAAGATTAAGGCCGCCAAAAATGCGCAGGTGGAGTGGGCGAGGACGAACTTTGCGGAGCGGCGGAAGGTTTTGAGGACCTTGTTGAAGTATGTGGAATGATTCTTTATACTAGGGGTGCTGTAACTGACGGATTATTTCCTTCCCTTGCAGATACGTTCTCGAACATCAGGATGAATTGGCCACCGCATGCTGTCTCGACTCCGGAAAAACGAAAGTGGACGCCTCGTTTGGAGAAATCCTCGTCACCGCTGAAAAACTGAAATGGACCATCGACCACGGCGAGAAGGCCCTGGCGCCCTCCCCCCGACCGACCAATTTCCTCATGATGTACAAGAAGAACATGGTCACGTACGAACCTCTGGGTGTGATCGCCGCCTGCGTCTCCTGGAACTACCCGCTGCATAACTTCATCGGACCGGTCATCAGCGGCCTCTTCGCGGGCAACGCGGTGGTTGTCAAACCCTCCGAGCAAACCGCCTGGTCCTCCGCCTTCTTCCTCGACGTCGCCCGCGGCGCCCTGGCCAGCTGCGGCCACTCGCGCGACCTCGTCCAGACCGTCGTCTGCCTGCCCGACGTCGCCGACTCCCTGACCTCCCACCCGGACATCGCCCAGCTCACCTTCATCGGGTCCAAGCCCGTCGCGCACAAAGTCTGCGAATCCGCCGCGAAGGCCCTCACCCCGGTGACCGTCGAACTCGGCGGCAAGGATCCCGCCGTGGTGCTCGACGACGCGCGCACCATCCGCGAGCTTCCCTCCGTCGCCTCCGTCCTCATGCGCGGCGTCTTCCAATCCGCCGGCCAGAACTGCGTCGGCGCCGAGCGCATCATCGCCCTCCCGGGCGTCTACGACCGCCTCCTCGCCCTCGTCTCCTCCCGCATCCAATCCCTCTCCATCGGCTCCATCCTCCTCGACTCCCCCCCTCTCGGCCCTCGCACCCCAGACATGGGCGCCCTGATCTCCCCGGCTGGCTTCTCGCGCCTCGAATCCCTCATCACCGACGCCGTCTCGCACGGCGCGCGCCTCATCCACGGCGGCACGCAATACAACCACCCCCGCCACCCCAACGGACACTACTTCCTCCCGACCCTCCTCGCCGACGTCACCCCCGACATGGCAATCGCGCAAACCGAACTCTTCGCCCCGATCTTCCTCCTCATGCGCGCCTCCTCCGTCCCCCACGCCGTCTCCATCGCCAACTCCACCGACTACGCCCTCGGCTGCTCTGTCTTCGGCTACGACCAACCTTCCATCTCCGCGTGCGTCCGCGGAATCCAAGCCGGAATGGTCGCAGTGAACGACTTCGGGGCTTACTACGCGGTCCAGTTACCGTTTGGCGGTCTCAAGGGATCCGGATATGGACGGTTCGCTGGGGAAGAGGGACTCCGTGGAGTATGTAATATTAAGAGTGTTTGTGTGGATCGTTGGCCGAAAGTCATGGCGACGAGGATCCCGCCGAGGGTCGATTATCCGATTGCGAAGGATGGAGACGGGCAGAAGGGGGATGAAGGGTATAAGGCGTGGGAGATGTGTAAGGGGGTTGTGGAGACGGGGTATCAGATTACCGTTGGGGGGTGGGTTAGAGGCGTGGTGAGGTTGTTGGGGAATATGTGATTTTTTTTTTCTTGTCCTTTCTCTTGTCTTGTATCTTGTCTTGAGGATGGTGGTTTGGGGATGATTTCTTTCGTTATTTAAATTGATTAGGGGATGTGTATATTAGATTTATTAATACTATTCAAGTCCATAATTCGTAGCGTTACATTCATTATATTAGTTCTAAATATGTACAGCTTGTCGACCAGTCAATCAGCTTGTTAGAAAAAAACCGAAAGGAGATACTCCAATTCCTACGGAGCAGACTTCTCCATCCACAACCCCTGCACATCTACCTCAGTCTCCTCCATCCAACTCCCCAGTTCCTCTACACCCAAAACATCCCTCAGATAACGTCTCGCGAGACCCAAATGAGAATTCGCTCTGCCGAGATAAAACACCGCCCCATCGACAGGGTTCACGTTCGCAGCCTCCACCCGCTGCGGCAGATGCAGCATCAGATCGAGCAGCCAATGGCCTAAGGAATCGTTCAGGTCCATGGCCCACTGTGTGATCTCCGAGTCGTCGGCGGGGACGGACTCGGTGCTGGCGCGGAGGAGGAGCTGGAAGAGCGAGGGGTCGTGGCGCGCGACGCGCACGGCCGTGCGGTAGTGTTCTGCCGGGAGAGTATAGGGCGTACTGGTGTTGTCGGGGCCGACAGCGGTGTGCTCGCTGCGGAACGCGTATTCGTCGATTTTAAGGAGGGTGGTGAGCGCGCGAGCGTTGTGCTCGACCAAGGCTGTGTGGATTCCGGCTTGCGTGGCTTCGCGCGAGACTTGGATGTTGGTTTGGATGAGGTCGGGGCGCGCGAAACCGCTGGTGAACCGGAGGATTTCGAGACAGGCGACGTGCTCTTGGGTGAAGAGGTCGGGGTCGTGGTCGCCGCCGCCTCGGAGTATTTTGTCGGGGAAGTTGAGCATGCCGAGGATCTGGTGCGTTTGCTGCTGATCGGTTTCGTGGCAGGTGATTTGGATCGATATGAGGGGGGTGATAGATAAGGTGTAGTGGGCGTTGTTGGTGTCGGTGCCTTCAAAGGTGCTCCGGTCTTCTTGTCGCGAGAGGAAGCGCGCAAGCCCCGCTTCGTCGTCGGCCGTCATACTGATCCCCGCGTTTACCCAGTGTCGTTGGATTGTCAGGTTCATGAGGTCCGGAAGTTGGGATAGAATTCGGTCAACAGTGCACCATTTACAGCGCATGATGTTGATTTGGAGGGCTTTACGCTCGCCATAGTCAAGGGGGACGTAATCTAACGGTCGGAGGATTTTCGCGATCGTGGTACCGGAGGTAATGGAAGACGTCGACGAGGTGTCATTCCAGAACGCTAGCAGGATGAGGGCACGGTAGATCCGTTCGCTGGAGACCGCGAATGCGAGTGATGGCGATGACCGCGGCAGGTTCGCATTCAACGAGTACAGAAAGATCTTTTCGATGAGTTCCACCGGGAGGGCCTCCAATCTCGAGCGCGTTTTGCGCGGCTTCGACGGCTTGACGATCAGCAGGCGCGCGCGCTTGTTGCTTTGAGATTGAGAGGAGGTCAGCTTTTGCTCAAGGGACATCAAGGGCCGACCGCCCTTTGGCCGTCGCCGTGTCGCGGCCGTTGTCGCAGGGTCATGGTAGCTGGGCTGCTGGACATCAGCAGCATCGGAGAATCTTCTTTTTCGGCGGCCACGGACTCGGATCGGGGTCAGCATGCCCGGCGGAACATCAAAATAAGGTTGTCCTTATCAGGCCATGTCATTCGGGGTTTGAGCATGAACTGGTCCGGGTTTGGGTTGCTAGAGACTAAGGTACCTAGCAGGAGCTTGAGCCAAGAAGGAAGAAGTTGTCGGAACAAAAGCGGCGTAGTCTTGGCCAGCGCTGATTGGCGGATGGGCACCCGATCAGACTGTCGTAGGGCTGGCGAATCAGCTGATTCCCTTCCCGTTCGGGCAGTCCGGAGCCCTAACGCTAGCCCTTTTGTAAACAATGACATCATCGACCCGTGTTCCCAGCCGGATGCAATCCATGCAGTCCGTGATCGATCCATAACGAAACGGACGCAAAAGCTAAACAAGCACAAGGACCTGGGCGGCCTTCAAACCCGCCCTGAGTGGCGAGATCCTTGGACCCAGTGGCTGCAAGCCCGGATCAGGGCGTGGTTCGTCATGATTAGGATTGACACGCCCCCTTTCCTATTCAGGGCCTGCGAACCAGGTTTGACAGCGTCGCTATGACGGAATCGCGTCGCCAGTGGGAAAGACTTGGTCAGTTATTTGATCATAGCCAGTCGCCTATCTGATCTTCGCTCTTCCCGTCCCTCTGGTTTACGTCGTTCGCTGGCTTTTCCATTCGTACAGCATACATCATTTTCTTTGCTTTGTTGGCAGACTTCGGTGTATAAAAGAACCTTCCTCTTGTCATTTCGGCAGCTTTTCTCTTCATCATGCGTCCCTTCAGCGACTCCTCCACTCGTACTCCTGCCTCATCGTCAAACTCTGCGAGAGAACCTACTAGAGATTCGTCTCCCTCCCAGTCTTCCTCGAACTCGAATTCGAACAAATTATCGAACCCCAACAAATCCTCGAAGCCTTCCAAATAAATAAAAAGACCTGACATAATACCTTCAAGATGGGAGCCGTCGTGTCTTGTGTATGTCGTCCTTGTCTCCTCCCTTCACTTCCGCGTTGCATGTCTTGAGTAAGATGCTGACTACCTCCACAGATCACTGGCATCTTCCATTCCATCGGTGCCTGTCTGATGGCCATCGTGAATGCCATCGGGGCTGTCTGCAAGGTCATCATCGAGGGTGTCTTGTCTGTCTGCCGTGCCGTCATCACCTGCCTCACCTGTGGTTACTGCGGCCGAAGCAGGAGAACAACGCGGAGGTCAAGGATATGACACCACTCGTCTCGGTGACTGAACCATACGAGTTATGATAATTATGCGTGATGGGTTTTTGGTCGGATGTTTATCGTTGTGATATAGTTATTTCGCTTTCCTTTCCATGTTTTCATACCCCATGCTGAGCAGGCTTTTTTTCTCGGTCGGCGTGTATTTTAGCAATGCAATAATCTTCCCGCTTTCTTAATCCCGAGTAACTCCACTTTGCATGCGCGACATGACGTCTGTAATTTTTGATGCCGATAGAGTATTGTCTGTGACCTGTCGTGCCTGCGTATGATCTCACCCCACGCTGTTCAGCCCTGCTTTCGTCATTAATTGGTCTCTTAGCTGCAAATCATCGCCCGGGATATCCTCCCAGCAATGGTTCACCAAAACCCTAACGAACGGATCGTCGCGTTCGTCTGCATACTTTAATGCCGCGCGAAAGATAATGGTGGGTACCGGCCAGCGCTGGGGATACTTGTAGTCCTGTGCCATAACCTGCATCTGCATTAATCGCTCAAAGGTCGCCAAGTCACGGTCCCGGATCAGCTGTCGAAGAACACGCTTCGAACGCGACAAGGACGAGTCCTCGTCGATGTACGCGGTCGTCGAAAGCAGATGGAGAAATTCAAGCTTGGACTCGGTCCACGGCGGGCACAGTAACTTGTCAGGCATGCGAGGGGGACACACAGCTGAGCAGTCTGGCAGCTGAAAGATATCGTGACGGGTGTACAGCCTGCTAGGCTGTAGGATTTGTACAGTTCCGTGATGAAACCATACTGCCACTCGTGCTTCCTTTTCGGTGGTTCGGTCGTGGGCTTTGAGGACCATATCGCCTTTACCGTGAAGCCTTTCATCTTTTTCGTACCCTTCGAGACTCTCGAAACGACGGCCCATCTCAGCCAGCGCGGGAAGGTCGTCCGCGCAGAATTCGAGGTCCTGCATCTGGCGCCGAATAACCTGCTCCACGTACTGCCGCTGACATTTTTGAATCAGCGGCAAGGTGCACCAGCCACATGCTAGGATGTCCGTCTGGAGATCTCTCCGCTCTTCTGTCGAAAGAGCCCAGAAATCCAATGGCGCGGGCAAAAAGTCCGGAGTGAACAATCCCCGTTTTGAGCCCTCGTTGGCGCTGCTGAACGCGAGTCGAATGAGCCAAGTATAGATCACCGTGTTGGAAAGGATCCCAGCGATGTATCGAGACACTCTAGGGAAGTTGAACTCGAGAGAATGGAGGAAGATCTCCTGGATGATCTCCGCGGGTAAACATTCAAGGCGAGACCGGCTTACAGCCGGTAAAGAGGCTTGCCCCATTGGACCGGACCCTTTGATTGAGAGTTGGGGATTTCAATGGAATCGGATAGCCTCACATGGGAAGAATTTGGGTTTCGGGAGGTTGAACTGTGGATTGTGCACGTTCTTTGCCGCTGCGATACGGGCGCCACCTTCCATCATGAGAGCAGCACGTGAGTGAGCCTAGAGCCCGCGCCAACGGTGGTCGATGTTATACTTATACTCTTCGAGTTAGCGCTGGCGAAGGCCCACCTCGTTTATTTACCCTACGGAGTACTCAATCACTAGGAGTTCACTGATATGCTTGTTGCCAAAATCAACGGTCTAATATACAAAGAAAGTCCAGCGTTCCAATTGTCGAGTTAGAGCAAAGGCTATTGTTCATGAAGAGCGAACCAAAACCGCTCCGTCGTATGAATTTCTCTCATTTTTTAATCTCTCTCGAGCCAGATCGTCAACACCATCTAAACGCCAATCTCCCTGTAGCTGACTGAACAAGACCCCAACAAGCAAGCTGATAATCCGCGGTCCAAAGACTGATTTGGCCGGGCAGGTAAAAGGGGCACTTCCAAAAGGAAGAAAAGCATTTTTCTGCTCTTTTGTCAAATGTGCCCATCTTGATGGGTTGTATGTCTTAGCACCTGGTCCCCAGATTGTAGGTCCGATATGGCAAGCTTCTATGTCCGCCGCAATAATACTATGTGTATGTGATGCGGCTGATTTGTGTGCACGATAGATTCGCTTGGTGGGTGGATAGAGACGAAGCGCTTCTTTGACAAGAAATTCAGCAGAGATGGGATTTGCTGTTTCAAATTGCAATTTTGTAGGGTTCTGAGCAAATGCAATGAGAGTTTTTCGCCATTCGGGATGGTGCCTGCCAGTCTTGAACCCAACCTCGATAAAAGTAATGAGGACAATCCGCCACAAGGTCTCGAAAGCTGGGAGGATGAAGTTTAGTGGGCTCTCTCGGGGGTCTGTGAGATTATGGTCAGGAAAAACGACAGAGAGAGCTTTCTGGAGGTCATGATTGTCTTTGAACCCCCGTGTGGTACGTATGTCCTTTGAAGCTATCCACACGCAGTTGATAACTTCTCCTAGATTGACCAGGTCTGTGTCTTCAATATCAACCTTGAATTTCTCCTTCCAAGCTACCGCCACAGCCGCTCGCAGTGACAGAGATTGTACCATTTCTTTGATTCGAATTTCGTCCGCGTTCTCCATCCGATCTTGAGCTGCACTATGAAGAATGACTGAGAGTTGTTTCCAGTCGGGATATCCAAGGTTAATTACATGCGTCGCTTTAGAGATGAAGTCATTCACATAGACATCATCCGCACTGGTGAAAGCGTTGTCGATTCCGAATGCAAACCGACGACTTGCGTTGGGCAATGCCCTTGACTGTAGTATATTGAGTTCATTAGGTTGATTTCCGGCGATCACTGAGCGACAGTGACGAGGACTCTTGACATGATTTTGTCTAAGACGTGAAAACAGATAAGTATAAGTTAAGTAAGAAATAAAAAGTATCAGCACGATAAGAATAATCATCATGGCTAACGATGCCTGCTTATTCTTCGCTACAGCACACAAATAGTTACAAAGTCAAGTACGCTATCAAGGTTGCCCCAGAAGACGCGAGAATGCCAGTAATTTCCCAGTGTTAGTGAATATACCTTAGTGGAACAGGTAATCCACGGCGGTATAGCATGGCGTTTGTCATCTGTTTCTTTGAATTCCCTATCATTCTTTTGGGTTTCGTCTTTGATATAAAGGTTCCTGATTCTTCTTCAATAGCGTCTGAGGGTGTCTGACTGTCTTCACAAGAGATGTCTTCTATCCATGGAAAGTAAGCTAAAACTCATAATGAAAATATTGCAGGTGCAGGTACCGAAGACGTGCCCGCCTCCTCAAGTATGCTATATCACAACATGCCAACGTCAAACCACTCTCTCCCTAAATATCCATTGGCCAGTGGTTATAGCATATGAAATCCATTTCAATTATCGATATAGCTCCTCATGCATTCGGATTGTTGTGGAAAGCATCTCAAGGAACATATCAGTATACTCTGGGACTTCGGTCCTACGTGCTCTAAGCGATGCAACCTCAAACCCATCAGGGTATTCACCCCAGTCGGTCAGCCACACTTTGCCATGCGGATCCAGGATCAAGTTACGGGGCGCAATATCCAAGTGGGTGAGAACGAATTTGTTAAATTGAAACAAGGGAGCGTCATCGGGTGTCCATGTCAGCCCTTCTAAGACACCCGATGTCATATGACTAGCTGCAACGCTAAGTCGACAAATGATGGTGGGGACCCAATCCACGGATTTCTGGACCAATGTAATCGGTAGGTAGCGTATAAAGGTAACCTCGATAGATTCAGCAGACTCGCCGGCTATCTGTTCCAACAACTACTTCCTGTGACAAGAAGTATCCTTGGTCGCCTTCCAATTCCAACGTGAGTTTAGGCGTGTACTGGTCGTATAGATTACAATATCTAACCAGCAAGACATACACAGTCTCATCAATCTCTGCTACAATGTCTACCTCCGGGAAATCGACCGGTGAGCCGATCTCTGATAGATCGACTGCGCCGACTACAAGTGGCTTTGCGGGGCTGAATTTCCAAAGGCCCGCTTTCCAACCCTTACAATTCGTCCCCGCTGCACAATAGAACGAAATGATGAACCAGGTTGTCCGGTGGGTCGACGCAGCTTGCCACGAAAGACTCCCTCAAGGAGGTGATCACTGGTCTCTTTATCTTGATATTGGCGCAAACCGTTCAGTTCGCATTGATATCACACCTTCTTACGTTGTGCCCAGTACCTCGATCCCCGGCGGCTCAAAGGCCAATATGGTAGTTAGCCTTTTGGAAGACGCTTTCTCGCGCCCAACAGAGAAGGTTGTGAAACTCGACGTTCCGAATGGCAGCACGGTGCGCGAACTTGTCAACTTGCTAATCCAGCATGGCCGGCACAAGTACGAATTTAACGCTCAGGGCCAGGGCTGCAGGTACTGGACTGATCACCAACTAGCCCTATTCGATCAGCACGGTCTTTTGGTGAATCGAGCCCATATCGAAGCGGCCAAGGCAGCTATTCTTACCCAGTGGCCCGATCAAATGAGTTGCCCTCTTGTGCAAGAAGACTACTATCAGTAGTCTATCGCCCTGGTACTCCCTTGTGACATGCTTCCCTCAGATAGTAGCACCTATTAGCAAGTGCCATAACGTCTTATCACAGAATACAATACCGGGGGAGAGGTATAGCAGTCATGTTTTTCTGCTAGTTGGTGTTGTGTACGGGCTGTTGGTATTTCTTAATAATGGATTAGTTCATGTTAACTGTGTCTTTGTTGTTTATAAATCATGTCGGATCAAGATTTAGTTGTAATAGTTACAAGCTGGGAGGGATACTGAAGCATCTTTGCCCAGTTAAATCTGCCTAGGGCATGTCGTACGTTGCCAGTCACTCCACTGCTTTACAAAATAGCTTTGGGTGATTTGCGCATTTCAAACGATGTTGTGGCGTGGCGATGTAGTTAGAGCGACCTGGGTCGGATAGGGACAGTAAAGAATGATGATTATGGATCACCATAAGCCCATAATTCGGGTTGAAGGTAGCTTAGTGGAATACAGGGATAAAGTGCGCGTCGAGGAAAGCTGGAATAAAGGGAGTAATGTCATCAATTAGCGGATTCGCTCCTCTGTCTGTGTAAGAATAAGGTATAGATGTCGGATCGCGCAACCAAGATTGTTGTTTAAAACTGTTATGTTTAGTATCAATTCCACAGACATTTAGATTCGAGTTATAAACACTGAAACATGATCATCCAAGCCCTTTTCTATATCTAGCCCATTCCCTAATAACGCCTAATCTCGCCAATTTATCACATCATCGGGATAATCCTCGCCATATATCTCATCATGCATCCTTTCGAGAACCTTTGAGTGAACCTGACAGTCTTTGAGCTTGGTCTAAACGCCAGGGATAGTACGCTCTTGATACCCAGGAGGATAATCGAAAGAGTTCTTTACTAGGCAACGAGGTGACTAAAACTATTTTGTCTTCTCCAGGCAGGCTTGATCCCAAAACACATAACCTTAACTATCAACCCATAATTGGCGGGAGCACTGGGCCAGGTCCAGCCCTGCCCTGCCGCTGCCCTCTGCCAACCAAAGCTGCAGTCCTTCGAGATCTCGTCTACTTTATCTCTAGAACGACCAACGTCTCCAACTGCTATCATGATAGATAACTGATCCTTGGATTCGAAATGCGACTTCACTATCATCGTTCTCACTGTTTGAAGCTGGTCTGTTTATTGCTTGCTCCTGATGCGTTCCAGTTTGTTGTTTTTGTTTTGAGTTTTTGTGGTCTTTATTGGTTTCTACATTCGACATCTATGCGCCTGTTTTGTTGTTTTTGTTTTGAATTTCTGTGATTTTTATTGGCTTCTGTATTCAACATACATGTACCTGTTTTGTTCATTGGTTTTAACTATATACGTCGTTTCATTCTATGTTTTGTTTCTTTCACTCTTGCAATCATACATGTGTCTAAAAGAACTCCGATTAGAAATTTTCTATAGATTCCTAAGTCGAGCGTAGAATGTAGTTGATACCATCAACATTCAAGATTATAAGATGCTACGTAGAAGGGCAAGATGCCTCTCCATGAGTTGCCCACATGAAATGGCCATAGAGGGAGGGACAAACGAACGGCAAAAATGCTCGGCAGATTACACCTCAGGCACCAAGCATCTATAAGGACCCACTCCTCAAGCAGTCTACTAGGTAAGGTTGCGAATCCCGCGGGTTACTCTATTATTGTATGTAATGAGGAACTCCCAGGTATAAGTTAAATATTTTCATATTGTTCCATCGGTCATATAGACCATGTCACGCAGCACTGTTGATGACAGGGTGATCGTGGGCGAGACGTGGACAACATGCTGGGTTAGTCTTTCTCCTGCTAGGCATTCACTTCGCGCGAGGTAGGTTATATTTATTATATATTCTATATTTATTTTAAAATTATGTGACGTTATTGATTTATCTGTACGTCAATAATCTGGTTTGTTCCATATTTGCTCAAATCAGGGTGTGATTTTCTAATGTCAGTTTTGAGTACATGATCGGCTTCTGCAATTATATATCCCGACACGGCTTTGCTATTCATTCACTCTTATCTTCTGCAGATGAAAACAATAGCTATCACATCAAGGACTTCTAACATCAAGCCTAACGGAAATGTACAAACTGAAAGCAGTCATTTTTCTACATATAGGAACGGCTCCTACAGATATATTTACTCTACGCTACAACACAACACAACAACTAAGCCACGGCACGAAGAAAATCATCTTCTAAATGGAACATTGTTTCTATACACAATCCAACAACCGACACCACACTGCCAGACGCAAAGGGTATCCTAGCTGGCCAACATGCTTGACAAAAGGAGATTTCGTCGTGCGAGTACACAGGTCGATGGATAAAGGAGACTTGAAAAAAATGACAGAAAAAAGTGTTCTGGCAATTTAAACCACGGACATGTCGCCGAAGCGCTCCTATAGAACGGATTAGCACACGCAATGGTGTTTGGGAGGTTGGAGATCAATATATGCAGGGAATGGGACGTACCTTGTATCCGGCGGGCATCCATCTGCCCTTGGAGACCAGCGAGGAGGTCTTCTCGTCGATCTCGGGCTGAGCGGCGGCAACCTCGTCCTGGAAGAAGAAAAAGAATAAAGTCAATGCACTGTTCCATTTGATATATTGGCAATTTGTCATAACATACCACGGTGAGCTCGTCGAAGGGGCGGGCAGTCTCAATGTTCTCAAGGGTCTTCTCGAGGTTGCGGAGTTCGGCCTCAACCTTGCCCTTGGTCTGCTCGGCGCTCTGGACGGCCTGAGCCTCAAAGGTATCAATGGCCTTCAGCTGGCGGGAGACATCGTAGGTGGCGGGCTTGAAAGCGTTGAACTGCTTCTCGAGGTCGTCGACGATGGCCTGGTTCTTCAGGACCTTGCGGTAGTGGGCGAAGTCGACAGTCTGGGGCTGCTCGGACAGAGCCTGAACCTTGCGGCGCGCATCGTCGTTACGCTTCTTGAAGGCCTGGAGAGAGGTGGCGGTCTGGCCACGGAGGCCGAGCGAGCTGGAGACCTTGACCCAGTCGATCTTGAGAGCGGCGCTGCGCTGTTCCACGGAGACGGGTTAGCGGTCAAAATTCCCGACATGATCGGTCGGAGGCAAGATTAGAGAGCTCAATGCACGTACGGCAGCCATTTTGAAGAGTGTGTTGGGAGGGAGATGGGGTGGAGAGGGGAGTCCAACGTGCAAAGCAGGAGGTTCGGAGAGGTGAGGGTTGACTCGGCAAGGTTTGGAATGGGGATGCCGTCACGTGAGACTGGCGGTTCCCGTGTTCCGAACGGCCACAAACGACGAGAGCCAAGACTTTGCTGCGTGCTTCGGATCTGGGCGCTTAGGATCCAGATATGGGGCATTCTATGGGCTCATTTATTATGTTTTTGGCTACTAGATTGTAAAATTGATTACATCATGGATGGTTATCGCGGATGGAAACATTCAATCGGTTCAGATCATGTAATTCTGCTTTTTTTGGGTTGACTATATGATTTACACTATGGGGCCTGGCAGTACACGCATCCAAGGGGATATCAACCTGACCTCGCACCCAAAGTCCATCCTGCCAGCAGGGCTAAGACGTTTCAGCCACTGATAGCGTGCAATCAATGCGGCAGAGCTCATATGCTGAGAGCCATGATCGAGTTCACGATATCGTTGTCGTTCTCCCGTAGAGCCTTGACGGCCTTCTTGCGTGACACATTAGCCTGGGCCATAACCAGTTCGATGTCCTTAGCCTCGAGGCCAGATTCGTCAACAGCCTCTCCATCATCCTCCTCCTCGTCCTTCTTGGCCTCGGTCTCGGGGGCCTTGGCAGTGCCGAGGTCGTGCTCGTGGTCGTGACCGGCGTGCTCACCACCGGCGGCGGCCTCAGCGGCAGCCAGCTGCTGGGCAGCGGAGGCCTGGGCCTGGGAGTTCAGGTCCTCGATCTTGGCCTCACCGAAGATGCTGTTGAAACGAGTAAGCCAACTTTGCTTCATCACAGAAACCGGGAAAACGGGTAGACACATACATCCAGGTGTTGCTGGAGGGGGAACGGTAGACGTCGGGCTGGTTGATGACGAAGAGGATCTGTAGAAACAGATACATTAGCCTTCTATGTCCCTCATAGCTGTTGCTCCATCGAAGTTGTATCCAGTTCTTCTCCCAAAGACACCTCTCAAGCAGCAACTGTCGTAAAAAGGCGGGGTTGGTATCCATACGTTCTTGGGACGGCGGAGGGTGACACGAGTGATGCCGGGGACGTGCTTCAGGCCGAGCTTTCCAATGGCCTTTCTGGCCTTCTTCTCGTTACGAGAGTGGATGGTGACGGCGGCACCTCCGGGGATGGTGGGCTCCTCGCCAGCCTCGGACTCAGAAGAGCTGCCGGCATCCTCAACGCCCGCCTTCTGGGGCTCCTCGTCGTGGATCTCTTCAACGCGGGGGTCAGCCATTGTGATAATTGAACGAGCCTAAAAGAGGGCTGTCGTTAGAAAAAAGTGATGGTTAGCAAGCAAGTCTCTCGATTCAGAACTGGTCGCTTAGGTTGGGGAGGCTCGAGAAGGATGGCCCAAGGAACCACCCCCCGAGGTTCTCCCACAAACCCGTAGGAAATACCCAAAATCGAGGGCGGAATTCAAAATGGCGACCGGAAATTCAGCGATTACATACCTAGTCGCAAGAAAGAGGACTGTGGTGGATGAGGGGGTATTTTTTGCCTTGGTTGAAGTTGTGAAGTCGCAAAGCTGTGTGAATGTCATCCTGCCGAAAATCGTTAGCGAGCTTATTGGGACCCTCACCCCGGACACACAGAAGCGACGTATCTACAGATCGAACCTCCACGTTCAATCAACAAGGCCATCTACTTGCTAATTTTCTATTACATTAATTGCTACGATATTCAGTGAGATTTTGATTTTAATTCTGGGCAACGTTGGTGCGTAAGAAAGAAGTATTAATCATAAAATATGGACCCAGAGCATATCAAAGATTACAGCTTATTTTGGTCGCTCCCCAATTCCAACGGAGGTAGTGAGTGGACCGGTCATTTCAATACCAAGATCGATATTAGATAAAGATTCCAGTCATACACTGGTCTGAAAAAGGGTGCCGTCTATTGTGACGTACGAGCATAACCCGTGAAGGTATCAAGGTTCTCGAATCATTTTAAGCTGTCAATGATAAAAGCGTACAGCGTCTTTTTTTTTGCTGAAAAATAAAATAAACCCTCAGCAATATTTAACCGTCCCAAGGCACCCCATCACACTATGCACCGAGCCTCATAAAAAACCATCTATGACTTAGGAGCAGCCGCCCGGAGCTTGGCGTGAGCCTTCTGGACCTCGAAGCGAGCCTGGAGAAATTCAATGTCAGTCAAGTCCAGTCGTACCGCAAGCGCATTCAGCTCCGTTCAAAGAATCCTCGGTCCATTGCAGTCGCAGATGAACTCCCCACCCGTAGAATTCCTCCGACACGGCCCAAAATGCAACCGACGCAAATAATCCAATATTTTCAACGTACCTGCTTCCTGAGTCTGAGGACCTTGAAGCGCTCGAAGTCGTTAAGGTTCTTCCGTCGCTCGGCGCTCTGGGTCTTCTGGGCGAAGTTGCTCTTGGCCCACTTGCCATCGATCTCGTTCTTCTGCCAAAGCTTGCGGACGGGGCCAGTACCGGCGGCACGGGGCAGCTGGGGAATGACGAAGTGGGTGAGGGTGGCGGCAGAGAGAGGGAGGACGTGACGGGGCACGATCTTGTTCTCCTCGGTGGAAGGGCCGTCAACCAGAACCTATCGATTTGCGACTCTTGTCAATATCATGGCCGATAAATTCCCGTTTGCCTCCCCGGTATTTCATGTCCTCGCATGTCCTCCAAACATTGTCCTCAGAATCCGGGAAACACATACACGCTTGTGGTCGACAATCTCAACGATGGCGGCCAGCTTGCCGGTGAAGGGACCGCGGCGGATCAGGACCACGCGGCCAACCTCAACGAGCTTCCATTGAGCAATCTTGACATCGATATCGGCCATGGCGAAGGCTTCCTAAAAATGGCGACAAAAAAGAGGACTCAGTAATCACAGTTCTGACGGGATACGGCCAAGGCGATCATGAACTCACGGTCGACAAACTCCGGGAGGTCGGTGGGAGAAATTAGTTGTCGAAGGGGTCGGGGTTGTCGAGGAATCGTCCGAAACGCACAAGTTCGCTCTGGCTTGCCGGATCGCGAATTTCGGTGTTGCGGCCCTTTGCCCACAGAATCTCGCTTAGCAGCCACTCACCGTCCGCCGCTGTGTGGCCTAGGGCTGCTAAGGAGCCTTAGCGCCTGATCCCGGCCAAGGGGGTTCTTCCGCTCCGACCCGCCGGCTTTTAAACTTCCGCCGCTTTTTTTCCCTGCTTGGGTTTTTCCTTCTGTGAGCAGCTTTGCAAGCTCGACAAGATCGAACAAGATGATGTTCTGGACTTCTGTTGACAGTCGCTTTCACTAACAATCTTTCAGCTTTTGCTCTTATTGTTTTTCTCACTGGTAGGTCCTACTCTTTTTTCTTCCTTCTCTCTGCACTTCACATGATGCGGTAATTTGCGATTGACCCGGTACTGTGAAACCCTCGCCGGGGTTTCTTAAGCAGTACTGAAGCATGATATTCATTTTCTTACATATTCTGATACTTTGAAAACTTCTCAACTGTTGTCACTCACATTTTGTTGTTATCACGTTGCTAATTCAATCAGACTTTGCAGATTTTCTCGAATCACCGCTCCATTTCACCTGCTCTCATTATCTCTTCAGTACGTTCTCCACTTTTCTTCGTCGCCCTGTCCTATGAAGACAACTTGCACCTAGATAGTAATTGATGCCTTTGGCAATGATATTACCCCAATCACCAAGATCTCTGAGGACGTTCATTCGGCATATTTTGCTTGCTTGCTATGTTGGGATTCTTTTTCTAACGTTGCATTTATAGGAATTTTTCTCGCACGAGTTTGGCTGGAGTCTTTAGTTTAGTTTGAAATGATTAATATAAAAAAACTTCTACTTGAACTTTCCTCAAGATATACGGAGTACTCTGCCGTAGTTTTCGCTCTTCTAGGCATCTAAATTAGTCCCGGTTGAAAACTCGAGAATGGTCTAGACCTCGTGCTCAACCCTACCTGTAACTCACCCCGACGTAGTGGGCAAGTCAACAATACCAATAGATAGATCTTCATATGGATATTCACGCAAACATATCAAAATAGATGTGGTATTTATCTAACATAATGATCGTAATCAAGCCATCTACCAAACAGTGTTCCCCGATTAAGCCGCCATGGTTTTCTCCTGACCTCTGTCTATCGGCATCGCGCACTATGAAGACGCCCCGGAGCCAGAGGCCTTGGCAGAAACCATAGCGATGGGACCCTCCCGACTCAGCACCCACATCAAGATGAACTGGACGACGTAGGAGTAGATGAACAGGAACTGGGTGCGACGGTTGCGCTGCGAACGGGCGACGGTGTGCATTGATCCCGTGCGCATGGACGCATCACTAGTCGAGTCCGGAAGCAAGACGTATTTCAAGGAGCGGAGCTAACCCAGATGAATGAGCGAGGGGTTTCTTCAAGCACGAAAGAAAATCATAAGGGGTTGTACTTACCAGGAAGAACGCATTGGCCAGGAATGTGTAGATGAATACGACCCAGCCAATCCAGCCGCCGGTGCCCCTCCCCGGGGTCAGGACCTCCGAGAAGACCAGGGTCAGAATGATTCCCACAAACTTGTAGCCCGAGTAAGCGACCAGATCCAGAAGTTGCGACTCGTTGTTGATGCTGAGGATGTACATGGCCATTTTCAGGCACAGGATTTCGAACAGAATAACCGCAATCGCGGTCGTGGTCGTCGATCCCAACAGCTCCGGGTGGAAGTTGCCTCGAAATCCAGCGAGCATAGACGAGAGCAGGATGTAGGTGACCAGGGCCATGACCGGGATGTACATGTCGGGCGAGTTCAGGTCATCGCGAGGGGGCAGGAACATGGACGAGTACTGCTGTTGGGAGATCTGGCCGTTCGGCCCCGTCGCGGCCGTCGTCATGCGTGCTTGTTGGCGAGACCAAGGCTTGTGTCGCCATGGGAAAAGCACCAGGACCAGCTTATTCAGAACGTAGGAGTTGGAGACGTTGAAGTAGTGTTTGAGCGCGGGTATCGAGACGTAGCGGTTGAACTATGGAGGTGCGGCAGACCTGTCAGCAAGGGAGACCCCATATCGCACCAGGGTGCATGTCTCAGTGCTTACGTTCTGCTCCATGTATTCCTGTCCAGCAGCCATCGCGGTCTTCCCGACCTGGAATCCCATCTGTGCCGTGGGATCATTGATGAACCCCCCGAATCCGGGGGCGTAGGTACCGCTGCCACCTTGCGTAGGGGCGGGCTGGTATGGGTTGCCATAGCCGGCCGTTTGAGACTGCTGGGACGCCGGGGGAGGTGGTGAACGCATCATAGGGACGGTGGACACATGTTGCGGTACAGGATGGTGAAGCGGAGGCGACTGCGCGGGTGGAGGAGCAAAATTCTGGCGGTACATGCTTCTCACAGCTCAATCGTGAAGAAATCAAAGGAATCGGAGACCACAAGGAGCCTAGAGGATGGGGTGTGGGGGGAGCTTCGGTAGTGTAGAGAAAGCGATGCAGGTTGGTCAAGGGAGAGAGAGAGTGAGATGGGCCCCAACTGGGTTTATACGTGGCTGCTGAGAAAGTTCCGCTCCCCGAACAGCTCAGCTTTTGCCGCCCGCAATTTGTTCCCCACCGTCTTGCGGATCGACTTCTTCCCCAAATCTCTCTCTCTCACATCCCCGTTCCCTGCAGTCCACTGTTCAAAATGTTGGAAGCCTTTGAGATTCTCTCCACCTCCGGTGTGGTTCTGTGGTCGCGATCCTACGCTACGGTGGGCGCTCATGTGGTCAACAGCCTTATCAACGATGTCTTTATCGAGGAGAAAGTTCAACTTCAGGCTACGAATAACGCATACCCCGTTTACAAAAAGGAGAAGTACACGCTGAAATGGAAGAGGGCCAAGGATTTCAATCTGATCTTTGTGGTACGTTTAGAAACCCTCAGACTATCCTAACCCATTGCTGACCTCGACATGAGTAGGCCGTATACCAGTCCCTGCTCCATCTCGGTTGGATCGATAAACTCCTGGACAATATCTCGACCATCTTCCTCGATCTGTACAAGGACCAACTGAAGAGCACCCGCGCTCGCATCGTCGAGTACCCGTTCGACCGATACTTCGATCAACAGGTGAAGGAGCTGGAGGACATTTCGGGTGCGATCACCTCAGAAGGCTTCGAGGCCGATGCGGGAGACAAAAAAGACCCGCTGGTCTCGTCTGACAACGGTGGTCCGCCGCCGCCATCCATGCCTGGCCTCCTCAAAGGTACGAGTTGTCTACTGCGTGAGAGAAACCCTGCTGACAACCTCCAAGCGCAGCATCAAGCTGCGCTAGGCGTGTCGACCTCCGATGAGAGTTCGCCACCCCAAACCCCCGATACTTCTCGACCATCAACGCCCGCGGCAAGTCATATTCTGACGGCGAAGGGTGGACCTCGTGGTTCTCGACGTGCGCGCAAGGCCGCCAACGCGAGCGCCACCGCTTCTTCCGGCGATGAGAAAATTCGCAAGGGAAAGACAACCAGCAGTGCGAAGAAAGGCCGCAAGTGGGATGCCGACGGAATGGCTGACGAGGATGACGGCGCGGTGCTCGACTATTCCGCGCCAGTCGACGAGACAGCGGCCCCGGCTGTGGAGGATATTGCATCAGACTCTTGGGGACGGAGAACCGGCAAGGGTCAATTTGTTCTGAAAGATCTCGGCGACGAAGTCCATTCGATTCTTGAGAACGCAGATAATGAGAAGGCGAAGACCTCCGCATCGTCGGGATTCGTTGGCTCGGGCTTTAATGCGATCGGCGGCATGCTGCGCAACATCGTTGGTGGAAAGGTTCTGACCGAGGCCGATCTGGACCAGCCCTTGAGGACCATGGAGGATCATCTTCTGAAGAAGAACGTGGCGCGCGAGGCAGCCGTCCGGCTCTGTGAAGGCGTGCAGCGCGAACTGGTCGGTAAAAAGACGGGCAACTTCCAAAGCGTGGACGCGGCCCTCCGTTTGGCCATGGAGTCTTCTCTAAGAAACATCTTGACGCCTACCTCGTCCCTGGACCTGCTCCGTGAAATCGATACCGTCACCTCGCCGAAAACCCGACAAGCATCTCCGCGCCCGTACGTGATCTCGATTGTCGGCGTCAACGGCGTTGGCAAATCGACTAACCTGGGCAAAATCTGTTACTTCCTACTGCAGAACAACTACCGCGTTTTGATCGCTGCGTGCGATACCTTCCGGTCTGGAGCCGTGGAGCAACTTCGTGTTCACGCTCGAAACTTGAAGGAGCTCAGCTCTCGCGAGAACGTTGGAGAGATTGAATTGTACGAGAAGGGGTACGGCAAAGATGCTGCGAACGTCGCCAAGGACGCCGTTGAATACGGGGCAGCTCAGAAGTTCGACGTGGTTTTGATCGACACCGCCGGTCGTCGCCATAACGATCAGCGTCTGATGTCGTCGCTAGAGAAGTTCGCCAAGTTCGCGCGACCGGACAAGATCTTCATGGTTGGAGAAGCCTTAGTCGGTACGGATAGTGTGATGCAGGCGCGTAACTTCAACCAGGCCTTTGGTACAGGGCGAAACCTGGACGGGTTCATTATCAGCAAGTGCGACACCGTTGGCGACATGGTTGGCACCTTGGTTAGCATGGTACATGCCACTGGCATTCCCATCGTGTTCTTGGGCGTTGGTCAGCATTACGGGGATCTGAGAGGGCTCAGTGTGCCTTGGGCGGTTAATCTGTTGATGAAGTGATTTTCTTGCATTATGGGCGTGGATCAATGTTTAGCTATGATTTACATTATGAGGGCTCTTGAGCTGCAATCTAATATGGCTTCGTGTATTTCCAATGCCTTAATCATAGACCAGAGTTCAATGATATATTTATAGATATATATTTGGTTAACTAACTAGTTATCCGGGGAGATGACATCATCTGCTCGTCCCCGGTTTCGCATCTTTCTCCAACGATTGCAGCGCATCTCCAAAAAAGCAGGGACAAGGGGAACACTCGTCATGACCTCACTCGCAGCCAGCGGAAATGAATCGCCCCTGAGGCTAATTAATCCAGTGATATTAACTAAATCCGTCGATCTTCAATGGTCTGGATGACGATGACTCAGCCCAGAATGCAGCGCTTACATCATCCATGTTCTTCCCCGGTTTGCGCTGGTCTTTCCTTTCCTCTCTTGCCTCCATTCCTCTTACGCACATCATTTATCGTTGGTTTGACTGAATCAGTCTTGGACCTCTTGCCTCTACGATCAGCCTTCACTCATTATTTCTTACGACACCCGTGGCCTCAACTCTTCCCCTGGCTGTTCCTAGATCGTCTGGGGCAAAATCCCCCACGCCGCAACAGATCAGAGGCCATTGAGCCTCGGCGCCACTTCCGGGACTGACCTTGAAGGTGCCACCAAGATATAAATTTTATTGATCATCCAAATATCCTAGGAACCGAGCCTTCCTGTACCAGTGTGCGCGTGCCTACCCTCCCCCCAAGATGAAACCGTCGGAGCATGACCCGCTCAGTCGGCGACATTCATCCACGCTTCATTACCAGACGTTCGATACTCCGCCACCGAAATCTCGAGGAAGACCCAATTCCGGCCAGTCGGAGTCGTCGGGAATACATTCGCATGACCCGCAAGACGAATCCCATCGTCATGGGACTGATCACCATTCGCCTCTGCCGAAGAAGCAGATGGCTGTCCTGGCGCTGATCTCCCTCTGCGAACAAACGGCGTTCAACTCGATCAGTCCTTACCTGCCGGAAATGGTTTCCTCTTTTCCGGAGGTGAAGCCGGGGTTGGTCGGTGTATACGTTGGGAGTCTCGCCACTGCGTTCGCGATTGCGCAGTTCATAACAAACTACTTTTGGGGGTGGCTATCGGACCGAGTGGGACGGAAGCCGGTGATCTTGCTGGGGACCGTTTTGACCGCGGCGTCTTTCTTCGCGTTCGGTTTCTGCAAGACGCTGGTGCAGGCTATCATCGTGCAAGCCGTGCTGGGTGCCGTCAACGGAAACCAGGTCTTGGTGTCCACCTGCCTGGGTGAAATCACGGATCGAAGCAACCAGTCGAAGGCGTTTACCTACCTCCCGGTACTTTATGGGGTGGGAGGGATTACTGGCCCTCTGCTTGGAGGGCTGTTGATTTTCGATACTCTTCCGTGGGACTCGAGTAAACCGAATCCCTACCCCTACCTCGCGCCGAATGCCCTCTCCGCCGGACTTCTCATACTGGATTTGATCGTGTCTGTTTTCTTTTTGGAAGAAAGTCTTGAAGACGCTGAGAGTCTGCCCAAGATCGGGCATAGGGTTCGGTCGTTTTTCTCCTGGCTCTGGCAGTTTACGAGCATGGCGAAGCGTGCGCGCTGGGTTCACCCGCCCCATACGGTTCCGTATCGTCCGCTCCGGCATCACTCTTCGGAGTCTCAGGATCACGATAGCGAATTAGACTCGGCCTCCGAGGCGTCAGGTCCCCGGGGGACTGACCACGAGAGTCTCACCAGCGAATTGTGGAATCGCGATACGATCTTACTTTTGACGACGTATCTGATCTTCGCACTGTGCAACGTCTCGTTCAACGCGCTTTTCCCTATCTTTTCGCAAGCCGCGCCTCCCACCGGTCGAGGACTGACCCCTGAAGAAATCGGTCTTGCACAAGGGTTCTCCGGATTTATCACTATCCTCTTTCAGATTTGCATTTTTGGCCGGCTGCGGGATAAAATGGGCAATCGATGGTCTTACCGAGCCGGTCTTTTCGGCTTCGTCGTCGCGTTCATCCTAATGCCCTTCATCGGATACAAAGGGAAGGATGTCGATGGGAAGGTCAGCGGCAAGACTGCCCTAATGGCGGCGGAGCTTTGCTTTGCTTTGCTCGTCAAGACCGTGGCTACGGTGGGCGGTTTGACCAGCGCACTACTTCTTGTAAGGCACCTCTCCACCCCCCATTGCCCCTGCACAGAAAATCTACGGCCCCACTAACCGGATGTTTCGCATAGATCACCAACTCTGCCCCTGACCACGCCGTCCTCGGCGCCCTCAACGGCCTGGCACAAACCCTCTCCGCCGCCGGCCGTGCTGTGGGCCCCTTCATCTCCGGCGGTCTGTTCTCTCTCGCATCCCGCGTCGAACCCAAAGGTGAAGCCATGGCATTTGGAGTCTTCGCCGCTGCATCCTTTGTCGGGTTCATCCTGAGTTTCGGGATCCGCGGACGATCTCTGGAAGCAGATGGTTACGAGAGCGACGACGCGTACAAGTCTGATGACGAGGAAGACCCGCACTCCCCTTCATAGACAGAGATGGGTAGATCATCACTGCAGGGTGGGAGTTCAACCAACCTGAAGCTTCAAGAAAACATTCACGACTTCACGAGCTGGCGTTTATTCAATCTTTTGCCACTATTACTATTTCTACCTTTTCGATTCTAAAGGCAAAGGCTGTGTCTTTAGAGGTCCTTTCCCTATTTTGTCCTGTAACATATACCTTTCACTATGGTTGCACTTCTGTCTTTCTGAGCGAGCGAAGGCTTGATTGTGTTGAGTTGTTTTGGAAAAGCGAGCGTTGCACTGATAGCACATGGCTTTTTCTCTTTTTCTCTCCTTTTCCTTTCATTTTTTTTATTACTTTCTTCCTCAAGAACCAGACTTGAGATTCTACATATAAAATCCGACACATGCGACCTATGGGTATAGATTTGGGATGTCAGAAAAACAAATAATAATTTGATTGTATAGAACTAAAACTAAATCAATGATATAATTTAGACTTGCTTCATTGCTTTCTTTTCTCTTCCTTTCTTATTGAAAAAATGAAACATAGGGTTCATAGATTAAAGACCAAGTGACTATAGTAGAGAAAATTCATGTAGAATGAGAAAGTATCTGATCTGATCTGATCTAGAAAAGAATGTCCTTCATCCACCCTTTTCCTCATTTGCCTAAATCCAATCAAAACCAAGCCAATCCAAACCAAACATATTTAGATATCACCCAAATAATCAATCAATAAGATCGCCCTCCCAGAAAATGAAAATGAAATGCAAAAAAGAAAGAAGAGAAGGTATATATACCACCAATTCCTGTCCTCTCCATACCAAATTGAGTCCGATAGGTGTTGGGAACTGTTGAACAAGAACCGACCAGCTCACATCCACACAATAAACAACACAACACACGATATTAATAGTAATAAGTAAAGTATCACTCTTCCCCCGGAGGTCTCATCACTTCCACACCCACTCAAGAACATACATAAACGCGTGCCCAAGGTACCCATCCAACAGCAAACCTTGAGCATACTCCATCAGCTCGCTATCCGGCAACTCGAGACCCTTGAAGCGATCAGCGTCGCCGCCACCGCTACGCACACCGATGCGTTTATCGATGAGCGTCTTGAGCATCTCGCGTCCCGGCGTGACGAGCACGTACCGGGACTGCGTGGCCGATGCGTCACCGGGCTCGTAGCAGATGGCTTCCTGGCGATCGGGCGACAGCCAGTGTACGCCTTTCATGTCGGTTGCGGAGGAGGTGGTGATGGAAGAGGAGAGAGGGGAGGAGGTGCTCGTGTTGGTGTTGGTGTTGGTGCTGGTGGAGAGGTCGAGCGGGGGGTTGTCGATAGTGGTGTATTGGATGTCGCAGTCGAGGGAAAAGAGGATGACGGTGTTGGAAGTGGTGTTGAGGCGCATGCGGAAGGTCGTGAAGTTGCGTGTGTCCAGGTAGAAGGTGTAGTTGGCGGTGATGGCCACGGACTTGTGACTGTCGCTGTTGCCGTTGAAGCGGCGAATCTTGGAGAGGGCTTGGTCGCGCGCGGAGGTCGGACATATCGGCTTCACGGCGAGGGATTTGGATTCGCGCAGTGAGACGGAGGGGATGCAGTAGGGAAAATGGGCGGCTTTGCCGAGTTGGTGGCAGGATTCGTTGCAGAAGCGGAAGATCTTGCAGGCTGAAAGGTGTGGTGTTAGGAGGGAGCAATTGAGAACGCTTGGAGAAGACTTACTGTTGCAGAGGATCGTTGTGGTGCATTCGCAGTTCTCACAGGTCCCGGGCTCATGTAGCATCCAATCTTTTCTCTCTCCAGCCAGAATGTCTCGTCGATGGTTCAGTTCCGAGATGCGCTTCTCGGCGTACGCGATTCGCTTGCGCGAGTGGTGGTGCTCAGGTGCCCGCCCAGCCATGTGAACGAGCTGTTTGTAGGCCAGAATGGCCTTGTCGATGGAATCGAGGTGTTCTCGGGACACGCACAGCGCACTGAGCGCGTCGAACGTCTCCTGGGCTTCCGGTCCTCTCACTGCGAGAAAGTCTTCGACTAAGGCCTCGAAAAGGTCTGCCGCGTCCCGGTTGAGACCGGCGTCCATGTATGACCGGCCTAGACGGTGGATGACGCGGAGGGCATCCGGATCGCGAGATTTCTGGTACTGGTCGAGAACGTCCTTGATGTCGGCAGGAAAATCAAAGTTGTCAGAGCTCTGGAGGTAGCGCACGACAACGTCCCGGGTGATAGGGCTCGTGATGCCGAAGAAGGTCCGACAGTGAGGAATTGTCCGACTACAGATCGTGCGAGACTCCTTGTCTAGCCCGAGCTTCTGATACAGAAGGGAGAGCTGGTTCATGGCGTTCAATGTCGTCGCATTTTGCAGCCCGAAAACGGTGTCGAGAGCTGGGACCGCCTTTTCGAGGAGAAGGAGCGCCGATTCGAGGTCCCCCAGCGAAGCCTTGAGCGAAGCAAGATCCTGCATGCTGCCCAGTGTTTCGGGGGCATTGTTACCGAGAGTTTTCAGTCGCCCGGCGAATGAGCGCTCGTATAATGCGGCGGCTTCGGTGGCATATCCATCTCTCTCGCAGAGGGCTCCGAGGTCGTGAAGAACGGCGTAGTTTTTCTGGCAGTCTCGTCCCAGGGTGCGCTTGTAGAGACCTAGCGACTCCAGGTAACACGCTTCCGATTCTGCGGGCATATCTAGATTGCGGTAAGCCTGGCCCTGTGAGTGCAACATGGCCGCCCGTGATAGCTTATCGACATCCAGCGCCGGCGTGGCTTCGAGCATTTTCAAGGCGTCATGGTATTCGACCACCGCGGCCCTGCAGTTTCCCTGATTGAACGCCGCCTCTGCCCGTAGTCGAGTAGTCAGTGTTCGAGACCAGATAGTCGCAGCCGACAACTCGTCCGTCAATTGGAGGTAGAGCTGAGCCACTTCGTCCATCTGAAGAACCCGCTGACGCCCGGATGCATCATGGACCACGGCTCCTCCCGAGATGTACTGCATGTGGACGAAGATTTTCTGGCTACCTCGCAGCAATGCGATGTACTCTGCGTCCGAAACAACCGGAGAATTTGGATCCTGCCTACTCTCTGGGGTCTCGACTGGCTGTGATTCATCTGCTGTGCATAAGCTCTCCCGTGTGGCTGCCCTACTCCCACTCCGGGCGTACTTGACCAAAGAAAATCGTATCGTATTTGCTCTCTTGATTAACTTATTGCCTCGATTGGACGTAGACCGTGTTCGCGATGGCCCTTTAAAAACATTAGTTTTTAATTCGACAATCAAACCTGGCCTTACCTACCCTTGGAAGTCTTTCGTCCGAAAAGCCTCCGGAGAAACGAGTGTCTCTTCGGCGATACCGCGGTGTCTCCTGGGCTGCCGTTCGCAGCTATTAGATCCCCTTGTGACTCGGCTTGTAGGTGATTCCTGTGGTGTTCATCTTCTGCGCAAAGGTTTAATTCGTCTCTTTTGCTGCCTATGAGGGGCGTGTCGCAGGCTGTTGGGAGCGTCCGGTCAGTACATTTCGTGATAGTAGGATATGTGTTTAAAATAGAAGTCCTCCGTACCACTTGAAGTGAAGCTGGATACCGATTGACCGTTAGTTGTGTCAGTCGCGCTGCCCTCAAATTGCTGGTATGTGCCATTCGGTGCATGTACTGCAGTATATTCAGTAACAGAGGGTTATTGTACTATGTGGACAAACAGACCTTTCTCCAAATCGTAAAGCCCAGCAAAGCTGATCGCTATTAATTCATCTTCATCACTTTGCGAAAACTCTGCTCAGATTAGCCCGGTCGGTCTCCCCAAAGCCATTCGCAAAAGAGAGGGAGCGTACTCCTATGAGACCATGAATCTCGCAACTTCCTCGCACGCCTTGCGAAAGACGGCTGCTCAGCGCCCGATGCAGGTGTTGTGGGGAATTTGGATCCCATGGTGCTCTTCGGCGCGAGACTGGGACTCCGACTGTGGGATATACTGGACATATCTCTCTGAACGTCTCGAAAGCTTACGTCGTCACGGGGATCGTTCAAGATGGGTTCGTATCTGCGTCGTGTAAGAAGCGTTCTGCTATTGGAGGTCTGAGTATAAATACTGACGAGATATTGCATTTTTCTCCGCAATGTTTGCAGGTGACGAAGGACGGCATGTCTGCGAAAGATATCTTGTCAGGGAAGAACGCGAATGATAAGTAGTCGGAGGGTATCCTACTGCGCTGCCTGTCCACTCGTTCACCATTGTCGCCGACTGCGAAATGTCTCTCGCAGCTGTTGCAGAAGAAACGCATGGGGCGACAATCTAGAGACACGAGTCGTTTCTCCATGCGATAGCCTTTTGTAATTAACCTAGAAGACCCAGGTCAGTTAGCACCAAGCGCGTCTCCGCCAGAGGGAAGGAAAGAACTACCGATCTCGCGTCATCACATATACGGCGACGGCGGCTCCGGGACAGAATCGCGTGAGATAGTGATTGTTGAGCTCGGTTCTACTCAGTTAGGTCAAAACCAGCTCTCTCGCCGAGCACAGGAAGAGAAACCGTACGAGGAAGAAAACACCGCATCGCAGTCGGGACATTTGACGTCAATTGCTCCAAAGGTGGTCCCGTCGTCATCTCGAAAAGGTGGGAAGAGACGCAGAACTTCCTGAAAATTTTCAAGGCTCGCGGATTGCTCTGTCGTATCTGGATATTGGGTGCATGTTCCATTAGTCTCCTCCGCGGATCGCTTATGCACCAGTATGTAGGTAGCCGGGGGGAAGCAGCAGCTTACCGCTTGTAGATCTTCCAGCCAAGGACAGCAGGACGTCGGATGCTCGTAGAATACGCGTTTTGGCCTTCAACCGGCTGGGAGCGACATGCGATGCACCACCAAGCGTGATTTGCTTTTCGAGTTCCAGTCTCGCCTCGGGATGGAGCTTATAATTACCGACAACCGCCCTGGGTCAATGCGTTCACGCAGTTAGCCGGACACATTGGTCATCGCAAGAGCCGCGGCTGTGGGAAATGTAGGGAAATTGCATGGTACTCACCGGTCAGAAGGCGATACGTAGCGATCGCACTCCATGTTCAACATGAAGTCAGGCGGGAGATGGCGAAGACGGCGATGGAATGAATGATGGGCGAGAGGAGAAAGACGAAACAAAAGAGATTAAAGAGGGTTTCGAGGTTTCACGGCCTTTCCGTGAGGTCTCAGACAGGAATTCGAGAGTGAAATTAAGCATGAGAGATCGGGTGAGGCGTCATTTTCAATGAACTGTAGGACTTGCTGGCGCGCATATGCAGGTCTTCTCCATGGGGGCCAACAGCAGTAAACGGCCTGCCCGCATATTTTTCTCGTTTCAAGGAGGAAACTGGGAGAGTTCCTCCAAAGTCAGTGCTTGTCATCCCTCGCATCCTTAGTGGGACGGGCCCGGAGACAGGGAGAGACGCCTGGTTGACAAAAGACCTGATATATTGATCGGTGGATTGAATGGATGGACAGGGAGAAAGGTTGTGAGTCTGACTCTTTCCCTTCTCTGTAACCATGCTACCTAATGGTCGGGCGAATCAATCAACAACCGAAGTGAGCACTGCAGATGATTGATGCAACGAGTCCCCTTTCGTGTCTCCTCGTTTCGCGCCCTGGCATGGTTCAATAACCAAGCGGCCCCCTTGCATCGATGATGGAAAGACATGGATTCACCGCATTATCTTTGCTCCAGAGTCTTTCATCGCATATGTGCATGTATATTATGCTCGGCTTCTTCTTCGAGATTGGGGGTCAACTGATTTCTCTTTCTTTCTTTCCATCTCGCCGCGGCGGATCAAGTGCTGCGACCGGCGTCGCACCTGTCATATTCCCGAGACAAACAAAGCGATCGTTGCTGATCGACACGCATACTTGCAGCCCGAAGTGATACATCACAACCCTTCAAGGCGCATCCAATAATTGGCTGGCGTTATGACATAGATGAGGCAATAGTCTGCTCCGGAATAAGTTTAACGTTGGACCTGGTTCCTGCGCTCCTGATCTGTCGTCGATCTGAGACTTTAACGTTGAATAGTGGCCATAGTGCAAGCCATGTTTTGACATCAGCCCGGGCCATCGTACAGGAGGGGAGAAAAAGAAAAAGGGAAACATGAGAGGGCGAATCCATCGAATTGAATTCGCTAGAACGACCGAAGAACATAAAAAGAAGCTTATCCTTGCAATTCCCCTTTCGCTCCCTGTGATGTCCGACGGGGGGTTTCGATGGCGTCAATAAGGGCAAGGCTAGACTTCTCCGTAGCCCTACATTCTATAGATAAATCGCAACGAACTTAATTGCCGTCAACCATGACACCCCTGCGGAGCAAAGCCCTTCGGAGTGATATTCATGGAGTTTTTGATTCCCTGCATTTAGGTCGTACCATCGGGGAAATCCCCATGATCCAGCAGAGTTCGAAACTATTTGTCTCCTATGGCGCCGCAACTGTAAGGACCCCATCACTCGCAGATGTCCTAGGTGATTAAGCCATGTCATCCTTGTGGGTAGCCCTGAAACCAATGAAGCTCTAGTCCTCGGGGTTAGGAAGTTGGTAACTACCTTGGTATGTCTGAAGAGAGAACCCTGGATACTGACTGGATGATGCGCGGTGATCAAAGGTCTGCTACCACTCTTCCTACACTGTGCTAGTGACAGCAGGTTTTCCTTGCAAGTTTTCCTGATGGAACATTCGGATTTAAAAACATTTCATTCTGACTGGACGCTGTTTTCGGGTCTCGAATGGTGAGCCCGGTGGTCTTCCTGTGGGGGTGCAGCGAGTGCGAGATGTCAGGGTGACGTCCTCACGCCCAACGTCATCTTTACGTTTTACGTGCCGGAGACATGACGCCCACTCAGAGTCCATATATTACCCAGCATCAACAGCTATAGATGGGATCCATAAGAGACCTTTCAATTAATTCCATTGGAAAATTATGTGCGTGATTTACAATTGACTTATCTAATTTCATTGTACGAGCCACAACAATATGGCAAGTGTCATTGCCGGAGGCCTAAGCAAGGCCCAAGAGGCCGTCCAGAAAGCTGCGTCCAAAGATAAGAAGCTTGTAGAACTGGACAGTGATACCACTGCCGTGGATAAGAGCCAGCCCTTGACGACCGACCATGGCGTGAAGATCAGCAACACCGATCAATGGCTTCGATCTGTCGACGAGAATCACACGGGTCCGTCGCTCTTGGAAGACCAGATCGCACGAGAAAAGGTAATGCACAGACCCCCTTGCTAGGCCAGTCACAATTCAAATCGCTCTAACACCGCTCAGATTCATCGCTTTGACCATGAACGGATTCCCGAAAGAGTGGTGCACGCCCGTGGAACCGCCGCTTTTGGCAACTTCCGATTGCATGAGAGCGCCGAAGACGTGTCTCACGCAGGGATCCTGACGGATACCTCAAGGAACACGCCGGTGTTTCTGCGCTTTTCCACTGTCCAGGGTAGCAAGGGAAGTGCCGACACGGTGCGTGATGTAAGAGGATTCGCCGTCAAGCTTTACACAGAGGAAGGTAACTGGGATATTGTTGGCAATAACATCCCGGTGTTTTTCATCCAGGACGCGGTCAAATTCCCGGATTTTGGTATGCGGTCATTCCCCCTTCTCCAGTGGAAGCAGCTATTGATGTATGACAATAGTTCATGCGGTCAAACCGGAGCCACATAACGAAGTGCCCCAGGCGCAGACCGCCCATAACAACTTTTGGGACTTCGTGTATCTGCATCCCGAGGCTACACACATGTACATGTGGGCCATGTCCGACAGGGCTATTCCGCGTTCATACCGCATGATGCAGGGTTTTGGTGTCAACACTTACTCCCTGATTAACAAGGAGGGCAAGCGACACTTCGTCAAATTCCACTTTATCCCCCATCTGGGTGTGCACTCACTTGTGTGGGATGAGGCTTTGAAATTAGCCGGACAGGATCCGGACTTTCATCGCAAAGACCTCATGGAAGCCATTGACAACAAAGCCTATCCCAAGTGGGATTTTGCCATCCAGGTTATCCCCGAAGAGAAGCAAGATGATTTCGAATTCGATATCTTGGACGCTACTAAGATTTGGCCCGAGGAACTCGTTCCGCTGCGCGTGATCGGTGAATTGGAGCTTAACCGCAATGTGGACGAATTCTTCCCTCAGACCGAGCAAGTGGCCTTCTGCACCAGCCATATCGTCCCGGGAATTGACTTCTCCGACGACCCGCTGCTGCAGGGCCGCAATTTCTCGTACTTCGACACTCAGATCAGCCGACTTGGGATTAACTGGGAGGAGATCCCCATCAACCGGCCTGTGTGTCCGGTCATGAACCACAACCGCGACGGGCAAAAGCGTCATCGCATCACCCAAGGCACCGTGAACTATTGGCCCAACCGCTTCGAAGCTGGCCCACCAGTGCCTTCTAAAGAAGGCGGGTTCGAGTCGTATCCCCAGAAGGTCGGTGGTGTCAAGAAGCGTGGCTTGAGTGCCAAGTTCCGTGAACACCACAATCAAGCGCAGCTTTTCTATAACTCCATGTCTGCACATGAAAAGGAGCACATGAAGAAGGCATTCTGTTTCGAGCTGGACCACTGCGATGACCCCCTCGTTTATAACCGGCTGGCTGGTCACCGACTTGCTGAGATCGATCTCAACTTGGCTCAACAAGTTGCAGAGACCGTGGGCGCTCCCGTCCCTGAGAAGGCATATCGCCAGAATCACGGCAAACGCTCCAAGAACCTCTCACAGACAGAATTCCCAGCCAAGGAGCCGACGATTGCCAGTCGCCGGATCGCCATCATTATCGGTGACGGTTATGACCCCGTCGCATTCAGCGGAATCAAAGCGGCCGTGACTGCCGCCGGAGCTCTGCCTTTCATCATCGGCACGAAACGATCACCTATCTACGCCGACGGCGAGAACAAAGATACTGCAAAGGGTGTCATTGCTGACCATCAATATGATGGCCAACGCTCCACGATGTTTGATGCCACATTCATCCCTGGTGGCCCGCACGTCTCCGTTCTGAAAACCAACGGACAGATCCGCTACTGGATCACGGAGACCTTTGGTCATCTCAAAGCGCTCGGTGGCACGGGCGAAGCAGCAGATCTCATCAAGCAGACGTTAGTCAATGCGCTTGATGTCAATATCGCCACATCAGCGGAACCAGTCAACTGGTATGGTGTAGTAACGGCCGGGTCACCCCAGAAGCCAGAGAGCTTCCGCGAAACCGTTCAGATCGCGAAGAATGCGAAAGACTTTGTCGGTCAATTCTTCTATGAGATTTCCCAGCATCGGAACTACCAGCGAGAACTGGATGGCCTTAGCGCGACGGTGCCATTCTAGACACTGCCCACCATGGAAGTATACCACAACCCGACAGCTGTACGTCTAATCAATTGTTGAATAATATGTGAATATGAGTGTTGAAATCCACGGACAAAATGCGTTGAATGACCTGTATAGTTCCAATTGTTGCCATGAATTTGCCAGACGACCAAATGTATCTAATCAAATGAGTAATGCAAACGCTTCCAAATTTCGCCAATAAGAACACAGAATTCCAAATCCAAAATCTAGTAGCCATACATCCCGGTTTTGCGGTGGAATGATTTTACAAGGTGGGTATCAAACGGAAATGAAATGGCTGAAAAAGGCTCCAAATACTCCGAAAATGTATGCTCCGTAAACCATGAAAGGAAAGAAAAGAATAAGGCCCCCTGTATTTGGGGTGGGCGCTCTAAAAAAAAAAAAAAAAAAAAGAAAAAGATCATGAGTATCCAAAGCATCCTCAAATCAAGGTGTGTATCATGGGCCAGTGATTAGACCCATCTCCACCCATTGTTCACAGATTCTCGACTATTGATCACCGATGAGAAAAGACTGTTGGGCTGGGTTCGCAGAGACGGGTCTCTACGTAGAGCAAAATTCTGATGCTCCCGCATTAGCAGCGTGACCGCAGCGTTAACATCGATCCCTTCTCCCGTATCGGTGACCTTTAATGCCCATTTGGCATCCTCCACATGATAGCCGAGATCCCCAACCATCATGGCAATGGCTTTGTCGACAGGATCAT